CGCAATGATGGAGACATGGTCCGTGCCCGCTGATCCGAGCTTAGAGCGTCACGAAAGCGACGCGCTGTCGTCAGTGACTCTTCGGACGATATGACGATCATGGATGCGCTGGGGCGGGCTACGACATTCACGGGACGACAACATTGTCTCCTTGCACCATCACGCATGAGCTTGGCTAGCGGATATCCAAGGCTATCACGACCAACCACTTGCACCACCAGAAAGCATTCCATCCACGACGCAGCGACGGTAGGTGAAATGGTATTATGTATTACTCGATATCAAATCATAAGTCAGAAGAAAAGCCTCGGCAAGACTGCCAGTACAACAGCTCCATCATCCACCACAGGCCAGCAAAACACAACGACACCTCCCAAGCCTACCTGCGAAACCACCCACTCGTCCCACTCGTCCCACTCGCATTCTCTTCCCTCCTCTGCCCATCCCCATTTCTCCTTTCCTCTGCCTTCCCATCATCAACCAACCTGACAGTCTCCTCCAGCACCAGCAAGTCCCTCTCGATCATCTCCGCCCAGTTCTGAATATCCCCCACCTCATTCAACTTCTTTGTGCCCCCTTGTAGCAACTTATCCCACTCGGCCGTTTGTTTCGCGAGCGCCGCCGTCTGCTTCGCCAGCTCCTTTTCTTGCTTGGATATAGCAGCCGAATTGGCGTGTAGGTCCGCTGTTCGCGTGCGCATTTCATTGTCAACGCTGGCGCCGACGGATAGCAGGGATGCGGTTACGGCGGCACGGGCCTCGTTTTGGCGACGAGCAGCTTCTTCTGGAGATGGAGGTGGGGAGGAAGGCATATTGGTGGTGTTGAAGTTCACGGGTGGGGTAGATAGCACAGGCTTGTTGAGGAGTGGTAAAGTAAGTTGTCTTGATGTGCTGAACGTACAATGGTTTGTATGCTCTATTAGTTAAAACAGCTACTTGCTCAGCGAATGACGATCCGCAAACTACTGCGTAACTTCACCGTAGTAAGACTGCCTAGTCTTGCCCCAATCGTGCCTCATACTATGGAACGTAGTGTAACATGTTGATTGGTGACTCGGTCGTCTACCGGATGCTTCTGAAGGCCGCTTCTAGCTCACTGCGTGATGGTGTAACGGAGCTCCATGTGAATGGCTGACGAAAGTATTCAATATGTGGTCACGCCTTGTGCAACGGCAGTTCCCTACTCTACTCCATCTCTGACACGTGTACAAGGCTAGCAGGCACGTTGTGCGGCGTGACTACGGAAACTCACGACTGGACAGCGGGGTAGCAGCGAGCAGCAGCAGTTTGGTTTGATAGAGAATTGGGCATTCGCTTCTGATTCCATGGTTTTTTCTGTCTGCATGAGTATGGATGGATAGGTTTTCTGCCAACGTGCTTTCCTATTTGCAGTGTTCGATGAACTGGGCGTTAGTCGTCGTGCTCCTGATCCCTAAGGGAGAACGGCGAGCGGGGGTTGGACAACAGTCCGAGGAGACGTGCTATAAGCTTCATGGAATAGTCATGCACCTCTTCTCTGTCGTGCATTAAGCCTGGAAGAAGCTATCTGCCTAAGATCGACGCCCAAAGTTGCTGCGGCGATTCATCCAAGGCGGGGTGGGGTGCCTACCGTGGGGCCTGGTCGGGGAAGCGCAGCGCAGTCGATGGGGGTACAATCGACACCTTATCAGTAGTTGCCAATTCAGGAAATAGCCAAGTTAAGGCAAGTGTAACCGAAGCCCTTAGATCATCGTCAGACAAGTCCTTTGCGTTTCCCGTGGACTAGGTTTCTTGACGCCGTGAAAACTCAAGAACAAAAATCACTTATTAATGAAACGCACGATGCACGAGGTACGTATTGGGCCCAATTCGATAAATTCGTAAGATGTAAAACACGTAACCAAAGAGTGTGAAAGAGAGTAAAGAAAAAAAGGTCATGAGATTTCCACGCGACCGGATAAGAACAAAGTGACCCAGCCACACAAGTATCCAGATATCGCACCCAACCCGAAAGACTCGACTTATGCCGCAATCTCCTTAGCAACGCGCTTGACAACATCCTCAACAGCGGCAGCCGCCTTCTCAGCCTCGCGCTTCGCATTTCTAGCCTTGATCTTTGCCTGCGCACCCTTGATCTGCTGAACCAAGAACTCAACACCCTCGTTCGCCCTAACACCATATGTCAAGTGAGCAGGCAAGACGCTCAGCGTACCCAGGCAGACGGCGTCACCAGGCTGGCAGATGATCTTGACCTTCTCCTTGGGGAAGTTGGGGATCTGGTCGCGGTCCTGAAGCTTCTGTGTGTCACCGTAGGTAACAACGCCAGCGATTTGGTCCATGACAGCAGCGTCAAGCTCCTCGATAGCGCGGTGGTTAACAGCAGCACCTTGACTGTAGCCCGAGGATACGATAACGGAGTCTGGGCACTTCTGGGCCATGCTGTTGAGAGTGTCCTTGAGGAGGTTCTTGGAGCGTGTGTCGGTGCCGCCGGGGAGGACGTTGGTGCCGATCGAGGCGGCATAGGGAATGCCTTCAGTGGCGACTGCATCACGACCGAACTCTTTCTTGAGGCCGTCAGAGGTAGGAGGACCGACTACGGTTCCCATGTTGCCGATCTCGGTGGAGCCACGGGCGAATGCGAAGAGAATATCTCTGCATCCACCTTGGCTGAACTCACTCGAGCTGGAACCGGTGCCCCCAAAGAGCTGACGGCTTTCCAGAGGGGCGGCAGCGGCAAAGCCAGCAAGGGCAGCAATGAGGATGGATTGGGCGTGCATGGTGTTGTTTGTTGAAGGTGTGGTGGAAAGTATGTCTGATATTGACAATAATGTGAAGAAGAAGCGAAGATGATAGTAGCGAATGTAAGCACCGGGCCTGTAGTGTTGGTGACAGTGTTGACTGATGATTTTCAGCTGAGGCTGGCGTCCTACCTTCTTATAATCCTATGTCGTTCGGCCAGACTTGGAACCAAGCTCGTCTAGCCATGACGATGATCAGGTATGCGAGCAAGGGCATTGCCCAAGGCGCTGCCAAGGTATCATTGGACTCATTGATCAAGCGGAAACAACCGCCAACTGAGAGAGCAGCCGAGGAAGGTATTCGTCAACTAGAGATACGATTGGTCCATTTCGTATCAATGTATTGCCAGGAGGGAAGTCCAGTGTCATGGAACTGCTACCAAGCGATGCCAAGTTGGTTGCGTTCTCCGAGAGGCATGGTGGAGATGGGGTGTGGAGGGATAGTAGTCCCCCGTTGAGCCTCTGCGCCCCAAAAAACGTATGCCATTAGCCACTTAGGACCTGAAGGTGATCCGACTACCGAAAAAACACTCTCACCGTCAATGCGCTCGGGCCTTACTTTTTGGCTACCCTAGCTGATCCTGCTACAGGGCAGCGACTCGCGCGAGGGTGTTCCTAGTGCGTCCGCAACGTGCCTGCCGTGCCTCGGTATGTTGTAGACAACACTGCTGATCATTGGCCATAGCAATGTCTGTCTACGACCTGTCAGTGTAAGAAGTTGAGCTGACAAGAGAACGGCTGTCTCGAAATGACGGAATGACTTCATTGCAAGCAATGCAAGAGTCGGGCCTGGTATCATGCAAGCGTGTAGTCCGGAAAAGGGGAGCATTTTGGACAGTACCACACTGACGAGCATACGGGAATTATGCCCGTCTCTAAGAACGCTTTCGAGCGGAAATAAGCTTTCGCACATTCACAACGTGGTATAGGGTTGATCGACGTGACGGGTGCGTCCCGCTATGGACCGTGTGCTAATTTAGTTTTGACTACATGCGCCTGACGCTCTTAGCCGTTTCAGCTCGGAACGTGATGCAAAAAGCAAGCGCACCAAAGATGATCAGACACTGGCAACACCAACATCGCATGTTCACCGTTGTGAGTGGAAATCTCCGAGCCTGGGAACCATGCCATGATGTCTTTGATCGCAACATCTGGCCAATGGAGGAATCTGTTCGCGAAGGTACTCCAATAAATGAGCGTGTTTGGTGTACGCGATGCTCTCCGGTCGAGTAAGCACGGCGAACTTCGCCTACGCTGATGGCAGTCTGTTGTCCGGACGCTTCAGACATTGCAAGTATAGCCCGTCCGCGACGTACTGATTCACTGATCGCCTATGCAGCCTGCATATACTAACCGATTCCTTGCACTCTTCTGTGCACGGGTTTTTCGAGAAGCCTTGGAAGTAAAAAGCATAGTTACAACCTCAGTCATTGTACGACGTTGATGCTGAAATCCTAGGAAATGGCCGGCCCATGATTGCTCTGTAACCTCGTTCATCCGCAGCACCCGGCAGGGCGGGATGACTCGCATGGAGCGGCGCGATCGTTTCGAACTTCAGCCTTGCATCTGCCGACGAGTCGTTCTATGCCTGAGGTTTTGTCAATATGACTCGAATAGGAAAGGTGGTCGATTGTGATGAACACAGCGATTCTCGCGTTCGCTTCTCCAGACTGATTTCTGCCTAAACGCAAAACCCAAGCTGCTGTTGCTGCTCTTGAGACAGTTCCTTGCAACCTTTGCATCAATCCCCCCATGGTTTTGATTGTACAATTCCCAATTATGCCGACTGGGTTGCACGTAGCCCCAAGAACGCGGCGCGTTGTCGAAAGAAAGGAAATCTAGGGTACCGAAGACGGGGACCTCAGGGCCATGACATCAACCGGTGGTCAAAGCGCGCCATCCAGTAAACTTTACGAGATGCGCGGCAACGACAAGACACATACTTTGTACACCTTCGCATTCTGATTTATGGCCGATGAAGACATGGATAGGCGTTATCGACCCCGCGATGATATGAAGCTGCCCACCTTTGTGAGCAGGGATGGTTTCCGTCGGGAAGCAGAGCCTCCAAGCCTTGCGATAACGATAGCGTATGATTGGGCCGAATAGGACGACGACCATGGTACCCAGGTACCTGTATAATATCAGACAAGAAAGATACACAAAGTTATACCGAAATTCGAAGGAAAAGAAGAAGAACACAACTTGAACTCCATCCATCAAGATGCACGATCCTATCGCCGATGCAAAAGCCCAGGAAGCAACGCGCCAATACACTTTCCGACCCGCTACCCCCACCGACATACCTGCTCTCCAGAAAATGATCGGTTCTTCTCTCCGCGGCCTAGGAAAAGGATATTACAGTCAAGCCGAGCTCGATGGATCAATAGGCTACCTCTTTGGCCCCGATTCCGTTTTGATAGCAGACCAGTAAGTACCGAACCTCAACATTTTTGGACATAAGGCGTCCGTCATCAATGAGCCGGGAGCCGATACCAGACGATACCAAAAGGAACCATAGTTAATCATGTGAATACAGGACGTACTACATCCTTCACCCTATCAACTCACCAACTACAATATGTGCTTGTGGCGGGTGGTCCTTTCGCAAGACGCTGTACGGCGGAGATTCTGCACCCTCTCCTCTGCGTATGCCAGAGAAGCGTGATCCGGCTATTGACCGCGCAAGTATCCGTGCTATTTTCACGTCTCCAGAGTATGCGCGCAGGGGTCTGGGTACCATGATGATGCGGTACTGTGAGGCGCGGGCGTGTGAAGGGAAGAGAGGTGAGACAGACGGTTTCACCCGGTTGGAAATGGGGGCGACACTGAGTGGAGTTGCATTGTACGAAAGATGTGGGTATGTGAGGAGTGGGAGAGTGGATGTGGTCAAGTGTCCTAATGGGGAGGGAATCAAGATCTTACATATGACGAAGGATTTGGTGGCGTAAGGCGAGGCTGTTAAGAGAAAATGGTCTAGTCAGCTTCGAGGTATCTGGGCGCAAGAGATTGTCATGCGGTGCGAAGATTACCCTTGTACAATCGATCTTGTAAGATGCGGTGATGTGTTGGCAGGGAAGCATGATCGCCGCCAGGTTTGGGTTAGTGGATGATGGGCGCCTCGCGGTAAGGCACCCGATGAGGCGAATATACTTCTTGTGGCGCTATGGTGCGGTCTAGGTTGGAAGCGTGATGCAAGGAGAAGCGCGAAACTTGTATCGTGGCCATGGTGGGTTGTATATGAAGTATGCGAGGTCGCTTGATATGAACCATACGATATTTTCTCTCCTTCTTGCAGAGTGTTCGCTCTTTGTCATCACGTCAGCTCGAAATCTCTACGGTCAGCCTTACCTCACGATTGGAGATAAGCACGAACAGCATGTCGAGCCCCATCTCAAGCCCAGTATCAAATCCCATCCCAAGTCCCAAAGATCCCAAAGCAGCCGCGCTGTCCACGGCTGTAGTCATCATCACCGTACCATCAGGCACATGATCTCGCCATGGATACCCATTCGACAAAACTAGTTTGCGCAGCTCGCAGCTTCGGTTCCCAGCCTCAAGGCGTGATCGCTGAGATGTAAGAGTAGGGCATTTTTGGGTTTGACGTATGCTGCGATTCGGAGAAAGCTGAAGGTCTCCGAGGAAATGGTGGCATGTGAACTTGGTCGAATCTGGCTAAAAGGAGGCGATGTCCAATGACCGGCGGTGCAATTATGTCCTCAGGAACGTCACCGTGGTACTTGGTGCGGTACTCTCCGCTATCAGCCAGCAGTGCAAACGGCGGTCGGAACATCTTGCGATGTGATCTAAGGATATAGGGACGAAGACCTAGACCTAGGCGGATGCGTTTGCGAGATTGGGTAGCAACGACATGAATCATCATGGCGATTCGAAGCGAGGCCGATGTTCGGAGGGTATTGTTCTGGTCATGATATCACGTACTGGAGACATGGCAAGGCTGTTGAAGCAACTTCTGTCTTTTGTGGAGGAGAGTAACTAGGACATGAGATCTTCAAAACGCATCAGAGCAATGAAACCGAACGCATGCAGCTCCAGCATCAGACCGCATCTCCACCACGCTCCCATTTTGTTATGACTCAAGAAGAAAAAAAGCAAAGTAACGCCATCAGTGAACATAAATCCATGCTGCGTATTTCATAGAGGCCGCTCAATTTGAGTGCAACCCAGCGTCGTACGCAGCAGCAGTCGGGGTATCAAAGGGTGATAGAGGAGTGCATTCGCAAAGGCTGTGTGCTCGTGTCGGATCGTGTCGCATCATCTATACGTCAAAACGCAAGTCAAAGACGCAGAGAACTCCAGGAAAGCCCATACAGAAAGTCAACAACGGCAAACCGTCCCCAGTTCTGCCAGAAGTAAGATCGACTTGGCCACAGATATGTCAGTGACAGTTTTAATGACTAGTGGTCACATTGGAAGTTTGGGCGTGAGCCAAATCGATGCGTAACCGGGAGTTGTCAAAGATGGAAGCTGACCTGCAGACCTTCATAGAGAAGTGAGAATGTCATATCGTAGTCGGAAGTCTAGTGCGTGGGAGAGAGAAAGTCGCTATGACTCAAGGAAAGCGTCAATATCCTTCTCCAGCTCTTTACTCCAGAGGTACTCGTGGTCTTCTTCGATCTTGTAGTCGACAGGGAGGTAGACGTCTTCCATGGTAGGGATCTTGCAAACCTGGTCGATGGGATACTGCTCGATAACAGGGAGCTGGTTCCACATGAGGCCAGGAGGACCCTCCTCACGGGGAAGAGGAAGGAAGCGACCAACACCAGTCTTGGCTCGATCATCACCCTCCCACTTCATCTCCGCCATGGAAGGCCAGGGCGCGATCTCGTCCTTACCATTCTGCCAGTCGTTGCACCAGATAGTCTGCTCACCGAGAGCGCGACCGTAGTTTCCGACGTCTTCGAAGTTGCCTTCGATACCGCATCTATTGAGGACCTTCTGAATATCTCCTGGGATCGGAGCTAGGATAGCTCGGGCGTCTTCCTTGTTCTTAACCTTGATGGCAAGCTTGCTCGCCTGTGATGCTAACATCGCTTCCTTGTGGGCAACGTAATCACTGAGTTTCCACTTAGCAACGTCGGAGTTTCTGAATAGACGGCGCATGGCGTTGCGAATCGTGAGAAATTCCTGCTGCACTTGCGCGTCTGGAGACACCCAGGTTCGCGACTGACGAAAGCCTCCGCCACGAACGCCGTAGGGAGCATCTAGCTGGCGATTGCCACGGAAGTCACGAACTGAGGAACAATAAGTGTTTGGCTCGTTGTGTTGCTTCTGCATGCGCTCGAAGGGGTTGTTGTAACGGTCTACGCTGTTCTTGCGCAGCTCAACACTACCACTAGTGATAGCCAGGCTACCGAAATGGAGACTCCCTGGGCTGATGGGACTGCTGGGAGTTGGGAGACTGTTGCTGCTTGAGCGAACGTCAGAGCTCTCATCATCATGAAGGGTGTCACCACTAGTATCCGTCTTTGGAGACGTGGCTCCGTCACCCACTGGAATAGGTGGTTGAGGTTTGCGAGGGGTCGCGACTGAGGCGCCGGTTGCAACTTTGACAGGATCGGCCATCGAAGGTGACATCGAGCGAATTCTGATGTGAGTGTCGAGAGAATGGAAGCGGAAACTATGCAATACGTTCACACCCTTAGAGGTAAGGAAGGACACTTTTCGACTTTGCGTAAGTATGTAACTTACGGGAGACTTGTCCGATGTAGTGGAGAAGGGCAAGTGTTGAGACTGTGATGTTCAAGTCTGATATACCCAAAGGTTGACAGTGGTAAAGGTCCAAGCGGGAGTAAGGCACCAGGACGGTGTGGATTTTCCCAACTATGCATGCATATCAATTAGCAATGATTCACTACCAGTGTGCTGGGACACATTGGGGCAACCGTGTCACCGCTTGCACCGTTGCGATCGACACGAATTTGCTGCCCGAACTCATGGTCCGCGGGGTGAGATAGATAGCGCGGATGTTTCCATCATTACGAAGAGAACCAATAGTAAACTGCTTAATTCGACACCGCCCGCGAGGAACACTGAGCGGATATGCAATGTGATTCTGTCACCTACCTGATAATCTGGGCCTCGCAAATGCGGAGTCTATGAGATAGCCAATAACACGACAAGGTGTCGAATGCTCGGAGGCTAGACTTCAAAGTGAGCGACGGCGATATAGTTGACTGCTTGTATGTAAAAGCTTACTAGAAAAGAAACCGTTCAGTTGAGTAGGTTTTTGAACGATGTCCTTACTAGAAGAGGTTTTGCGATATGAAGTTGTCTTATCATAGAGCTGAGAGCTGCCTGGCAGATGTCTTAGTGGTCATAGGGCCTGCCTTGTGATGATAGAAGAGTGAGAACAGAAACGTACGTGTTGGACGATTGAAGCTATTGTGCTCTCAGTGGAAGCCTGCGATATCGGTCACAGGACCCCAGGTACGTGTCCACCTGCTCGACCAGCGGTGAATTAAGCGGTGGATAGACGATGGTGCACTACGATGCTGTAAGAGCGGTGATGCTTGAAACTGTATGCGATGTTTTGGGCTGCGCGATTTTCGAATTTCATGAAAAGAGGAAGTACGGAAGGAAATGATTTGAGCGGGCTCTGAAAGGCTGCGGTCGTTTGGAAAGCGGAGAAATACAATCTGTATTGCAATTCGTTAATAAAGTTACGTCACGTCCGAGAATGCAGAAGCCGAGCAAAAGAGGTTCCAGATAGAGTTTGGCGCAAAAGCAGTGAACGAGTGGGCAATGTGGGGTGCGTAAGCAAGAAGTAATTGTCAGTCGGTGGGGCAGGTGAAGTTATCGTCACAGAGCACGGCCTGCACGAGCGTACTGCAGAGGTGACGCTCAAGCTTGTAGCGGACAGACGAGGAGCGTGCTGGACGCTCAGGTTCACCTCACCACTCTTCGCAACAAAGGGAGAATCCGAACGCGGAGAATGATGGATAAGAACGAACGACAGTCAGCGACCAGCGCTGTAGAGAAAATGACAAGCAGACAGAAACCATGGACAAGAGACGGAACGGAGGAAACGGAAAGATGATGACGTGAAAAGAAGAAGAGAGCAAGAAATTTGACTCGAGGGACTGTTTTGTAGCTCAATCGACAGATCATGAAAGGAAAGCACGTTCGAAAGACATCAACTGCGACTGACATGAAGAAGTTACTGCCCAGGATGCGAGTTGATCACAACGGATCTCACCAAGAGACATGCATCGCAGAACTTATACTCTCATGGATGGAAACATCTTGGCGAGAGGGGAATAGGACCTTTGGACTACAGCTTCGATGATGTGGGCTTCTGGGATCGCTATAAGGTGGGTTCAGAAGTGTAGACTGCTACCTAGGCAATCCGCACTTTCAACATCGCGTTCTCAACTTGCCAGCCGGTTTCATGAACACAGCGACCTGCTGGACGGAAAAAGCAACGACTAAGAACACGATGAGATGCAGAAACTGTTGGCAATGCTGGCTGGTCGTAATGTGATGTCTAGGCAAGTCCGCTGTTCTGAGCTCTGAGAAGGTGGGACACGGAAGACGTGTTCGTAGCGGGAATGTTCGTGTCAACATGTGCAGGCAATCGTCACTGCAGACGCTGGAAAGCGGGTAATTGTTGTTGTCGTTGATGCAGCGAAAATGTTTCGAAACAGAATGGGGATGAAGTTGGGACGACGGCGACCCGTGTTTGAGCCTCATGAAGAAGGGAAGGTTGATTGGACAGCAGCGGTCGACGCGTTAGGCCGCTTACTCCACACCAGTGCGCGCGCTACGCCGCAGCCACGCATACGAGAACTTGCGCATTGACACAAATTCCCGGTCCAGACATGTCCAAGTTCAGGTTCGACGGCGTCGAGCTTGACTATGGGGACTGCTATGGAACTTCATTCTTGTGGGCCATGGTGTGCTGCCGTTCAAACTCGGGTGTTGTGAAGTTTGTTGTTCTGACGGCTGCAAAAGGCTGGACTGGGTATGACGTCTTCGCTAGCTGCGGAAATCAAGGCATGACGGCGCCACAGGCCTTTCAGACAGCCGTGCGGCGCGACGTTGCTACATAACGGCGGCGTCGCGCATCTCCCGCAGCTTTGAGCACCTCCTCTGCCAGCGACCGACGTTCAGAGGTCGTGTTCCCTTGCGCCCGACAACCTTAGCATCCTGCGACGATCCCACACGTCACGAAGGGAGTGCATCCGCCTACCTCGCTCGACTGCGGGAAAATCGCATGCCAATGGGCGCAAGCCGTGGAACAAAGGACACCCGGCTCAACTTGCGACAACCACTCGAGGACAAACCGGCCCAGAATAACAGACGCTGTCAATCTCTTCTGTTCTAGCGCCTTGTTTTGAGCCTTCTCCAGCTGACCGGGCTGACTGGTCCGGAGTGGCTTGCTCCACTTCTGCGGGCGCCTATTCGGGCCACCACTTTTCCTAGAATCGCCGTGTTCTAACTTGAGCCTCACGATCTTGTATGCCCTGCTGAAACTATCTGGTCGTGCAGGTCTCTTCTCGAGGTATCATTGGTACCTGGTGAAGAGGCCTGCAACTGGTCCTCGCTTCCTCGCGGTACGTGAAATCCATTCATTTTACCCTAGTCGTTGTGAAGTAGATATTCACAGCGTTTTCTCCACTTCAGTCTCCTTCACCTTGCCTGCTTCAACATCACCTTTTCCTATTGCATTGTACGGAGCGTTGGTTTTTTCTATTGTTGTCTATTGTCTTCACATTGCAATACTCGCCTAATACTTTTCCTACGTTGCAACCTATCTCTGCGAGATATTCATGAGCTAGCTGGCCTACTTCTACGACCGCGCCTGTTTACGAAGCGACCACCGACTTCGACCCTCGATTCTAATACACTGGCCAGACCACGTTTCACAGCCATACATCTTCGCCATGGCTTCCTCCGCGAACCAACAGCAACTCTTCCCACCTGTGCCTCCATCTATGTCCGCTGGCGATAGTCATGAGATGCGAGACTACTACCCACCGCAAGATGCACCACGACCTACAATAAACCAGACACCAAACTTCAAACCATACCTCGGCCTTCGAGCTAGGCTCTCACAGATATGGATCAATCGCTGGACGATTCTACTGCTCCTAGTCCTTGTGCGACTGCTCATCGCCATCGCAAGCACCGACTCAAGCCTTGTTTCCGCCCGTCGGGAAGCCCTCAGTGCTTGCACCCAAGTTGAGAACATTGCTAGCTCCATGGCTTCCATGCCCCACTACATGTCCAAGGGCGTCAACGAAATGACAGCTTCCGGGGTTGAGAAGGCAGTCAGTGGCCTCATGCAAATGCTCGAAATGAGTGTCACTGGCGTCGAAGAAATCATCCTCTTCGTCATTCACATGATGACACAAACCTACCTTTGCCTGATCACCCTCGCTGTCAGCGGCAGTCTTCATGCCGCAGTGGAAATTGGCGAAGCTGTCAACAAACAACTCGACGAGACCATCAACTCCGTTACCGACGAAATGGGCGACGCCGTCAAGTCTGTTTCTGACGGCATCAACTCCATCATGGACAAAATCAATTTCAATATTCCGGGATTCAACAAGCCAACCATCAATTTGGACGATCAGATTAAGAAGCTCAAAGCGCTGGAGATGCCTCCTGACATGTCAGAGGGTCTTCAGAAGCTCAACTCGTCCATCCCGACTTTCGCAGAGGTGCAAAACTTTACGGACTCCATTATCCGCCTACCTTTTGAGGAAGTCAAGAAGTTGATCCGTGGCATGGACACATTCGAGTTCGACCGCTCAGTTCTTCCCGTGCCGCAGAAGGAAGCACTCACCTTCTGCTCCGATGGCAACTCTATCAATTCGTTCTTTGACGACTTGATTGAGCTTGCTTACAACGCACGCAAGATCGCTCTCGGTGTGCTCATTGTCGCCGCCATCCTTGTTTGCGTTCCGATGGCGTGGATGGAGATGCGCCGCTACCGGAAGATGCAAGAACGTGCTGCTCTCTTTGGAGAGGGCCATGAGGCTATGGACGTTGTCTATCTCGCGTCCCGCCCAACATCTTCTGGCATCGGCCTGTGGTTCGGGAGGCGCTTTGGCTCAGCTCGTCGACAAGCTGTCATGCGCTGGGCCTGGGCCTATGCCACCTCCATACCCATGATGTTCTTAATCTCTCTGGGCATCGCTGGTCTTTTCGCCTGCTTTTGTCAATATCTCTTGCTCAAAGCCATTGAAGACAAGACCCCAGAGCTCACGGATCAAGTCGCTGACTTTGCCGGAAAAGTCGTTACATCGCTCAATAATGCGTCCATGTCGTGGTCTAACGGCGTCAACGGCGCCGTCGGTGACTTGGACAGCAAGATCAACGACGACATCTTCAGCTGGGTGAACACCAGTACGACGGCTGTCAACGATACCCTCAATGCGTTCGTCGATCAGATGAGCACCACGCTCAACGATACGTTCGGTGGCACCGTACTCTACGACCCGATCAAGGAAGTTCTCAACTGCCTGATCGGCCTGAAGATCGCTAGCTTCCAATCTGGCCTCACTTGGGTCCAAGAGCACGCGCATGTCCAGTTCCCTGGCGTCGCAAACGACACATTCTCTCTTGGCGCCCTTGCTGAGAAAGGCGACTCAGACTCTGCCAGCCAACTACTCGCTGATCCGAACGGCAAAGCAAAGGACGAGATTACCGAAGCCGTCGAACGCGTTATTGACAAGCTCATGAGTGGCATTCAAACCGAAGCGCTCATCTCCACCGCCTTAGTCCTCATATGGCTCTTCATTGCCCTCGGTGGCCTTGTCTACGCTTCCACGCATCTCTTCCGCCGTGATGACCCAGAACGCGGACTCAACCCTTACGTCGTCAACCCTACTCTCGACCGCGATCCCAAAGCCAGCGTCGATTACCCCACCACTGCGCCGCCGCAATACGTGCCCAACGACTACAACGTCAACAAAGCAGCGCCTTACACGCTCGCACCCCGTCCCTTCTCGACATTCGAACACAGCGGCGATGAAATCACGCCCGCAACAGAGAAGGTCGGCCAAGTTGGCGCACGCGCGGTGACCGATTCCGCTCGCCCAGGACATCTTCGTACGAGTAGCCATGGCCAGCTTGCTGACCCCTCACCGGCTGATGACCGCTCGGGTCCTTTTTCAGACCCTAGTCAATACGCTCAGTCGCCCTATCCGCAGGAAAAACAGCAGCGGAATCCGTTCATCTAAGATTTCGATCCGTATTTTGTCGAATATTACAAGTAAGATCAGTTCCGTCGACCACCTGACCTTTTTCGGGCTTGCCCTTCTGCGTCAACCGGCCAACAAACTGGTCCCAACTACTAGACAATTATACCGAACCTGACCGACCTGCGATGAGCCGTAATTGCTCAGACCGAACCTTGCGTTTGAAGTTTTTCTTCTCCCTTCTTTCACGATGACGCGATAACACGCTCTCTTGAGAAGGGAATTTGGCACATGTTTTACTGCGTTGATGAAGCTTGCTTCTCCGCTTCTGCATGTGTCGGTGTTTCGATTCTTTACATTTTTCTTTCAACACTCCAACTATGTAAATTTTCTTTGTGTTTATTTGTCTTGTGTCATTGCTCTCTCTTGCGGGCTGCGTGTTGGATTGATATCCCCTCATCGCTACAAGTTTGACAGTGAAGCTCTGCAGACAGACTATCCTCATCTTTCCCATCACGTCTCCCTGCTACACGAGACGTGGTGTGTGTCTGTCTGCAGATGTCTTTCCATCAAATGATGAGGTCTGTGTATATCTCCTTGAGTATGTCTGTCCCCGAGGTCCCTTACGCCCGATCCTCTGTCCCGCCCTCCTACTCCCCGTTTCCCTTGCTCTTCATTCCACACCTCGACGCTGTATCGCCACCGCACCCCGCCTCGCCGTTGGCTTGCCCGCTTGGCGCGCTGCATAGGCGACCTCTTGGTGTGCATAATGATCATGAGCTCAAGGACGCAATGGGGGTGGTGTTGTGTTGCGGGTTATGAACCGGCAATATGTTGGATATGACTCGCTCATTCGCCACACCTCTCCTACTTCTGTAGAAAGTGGAGAGGTTGATGTGCTGATTGGTAACAAGCGTTGTGCTTTCCTCCTGTTTTCCTTTTCTTCCAATATTATGCGAGGAGCGTTGGGAGGAGACAAGGAAGATATGTTGACGTTGAAAGCCGACATTTTTGTGTTTGTTTGTACGGGTGAAGCATCCTCGTCCCCTCTGGATGAAGGGTTGGTTTTTGCTGTGTTCTTTTCCTCTGAAGAGAACCGCCGCCTGAGTTGATCCTGTGAGGCGCTTTGCGCCCGGGACCTGTTATTCCAGTCGTTTCTGGGAAGGAGGTGGTGCTGGATGGCCCGAAAGAAGCTTGAACCCACTCGAGTGGTGTGTCAGTGGGTGTGAAAATGAGGGAGATGGCCCTGCCGAGATACAAGGCATGATGGGCCACCGGTAAAAATTCAAATATCTTCCCTTATCCTGTATTGCACAGTCATGTATGTTTGAAGTTAGTCCCACTCGCTCATCCAGCAACACCCACTCTCATTCTGTTACTCGCTCGAAGTGCCTATTAATCGGGCGAGCACCTTAGGTAGATTAGATAGATTATCAATGCACAGCATCTGATCTCGAGACGCCGACGCCCAACGTGACTACCCGTGTGTTTGATAGTGCGCACGTGGCTGGACCCTGGCCAAAGCTCCGCGGCAATGACGATGGACCGCCGAGCTCCAGGCGCATCCCAAGACCCATGGAGCTTTCCTTTGGCACAGCAGCCGTCGCATAGCGACTCGACCATGCCCAAATGATATCCAAGTCGACGCAATAGCCACAATGCTCTCTGCCTTTACCGCCCGGCCCATCGTCGAGCTCAAGGCGCGCGACAAGTCGAGGATCGAGTCCATCCTCGCATACGGTACAGCAACCGACTGCATCGCATCTCAAGCGTACTAACATGGCCAGGCGACCGTGTACTCGTTGGCCTGAACACGGGTGCTCTGCGCATCTACCGTGTGAATGACCAGATCGAGGATGTAGAAGCCGACGGCAAGCAGAACGGCGACCACAACGGTGAAAGCGAGCCTCCAGCAGCACCCAAAGCCAGACCCGCCGATCTCCTACGCGAAGAAGAGAAGTTCTCCCGGCGGCCGATACAACAGCTGGCGATTATCAAAGAAGCGAATATCCTCGTCTCGCTGTCGGACAACTATGTCTCGATACACGATATACAGACGTACCAGCTGCAGGAGAAGCTAGAGAAGACTCGGGGTGCGACTACCTTTGCGGCGGCAAGCAACATCGTCAAGGACCCTTCGACGGGCATACCATCCATTGTGAGCCACCTGGCTGTGGCGGTGAAGCGGAAGATCATACTGTGGACATGGCAGGACATGGAGTTGACGGGCGACGCCGTGGACATGTCGCTCATTGCTTCTGTCAAGAGCCTGACGTGGGCGACAGGGACAAAGATTGTCGCTGGCATGGATCCCGGCTTCGTCATGGTTGACATTGAGACGCAGGAGGTCCAAGACATAATCAAGCCAGGTGCGCTGGCAGAGAATGGGAGCCAGGGCGGAGCACGTTTCGGCGCTGTCTCGTCGTCAGGCATGGGATACATGGGCATGGGAAGCTGGGTGCCCAAACCCCTCGCGACACGACTCGGAGAGGGCGAATTGTTGCTGGCCAAGGACGTAAACAGCCTGTTCATCGACACAGACGGAAATGCCCTCGAGAAACGACAGGTGCCCTGGCAGTCTGCCCCTGAGACAATCGCGTATTCGTACCCGTATATGCTCACGCTGCTGCCACCGTCCAAGGGTAGTCTGGAAGTCAGGAATCCGGATACGCTGAACTTGCTACAGATGATCTCACTACCAAACGTCAGCTTCCTTCACGTGCCGCAGCCCAACATCAGTCTAGCCCACGCCGGGAAGGGTTTCCTCGTTGCGAGCGATCGATGTATATGGCGGATGGGAGCGCAGAGCTACGAAACACAGATTGATGAGCTCGTCGCCAACGGGCGCTACGATGAGTCGCTAAGTCTGCTGAATATGCTCGAAGACACTCTGCTCCTTGATAAAGAGGAGAGGGTTCGGGAGATACAAATCCTGAAGGCCCAGGCCTTGTTCGACCAGAAGAAGTACCGTGAAGCCATGGAACTCTTCGTCGACGCCAAAGCACCGCCTGAGCGCGTCATCGCCATGTACCCCCGATCCATCGCTGGCAATCTAGCGCCGGAAGAAAGCGTAAAGGGCGACGGAAGCGTAGCCGACGAGGAAGAAACCAACGGAGAAAAGCCCACCAAAGAACAAGAAGAAAGCACACCCGCCCCTGTAGCTACCATCGGCCGATCAATGATGGGTCGTTTCGGCGTTGGAGGACACAAGAAAGTCGATTCGGACACGGCTTCCATACGCACCACCTCGGCCAAAGACGACACCATGGAGACTGCCAGCATCCGGAAGAGACCAACAGACCCCTCGTCCCAGCCAGATAAACCCGCCGCCGCTGAAAAAGAGTTCAAAGACTCTGTTCGCGCGCTACAGTCGTTTCTTACTCAATGTCGCGTCCAGATTAAACGGTATATAGACACGGATGGTAATCTGAAGGAGCCTCTCCCTACGCCCAGTGGCAGTCAGCTCGAAGCTGATAAACCACCCTTCCACATTTTCATCGAAGAGTCCTCCCTCACGTCTCCCATAGACTGGAAAGCCAAGCTCCTTGATGTCGCTCAGCTCGTCGACACAACGCTCTTTCGCGCGTACATGATTGCAAATCCCAGTGTCGCAGGCTCTCTATTCCGTCTCCCCAACTTCTGCGAACCAGACGTTGTGCAGGAGAAATTGTACGAGACGGGGCGGTATGCTGATTTGATTGATTTCCTGCATGGTAAGCAATGTCCTTTTCCACGTGCTTGTGATGCATATATTAATTTTGTACATGTGTGTTTAGGCAAGAAATTGCATCGGCAAGCTCTGGAGCTTCTCGAGAAATTCGGCAAGAACGAGGCGGACGAAGAGGTAAGTCCGCAGTTGCAAGGCCCGACTAGGACGGTGGGCTATCTACAAGCATTGCCGCCAGAGCTTATCGATCTTATCCTGGAATACGCGGAATGGCCATTGAGGATTGACCCGAAGTTGGGCATGGAAGTCTTCCTCGCTGATACACAGAATGCGGAGGAGCTGCCGAGGGACCGTGTCCTCGAGTTTCTTCAAAAGATTGATACAAGACTTGCGGTCAGATACCTGGAACATATCATCGAAGAGCTCAACGATCTTAACGTGGACTTTCATCAGAGACTTGTTGATCTACTCCTCGAAAGGCTCAAAAGTGGGGAATTTGACAATGATGAGGAAAAGATGGATTGGAAGCACAGGCTTGAGGTTTTCCTGAAGAAGGGGAATGCGCAGTACAACCGGTATAGGGTGTTTCAGCAGTTGCCTGGGAATGGTATGCATCATCTCCGACGAGAATGAAGATGACAGTAGGAACAGCTTTACTGACATGGTGACAGATCCGGATTACTACGAAGCTCGAGCCATCGTCCTGAGCAAAATGGGATCGCATAAGCAAGCCCTGGCAATCTATGTCTTCCAATTGAAGGACTACCAAAAAGCTGAAGAGTAAGTCGCTTAACCCAATCTTCTTCGTCGCAAACCAGTTAACCCGCCAACCAATAGATACTGCAACCAGGTCTACACGGCACCACCGACCACACCCACGTCGCCCAACTTGTCTCACTCCCAATCCCCTCCAGCAACAAGAGGCTCAATCGAAGACACGGAGCTATCCATCTACCACGTCCTGCTCTCCCTCTACTTGCAACCCCCTCCGCCGCACCAACCAAACTGGCCCCCAGCTCTCGACCTCCTCTCGAAACATGGCGCAAGACTGCCTGCAGCAACTACTCTGGATTTGATCCCCCCGACTCTGCCCGTCAAAGACCTCGAATCCTACTTCTTCGGGCGGATTCGAAATGCAAACTCGCTCTTGAACGAAGAGAGGATAGTCGCGCAGCTCCGCGGCGTGGAAAAGGTCGCTGTGGAATCGGCCGTGTTGCTCGGCCCAGAGAGTAAGAGGGACATGTACGGTAGGAGCGTGCCTGGGGGGTTGAACAGGCGTGTCGTTATCGATGAGGATAGGCATTGTGCGGTTTGTCATAAGAGGTTTGGTGGGAGTGCGATTCGAGTCTTTCCAGATAATAGTGTGGTGCATTCGGGGTGTATGAGGGGGAGCGTGGGGCTGGGGATCGGTGGTGTGGGAGGGGGGAGGAGGTCGGCGAGTGGGGTGGGTGGAAGTGGATGGCGGTAGGCAATGGTAGTTGTAGTGCTCAATCTTCATCGACGACTTCTTCTCCATACGTCTCCTCGTCTTTTGCGTCGTCGGCGGCCTTGTCGTCGGCCATTTTTCGAGTGAGGAATTCGTTGACGTCTTTTTGGAGGGTCCGGAGAGATGATGAGAGAGAAGTGAGGTATGCGACGCGGTCGGCGGTTGAGGGTGGTGATGGCAGTGCAGGGAGTTGGGAGGTGAAGGTTTGTGGTGAGGAGGCAGGGGATGTGTATGTTGCTGTTAGAGAAGGCATGTTGGCGTGATAGGTGTCTTGTTTGGATGTGGTGTGTGGATGAGAGGAGTCTGAGGTGGGGTCAAGCGGCCCAGTACCGGGGTGGAGACAGCACGGCCACCATGCGTCGATCAACCAACGGCGCATCTAACCAACATGGACGTCAGCTCTTCCTGCGACTTGACGACCCGACCCGATGCTTGGATAGCGCTGCATCTGCTACGCTTCTTCATGCAGGCCATGAGGAAATACGACTAGGAGCATAATTTTCTTCCCTCTTCCCGTATACCCGTATATTCACTTCTCCACCCATACACCTTCTCTTCAGCCACCGCCTCTATACCTTGTCCCTGCAACAGCCACACGACGGCCGCAAAAGCAACGGACGCGGTCTCACAAAGGGCGGCGACCACGATGCCTCCCTCTTCACCACCCCCAGTCACCCCCTCGATTCGACGCCCATCGCTCGACGACTCCGACTCGGACGGCTCCCAGGCGACGCTGCAGCAACAACGCCGCTCTCCCCTCCCCGCCGCCATACTCTCGCCCTCGTCGGCAAAGTCGCCGACATCAGCAGACTCGCGCGCCGCTCCAGCGCAGAACTACTCGCGTCCAGGCATTGTGCGCGATGCTACGCAGAGTTCAGGCCACATTGGCGCACATCTAGGACACCGCCCACGCCAGCGCTCCCAGGGCTATTTCGAGCCCAGTTTGAGCTCCATGAAGGAGGGCTCCATACGCGACCGAGACAACACCATGGCCTCGCAGACAAGTCTTACCGCGTCCCAGATTGCAGCCCAGGCCGCCTATGCCTCGAATCCTCAGCATAACCGCAAGCGCTCCACCACAATACCAGCTCCGAGTGAAGCTGCGCCTACTGGACGCGGCCAGCCCATGAGTCCGCCGCCCATGCCGGCTAGTTCCCAAGTCACGTTCAGGACAAACGGCATGACATATTCGAATGGCGTCATGGGGGGCAGGGTGGCTGCAACGAGTGCTGCCAACGCCGCGTTTCCTCGCAGTCCGCTGAACTCGCCTGGCATTGAAGGACAACAGCAACAGCAACAGCAACAGCAACAGCAACAGCAGCCACACGCATCGCCCAAGCCAGCCTCGTCGACGCCCGAGCTGCCGCAACTACAGAAACCGAAGGAGGGGAAGAGCAGGATAGGCGGGAAGCTATTCTCGTCCAAGCCCAAGAACATCAAGGTGGACAATCGGCTGGGCGGCAAAGAACAAGCATTGCCGTCGCCAGGCAAGATTGGTATCGGCATTCATAGCTCGCAGGCGCTGAATCGCATGATGATGGCAGGCTCGACGACGAGTCTAGTCGACTCGGGAACCAACAGCAGTAACGCTTCGTTGTATTCGTCCGCCAACGCATCCACGTCAACACTAGTACCCCCACGCAACGATTCCCTACCAGAGAAGAAGGAAGAGAAGCATAAACACCACTTTTTATCGCGGCAGAAGCACAAACTGAAGGATCAAGATGGCTTTGTTCTCCCATTATCTTCAGCGAGTAGTAATTCTAAACCAACAAACCCTAGCGCTCCCGAGCCGCTGTATTCCTTCGCCCCGTCATCGCCAGGACATTCAAGCTCGTTTGCGAACTCGGTGACGGGCTTGGATCTCAGACACGGTGGCCGGCATTTGCGGCGAGCGAAAAAGGAAGAAAAGGCCGCTGCGTTCCTTGACGCTCAGCTGGAACCTCCATATCGGGAACGGAACCAGTCGTTTAGTACCGAACGGTCAGAATGGCCGAGTCTTTCTAGCAGCATAACGACGACACCGAATATGGCGACACCCGGTCAAACCATATCTCATACAACAGAGATGCTGCATCTGGGGAGTTCATTTGGCATCAACGGCCTGTCACCCGATGACGCCTGGCCACTGCTAAAAGCAAGGGTATTATTGATATTTGAGGGCGAAGACCCCCGGCCGCCAGTCGAAGACTTCAACGCTTTAGTCACCGTCCACATCAAACGCTGCATCCACAAACGATCCCCCATCATTCTCATTGAGGATTTGAACGAGCTCCTCCAAACGGGTTTCGGCTCTTTAGACCAAACACTACGTCATGTTCCCGACGATCGGCTTATCCCTCATTTGGTAGAAATGTGGCTCGTCGTCTTCACCACCATCCTACCTTTTTTGCAAGCTGTTTTCCTACCGCTAGACTTGGAGTTCCGAGGCTCAGGCATAATGACAAGTGCCCAAGCGGCAGAGTTCTGGGGTGTCATGTTGCCAGACGAGATGAATACCAAGAGTCCTGAACACAGGAATATACCAATGCTCGGGGAGTTGGAAGTAAGGAGAATTACGCTGTTGATGTTTAGGGATATTGTGATACTACCACGTTATGAGGCGCTCATGGCCATCTTCTCAAGACTGAGTTTGGAGAATTTGAATGCAGGGTTGGAGAGCCCGAGTCCTATTCCAGATGGTGTTATGAGTGGACAACAACAGCAGCAGCAACAGAGACCAGGTACAGCTGGAAGTAGCAGCGGCGACATGGCCATGGGCAGTCTCAACTCGACATCGCAGAGCTCAGGGGGTTATCTGGAGAGTACGACGAGTATCACGAGTTCGACGTTTGCCGCCAGCACACGCAGCAGAGCGACGAGTAACACGTCCGCTGGTTCCTTTTCGTCCAACCCATCACAACATCCCCCCACCTCGAATCCTTACCAACTCAACCCTCTCCATCCTACCATTTCGCACTTGCACCCCCCACCCACCACCTCGCATTCTTCAAACTACAACAACACCCCTTCGAGCTTGCGCCAGACACCCATGGATAGCACAAAAGTGACGGAAACGGTGGGCAGAATGCTGCAGTGCGTTTCTGTCCTCGTCTCGTTGCAGTCGAGCGATGATGCGCAGGACAAGATTAGTAGGTTGAGCAAGGAGCTCAAGTATAATTGGTTGGGTAGGGGTAGGACGGGCAGACAGAGACAAGGTTTTGTGGGGCCGAGGAGTAGAGGGCTTAATCTTGCTGCTGGCGGTGTTTCTGTTCCGGGTGTTGGTGCGTAGGAGAGGGGAGGGTAGGGCAGGGCAGGGCAGGGAAGATGAGGATAAAGGATAGTAGGTGTCGTTGATTGTGCTAGTGGTGGTGGCGGCGGCGGCGTGTTTGAGTATATCAGCTATGGGATGACGGAGTATATCTCTCTCCGCAATATAACTCATCGAATGCTTTCTTGCTGTTTGCTTACGTGTTCATATCTTGCTATATTCTTTGGTGTAGTTGGAGCTATTTCGAAAAGCCAACTATCGGTGTAGACTTGGATGGTTGATCCAACCATAGTGTAGAGACTTTGTGATAGTTCAAGAAAGTGGAGAGGTCACATGGGGGTGGGTGGTCGATGAGCAAGGAGTGGTGATGGGAAGTAAGAGAGGGAGGGCTCAGAGGAGGGAAGAGGAGGGGGAGGAGATGGAATTAGAGTTGATGTTGGTTAGGCATATCGTAAGTCTTAGTTGGGTTTCTTACAAACTAGTTTGTCACAAACCTTGCTGTATCTATGCTTACTCGTACACATCTCCCTTACTTCATTCTTCAACGTAGCTCAAGCTGTTCTCTGAAGCTGACCCGCGGTACAGACTCCTTCTCAAGCGCGGAGATATCCTTCGCAATCTCATCCCAGAAAGCGCAATTATCCATTGAGTTCTGCGCGTCTCCTCCCACTTTGAAAAAAGGATTAGCAGGATTATAATACATTACCATCTTCAACGAATTCGTCAGCTCGTTGCCGTCGTCGACTGCGGGCTCCCACTGTGGTCCGCGGCGGCTGCTTAAGTAGTTGGGATCGCCAACGAGTGCATGTCCCGCGAAGTAAGTTTGGAACCTTGGTGCAAACGCGGGCCAAATAGTATCAAACATGTCGAGAATGAAGTCGGGAATCTTTTCTGATGCGTTCTTGAGTAACTCGCTTACAGCGACGCCGCTGTGCCAAATGAGAGCGAACATATCGAAGCCGTGCTGTGCAGGGGGTAATTCGAATTTCGCCGTGTATACAGTGGAATCATTGTGGAAAGCGTTGTAGATCTGGCGCGTGTTGCAGACAAACGTTGAGTCGCGCAACACCTTTCTCATGCGCATTTTCTGCTTCGAGTCGAAGAGTTTGGCGGGATATTGCTTCTCGATTCGATCCCGAATATTGGCCAGCGCGGCGCCGGGAAAGGCATAACTCAGAAACTGGCTGAATTCTTCTTTTGTATCAACCCATTTCGCAAGGAATAGGCTGACTTCGTCGTGGTCGTGAGACACAATGATCGAGCTGCAGTTGTTGTGGTTTCCTAGCCAAGGTTAATATCCTGAGTAGCAAACATCATCTTCGAGCACCACTTACCCTTGCTCAACAGAGCAGCCGGAAGCTCTGGCACAAGGTCTCCGTCCACGGCCGGACCAAATGGAAACATGCCCAGTGCCAAAGCCTCGTTAGTGACGTTTTGGTTGGCTATAGTCAAGGCATCCGTGCTGGCCTCCCGGAGACAGTCAAGCGCCTTTGCAGAACACTTCACCTTGTCCGCAAACTTGTGGAAGGTATCTTCCAACGCTCCAGCACGATCATAGCCCCACTGGAACGCAGGACTCCACATAACAGCCCGGTGAAACAGCGGTGTTTCCTCTTTCTTACTCCCGCCATACGCGGTGAGGTGGTGGAGGATGGATCCTGCGCCCGCAGACAGGCCCCATGCGCTCACAGTGTTGTTATCTCCACCCACCTGACCAATGTATCGTTGAACCCAGTCTAAGAGAAGGCGTTGGTCGTGTAATCCCGCGTTGGGCTGTGCTTTTTCTTCCATAGTAGAGCCGGCCAAGAAGCCAAACGCTCCCATCCTGTAGTTTCCGGTCACCCAGATGACGCTCTGCTGAGTCGCATCACGGATGCCTTGGCCATCGTAAGCTTGGAAAAGACCATCCGTCGTGTTAAAAGCGAGATCCTTCGAGCCGAAGATATATGCTCCTCCATAGATCCATACGACAACGGGGAGCGGATCCTCGTCGATGCCTGAATCTGGCTCCAGAGCCCAAGAAGGAACATAGACATCGAGGAACAGGCAGTCCTCGGATTGAGTGCTGCTGTCGTCTGTAGGTTCTACGGTCACGTTCTCTTTGGGTACCTTGGCCTGGATACAGCTCGGCCCATAGGCACTGTCTTGAACTTGTTTGGGATCTTTGATTGCTTCAGGGTACTCTGGTGCTGCAAAACGCAATTTGCCGGTAGGAGGTTGGCCGAAACGGACGTTCTTGAAAATAGTGGTCTTTATTATCCAAGCAAGAGATTGTTAGTTAGGATTACTCACTCGCGCTCGTGACATCGGAGGGGTACTTGACTTACCTCGCCATCTTCGCCGTACGGCTTTCCTTCCCATGTTCCCCATGGAAGGGTCAACGTGGGAGTAGAGTCCACTGTTAGCCGTGATACCCGTTGGGCATCAATTGGCAGAGCCAATGATGCAGTCAGAAGTAAGACCGTAGAGCTAAGCATCTTGTCGACCTTGAGTATATGAGATCCTTGGTCGAACTATGGGTAAGGTACTGATAGTGGGCTGAGCGACTTCTCTTTATACATGGTCCAGCTGTATTCGTTAGGACAGGCTACTTAGGTAGGCATTGTTTTTTCCGCACATCCTTTCGTTTTTCTGCGACATCACTTATGCTTGCATGTGAGTACGCTCGCTGCTGAGAAGGTGGCTTAGGTATTCCATGGGAGCATGGAGCTGGCTAGACAGTAGTCCATGTGGAGTTGCTCGGGATCGCCCGCACGTGTATGACCTAGTGGAGCGGTCCGCTACCAATGCATTCGCATAGTTGGACAGCTTGCGTGGATCAAAGCTGAAAAAGCATTCTTGCGAACAGAGTTGAGAATGCCCAATGCCTGTATTCGTATGTTTGCATGATCATCATCTCTGTCGCGAACCCATCAAGGCTTAGTTTTTCCCGCAACCACATTTCGACCACACAGCTGCAATATGGTCACCATCTCTCTTGCCCATCTGAATGAACTACTCGCAGCGCATGCATACTTGGCACGGATAGACTCATCTGGAGAATCTCGTAAGTGCGGGGTTCTGGTCAAAGCCGATGATGAGGGGTAGCAGAAAATGAGTGCTTTTTCAGTGAACCAAACTTTGAATGCAGGAAGAAAGCATGCAGATAGAACGATCCGCCGACATACTCGTCTTGACCCTTGATATTCTCCACAAATCCTTCCAAGTGCGCATTTTCTATCGGCTGTGCCGCTATCGTCTCACATCGGTACGTCAAAGGCGACGCTGACGACGACGATGCTACTAGCAGATATCTGTCTCTTTGACTTCAGGAGTATGACTATGCGGCCGACGGTTGCAAGGGTGACGCCGGCAACGTTGCTGCTCGCAATGGTGCCGTGGCCTCTGACTACTTAGACTAGCGCGGTACTGCCTTCGTAAATCACGTTGATGCCGTTGATACTGCTCGCAAAGTTTTGGTAATTTCAAGTTCGGATATCGTACGTTAGGTGTCTGAACACGACCCAGGCGCGTCTCGGTGACAGCGGAAGCTCCTCGACAAATGATGGCTAACCACATTAGGTATCGCGCGATTCCCAAGCCTACTGAACGAAATGCGCAACACGGGTCGTGAATGTAATTGCCCACTTGCGAGATAGAGTATTCCCTTGAAAGCGTTTCTGAGATCTTGTATCTCTATCGAAAAACCCTAAGTTGGTAGACACAAGCATGACAGTAAGCTCTCTGCTTTGTAAGATGGACGTCATCGACGTCATAGGCCACTGGTCGTTGGTCATCTACATGTATAACAACATCGATCATGTCGGCTACTTGCCAAAAGTCAACATATCAGATACTACTACATGTTGTCAAAGTCATAATTGCTTAGCTCAGACTGTCCGACCTTCCATCTTTCACTATGCCCACAGCAGTAATCACAGGCGCAAACTCCGGCATCGGAAATGCCCTTGCCAAAATCCTCATTAAAGAGGTAAGTGATAGTTACTAGAGTATAATCTGTCGCAGATACCCTGACATACCAACTCAGAACTACAAAGTAATAGCGGTAGACAAAAGTCTCGGCCCGGTCATCAAATCTCTAAACTGCTCTATCCATCAACTCGATATCTCTTCGCCGGACTCCATAACCTCTTTCGCTCAATTCATCACACATGACACACCTATCGATCTCCTCCTTCATGTCGCAGGCGTCATGTCCCCACCCTCCTCAGACAACCTCACAACAGTCTCTCTTTCCACCCTCCAGAACACCTTCTCCGTAAACACCTTCGGCCCGATCCTACTAACACAAGCCCTACTTCCCAACCTCCGCAAGTCCTCATCCCCAAAACTTGTCGTGGTATCAAGTCGCGTAGGCAGCATGGCGGATAACAGCTCCGGTGGCCAATACGCATACCGCGCGAGTAAAGCGGCCGTAAATAGCCTTTTCAAGAGCGCGAGTGTGGATCTGAAAGACAAGGGTGTGGCAGTACTTGTGCTGCACCCGGGGATTGTTAAGACAGCGTTGGATGCTAGACATAAGGAGGAAGATGTGCCAGGCGCGGTGGAGCCGGAGGTAGCGGCCGAGGGCTTATGGGATGTGCTGAGTAAGAAGGGGATGGAAAGCACAGGGATGTTCTTCCATCGGAATGGGGAGGAGCTGCCCTGGTAGGTGGCGGTGTTCACATTGTATGAGGGCAATTCATATATGCATTTGAATAGTTGGGATGTTGATTTATCAAGCGCACTGGAAGTATATACGACTGAGTTCGATGACCGCTGGTCTCAGAAAGCCAACCTAATGCGCGAACCGGAAATCTAATCGTTTGTTCCCTTCTTCCTTCGTGGTCTCTAGATACGTCTCCTTCTCTTCCTTCGTCATGCTTTGCCAAATCCTATCTCTCTTCTTATTCACAGCAACGTAGTAGAACTTCGCTCCAATGAAAAGCAGAAAGTTGTACGCGCAGATTGCAATCAGAACCTTGTTTCCCCTCCGATAAAGTGGTTTGTCGTCGTCTCTGTAGATGTTCTGGCTGATGATGCTACTCGCCTGCACTGTCATGTTGTACATCGCACTGGCCACGGTACGGGTCCGGACTGCGCCAGCGTTACGGGAAGTGATTGCAACGAGGATAGCGTGAACATATGGGTGACCGACGAGGAGAGTTGAAAGCACCCAACGTGACCATGGAGATACGTCTGCGGGGAGCACTTCGAGGGCGATAAGGAGTGGAAGAGCCCAGACCTGGGAAATGAGACCGACAAGAAAGCGTTGATTGAAGCGCTCGGAAATGTACGTCCATGACAACAGCTGTAAGATGAAGAGTACGTATGCCGGGATCTATGAATGTCAGTTCCGTCAGACATCTTCCCAGTCTTGGTACTTACAGTAAGTAGATTGGTTTCGAATGTACCGAAACCGAGCGATCGAAGCTGAAGCGTGAGATACGCCGTCGACGGTGTAGATGGTATAGTCCAGGATAAACCGATCAAATAAATTGGCCACATGTGGTAGTCCTTGATGCATTCCCACAGCATGCGGAGGCTCAGACCCTGTCTGTTGTGCATATCGCCCTTGCTGGGGTCATCCCTTAGGATGCGGTTCACCATAATTTTCTCTTCCCTCTCGCTGAACCATCCATCCTTTCCACGGAAAGGGTTCCAGGCCCTGCTTGCAGTCTGAGTCGGACTTGGCGGCAAATAGAACCATGATGCGATACCGATCAAGCCTGTCAACATACCCTCGAGAGCGAACAACCAGCGCCATCCTTCCATGCCGTTGTGCCCACGCAGACGCAGAATACCGAAAGCCAGGAAGGCGGAGACGATCGAAGTGGACTGGTAGCTCACCCAAAACCAGCTCAGCCGCCCGGGTAGTTCCCACCCAGTGTAGAAGTAGCTGAGGTAAAGGATATTGTCGGGAATGAAACCACCCTCTATCAGACCAAGAAGCGCGCGACAGGCGAAGAATGAGCTACGACCGCTGAGAAAGGCCTGCAAGCTAGCCACGAGACTCCAGCTTACCATCTGGATAGGGATCCAGTTGTCAGGCCCAAGTTTCTTGCTGATGAGCTGAGACGGAAGCTCCGCACACAAAAAGCAGAGGTAGAAGATGGTCTGGCCATAGTTGTAGTCGTTGGTGTTTATGTTGAGGTCGTCGAGCATGTTGTCACTGAGTGCTTGGGAGATGTTGCCTCGATCGAGTTGTAGTGCGAAGAACATCAGGCAAGCCCAAGTACAGATGCGCTTATCGATCTGTAATAAGTCAGCAAGAGTATGATAATCTTTCTAATATGCTGCCGTGTACCTTTCGCACCAGACGCTTCTCTTCTTTCTTCTCCCACATAAAGTCTGGATCATACCGATGGATACCTTCGTAAGACTCTACAGGCCTATAGTGGTCTTTCCCGAGGCCCGCCGAGACAAACGTCGTGCCATCTTTTCCTTTCGTACCGGATCCGTCCACTGAAGTGTCGCTGCTGTTGGCGCTCCCAGTAGTGTCGTACAGCGCTTTACCGTCGACAGGATATTCGTCAGCGCTATTACCCATATTCGGTGATGAATCTTTCCGAGAGAGTCGCTAAAGTGTCAAGCTCTTGGACATCTTGGGATTGTCTTGGAGGACATCTCTCCATTATATCAGTGGACGCTCCCTCGCCCGTCGACTCGTGCGATGGCCAGCCCATGTACAAAGCTTCTGGACTTGCGCCTTCTCGGAGGAAAAGTGATGCAATTTTGCTAGCGCTACAACGCATGATGACCGTATATCCACCAACTATCAATCCACCTTCGCCATCACTGCACTCCCCAATCGCATTCGGATTTCTTTGCTATCCGCGGAAGTATCAGTAACAAGGGCCTTCCCGTGGCCCGCAAGCACGCAAACTGTGGATGTTATGTTGCAGCAGAGCATAACTTTTGTCTCCAGTAAATCCGAGGTTGATTCGTTGTCGTCTTCTTCCATTGGGGATTGCGTGATTGGCTGGGGTGTTGGCGACATGGATAAGGAACACCATATCCACCATACCCCAGCGGGCCGTGCGGAGATTATTCTGACGCCAGAAAAGCCGTATATTCGACATTGCGTGGGATGGTTAGGCTGTATGAAGCCTTTCGCAAGTCGATAGTCTTTCCTATTCGCGGACAGTGTGGGGCGGGAAGTATGTATGAAGCAATACAGTGCATGCTTGATGCAATCTGATCGCTTCCTGATTGATCAGGCATATCGCGGCAGTCGTTCTTCCTGGATCGCCAAGGTGTATCGCTTGACTGCGACACCCGATAACAGTGGCAACTCGCTACTAAGTTTGTGAGAGCGGGGTCGCGCATGTCCGATGTCAGGGCCTGACGTCGAAGAGCTGCTACTCGCGGTAATAATGCGATGTCGGGTAGACGTCGGGCATATAAGGCTGCGCAATGTATGATACACCATCCTTTCAAATTGACGCTTCCACAAACATCAACTGAGTAGACAGATATAGTAGCAACATGGCTCCAGCTCTTATCGACGAAGTCACCGAACAGACTACTGTAGGCTACAAGTCTGGAGTTGGTCAGTACAAAGAAGCTGCCTTTGGTGGCCCAAAAGTATTCCGGAAAGAGCTCGAGCTGCGCGGCACAGACAAGCACGCGCCTGCTAAATACCCACACTACCTCCCGACTTGGGACAACGAGAAGGGACAGAAGTGAGTATCGCTATGCTCTTAGTGAGATTAGGATCTGATTAGAGATTCAGATATCCACCATGGGAGCCGTTTGAGCACACTGAGCACGGAAAAGATGCTGATCCTTCTTTCCCTAATCTCTTGAAGGATGCTACAGTTGCCGACATTACCGCAAATATCGGCGCTGAAGTCTATGGCGTCCAGCTGAGCAAGCTGACCGATGCTGGAAAGGACGAACTCGCACTCTTTGTCGCTCAGAAGAAAGTTGTAGCGTTCCGCGACCAAGACTTTGCAGACATCCCAATCAAAGACGCGCTTGCTTTTGGTGGTTACTTCGGTCGGCACCACATCCATCCTACATCCGGGGCGCCTGAAGGCTATCCTGAGGTTCACCTTGTCCACCGAGGTACAGATGACACCACTGCGCGAGATTTCTTTGAAGAGCGAACGAACTCTATTACTTGGCATTCTGACGTAACGTATGAGAAACAGCCCCCCGGAACGACTTTCTTGTATCTTCTTGATGGACCAGCTGCGGGAGGGGACACTTTGTTCGCGAACCAGGCGGCAGCGTACAACAGACTCTCACCAGAGTTCAGAAAGCGACTACACGGCTTGAAAGTCGTCCACTCAGGTAAGCTCTCATTAAAGACAGCTGCGAAGAGGTACTAACATCGTCTTAGCTGTCGAGCAAGCCGACAACAGCAAGAACAGAGGTGGCATTGTTCGTCGCGACCCAGTGACTTCAATTCATCCGCTTGTACGAACGCATCCCGCTACTGGCGAGAAAGCGCTCTTCGTGAATCCTCAATTTAGCCGACGCATCGTAGGCTTCAAAAAAGAGGAGTCAGACTTCCTACTCAACTTCCTGTACGATCATATCGCGAAGGGTCAAGACTTCCAGGCACGCGTTAAATGGGCGCCGGGTACTGTTGTGGTATGGGATAATCGCGTTACGGCGCACAGTGCGTTGCTCGATTGGGACGACGGCGCGCGCAGGCATTTGGCGAGGATTACGCCGCAGGCCGAGGCTCCTTATGAGACAGGGTTGGAAGAGCGCAAGGCTGCCGGCTTTGAGTATTAGTAGACTTAGTGTGCGATAATGTATTGAGTCCTTGTTGACCCTCGAAGCTTTGGTATATCCTGTGGTGATCATGTGTCATTTGCTGTGTCCTGGAGGTACACGCGTCGTTCCCAAGCACTACCAGAACACCATGGCCATATCGTCTTCAGTCAGGCCATGATAAACAGGACAGCAGGGAGTCCGCCAACGACATTGGGCGTTTACTCATGATGTCGCAGTGGATGGGGAAAATGGCGAGGTTGGGGAAGGAAAGGAGTATCGCGCGGGTTCATTGCGTCATAGTCTCCGCAGGGAGAAGCCTACGAACACGGACACTTTGAAGACAATCGTTAGGACCAACTGGAAGAAAAAACTGGATAGACTGCGATATTCGATATGGAACAATCCTAGGAGATGTCGACGTAAAAAATTTTAATATTTGATAAAGACGTCAGTTCAGCCAAAGCCGATGACTCACGCACCTTGTAGCTCCCGCGCACACGTAGAGCACCGTTCTTCATGTCGTTGTCAAGGCCTACATGACAAGCTAGAGGTCTCCTTTAGCTGCCTCAAGTTCCACATTTCTCATCAGCATCCCTTTCTTAGAAATGAATCCGACATCCGCTCTGACCACCGTCACGTCTGCAGAAAATTCGTCCTCCTCTTTAGCCTTGCTCTCATGGTCGAGTGTCTCAGCCATAAGACTACTGTTCCCATCGAAATCCTTTTTAAGCTTATTTTCACACTTGTCACAGAGCTTCAGGCCACACCCGTCAAGTTCCATCTCGTCATCCTCAGATGCGAAAAGTGAAGCTTGCCGCGCACAGCAGGTGAACGCTGCTGGGGAGAAACACATAGAGCACCAGCGTTGGAGTTGCTGTTGAACTTCTTCCGAGGTTTCAGCGGTCTCTAGGAGATCGGCAAATGCTTCTTCGAAACCTAAGATCGTATCGTCGGGGAAGATGCGCTGCATGTCGTGTTCATCGCAAGCCATGATCTGCGCCCTACCTGAAAGGACTATTAGCAAACTCGATTTTGGTAATATCTAAGCCTTCAGAAAGACCTTGCCATATCCAACTTACCAATCGCGCAAATTTGGCACATAGTCGTCACCCCCTCCTTACCCTGCGCATGGCCTCCACCGACTTCCGTGTACCCATGTCCGCCATACCAACGAATTACATGAACCTCCCTCTCGAAATGGCCAACGAACCCAAATGTCGGTAGCTCGCAGAAGTTGCACTCAGAAGTGTTTTCGATGGTACCGAACTGGATAGGATGCGCGAAGCTGGTCATGATCTTTGTCAGCGTACCCTTGTGGCCCGCTTCATCTTCCATCTCAATCTCGGGGGTTGGTGAGCGTGACTGCATGTACACGTCTTCGTTGTACAAATCTTCTAGGTCTTCCTTCGTGAAGTAGTCATGATCTGGAATTGCGACTTCAGGTGCATCTCCTTCTGTGGGCCCTTTGGTCTTGGCTTTCTTCTCTTTCACTACTTTCGGGATCTCGTAGAAGGTGCAGCCGATGTTGTGCTTCTTGCAGTATTTGCATGGTGGTTTATCGGTTTTCTTTTTTAGGCTGCAGCGCTTCTTCTCACGGCGACAGTTGGTGCACTGTATGTATGGTCGGTCCTCAGTATAGATCACATCATCGATGACGATTCTCTCGGCGCGGTAGCCAACTGGCGGAAGCGCTTCGCAAATGTGCTCGTTCTCAGCGCAATGATCGCAAATCGCTTGGCTAGGCTCATCTTCAAAAGAACAATAGTCGATACTGTCATCAACACATTGCTTGCAGCGCCCTTTCTCGGTAGGTGTGATGATGGGGTCGCAGTCCTGATTTAGATCGCAGCAGTACTGACACGGATATGTACCACCTGTTACCATAGAGCACTCAACTCCATGTACGCGACAGGATATGCAACCTCGCGCTGCTGGATGGCCTGTCAAATCTTCAACCTCCGAGCGAGGATCTTGGATCGGAAGCTGCATGCGGCGATCGGGGGTGTTGTGACGGAAAAATGCGCGATACTCTTGTAGTTCGCGTTCAACATCAGAATCAATATCTGACCAGTCTTCTGGCCAATTGTCCTGGTCGTCTGTGATATTCTTCACATTGCCGAAATTTGCAATGCGGAGCTTGACGATGCACTTCAAAACCGGCTCTTTAGGTACACGATGCTGGTCTCTTTTCAAGCGCCGTGCGGCTTTAGCAGCTTTCGCTGCCTTTGCCATCTTGAGTCTCTGTGCTTTGTTCTGGGTTTCGTTTGTGGGATAAAAATTGCCGGACTCGTCTTGGTCGACATATGTATACGCAGCTCTTCGTTCGATACCTTGACGCAATTCATAAGCTGGCTAGTAAAGTTAATATGAAACTGTTATGACGGTCATGAGCTGATCGCACATACCTGGGTATCGGGGGGAATAACGATCCCGCCGTCAGATAGCCCTGGAGACACTCTGGGAGACATACTCTCTCTATCAGACTCCGCGAATCCAAAGCCAAGATTGAGTGGTTGCTCAGATGAATGGACTTCCGTCTCTTGCGCTTCGAGATCTAGACCGGACAGGCGGTTGCCGATGTTCTCTCTCGGAACCTCAGTTCCGAGGAGGTTGTCAGCTTGGTCTCCTAGGCCTTCTTTAGGCAATTCTCCGAAAATATCGTCAAATTGATCTTCTTCAATCCCATCCGTTGGCCCCCCAAAAAGAGACTGGCGTGGTCTCTTACCTCTGGGGTTTGCCTCATCGTCACCATCATCAGTTCTTGGTGATTTCTTGCTTGTAGGTGGAGATTTCTGGGCCTGGTGACCAGACCAGGAGCGGTCGAATGCTTGGGGAGCATCGTCGTCATCAGAGAATCCCTGTTCGAGTATCTGGAGTATCTGGTGGTTCATATCTTGAACCCTTGAGTTCGAGTCATGTATGCTGTTGTCGTCATTACTTCGATCACGCATGTCGATGTCAATATCTTGCTCGGCATGTTCGTGGGTGGCTTTCGGTAAATTGTCATTTTCTTGGCGGCCATGTGTAGAGTGAATACTCCCTTCGACGCTATCGCCGGCATCTATCCCATGAGGAAGATTGAAGTCAAACTCAACATCAGGCCTGAGCGGCATGCTATCACTTATGGTATTGCTCATGGCTGAAACTGTACAGACAAGCCGTCACTGATCGGTCGACGTCGCAACAAAGAGTATTGGTGGAGGGTGGCTTGCAACTTATGGACAGATCGTGTCCTGGTGAGTGGTTTAAAGCGTCGACTTAGCGTTTCTTGATGCTGAGTTGGCGAGCCCGAAAGCCTGAGGTGAGAGGAGCTCAAGAGGGAAACCCCGCCCCAACTGAGGGAACGCGGGATCAAATGATGCAAATCGCTACACAGATTGCAGTCAATGTGTCCAAGGTTAGTAAGTTTACCAGCAGGCTGATGGTACATTAAGACAGACTTGCAAAGCCTGCAGCGAGAGTGAGAAAACCGAGCGAACAAGTTTCGCTGTCTGGAGAAAATCTGGTGGTGATGAGAGCTAGAAATCGGGAGACGGAAACTTTGAAGTGTGGTTCAAGAACGTCGAAGACCGCAAACGGAGCGTGCGTTTTTACCTCGGAAGTTGAAGAAGGGTGGTCAAGCCGGGACAAGAGCGAGGAGTAATATGCATATGTGTCTGGTACTCGTCAGTGTTAATATAGCCCGTATGAGCTACATAGATAGAAGAGATCCAGAAAGAACAATGGGAAGATGGGAAGGACTGAAGCGATCGCATTTTAGTTTGTCGACAGTACGATGGAAGGCGGTGCTGGGTCGGCGGAGCGGTCTACTCTCGGCGGCGCAGAGCGAGAGCCAGCTACAAGGAAACGAAAGTTAATTATGTATCGTCTTCTTTAGTATGTGTATATGTGATGGCCGAAGGTTCTTGTTGGTCTTTGAAATATCCTGGTGCTTCAAAGTTGAGAGCCTGTTCTGTTTAGAACATGAATGACTAATCGCAGATGAATCTCGGATGCCTGATTTAGCTGCAGGTTTTATGAGCTCATGGATTTACTTTAGGGACTCTCTAGATAATCGTTATGATTGAAGCGTGCGTTGTGTCGATGATTCTCCGGCCTATGTTTCTGGCAGCTGCGTGCGGCCAAGAGATGATTGAGGACATAGGTTATATAGCCAATACCATGATCCAATACGCCTTGGATATAGACTGGAGTGATGTTGGAAACACGTCTGATGTGCAAAGAGGTATGGTAGTTGCCAGGATGTGGATGGTCTACAGAGATTAGAGAGAGGGAACTCGGCACTACTTAGTCATCACAACGCTAACACGGACCCCCTCCAGCGAAAACGATTCGCGGACATTCCTAGAGCTCTCTCTATCTCTGCACCACTCTATCATCAATGAAGCTCCAGGACGCTTCATACCGCCCTCTGTGGGCACCATGGCGCGATCGATGAGGCTGTTTCTGATCCGTCACGGGGAAACAGTCGACAATGTCGCGCAACTCTAGTAAGCGCTTCGCCAGGTCGGACCTTATCTTTGCTAACAGTTTCAGTGCCGGTAGTAGAGATTCAGCGCTCACCAACCACGGCTACCAGCAGGCCACTCGTCTGGGTCTGCACTTCAAGTCTCTTGGTTTGACATTCACCCACATCTTCTCGTCGCACCTTCAGCGGGCTGTGAAAACGGCTGGAAGAATCCGAGATGCTCAGTTGGCGTCGAACAATGATGACGACACTGCGAAAGCAGTTCCCGATGTCAAGCAGCTACCGGTGCTGATGGAGAAGGACTTCGGTTCGATGGAAGGGAAGAAATTCCACGATCGACCGGAGAACAAGGATACGACGAGCTTCGCGGATGCCGAGTCGAAAGACAGCATGGCGCGTCGAGCTGACTCATTCCTCAATGAGCATCTCTTGCCGCTCCTCGACGAAGCGTCGAAAGACGCCGACCTCGTGGTTGCGATAGTCTCGCACGGGATCTTCCTCTCTACCCTTTGGAAGCGCCTGCTGTTGCACCTTCCACACAAAAGCGTTGCGCTCTCTCCGGGGCTCCAAGCAATAGCGCGCCCATCGCTCGAGCATCTGGGTGGCTGGTCCAACACTGGCTATCTCGAGTTGCGCATGACGAGGATAGACCGTGGTGATTCCACTGTCATGGCGCAGATACCTGCTGTACCTACGCTGGAACGTTGTTCATCGCTTGTAGAGATGCCAGCTACCAATGAAGGTCTGAATGAGACCGAAGCATCAGATCCCGCGACTGAACATGATTCTGCACGCCAGCAGGTTTCCCAAGTGCCTACTCGGGCAGCCGTCGCAGCCTCGCCAGCCATCAGACCGCGCATCGCGAGAGGATGGTCCTCTACCATTCTTGCGATTAATGGTAAAGACCATCTCCGCGGCATCAAACGCACTCGTGGCGGTATCGGAAGTTCTCGTCACGATGCATCGCAGAGCAGCATCAAGATCTTCTTCAAACGTTGCAAAACTGTTTAAAGTCATCGATGGTAAGTCCACAAATCTTCTTTCCTTCCATATGCAATGATGAAAAAACCTTTTAATCACAGACCTGATCGGAATTTAATGTCGACCAAAAATTGTACCAACTGCTGTCTGATTCGCATTTAACTCATTTTGTTCTTTTACTGCTTTTGTTTGAGAACTTTGCTAACAAATGAGGCCATAGATTATGTGCGGTGCGCCCACCCAGAATTATGCATCTCATGCTCTAATTGGAAATCAATACAAATCCTTCTTTTGCACATAGTCCTTCATCTTGACCCATTTCACTGCATGAATCCTTGTACCATGACTCCATCACACAGCATCTCCAAGGTTACACTGAATCTGACGTCTAGACCGTGCTGGCTCTCTAAGCCAAGACAAGGCGGTCCACGCTCTGTCGCGTTCCGTACTCTGCGCTGGCGGTGGAATAACCACGACTCGGCTCTCCATATGCTGCCAGTCAGTGCCACGGTGATTCGCAGATTCTACTACCCATGGATAGATACGACGCGTCGCGCGGGTATCACGAAGCCTTGTCGCGTTGGCTACCAAGTTTGACGTGGTGAAGGTCCGTGCAGCGCCCGCCTTCCTTGCCCAACTTCATTGTCGCATCACTCACCGCAATATCGCAGCATCTCGACCGCTGTCGCATGCTTGTAAAAGCGATATTCCGGTAGGTTCAATATGGCTGCCGATGGCACGGTGCATAGGTTGTGCGTGTGCACTGCGCTACATCGAACGTTGTTGTGCGGCAAGCATGCTTTTTCATAGGATTGGCCGCTGGTGGCTGGCGACCTGCCACCCCCGTTTCCGGGAAGGGTCGATATCAGCCCCCCAGTATTAATACATATGAAAGCAGGGCTGGTAGGATTATTTCTGTCGTCAACGCTTTGTGTTTTGTTCAATCGTTCAATCTGCAGTCTTTTTGTTCCGGTCGCTGTCGGATCTTCTTGAGATCTTTGTGTCGGGCCAATTGCAACACGTCGTTCTTTGCGCGATCACAGTTCACATTCGTTCACCATGAGAAGCTCAATAGTAATTCAACTGAGTACGCTGTCGGTGGGTGTACTCGGCGGTGTAGTGCCAGGACCGTATTACGTCAATAGTAGTGAGTAGATGGTATGGTGGCTTGGAAGATTGCGATATACTGACCTTGATAGCTACCACTATCGGAACACCACGGCCACACATCCATGCTCCTGGGCTACCAACACCACCGACTACCTTGTCAGCATCGATATCAGACTCCAGCACAGCCATCGTCGCCCCCTACCCGACCTCATTGTCAAATACATCTTTTGTCGATGCTTCGCCCTCTTCGTCAACTGCATACGCAGTCTCCAGCTCCTCGCCAGAAGTATCAACAGTGACGCTGTCAGTATCAAGTTCGCTCAATGTTACCACACAAAATGCCACACTCATCTACTCGCCGCTTGCAAGCTCAGCAACCGTCACCTCACCTTCGTCAATCCCCACTTCAGAGTATCCTCCCGTGGTAGTGATAGTCGTCGCCGAAACGGTGTATGCCACAGCACAACAACCAAATTCGACTTTTGCTTACAATGCGACGCTTCCGACGGCAACGACTTCCGATTGCTTAACTACTCTTCCAGCATCCGCAAATCAGAGCTCTCCCAGTGTTGTGCCTCCATCTGCTACCGTCAGCAGCATCCTTCCTGGCCTAGCTCTGGCAGCTGAAATCGGCATAGGTGAGGAGCTGGCTAGCTCCAGCATCGATCTTGGGCTTCTGTCGTCTATCCTCCTCCCAGATAGCTCAACCATAAATCTCGGACTTCTGTCATCCATCCTCCTATCCGAGGTCACTCAGCGATCAGTTGGGACAACCTATACGACCACTACGACGACCGTTATCTTTACCCCAACCCCCCTAGTTCCTTCTCCGTCAAGCACCAACCCAAGTATATCGGGGACGACAACAACGACCGTGGTTGCGCCCACCACCGCATCCCCATCCGCGTCGATAGCTTCACCGACTTCGACATCAACAAGCGACTCAGTTGTGCCGTCGTCATCTGCAGTAGAGTCGAGGTCAGCCCCACCATCAGAATCGCCATCCACCATCCTCTCGACAGTCACAGTCACGACTCCAGCACCATCATCTCCATCTAGCACCGAATCGAACGCGGAATTTCCCACGGCACCACCATTCTCATACAACCCCTCCGCCTCCCGTGGCTCTGCATCTCCCATTTCACGCCCTACACCCGAGCCCTCCAGCGCGAACGTCGCTGGTTCGACGCTCAGCACTGCCGCCACACCTACCTCAACGAGAATCTCACAGTATGGCACCGGTGTTCCGCCTGCGCCCAGTGCGGCGGGCGCATCGGGTGTTTTGAGTGAGAGGAACAAAGAGAGGGTTTGGTGGGTGGCTTTCTTCGGTGTAGCGAGCGTATTCTTTCATTAGTGACATGACCTTCTTTTTCTAATTTCCCCCGTTACCGTTATGAGCGAGATGTTTTGCGCGAGAGGGAACGATGACTTTACGATTCTTATGTTATTATTACGATTATTACTTTAATGTTTTTATGGTTAATTGGCTATCAAGGAAGCAAGAGGAGGATATACCAAGTACGCGATCGACACGGCGTTCGAAGTAGAATTGGAACTTTTGGGTGTGGTTTTCGGTTCAGGGATGCATTGAGATCGTTCTGACATAGAACTCTACAAACGAAAGCGACGAAGATATCAAAGTGGGGTCAGTGACGAGGTGCTCGGCCGCGGTCGACGTCGAGATCCTCGAATATTATACAATGTACAATGAATGTTGTAACTCAAGTAAAGCTTCCTTCAATTGACAAAACCTGCAACGTCATTGAGCAGACTTTCAGCGCAATCATGCAGCGAAGCTTGCGGATCTGATCCCTAGTTTCCGAAGGAACACAAACGGTACATCAGGCTATCTCAGAAAGATTCAATGATTGAGATGATCCGGGGTTGAAGTGCGGAGAGGTTTGTTCGTTGAAGATCAGAAGCGGGGGAGAGGCCGCCTTGGCTAGCGCAAGCCACCATTTCTTCCGTCAATCAAACCTCAGACTCGACACACTTTACACGGTCGTAATCACTTCGATTGAACGCGTCAAGTCACAAAATCACGCGTTTTTGAGATGGATATGGATACAGCAAGCCTTCCGATCTGCACCACGGGTGTTCTCGAAGACCCAACACGCGCTGCACACAGCCCAACGCCCTCGGCGTCACCTCGCTTATAAGCATTGCATCGATCGTCGCCCATTGAACCGGTACCTCAATATACAGCGAGCGCCTCGGGAGACAATTGTCCGCGGTACATCATGGATTTTGCGGGTGCATGTTCCAACGGTCCGTAGACCCTGGATCAAATCTATAAGACCCAAGATACATTGTCTAGAACCCAGCATCCGGGCGAGACTGTACCTACATCTCACACCAATATGCGGCAGTCCTTCTTCGGTTCAGCCTCCCTACTTGTTGGGTGCGCTCTTCTACTTCCCAGTAGCGCACTCGATCTGGTCCGCAGACAGGCAGCAGCAAATGCAACCTACAAGGATGCATCGGCTCCCGTAGAGGACCGAGTGGCAGACCTTCTTTCTCGTATGACAATTGAGGAAAAAACTGCTCAGCTCATCCAAGGAGATATCTCGAACTGGATCAATGTCACTACCAATGTCGTCAATGAGACCGGTCTCGAATGGAACTTTCGCGTCCGCGCGGGTCAGTTCTACGTTGGCTATCCGATACCTGCGGAGTGGATCAGCAATGGCGTCAAGATTGGCCAGGACTACCTTTTACATAACACGACATTGGGTATCCCGGCCATGGTACAGACTGAGGCTATTCACGGCTTACTCGTGGGTAATGCGACCATCTACAACAGTCCGATCGGGCAGGCTTGCTCCTGGGATCCCCAGCTGATTCACGATATGGCCGTGGCTATTGCGAAGGAATCGGCACCTCTTGGTATCAATCAATTGTTCGCACCACTTGCGGACTTGGCGCGCGAGCTGCGTTTTGGCAGAGTAGAAGAAACGTACGGCGAGGACGGTTACTTAGCCGGCGAGATGGCATACGAGTATGTTATGGGAGTGCAGAGTTTGAATGTCAGCGCTACAGTCAAGCACTTCGCCGGTTTCAGTAACCCAGAGCAAGGTCTTAATACTGGGCCAGTTCATGGAGGTGAGCGGGAGCTCCGAACCACGTGGCTACCATCGTTCCACCGTGCTATAATCGACGCCGACGCCTGGAACATTATGGGTGCCTACCACTCTTACGACGGGATACCTTCGATCGCCGATGGTCATATGCAAGAGACGATCCTCCGTGAAGAGTGGGGCTACAAGTACTGGTTGACTTCAGATGCGGGAGCCACGGACCGACTCTGCTGCAACTTCAAGCTGTGTCAATGCAAGACCGAAGATACACCAATCGACAGCGAAGCGGTGACGCTCATGGCCCTACCGAATGGTAACGATGTGGAGATGGGTGGAGGCTCGTACAACTATGCGAACATCCCTCGTTTGGTTGAAGAAGGCAAGCTTGACATTGAGATTGTCGACAGAGCCGTGAGCCGCCAGCTTCGAGCGAAGTTTACGATGGGTCTTTTCGAAAACCCATACCAAGGATTGTCCACAAACGAGACGGAGTCCATCATCCACCCTGAGGAACATGTCCAGCTTGCGAGGACGCTCGAGGCTGACTCAATCGTCTTGCTTGAGAACAAGAACAGCACTCTGCCTCTCTCCAAGTCTGCCAACATCGCCGTCATCGGCCCCATGGCGAACATTACGAACCTGGGCGATTACGTGGTCTACCGCTCTCAGTACAACCCCACGAACGTTACTCCACTGCAAGGTATTCAGAGTGCATCTAGCGGTACAGTAACATACGCCCTAGGCTGCGAGCGCTGGTCAAACGACCAATCCGGCTTCCCCGATGCAGTCGCAGCGGCTGAGGCTGCTGACGTCGCAGTAGTCGTCGTCGGTACCTGGTCACGCGACCAACAGGAGCTCTGGCAAGGTCTGAATGCCACTACCGGTGAGCACGTGGACGTCGCATCGCTCAACCTCGTCGGCGCAATGGGCGAGCTCGTCCAAGCCATCATCGAGACTGGTAAACCAACCATTGTGGTCTACTCCTCTGGAAAGCCTGTCACAGAGCCTTGGATCTCTGACAATGCAGCCGCTCTCCTTCAGCAGTTCTATCCCGGAGAACAGGGTGGCAACGGATTGGCTGACGTCCTTTTCGGCGATGTCACGCCCTCTGGCAAGCTTTCTGTCTCCTTTCCTTACGATGTTGGTACCCTCCCAATCTATTACGACTACTTGAATTCCGGCCGAGCCACCGATGCTGGTGCTATCTTGCCAAACGGTACACTCCAGTTCGGTCACCAATACGTTCTCAATAACCCTCAGCCACTCTATGAGTTCGGCTATGGCCTCTCCTACGCAAACTTCACTTATTCCAACGTCACTCTCTCAAAAACTGAAGTCAGCGCAACTGACAAGATCACGGCAACTGTAAGTGTGACCAACGAATCAGATGTCGACGGCAAGGAAGTAGTTCAGGTATATGTGCAAGATGTCTTTGCTAGCGTTGTAGTGCCGAACAAAGAGCTCAAGGGCTTCAAGAAGGTTATGATTAAGGCTGGTGAGACGGTAGATGTCAGTGTGGAGTTGGATGTGAGCAAGTGGGGGCTGTGGGATAGGAAGATGCAGTATGTGGTTGAAAAGGGAGATTTTATTGTGCATGTAGGAGCAAGTTCCATGGATCTGAGGGGAAACGGCACGGTGACTGTGGCTTGAAATTCTCGCCTGTCATCGTAGCTGGGGTCGGGAAACGACAGGTCGAATTCATGCAGCGTTGGCGCGATTGGGCGTGTCGCTGTGTAACGGGGAGACACGCTAAAAAGGTCCGTGCCGCAGCAAATGGGCAGTACTCAAGCATCTCCCTCCCTCATCTTGATTTCTCCTACTCATTCACCGTGTTGTTTTCCATCTCACCCTTTCTACTTTCAGTCGTCTTACTCGATTGCTAAACCGGCTTGTGCATCCTGCACTATACTTTATCCTCACAACAGACCATGTCGTCCAGCGTCACACAAGATTCATTGGGAGTTGACGGAGATGTGCGCGACTCCAATTCTCCCTCTGACCCCGACAGTTCACGTGTTGATCTGGACACTGATCTTGTCGGCATCAGTCGTATTACGAAAGATCTCAATATCGTGAATCGATATAGACCGAAGTGGACATGCAAGGAAGCCTTCCGCGAGTCATATCAGAATTGGTGAGTGTATCCATCGGCAGTCTTGACATAGCAACCTCTGACTAGCTACAGGAGAGATGGTATCTTCAGATCCTTCAGCCTCGATCACTCCCAGTTTCGCCCCAAGTATACTGAAGAGCTCAACGACAAGCAAGGATTCATACTCGTTGAAGTGTACCATCCAGAAGACACCAACAAGCTGCTTGGCTTCATTCAATTCACGTCCAACCAGGATGGTTATTGCGTAGAAGATCATAACCAGATCAGGAGAAATCCATCCTGAAGCCAAACGCCAGCGCTAGAAAATCACGTAACAAGAGGAAGTACTCCAGTGCCGAAGACCGTCGTATAGTGAGGAAATCCTGCTAGTGTTAGGGCTCGTCGTATTAAGGTGACATGCTTACACGATCGGAACCTAAGGCATCTTACTGCAGGACCTTTGAACTACGCGATCAGCTCTAGTCTGCTGGCACTGCGTCGGTTCCGCACTCGCCTATGCGTCTAGTGCGTCAACAAGCTTCTCTTCGATGCTCTAGCGGATGTACCGGAGGGCCCTATTCTCGCTGTGGGTGGTTGCATGTCTCTGATACGTTGGAGCCCCCCCTGTTACGAGCTTGAGTACCCACAGCTCCTGGGGCTCTACGAGTAGTTCATGTAAATCAATGGTTATATGTCCAGCGGCTGAGAGTGTACCTTGCATGTAGGCCAAAGCCTCCTGCAGTTCGCGTGAGATTGATAGTATTGATGGTATCATATGGATGTCGAAAACATATAACGCTAGCATACCTAGGTAGCCCTTCCTGTCAATCTAAGTCTAAAAGCTACCCGAACCGTTTCTTAGTGATATCAGAACAGTATGACCGTGATCATGGGCCTTTGATAGAAGGCACTAGCTCGTAGAGCGTTTTTTTGCGCTTAATGCAGCGTCGCAAACCTACTATATTCGCACTTCGAGTTCACTCGTGTAGGCTGCTACAACATTGACTTCTCAATCGTCATGTCCGCAACTACTGCACATTGTTGCATAACTTGATGCGATGTCAATCCACTCTCGAGTTCACGCATCGCGCAGCATGGCCGAATCAGGTTAGCAGACCACAGCCGGTAGCTCGCTTAGAAGCGGCGACAGTTGAGGCGGTCACGATAGTCGGAACCGTCGGTGACGAGTGCGCGACGCTTCAGACGTCGATATCAGCAGATAGGCGGTCGATAAATCACTTGTCATGTCCAATTGGAGCCATGGCAGCCGGCGGAGAAGGTATCGGAAAGGCGAGCGAGCTTGCCCGTCGCAAAGTCTTGCTCGATAAGGAAACAACCTCCACGAATGCCCCGCGCCTAGTCTACAGCGACCACAACGAAGTGGCCGAGAACGGCCCACTCTTTCCCTTAGCCATTTAGCGATGCAAGTGATAGGTATAGTCAACGTGATGGTATAAATACGCAGTGCGATGGTCATGACCATTTATCGCTGCATCAAAACTCTCTCAACTTCATGCTCTGCGACGATAAACCCGTTATCCTGAACAACATGGCAGCGAGCAAACCTTCATACCTCGTCGTTGGCGCCGGAGTCTTCGGAATTTCAACTGCGTATCACCTTATCAAGAAGTACCCGGACCGACAAGTCACAGTCGTTGACCAAGATGCCTGGGACGCCGATAACCGCGTAGCAGCTTCATGGGATTGGAATAAGGTTGTGCGCGCCGATTATGACGACGTCATCTACTGCAGACTCGCTCTTGAGGCTCAGGATGTCTTCAAAGAGGACCCGTTATGGCAACCTTACTTCCACGAGACTGGTATCTTCTGGGTCTGCCGTTCAGATTACGCACAAGATGTCATCGACAACTACAAGAAGCTTGGGCGTGAGGCAGACTTGCAATCAGTTACCGTTGAAGAAGCGAAGAAGTTGTTCGGCGGGCTTTTCGAGGATGCGAACTACGACGGAGCGAAGAGTGTCCTAGTCAACAAGACAAGTGGTTGGGCACAGGCCGGCGATGCACTAAGAGCAGTCACCAAGTGGTCGATCGCAAAGGGCGTCAAGTACATCACCGAGAAGGTCGAGAGCCTGGACTTTGACAACGCCGGCCGCTGTACAGGTGTCAAGACCGAGCAAGGTAGCACCATCAAGGCTTCGCACACTATTTTGTCAACCGGCGCCTACACCGCCAAGCTTCTCGAGCAGGCTGCTAAGAAAAGTGGGAATCCAGACCTCCGTGCTGGATCAAGAATTGTTGCTGGTGGTATCACGACAGGTATGACGACTCTTGACGAGAAGTCGTACGAGAGGTTCAAGGACATGCCCGTTGGTGTCCAGGGCTACACCGCTGCATACGGACCCTTCATTGGCAGCTTACCGCCTACCAAGGACCGTGAGCTCAAGTGGTGGGGAGAGAAGATCTTCAAGAACACACACGAAGTACTTCCTGGCCGCTTCGTCTCTGCACCTCCATCTGGAAAGGACTACAACCAGTGGGATGTTCCCGGTCCATTGAAATTGGACATTTCTCACGCCAACGATGTGTTTTACGGCAAGAAGGGTGCAAACTGGAAGATGGACAAGCACCGTATCTGCTGGTAAGTCTCATGCTCATGCACTGCTGCTTAATCAATACTGACGAAACCCAGGGATGCATTCACCACTTCATCCGACTTCATCATCTCGCCTCACGCCGCTGCCAAGGGTCTCTTCGTCGCAACATGCGGCTCTTTCCACGGCTACAAGTTCTTCCCCGTCCTCGGCAAGTACGTCGTACAGATGCTGGAAGACGAGCTAGAACCAGAGCTCAGGGAGAAGTGGGCATGGGATCGCGAGAGGCCGGCGCCTAGCCTCAATCCTGACTGGCCGCGCTTCGAGATGGTGGATCTGCTGGACCAGTGGCCAAAGGCCAAGTTGTAAGATATGATATGAAGTTATATGACGAGACTAATGAGTGCTTGTTGCATATTTGCAAGGCGTCTGGGTGGGAGTTTCTTGTCCTTTAGATAGTGAATACTATGAACGATGACTGTTCCTTGTTAAGTTGCTTCACTTCCATCATCCTTAGTACTCACCTCTAGTTTCTTCTCAATATGTTCCACTCACTCTCGCATGTGCTCTAAGTAGTATCCGACATCCTTTATACAAGCTATGTAGTACCGTCTTTGCTGCTCGTCAAGCGTCCTATACATATCTGTATTGCAAGCTGAATCTAAGGTTGTCCCTAGAAATGCGCGCTTCAGATTCCTCAATGCGCCTATCGCATTTGCAGTAAGCCGACTCATTGCTTCGGTCGCAGTAGGGAAATCGAAGGGTTCGATCTGAGGGGAGGGCATATCTGAACACGAAGGATGTGGAAGCGAGAGATGTTGGTAAAATGACGGAGACGGAAACAAGGATACAAGCAAGAAAAAGCTTGCATGTCTTAAAACATGATTGTTAATTTGCTATGGAACTTCCTCCCAGATCGTTACGTTGCTCGAGCCTCAGCGCAAAAGCAAGTTCGTATGTGTTTGGACAGCGAGATGTTACCAAGCGCATATGGCAATTGATCTCGACCTGACATAAAACCCTCCACCCGTCTTACATCTTACTCCCACTATTCTGTTAGAAAGGTCGCTGCACACACTCTTCAAATGACGACCACATTCGATGACAATAAATTAATGAGAGTCTTCTACCTTACTGTCACAAACTTCAGAGATATCTACCTAGCCGATGATGACAAACGCTTTTACATCACAGAAACCAGACAGGAGAGATATCGAAGGCTAAGTTCGTACGGCAGACAGTACTACCGATTAAATGCGGCGAGAATGATGTCGGTGTTGGAACAAGTGTTACACTGGACAAGTGATATCGATAAGAACTTGGGCACCGGGGACATCAGTGGAGAGACACTGCCTGATATAGACCTGTGAATGCTAGACACCACATAGCAATCCGAGGAGTGAGGCGAAGCAAGCAATTTAGAACTTTAAGGCATATACATGTTCATTTGATTCATATTTACATCGAAGAATGACACCCGCGATAGGTGCCGGCCAGCTTTTGATTGCCACTGTTCGTGCCAAAGATGCACTTAAGCAGTGACCTTGCTCTTGATGAAGGTGAGAGCCTGGTTGCCGTAGATGTTGACGTACTGCTGGTGGTGGTTGGCGTCGTTTCCATTGCAGCAGTACGGGTCCTGAGAGTCGCAGTAGCTCTGGATGATGCTGCTGCTCGCAGGTGCGCAGGTGAATCCAGCAGGGCGGGCGGCGAACTAAAGTACTCCTTAGTAAGGATACCAAGAGCTGGAGAAGTAGTGGACTTACGCCTTGGGCCTTGCAGGTACCGACATTGTAGGGAAGACCGTTGCGGTTGTGTGGGTCACCCATGAAGATCGCAGCCTTGACGGCCGCGAGGGCGTTGCCGGTCAAAGTGGAACCAGCACCACCGCAGATGGCGTTGTCCATGATTTGACCTCCCTACAAACTGTTAGCATTCGGCGTTCTTGGGGTTCATGGCACCATCCGTACCTGAGAGTATCCGATAAGGACGATCTGAGTGCTAGGGCACTTCTGGTTGTAGGCAGTAACGGCCTTGACAACCGCTGCGGTTCCTTGGGAAGCAGAGTTGTCGTAGGATACGCCTCCGCAGGAAGAGCCTCCACCGCAAGCTGGGTACACGATGGCTTCGGAGCCCGCACCAGGGTAGGCGGACTTGACCGAGTTTACAAGCCCGGCAGCAGTACCGTAGCCATTGCTCTGGGGTTGGGTGGTCTCACGAGCTCCGAAGATGTAGACCTTAGGGCAGCTCTGACGCTCAGCGATCTCGACAGGGCCGGCGGCGGCGAGACCAACAAAGAGAGCTGCTGCTGCGGAAAACTTCATGTTGACGTTGGAGGAAGTGGATACTGTGCTTCGGATTGAGTTGAGATGTCAAGGAGTTGTGATGATCAAGTCTGGGCAGCGGACGATGTGTTTATAAAGAAAGTTTCATGTATCCACTGCAGCTGTCCTTTAGGCAGAATCAATTGCCTCGTCTATACATTATGTCCTATCAGTGGGGTACAAAGTGGTGCTTTGCTTTGTCTTGGTGCACAGATGGTCCTTTCATCCGTCGTCGCAATTTATCTGAACAGTCCTGTGATGAAGATCGGACAAGGATTATTGCCGTAGCACACGTCTGTTTCATGCAGAACCAAGCCTCGGCCGTCTGGGGTACATATAGATCCTAGTGTCTTCGGGAGAAAAGCGACCAAGCGAGCAAATAGAGGGCTGCAACGTATAGGACCCTCGGTACGTCGCGCGATGGGTAGATGGATGGCGTCGCGGCCGCGTGGTCAGATGATGTACCGGCGTAGAGCCGAACCGTCCTGGCTAAATGGGAGTTCTCGAAAAGCTTGGGTTTGAAGTTTAACAATCCGGGGTAAAATGCTTGTTTTTGTGAGCCTCAGCGCTAAAATACTGTACCTGACGACGGATCAAGCATAGCTTCCGGATGTGCGTGAAGAACGCGTATATTGAGTATAGGGTCAAGAGAACTGATAGTGCCTGGAGGCTAAGTAGCCCTCACCGCCCCTTCAGTGCCCTCTCAGTCTCGGTTCTCATACGTTGACTCGGCGGTGTCGGAAGCAGACAATGTCGTTCTAGCGTGACTCAAGGGCGGTCTGGTCGTACGAAGCGATAGAGAGCTCTCCTAATAATGAAACAATTATAGGGCGGGTCTGTCCGACCGCCATGTTTCAAACACCGGCCGGTCCACCGCCTATTAATGCAACAACAACTCAAAGAGAAGCAAACGCGTCCAACAGATGCATAAGAGAATTTTCAACAGCAGGAACTTGTGGTGTGACTAGACATGAGTTTCCTGAGGTGGAGGGATAGGTATTTCGAGGTGACGTCATCACTGCTTGTCACGATTGGCTACGCGCTATGCTCAGTTCAGGACGTGCACTCGTGTCCTACCAAACTCCGATCGAAACACATCAGTCTCGTCGCCTCATGAATCTGCAACTAGCTTTCTTCGCATCACAGCCTGGAATTGACATCATAGCCTTGTGAGGACGCATGGAACCACAAATGCTAGCAGACTCTACTGGCTCCTACAAACGGCCGACAAGCACGCTTAGATCTCGCTGTGAAGTATATCAAGCGGCGCAACACTTGACAGAATGTGAGGATGTTGTCTGAGTTAGGCGGACATGCAGTTCTCGTACGACGGATAGCTGAAGCAGTAATGCGGGGTACACAAGGTTGTGGCGCAATCAAGTCAACAAGACTCAGCTTTCTCACTCAAGACGCGTCCGCTTCGTCCGCTTCCAAGTTACACCGTACACTACACGTAGCAGTATGATAACACAAGATGCTAGCAGCGCGTACGATCCGGATCCAAATTTCGATGACAGATGGAGTGACGACAGTTCTACCTCAAGTGATGAGGGCGGCACGTTGAGCTTGGCTCACGAGACGGAAACGAGGCTTGATATGATAAAAAGCTGGATAAAAGCATGTGACGAGAACCACGGCTTACAGTGTTGCACACCAAAAGCCGACGCAAGCATATGGCCTATGTGGGTCATCGACGTCGTGGACGAATGCATAGTTGAAGGTGACATTGCCGACCGTTATCTTACACTGAGCTATGTGTGGGGTGGAGTGCAAACGTTGCAAGCGACCACTACAAACTTCGAGAAACTCAAACGGCCTGGAAGTCTCGGCAGGGACGAAGTGGTTCTGCCCAAGACAATACGACAGGCTATAGATGTCACCAGGTTGCTTGGAGAACGATACATCTGGATTGACCAGCTATCGATTCTTCAAGATGACTGCGAACACAAGCATTCTCAAATCAAGCATATGGCCGAGATCTATGCAAATTCGTACCTGACACTCGTTGCTGCCACGGGTGATACAGCGGACTTTGGCCTGGTTGACGACATCGATCAGATGTTGAACGAAACTCCCCAGAACAACGGTATAAACGATGAACTTTATACAAGGATGTTCTTGAAAAATCGGAGTCCGTGGAACCGTCGAGGGTGGTAAGTTGAATACAGTATAAGCCGTGATTATGTACTAACGGTTCGCGCGCTGTATCTTAGGACTTTCCAAGAAAGTGTATTTTCGCGGCGCAATTTATTCGTTCTTGACCTTGCAATTGGGTATGGCGAAGATCCTGAAGCATGTCCCAAGTCTTTATATTGGGTATGCCAACAAACATGGTGGTATGATTGGCACCCTGCCGCAGCAACAAAATTACACAGATCGCTCTACAAGCCTATGGACCACCAATCACTTAGCATAAAGTACCAGGCAAGTTGGCCTGACTTCCGCCGTTACCTAGAACTTTGTCAGTCATATTCACCAAGACATTTCACCTATGATTCCGATGTCTTTCTAGCATTTACAGGTGCCGCCACTCTACTTGAAAAGTCGTTCCTCGGTGGCATACTATACGGCCTTCCTGTACTGTTCTTTGATATCGCGCTCTTATGGAGCCATTTTGGGATTGCATCAAAAAGAAAGTGGGATGCGACCCACGATGAAAGCAGTCAACCTCCAAGTTGGTCCTGGATGAGCTGGCACGGAGAACTGTTGAGTTTGTACTGGAAGTTTGCTTATGAGGGAATAGCGTACGAGAAGAGACCATCAACGCTTGTCATTACCCCACTTGTCCAATGGTACTTCACCGGCGTGGGAGGCGCACAGATCGCGATCACGAATGAATATCACAAGTACAATCATCTCGCACAAGACGACAAAAGTACACCCCCTGCCGGATGGAGCCGGACTAAATCCTCCTTAGGCAATTCTGGTATGCACGGAGAGAATGTCTACTTCACACACAACGCCCCTGGGATGAAATTCCGTTTTCCGATCCCACTCGTGGATCCGTCATACTCGGAAGTAACGATGCCTGTGCCTGTTACGAATCGAATCACATGTCAGACTGAGCGCGCCTTCTTCTACCTCGCAAAATCAGAGCACCAATACACTCCGAGACCTCGTTCGCTCGTCTTTGACGCTGTGGGTTCCTATTCGGGTTTCATAACCCTGCCTGGAGACTGGCATACATCATATTTCGAAACAGAAACAAGGATTGAATTGATAGCGATTTCGACGGGCAGTGTAGCGGGACATGACCTCCGGTATAAATTTGATGCTCCAGAGCAGTTTCACGAACTTGGCAGTATATGGAAATTCTACAACGTCTTATGGATTGATTGGACTGACGGTGTCGCCTACAGAAAAGCCGTTGGTCAAATCACGAAAGCAATATGGGAAGCAGCTGATCGGGAGCTCATCGATGTGGTACTTGGTTAACAAGGGGTAGTCTTGACATCATAGTTACATTTGCTATATTCTTATTTCAACTCACGCAAGAGCACACCCTCGCTTTCAATACTACATTGCTCATCTCAGAATGTTCTCCCCACTCATCCCCGTACTTTATGAGGCCTGGAAAAGCGCAGAACAGAAACTTGCGATCAACTTCCATGTCAGTATCATCTTCCATGGCGGGATCAATGTCGTTTACAGTTTCCATGGTACGGTCATCGAACTGCATATTGTCGTCTTGTCGGCGAAAGAAGAGTAGCTTGTAACGTGCCTTTTGCAGAGCAAGTGTTCGTTGCAGGCCCATTGCGTCTTTCAACATACCGGCCAACGTTGACTGTGCGTTGGGCGCAAGACTCACAGAAGTCAGCGTGAAGAGTATATGGCTGGCCTCTCCGGCGAGTCGATGTATCGAGGCTTCGCTCTCTTTCTGGATTTCTCCGTTTGCTTCGCTGCGCTCAAGGACTTGTACCGTAGCACGCACCCACTCTCGATGTGCAGTACCAAGGTGTTGTGTGCGCTCAGCAAACTGTCGCAGCGCCCCCAATGGACCTGTGCTAGGCAGCCCAAACACGATCGGACTATCGAAGATTTGCATAAGTGATATCGAGATAACGGCTTGGTACAAGGCAAGCTTATCCGTGCTCTGTATACTAGCCCTGTATTGCGGGTTCAATGCGCGAAGCACATCTTCAGTCTCTTTTGGAAGGTTATCGAGGTTCAATCTTGACCGCCTAAAGTTCGAGACAGTCCATTCTCGCACGCGATTTGCAAGTTGAGAGAACGATTCTGCGAGCTCGCTGTCTGTGATTTGCGAATCCGTACGCGTGAGCGAAGATATGCTTGACTTGAGCGCCAGAAGCTGCTGGAGCCTCTCTTGCGACTCTTTTTCGGCGGCATGGAGGCGTAGCCGCAGGTTGTCTGCCTCCCCTCTTGACTGCGGTCGGTCAAGGCTGCGTGGATACAATCCGTCATGCGATGAGAGCTGGTCTTCGAGCTGTTCTTCGAGTTGCGCAACTCGGTAGCGCAAATCTGAGTTCTGGCGCAAAGCATCTTCCCTCCCTTTCCCTGAGTCTCCCGGCACTCCAGTGTCTCTTCGGAGGCCACTCGACCCGCCAACCGAGGCTTCACCCGTATTCGAGCTCTTCTCAGCAAGTTGCTGCCTGAGTTCCTCAATTGCGTCCTGATCTGCTTGTCCAGAATGTCTCAGTCTCGACAAATCTTCTCTGGCCATCTCCTGCTCTTCTTTCGCGATCGCCAGAGCTCTTTCGAGGTCCGCGACTCTATGTGATATCCGCGTAGCATCGTCGCCTGGTGGCAGCATCTCTGGTCTGTTGATGAACTCATTGCTGGGCCCTGAAGGTGCGGTATCGCTCGGGAGATCTACCACACCTCCACTTTTGCGCTTCAGCATATCATTGAAGGGGTATTTGCGTCGGTGTACTTCGTCTTTTCTCGCATTTGGAGCAGCGATGGCGGCTTTCGGTGGAGTGACGACGGTATTCGCGGATGTCTTGGTCGATTTCGATATTAGTCTCGTGCCGCGCTTCAAGCGGTGAGCAGATTCTGCAGACGTTAATACATACTAAAGTCGTTGGCTTGAAGTGCTGAAACTGACCAGAACTCTTTCGTTCGGTCATAGTTGAGCCCGGGGCGCATTCCGATTTAGGGTCGCATCGGAACGAACTTCAAAGACGTGCTTCACCAGGACAAACTTTCAACACCCCGTTCGAGGAATATCACCGTCGCATGGCTCCATGTGGGACGGCAAGATTATGCCTGGCAGGACAGAATCCTGCAGCCTTGGGCGAGCTGATGATCACCAACTAGGGCCTGCAGCTGGGCATCTTCTCCAGCAATGGGTAGCGCGCCACTCCAGGCTTCGACATGACACTGACTGCGCATTTCGCCGGTGCCTGAATCATTCAATGTTTTTCAGGCAAACACATTGATGACCACGACGTCTTTCCCGTGCCAACCTACACGTCCATGATACCCCGGTGCATTTTGGTAGGATTCAGCCCCGCGGTCTGACCCACGCGACATCTACGCGATCTACCAGAGCCGTCAACACAAGCACCGCGTTCAGCGCCACGAAGAACGACCATGAGCCATACGTTTCCGAACCGAGGGAGTAGTATCCCGTACACATTCAACCCTGGAAGCAATGCGACTGTCGACATAACCAGCGTACCCGAAATAGGTGGCCCTACGAAGGACAGGTTGGTCGTCGGCGTTGATTTTGGAACCACCTACAGCGGTTGGTAGCAACTATTGCACAATATGCGACCGACACGATTGGACGCTGAAGCTCAATAGGTGTGGCTGCTGTATATAGTGCAACCCCTGATGACATCGACATCATCAAGACATGGCCTGGAGGGAACGGTAAGTTCTGTTTGAGATGTACCGATGTCATGCCTCTCCAAACTAACATACATGCGCAGGCATCACTTCCGACAAAGTACCCACAGAGATTGGTTACAGCGAATCACCCCCCGCCAACAGCTCGACCTCCTCGCTCGATGCGTCCGCGAAACCCGCGCAGAACATAAAATGGGGCTTTCAATTCAAGCCAGAGGAGACGCGTCTCCGTTGCATAAAGCTATTTCTCGATAGGAATCAGAAACTGCCACATTTTGTATCACCGCTCGAAACTGCTGCGCAATTGCGCAAGTTTGAGAAGACGGTTATGGAAGCAGTTTCCGACTACCTATCGCAGATATACAAGCATACGATGGAAACATTGACACGGAGATACGGAGAGACGTTTATCAGTTTGACCAAGGTTGAATTCGTCTTGACAGTACCTGCTGTTTGGTCAGACTCAGCCAAAGATGCGACGCTCAAGGCTGCGGAGAAAGCTGGCATGGGCAACAGACATGAACTGAAGCTCATATCAGAACCCGAGGCCGCAGCGGTTTATACCCTCAAGGCGATACAACCAAACCATCTCAAGATCGGAGACAATTTCATTGTTTGTGATGCTGGAGGTGGCACTGTTGACTTGATAGCCTACAAGATTACCCAACTCCATCCTCTGCGTGTTGAAGAATCGGCAGTCGGGACTGGCGGCCTTTGCGGCTCGACGTTTATCAACTACCGATTCGAAGACCATGTCAAGCAGCGCATTGGCACCGAACGTTACAATTGGATGCGCGAGAAGAAGGTGAAGACTTGGAATATGGGCCTGAAGTATTTTGAGGAATTTGTGAAGCGCAACTTCAACGAGGAGGAACACAATGAGGTCAACATACCTTTTCCGGGGCTGCCAGACGATGAGGAAGCAGGATTAGACTCTGGGTTCCTTGTCATGAGCGCAGAGCAGGTCAAAGAATTATTTGATCCAGTAGTCCAAGAGGTCATTGATCTAGTAGAAGGTCAGGTTCACAGTATAAGAGCGAAAGGAGGTTTGGTGTGTGGCATTGTCTTGGTTGGAGGCTTCGGACAGAGCAATTACCTCTACGGTCGAATGAAGTCTCACTTCAATAGCGCGCCCCCGCCTCCGTACACAGAAAGACCCACGCACGCTGTCGCATTGAACGCCTCGCAGGCAGTCGAGATATACCATCCCATACACGCATGGACGGCGGTAGTACGAGGCGCAGTACTGCGCGGGTTGGAAGGCAATATGGTCATTAGCAGAAGAAGTCGATGGCATTACGGAACCAGCTACGCGACAGTATTCGACGAGGTAAAGCACCCCATTTCCGATCGATATTGGAGTCCGCTTTGGGAGCGATGGATGGTGTCTGATCGCATGCAGTGGCACATCGCAAAGGTACGTAAATCCTGCACCTACCATGACCATGACTGTCGCACTGCGTACTAACACTCCTGTCAGGGCGCACAAGTGTCGGAAAACCGACCCATATCCTTCCACTACACGCGCAACTTTCGCCCTGGCCAATCTCTCATCGTAGAGGACGACCTCATAGCCTGCGACTCTGACACGGCTCCTGACTCCTTCAAGAAGGGTCTCATCAACGTTTGTACACTTACTACCGACCTGAACACGGTGCCAAAGAGCTTGTTCACGCGGTTGACGACGACAAAAGGAGTGGAGTTTGATAATTTAGACTTCACACTGGATATGCGGTGTGAGAGTGCGGGTTTGGTGTTTGAATTGAAGGTTGATGGAGTGAGGTATGGAGGGGTCAGTGCGAAATTCCATTAAGGGGGGAATACGATAAGAGAAGGTGACAGGGCGAGGGTACGTATGCAGAATAGACGTCAATAGCAATAGAAATGAACATGAGCTATCCGATCGTGCAAGACACTTGTTGTTTCCGAAACAGGATCGTGAAGAGCATCGCTCGTTCAGCAAATTGCCGGTGCTCCTGTATAGATGATGCAAGCATCTGTGATTCGTCCAGTAGTCGTCGCGATCCCGTTGCTTACAGGCAGTGTGAAGGATACCAATATGCGCTATCCGCAGGGAGGATCGAGAAGCTCGCATGATTTGACATAAAGCCTGTTGGTAACGAAAAGAGTGGTGGTGGGTTGCCTTCACCGGCTATAGGAATTGCCTTGACGTGGCGCCAGCCACAGAAGAGCTGGTGAAGCTACGAGAGCAAATCGATGATCATTGCATTGTCGGCATCATCGGTGATGTCGGCACAATTGCTATTGCAATTGAAAGCAAGGGCTTTGGGTTGCGTATGCCAGAAAATTTCAAGGTGTGCGGAGGTCATGTTTAGGTTTGAGTTGGGGTTGCGTGCACTACTCTATCTGAAGGCAGTAGTGGAGTTGGGCAACGTATGTAGTGTTGCAATTCATCTGGGTTCCCACGTATGGGGGTAACGGATGTAAGGCCCGTTATGGATACAAGACCGATGCTATTCTCAGAGAGTAAGTTCAACGCACGAGCAGGGTGTCAACTTTAGCCCAACATGCTTCGGATGATGAAATACCCATGTGGTGCTCGTGGGGCAAGCGCGATATACATCCAGGGGGTGGGGAAGGCCGGAAACCTAGTTTTGTACGAAAAGATTGTAGTCGTAAGAGACTGTTTAGTCACAGATTAGAAAAGTGAAAGTCAGTCAGCATACCAAGATAGTCATGTACCCTGGTCAGATGCGCGTTTACACTCCAAGCCCAAGACACGTAGACGACTTTAGGTTGATACGCCTTCACCTAGGCTATCGTGACCGCGCTATGTTTCCTTTTTGTGACCACAGTACACCGGGCGAACAGCTTTCCGGGAACGTGTACATTTGCATGCTTGGCAGTAATCGGAGATTGTAGTGCGGAACTAAAGACCCGACGATATGTGGTGTTGGCGATCTGTCTAGTTTTCCAAGGGGTGCGTCTGCTAGTGGAACCCCGCATTTGGGTTCCATGTGTGAAGATCGTTGGTAGCGATTCTGTATTCACGATCGCTCGGGAAATATCCTCCCGCCTGTAAGATCTCGAGCGTGCAAGGTGGAGATTGCCGTGAGGGTGGAGTGAGATTGGTGGCGTGATAAACTTGCAAGTATTGCCAGGTTTACATGGCGTTTGGAAATAAGACAAAGGCGTACCGTACCCATGCGAAGCAAGTAGTATCTAGTGGGGCCTTTCCAGGCGCACACACAGCGAAGGGGTTTTGTTGCTAGATCTGTTCTTACGTAGTGGAGCTACACGATACTGAATGCGGTAATCTGGGCGAATCATGTATCGCGGAAGCTCGCCCGTCCACAACTGCCGCAGATCGGATCGGACGCTCTACCGGTGGCACGGGCAAATCTCCCGAACAAAGCCGATGGGAAAATGGTTCTTTTGATTCCCTCGAATCATTTTGTGCAGGCACAGCGATGCTATAACGGTATGTCTCCCTTATGACGTTGCTAGAAGATGCAAGCAATCAATGATTCAGGGTCTGTAAAGATCCTGCCGAGTCAAGTGCTGTGCATAGCTAGTCGACGGGACTTGCCTTTTCGCACATGCATTGCCAAAATCCGCTAGAGATGTAGAGTTGTGAAACCAACGTATCATGACGATGGACCGATACCAAGATCGGCTCTTCGATTCGAGATGCACAAGCTGCAAGTTCTGCGTAGAGTACCATACTACGTATAACCTAGAGAAAATAGTGTCGTCGTTGGCGATCAAGTAGAACTATAGTGCTCCTAATTGTTGCTCGGATATCTCCGTTCCAACTATATCCGGAGACTTATGACGTAGTCGGCAGAATGGTCAGTCTGGGAAAGAGCCGTATATCGTACACATACCAGCTACACTTGTCAGCAAGTGAGGCTGTTTGCTCGCTAGAGCAAACGCTTTGGTATACCGGCTTTCTATCTAAATCAAGAAAGGCGCCTCCGAAGGGGTCGAAGTTAAATCATAAGGCGATTCGACAGAAACCTCGCCAAGATACGATCAGCCATCACAGGTCGACGGAGCCTTCTCCGCAGCGTTTTGGTTGATTGTCGCAAGAAGGTTTGAGGGTTCGGCTGTTGATAGCGTACGCTGGAGGCTATTGACAACGTCGAACCGCGTCTAGAAATGCGCGATCGGCGTTATTTTCGCGATTCTCAGGTGAGCAATTGCGCGGCTGTCAACGTGTCGCGCCGACTCTCCTGAAGATCTTCGACTGAGTTTACCAAAGCGGACACTAGTCAACGTGTTGTTGATCTCCAGCGTTCTGGTATAGGGATCCGCCATGTCGGGCAGGCAGTGTGGCAACAAGACTGGACGTAATCAGATGCGCTAGAAAACTTCGTGATTGCCAAGCTAAGATGGACTTGGTGTTGAGTGTGTGGTGTGAGGGCCTCAGCAAAACCGAAACAGCGAACAATGTCCATGTCAAAGACATGCTAATTCGATCCAAAGGGGCGTGCTTAGTAGTGGTTTCTCCCGGCGGAACCACTCTTGATGCTCATCGGGCAGCTGTGGGCAATTTCAGGAACACCCTATGCTTCCGTACATTACCCAAAGTTTGATCGGAATGCCTTTACTCTAAGCAACGCTTCTATTCTCAACGCTCAGGACTCGTAGGTGTCGTTGTATGACTAGCGTATCCCCGAGTATCTGCCCGTGACTAACTCTTGAGGGTACAGATTCGAGAACCAGAGAGCCGGGAATTCTTGGTAATTGCTTTCAAAGCAATAAACTCGCCGGTGTATGATGTGGTCCCATAAGAAGGGCAATATTGAAGGTATGCAAGGGTGCATGGCTCTAATATGCAGACGAACTGCCGTGGTGTTGAAAAGTGCCTTGATGGATAGTCGCTAGCGTCAAGCCTATTGTACCACTGCGGGGGTTGTGATGCAGCCACAGTCATACACGCTTCTTGTCGAGGTCCGAGGATACCGCAGTATAGCAGCAGTCGATGTTTGTGAGATGCGTGGGGTTGTGAAAGTAACATTCGTAAGACAACGCAGACGTGGGGGTAACTGCTGCATACTCGCACTGGCAATGGCAAGGTAGCACCAAGGCTACGTGACGTTAGCTTGGAGATGTTGGTGGCCCTCACAGATAGTGGGCTTGATAATGTCGCCCATGCCCGCTACCACCTGCTTCGAGAGGTTAGCAGTCTTATTGTGAGTGAAGAAGGTGTATCAGTATCACAGTTGAAATCCAGGTGGAGATGTATCTTGCGCCGGCGGCGGATTGCACCGCGGCCAATCAGTACATATGCACAAGGCGACGAGGGTCAAGGTGAAGGCTGTTACGCGGGATCCTTCGCGTCTGCTATCTTTGCAAAATTTCTACGCTACAATTGGCAGGCACACGCTGCGATGTCCCAGGGTGGAAGTTGCATCTAAGCGAGCCAAGACTGACGAGGGGGAAGGCACGATGCAAGCCTCGCACGAGCGTTCGTGAACGGATGAAGCGCCGTTCGCCTGTCCTGCGGCGCAAACACCAACTACTGACCACCATGCTATCCCCGACTCCACGAGTCCAGGACAGCCGGCGCTCCGCAGTATCGATCGGTTGATGTCCGGTATGTTTCAGATACACTGCCGTCAACAATTTAGCCAAAATGCGTGACTGAGCCCGATGCACGACCATTCTAACTACGCGCACTCAAGCCTAGGGACTGGAAATCGGACTGCGTGATTACCGATAACCTGGTCAAAAGGCGTCAAGTCGACATTACCCTCCAATGACGCGCGACGCTGACATAGGCTGTCGGCACCGGCAGCACGCGGCGCTGACCACGAACACGATGAGCATGCGGACACATGGAACAAAGAAAAATGGAGAACGTGGGATACCTTTTCCCTGCTTCTGGAACAAAGCGAGGCTCATTGGGAAAAAGAAATACCCTCAACGCCTCACCATCCATGCGCCACTGCGGACCGGTGGGGGGAGACGCTGCGCAGGTGCCGTCGGGAAATAGCAAGCCTGCTGGAAACCGTCTGACCACAGAAAATTCGAGACGTATTAATAGGCCCGAAGCACTTTTGTATCAGATCGCTTCTCCACGTGCAGTCGCCCGTCTTGGACAGCGCCCGCACTATTGGAGTGCAAGTCATGCAACGACCATAGCCATAGCGCTGGGTCAGGCCTCATGCACATTAACCGACCACCGGCGGCCATCACGTACTGCAATCGACCTTGGCCAGTGACATACTCGCTTGACCACGCTTGCACAACGCAACTGTGGAATCGCTGATTGTCCTCAATCACGATGACGCGAGTGGAGATTAGTCGAGCCTTTTCCAGGGCCCTGCTAGCGAAATGAACTGTGTGGAGAAGGACGCGCTTTCACAGCCAATTTGTCGCAGGATAGCCATACCATGACAGCGCCAGCAGTTCACGTCGGCGTTATCCCTGTACCACACTTCGAGACCTCTCCAACGACCGTGAGCATCGGGGGATCATCGCAGCGGGCATTCGCTGCCGGGCATGTCACGTCACGACCTTTGCGTATTGGGCCCTCATCTGCGCAAACCAAACCCTACCAGTCTCCAGTCTGCGTCAGCTCTCCTGCTCAGGCAGTTCGGCCCTGTCTCCATCAAGGTCTTTATCGCCGTCTTCGTCATCTTAGATCCGGACACTGTTGAATCCTACCCTGGCTCAACCACGCTTCCCTGGCGACGTTCGTACGCACAGAGCCATGCTAGATTAACCTTACAGCTTGCATACTCCTGCAGTATACTGCCTTGTATAGGCCCCTTACATACGGAACCAGAATTCGGGATAATCAGGCATACATTACACCCGTCTTGACCAATCGCGAGCTATCAATACAGTGGCTTGACTAGACTTTCAGCCAAGAGCGATACAAGTGGATCGCGCCGCCGCTGACGCTAGGCGGCTACCGCTGGCTGTCATCGCATCACACCGTCGAGACATGACAGGCAAAGAATCCCAAACAGCGACTGTGCGAAGGGTCCGAGAGCCATCAAGTCATGACGCTCGGACTTGCTGGCCTGCACACCCATCCATCCCGCACATCACTTGGTCCAAGCGGGCCCACCAACAGCAACCTGGTCGCTTGGCCTCTAGAAGATGATCTTGTGCTTGTGAGGAAGGAGCATTGATGAACCCTGTGAAATCCTTAGGTGCAAGAGGCGCTCCAACGCAGCAATCCTGTTGCGTAGTAGCGCGGATATACTTCGCCACTTTTAATCATCCACTCATTCAACCAAACAGCGTCGTGTAAATTTCTATATCCAGTCCCTACTTCTTTTCGTATGTATGCAGGCTCTTGCTTTTGGCGCCTGTTGTTCTCAAGATTGCAATGCGCCCCCGCTAAACTAACAGCCGTGGTAACGACTAGCTGACATTAGCTGTCACTGTCGGTGCGCAACTGCTTCACCATCGCTTCTGCTACTTGGTTATTTACCTGGGTCTTGATTATCATTACCTGTTAACCCCTGCTCTCTTGTCAGTGCGCCTTTGAAGCATTGATTAGATCGAGAATCCCATGGTACGGTAGATCAGCAAGTGTCCCGTCGTCTCCTCCCGCGGGCAAGATCTTGTCGTGCCGGCTCCAGCGTTTGAGAAGTCGCCCTGTTTGACCTCCCAGGTATGTACACTGTTTAGCTTCCTGTCCATCATGGATCTTTGTGGGGCCTTGTTGAACTTTAAACATTAAATGCTTATACCCTTAGGTCCTTCAATGCGCTACCGCATTACCGTGTGTTGATATTCGGGTCTTGCGACAATCAGTGCGCCTCACATGGCTGTGGGTACAGAACGCCGCGCGAAGAAGACGGCATCTAGACTAGAGCAATCGTTGCTTTTACAGCCCGTTCAAGACACCATGTCTTTCAATCCCCCGAACCATAGCTCTGGGTTTGGTCGTTCCCATGCCGCCGACACAGCTTCCACACCAAGCCCCACAGACCAATCCGAGTCTGTTGCCGATTCTTCCACTGGTCAAGAACCTGCCGGTCAACCTCACCATCACTCGAATAAGAAAAGACGCTCCTCGAAGAGCAGCAAAGCGGGAGAACTCCGCAAGTCCTCATCAACTCCACACATGCGCCATTTAGCACTTGGGAACCCTGGCGACCTGTCGCCAACAAGTAATAAGCCGCGGAATAAGTTGGGCTATCATAGAACTTCAGTCGCATGTGGTAAGTTGAGAAACGAAATCCTATGGTGGTGCATTACTTGATCACTGACTGATGAGGGTAGGTCATTGCAGACGTAGAAAGATACGATGTCTCTTAGCTCCAGACGATCCTGCAGGCCGTTGCTCCAACTGCATTCGGCTGAAAAAAGAATGCAACTTCTACCCAGTTGAGCATAACCCCGATCTGCCGCATGTCCCAACTATCTCGTCGAAATCAGGTAGCGCAGTACAACCAGCTACACCAGTAGCTACCTCACCTCGGCATAGCGATGCCATGGGCGAATTCCGCACACCATTCTCTGGAGCTGCGTCAAACGGACAACCTCCAAGCTTTGGGTATCACGGCGAACATGAAAGCGACCGTCACCAAGTGCCTGTCGATGGCCGTATGTATTCTGCCGTCTCGGGTTTGCCAACGCTAACCAACAAAGTCCCAGTACAGCATCCCTCATATCCATACCCTCCTCCTATAGAAACCCAGTGGCCATCAGCGAACGGTTTCTTACCTTCATCTACCATAGCCGAGAGCCCGTCATGGCGTAACTCACCTTCGACAGCAAACTCAGCATATGGCAGTGAGTCAAACGTCTCAGGTGGTCATACACCAGCCGCAATGAGCACGAGCTCGACTATGTCCTATGGTCACCAGGACTCTCATTGGGGTCAGCAACCACCATTCCAACCGCCAACGCGATCGATGTCATATGGCAACATAGAAGGACTTCCCCAACAATATTCTGGTCAAGGTCTTGGCATTCAGCACGAAAACTACCGACGTACCTCTCCGTATCCGTATCCGACTACCATAGACACAAATCCTTCCACAATGCACGCGACCACGGTAGGCGGATCTACGTCGGCGCCCCTATCCGCGCCCGTCGTTCCCAATCACTCTTATTACCCAGCTCCCTGGTCATCATACGACGGAATGCCAAACCACGGTCCACCAATGCCTTCATCTGGACGATCAATGAGTGCGCAGTGGTATGCAGAACCGGGACACCTAGATCGGGTACAAGAGGAGGTCACTCCACCAATGGCATACCACCATCAGGGCTTGCCACAGTTCTACTCTGGAGCATAGGCGGATTGGACCAGCAACTGTGCTTAAGTCACGACACTGCTTCTTGCAACAATACAACTTCGGCGGCACTATCAGAAGCTATACACTCAGATTCACATGTTCACCATGGTGGCACATGGAATGGATTATTGGCTGCTTAAAAAACCTTTCGGTGTGAACGCCTCTACATCGAAAATTATCATTCTTGGAGTTATTCGGCGCGGCACGACTGGTTTCACGATACAGGGTTTGGAGATCATGTTTTTATTTTTCATGGACCAACACTTGATCTTGGGCGCTATCGGCATCGCGATTGTTTCTATTTCTACAAACATTCTGTAAGAGGTGGCCCTCTTCATGTTCATCTCAGTTTCGCTTGAGAAGCCTTGATCTTCCATTGCGGCGGTTTCGTTTTCCACTCAATCGGCATTTAATCCCGTCTATCACATGTACAAACAGCACCGATTGGACCGCATCTAGAGGAACGCGACATGTAGCTTCTGATTACGCCTCAAGCACATGCGCTGAATTCGATACCCATCTTTCAACTCATCGCTACTTGATCATGTGAACACCTCGGTACGTCTGTGACATCAGTTTCCTGTCGTTCACGGTGTGGTGGCGTCCTCGCAAGGATGCGTTACCCGCAAGGTTTCACGGAGAACGCGGAGTGACTAACGCGAAACCTTCTCGTCTAGATTTACACTGGGCACTCTGCAAGGTACAATTGGCGACTGAGCAAGGTACCTCCTTACCGTGTTGGCATTCCTGCTTTAGATGCTTTAGATTGTCATTTTAGCCTTGGGTATCAGGCATACTCCCAACGCTGAGTAGACGTAGACACATTTGAATCACGTCACGGTTTGAACACTGGCATACGCTCTACAAGTCTAAATCCATTTACTCATCACGGAATCTTGATGCTCCGTGACTTCCAGTACGGTCTATCTCATTAACACTCTTCACGCCAATACCAGCAATGCAAAGATAGAGTTTTTTATGTCAATTATATCATGCATGGAGATTACGGACCGGCTATCAGCGAATGGCAATGCACTGTAACCGTAGGGCACACGCGATCATTAAGCAATACAATTGGAGGCATCGTCGTGTCCTCGTACCTGCGTCAACTACCCATAAAACCGGATTTTATTACCTCGGCCCTCTATTCTGGCGACACCATGTATAATTTCAGAATTTACCAGCTGTCAACAAAGTTTCCCATGACGTTTGAGCTATTTTGCAAGCGATGCAGGTATCCCAGGACTCGGAACGACTTTCTCTTCCCAGCCCGAACCTGCGGACATTGCGCAAGCGCCCAGGCCTTCTGTCCAGACTTCTTGAGACTGTCGTATGCGACTCCAGTATCCGAGCCTCGGTCATTCAAGGTTACTGTTGATCCACTTTTTCTATTCGCTTCTCCAGGACACAAGGAAAGCTTGGGCTTACAGTGATCCTCCTTCAATTCCGGGCCTTGAGACATGGCTGCGGAATGAACGGAAATTGCTTTTGCCCTTCTTCCAGTTTTCCTATACGACTTTTTCCCCGCTACCACACAGCCGGGAAGGAGGCCCGTCGACGTTTGCTCCGGAATGGCCCTTGATCCTTTACGGCCATTTTTTTGCTGATCCTTCCAGGCTGACTCATGGGCTCCAAAGCCTCGGTTGCGAGTCCTCTCGGCGTTCTTACCACAAAAGTGGAGGTGTGCCTGTACGAACTAAATCGGATCAGAGAAAATGAGGTGGGCACTGGACTCAACGCATGGATGCGAAGAGGTGCATTCACTGCTGCTTATTCCCAGCAGCGACTACTGCAGCTGTCGTCAGGGGTCTTCGTGGAGAAATGTGCGTAAAAATCGCTAGTTCGCAGTGAACACGTTAGTCGTATCAAGCGTGGTTACGTACTCGAGCTGGTGCTCAACATGTTCGCAAGTTTCAGCGAGACTGACGAATCACTCAGCAGCTGCGAACCTCATGCGCCCACGTTCTCGACGTTACACAAACGTACGCGCACTTCGCTGCAGCCCTATGCGTGAATGACTTACTCGCTGCACAACGTTACATCATTTCCTGGTGACACAACATCAGGATTTCCAGTAGGATTTGGGAGCGTATCTAGGCATCCAATCGCGCATTTCTCACATGCACAACACTAGAGCACGATTGGTTTGTCCTGTCATGGTTAGGCGTGCTGGCGGGTTGTCTTCCGTCGCTAGTACTGTATCCACCCTGATCCTCACCTTCTTCGGTCTGTCCGCACACGCACACCACTATGCTGTCATCACATTCCACCACGAATACCACCTTGTTAGCGTCGTAAAAGCCGGCCATTGCCGTGTGACAGTTATCGGCATCTGACCCCTGCAACGGAAGGTCACAACGAGTGTTGCAATCGCAGTCGCGTTCACGCGCTTCTGCAGGGCAAAGAACATCCATGGATGTATGCCAAGTTGGGAACACTACCTTCTACATCGCTCAACTTACGCATATCCAACAGTCAGAGTCTCTGAACTGTTACTCATGGAAAATTCACGCGTCTACAGCCGCGGAGACAGACCCATGCCAGATCCGCCTATCCGTGCTTTCTGTCAGTCATTGAGTGCGCACCGTACCTCCCGTTCCGCTTGATCTTGACGCCGTTTCAACGATCCAGGCTCACATTGCGAGTATCAAGCATCAGCGCATACAGCCACCTTTCTCATGCATGCTAAAAAAGCTACAGAGACATATACAACGACTCGGAGAGCATGCAACCACTACACTTTCCGTCTCTAACCAATAGCCTCTGCCTTGCATCATTGACCCAACCTTCACGATTGTCAAACAATCTAATCTGCATACTCACAAAGCGGCGTGACCTGCACGTAATGCGCCTATCCTGCACTGCGCCGCAAGGCCGCATCTGCAGCATTAGCCGTCCACCGTCCATGTCGACTGCTACATCCTTCCATCCGATCCGGGCAGGATTCCCGAGCTACGCCCCAATCCCACATGAAGTAGAACAACAGCCCATACAACATGCATTAGGCACAGGTACTGGACACTGCTGCTTTGGATCGCTACAGACGCATCATGCGCGTTCGGACCTTTTCGTCCTGCTGCTCGTGTTACCACGTACATGTACGTGGCATGCACTCCATAATCTTGGCTTCACGCATGGCGTATTACGCAAACTTACTTCCGCGCGCCATGCGATCCAGGCGTTGGACTGTTAGAGAGCTAGACGGTTTGCGGTTGCTCACGTACTTACACGAGGCGATGATACGCATGCGCCGTTTATTGTAATAACACGGCTGAACTGTAGGGTGGGTAAGATGGATGGTGTGCAAATCGTTCCAAGAATGATTACCATCTCGATATCAGTGAGTGCTGTGAATGTGGAAAGTCGTATGCGAAGATCTTCTCTTCTGCATAATACAGCGTCATCACAACATGAGAGAAAGGCTGTGAAGGTTTTCAGCTCTCCACTCATGCACAATTCCGCCCAACCTTTTTTCCATTCTCCCCTCAAATCCCTTGCATTTCAAATATCCGTAACGATCAAGTCTAGCGCATATGATTCCAAAGACTCGACGTCAAAAAGAAGGCCCGAATAGCACAAGACACTAGCAGACGTCTGCCAGCGCTTGATGTGGATTGGAGACTGCATACTCTTCCACCGGCTGCAATTGCAGCCGACGCTTGCTGACCTCTAGCGATTGGTAAATGCTTATTTGAATGTTGAAACGGAGCCATGGAAAGAGCCGGTACCTCGTTTGCATATCTACCAATAAGTCTTCGTGACTAGGACCTTCCAAGCACTTGGTGATGCGTGCTGTCGAGTTGATTTGGATGCCCTCAAAAACGAGGCTAGAAATCACGCATGTATTCATTCGTGCAAGCGAGCAGTAGCCTTCACAGAACCCACTATATCGGAGTGGTGTGGTGGAATCCTTAGACCTGGGCGCAAGTGAAACACGTCCGTAGTCACGATTCTGCCGCACACTGGAATACATCTCTAGCATGAAATCTACTCGCAGAAGCTTCTATGATAGTCTAGGTTGTGCGCTGATATTGCATCAGAGTTTGAGGGTTTTTGTGAATCAGTACTTTGGTCAGCACACTGCCCTCATATACCAGTGTGTTAGATCATTTCGAAGCGAACATGAATAGATTGGAACAAAAGAGAAATCACAATGAAAGCCATCGATTTAGAGAAGAGAAATCTTATTCATGCTCTAATTTAGACATTTGCTGGTGTGAAGAAAGATCTTCCTCACCTAGGCCTGCAGCAGGTCTGACGTTTCAGTCATGAAGAGCAGCGTATGTTATTGCTATACATGCACTCGCGCTCATTGCAAAGAATTTTCAGGACATATTTGTAGCATTCCTCACTATAGCATCTCCCTGCAGTGCCCATTGAGTTATCATGCGAGGGAGGTACTGCAAGATAATTAGCTCTAGAATGAAGAAGCATGAAATAGTAGTTGATCAATATCTAGCGTAGAGATTCAAGGGTTTCGATGCTCTTCTGACAATCAGATAGGAGTACAAGAAGAAAAGCGAAGTATACACGTGGTCGAGTTCAAAATGGAGGATTACAACAGGGCAGCAGGAGGAGCAGGAAAAAAGAACTCTTTGCGAGGTAACGCATCGCAAGCTAAGGCAAGAGTGTCGTAAACGTGTTATGTGTCATTATTGTGGGCGTTGTTAGCCATTCAGCGCGAAATGTCCAAAACTGTCAAAAATATGTACTTCACCATCACCACCCCTATCAGCAAAAGGGGACTAAAACATAATCACTTAAGCCCAAGGCTCGACCCAGAGCTACTGTTGCGCAGTTTTAGTAGCTAGATGGACCGTAGTAGGTTGTGGTAGCAAAAAAAAATAGGGATTATGAAGGTATGGTAAGACCTTCACCCTCAACACCAGAGCTACACCTCTACAACCATCCAGCAAAAACGAATGACTGTACAAGCCCGACGTGGGGGTCGAACCCACAACCTTGAGATAACCAATCGAGTCTTTAGGACGTGAAAGCTAAGAGTCTCACGCTCTACCGATTGAGCTAGCCGGGCGATTTGAAGTAATCAGACAATTGATGGAAGTTTGCCCGGTTAAAACGTTGATACCATCATGTAGGTAACAATGAACGGCAACTTCGAGTTCACAAACTCCTTGTCGGAGCGTTTGGATGGTACAAATTAGCAACGAAGTGGGGTGAAAGGAAAATTCTGCGGTGAGCCCGAACCGGGAAAACCCCGCCTTAGACCCAACCAAATATTACTACACCACACCAAAACAACAACTCTCGCCGAGAAACTCGCCTCGAGGCCTAGGTGCGGGCAATAGTGTTCTAGGTCAATTTATAGTACACTTGTGAATACGTTGTGCTGCACCGTTCATAATTGTTGGACGCTTGTATTACAATCGTAAAGGTCTTCTTCACGCAGCCTAGTTACAAGTCCGCTTGCTGTTGCCTACTACATTTACCAACCATACATTGTCTATTCATAATAACCCGACCGAATTTCGTTCCCGTAAGAGAGGTTCAGATCTCCTTGTCAAACCTCCAAGTATAGGCTGGACCCAATTGTCTCCACAAAGGACGCCAAATTCGACTGCATATATGGTCTAACCTAACAGTATGTTGTCATCGAGCTGTTTAGTATTATATTGTACGCACCGATATCCATTGGTCATTAAACTTTCTTTAGCTGACATAACGCCGTGATCTCCGGAGGGGGTTGGTCGCATCGTAATGTACAGTCTACGCATACGATCATACTCCAAGGGTATACAATCTCGACGCCCAATCAAAGACGCAAACTCCTTCTATAGTGCCGAACTCTTTCGCTGCGACTCCGCAACCTCATCACAAAGTATCCAGAAACTGTCAAGGACAAGTCTCAAAAGTTCATTCCGTCCCAATTGCTTTGCGCCGGCGCTTCATATCTCTCCCGCCGTAACCTATCGTTCTCTTCAATCAGCGCATCCCTCTCTTTCTCAATACTCTGAATATACTCAATCGCCGATGACAAAATCATCGCTTTGCTCGGTTTCGGATGCCCTATCGCACCAGCCTCGTCGCTCTGCCTCAATATCGGTACGGACCTTCTCAGCCTCTCCAACTCCGAGTTGAGCCCTTCTCGGTACTTGCGCTCAACCTGGTTATGTGGTAGACGTTTCGAACGCTGATATTTTGTAGTAGTTGGAGAGGTCATGATTTCGTTGTCGGTGCTACTACGGTCCATCTTCGGTCGACCCCGCTTCCTCGTGGGGCGTTTGGGAGTGGACGATTCGGATGCAGAGGTTGGCGATGATGGGGATTCGCGCTTCAGCATGTGGGGTGAAAGGGAAGGCGATATGAGCGGTTGCGGCGCGTCTCCACTGAATGACGAGGGTTGCGACGTTGTGCTTGTAGGGGAAAAGCTGTCTGGTTCGTTCGGTTGGAATTGCCTCGTATTTATCGCGAAGCTGAATGGATATTGGCCAAGTTGACTAGGGTGTGAATTGAATGCTTGCGTCATAGGTTGTTCGTTGCTTCTTGATGGGATGTTTGTCGCAGAATATGTTGAGCCGAATGTTTCTTGCGCTTTCGATGTGTCGGTAACACCCTCTACGGACGTCAAGGCCTGGTCGAAGAAAGAATCGGAGTCGAAAAAGGTGTTGAGCGAGTAGTCCGGAGCCGGCTCATTGAGGTAGGGGTTGTCGAAATAGTTCGTGTACGGCATAGTGTTTTGTGGTGGAGAGTGGTCGGTAGGCTCGATCTTGTTTCCCTGCGCATTACTCGGGGCGTTCATCAAGACTTTGTTGACTCGTGTATCGAGGGAGGTACTCGTCGGTGTATGATGGCTGGTGTATCGGTGTCGCTCGGAAAGACCAAGGCATTAATATTATAAGGATACGGGGACGTAATTGTATCGACGATTCGAGAACTACACAGCCAACAGAGTAGGTAATAGGTCCTTGTGACTTGCTGAGAATCCACCACTAGGATTGACCAGGTTCCGGTGTAGTGGCTCGTCAAGTCAAGATGCTTCCAGTAGCTGTACGGTAAACCCAAAATCGCAAGTGATATGTGGATCCATGTACTCCTCAACCATTATTGGCACGGCTAGCTAACCCTTCCGCTTCCGCGAGCTTCACTGAAACATCTGACGCTCAGCCAGGAGATTGAAATTTTAACAAAACTGCGAAGGTCGAACGATAAGCACCTCATCGGCGCAGTCCGGTAGGAGCAGCATGTCGTGTAGTCTCGGGACCAGCTCCACTGCGCCGAAAACCGCTTCCCGTGTATGCTCCGACACCGAGATGCCGACGTGACTCTGAATACGCATCGCAAGGACAGCAATCCTCGTTTTCGTGCGTATAGCCGAGTGTTACTGTGTTGATCCTAGTCCAAGGCCCAAATTGCGGTATAAGACCGCACAGTAGTCCATAGGCAATGATGCAGGATCTTGCTTGCTTCGCTTTTGCGCGGCAAGCTCGGGACGGGTCGCATAAACCACCTCTGACTCCGGATGGATTTCTTCGAGAGACAATCACCGGGTTGCGTGGTTAGCAGGTACCATTGCAGTATCAAAATCCGTGGGTAGTCGTCAGCGAAGAATTTCCGGATGATGCACTCTTTGTTATTGATGTACATGAGATGTGTTCTGACGTAAAACCTTGCTTTCTCGAGAGTATAAGCCTGTTTTGTCAAGTACTGCATTACATCGTTGTGCGTCAACCGGAAACGGTAGAGGTTCTACCAGAACGCCTGTTGTGGTACCACGTTTGAATGCTAGAGTATGCCAACGGGCGTTCCCGCTATTCCTGGAAGCGCAAGGGAATAGTCCGGGCTTAACAAGATGAGTCGAGAAGTTCTCTCGCTGCACATGTGGCTGAGTTAAAATTGGCGTGAGGCGCCTCGTAAGAATGGCGTGATACTGGTCCGACACGATCAAAAGGGGTAAGTCTAAGAGAGTGAGGCAAGGATACCCACAACCCATGCCCGTCGCGTTTCTCTGTAATCAACCTCGGTGCACACAACAAGAACAATGATGATTTTGCACGCGACTTCTTTGTCGACGCCGCAGATGGTGTGAGAGCATTGAAAGAGAGCGATAGCGCGACTGCGCAGTCGAAGTTGTACGTAAGATTGATCTGCATTAAACGGCATGTCGCGATTTCACACAGGGATAAGACAATGGCGACCTTTCTTCAGCAGCGAAGGTAGTGTTCTCGTTGGTGTACATAAATGGTGAAGCTGCTGGTCGCAGCACTGGCGATTTATTAAGGTTACCACTTGCCGACCCCACTACCCCTCATGGAGCGCCAACTGCTCAAGCTTAGAGCTCTAAGTACCCGTCATGTCAACCACGACCACATCAACAAAACCAGGCCACGTCAGGACGCGATTTCTCGTCATCTCGGATACTCACTCTATTGCCCCTGCTGACAATGTCGGAAACAATGATGCGTCCTTCCGTCCACCACTGCCTAAGGCAGATGTGCTCCTACATTGCGGCGACCTGACGATGATCGGTCTTTTGGATGAGTATGAAAAGACTCTTGATATGCTGGAGAGTATCAACGCGGATCTGAAACTCGTGATAGCTGGTAACCATGACATCACTCTGGATGAAGAATATTATGCCAGAAAGGGCGAGAACATGCACAGGGGCAGACACGACAAAGACCTACCTGCGAAGGCGAGAGATATGTGGACGGGCGAGAGAGCTAAGAGAGCTGGTGTGACCTACCTAGAAGAAGGAACGCATACTTTCCAGTTACCGAACGGTGCCAATCTCAGGGTAGGCGTATTGAAATACTTTAACTCTCTTGGAGACTTACAACTTTCAGGTCTACGCTTCCCCTTACCAACCAGAGTTCTGCGACTTTGCCTTTCCATACTCACGCAATGAAGACCGCTACAACCCCTCCCATCAGTGTACACCGAACGCCAAACCGATCGCCGAGAACCCTGTCCCAGACTTCCCCAGCATCGATGTTATGATGACCCACGGGCCGCCTATGGGCGTCATGGACGCGACAACAACGGGAGAGCACGTCGGCTGCGAACACCTCCTACGAGCAGCTCGACGCTGTAAACCCAGACTTTACTGCTTTGGACATATACATGAGGGCTGGGGTGCGCAGAAAGTACGGTGGAACACCAACGGTCAGCTGGATGTCAAGATAGAAGAGCATATCGAATTCGCTGATGCTGTGGCTCTTGATTGGGAGGCAATCATGGACGAGAGGGCTGCGAGTGTTGACGTTGGTCAAGGTAGCGACAACGCGGTTGAGTTTGGACGGGACACGCTGATGGTCAACGCCAGTATCATGAACGTAACATACAAGCCATTGAACGCGCCATGGCTTGTGGACTTGGATCTTGAGCAGGCGTAATTAGCTTCTCTGTGCGAGATGTGAGTGTATGGATCTAGGATTTTGTACTCGTCAGAGACAGCAAGTAGGCATTGATGAGATGACCTACTTGGTCGACTTATGATACGGTCATCGCCGTTATTAGAGAATGATTGGTACATGGCAGCAAATTCATGTTCTTAAATGCATTATGTTACAACAAGATTTCCTGTTTCCTCTCGCTACCTGCGTCGAGAAATAGATTTCAAACAGTTTATTTGCTACAAGCCGGCACATTTGAGCACATACGACCATAGGACACTGAAAATTAGGCTTCCCGTCCGCTCAGCCATATACAAGCAGTGTACCGGCGGATTAGTAGTTAGGTGGGTGACCACTAGCGAATCCCTGCTGTTGTATGTTTTTGATTGTTATTTTTTTTTTGCTTTAGTTTTCCTTTTCGCATACCTCCTATCCACCGTCCTTAACGATAGCTTTCGATACCTCAATCTCGATATTCTTATCTCTTCCGTCTATTATGGTGAAAGTAATGTCTTTCTCGAGAAGCTGGCACGAAATGGACAGGCGCGCCAGTGTGTTATAGTGGTACAAGTATGAGAATTCTGCTGCTACGCATGCAAATTGCCTGTTCGGCATAGCACACATGAGTACCTAGCAGCACTCCATTGTGCTTCAATTTGGTATCCTACAAATATACTAAGAAGAGAGATATACTCTCTAATCAACCACTAATATCCATCGTTATACATGGAAAAAACGCATTTGTAATATGCTATGCTGTCTTCTAATCCATGAGTATGTTAGAGGAAGTCGTAGCGGATACCTTCTGAGCACGATTTGATAGTACGCAATCAGAAAGACGAGCTTTCTCACGCATGCACTGTATATAATAGAAAACTCGAACGGGTATAGAGATAATGTGCCCTAACTTACCGCGTACGTTAGCTTCTAAGAAGAAATTCTAACAAGACTAATATTATTATAAACTTCTAGATTCTCTATTTATATTAAGAACGGTCTTAACACGCGTTATTATAGTAGGTATAAGTACTCTACTCTAAAGAGATGTTCAGTTTCTCTCTCTAAGGTGGTGCATGTAATGCATTAGATGATAGATTTTCACATAGTGACCGCGATGATCAAAACGTGACAGCGCGCGTGCGGGTCGATCTCCCGTACCAGTGATGCAATCATGACCACCACCGTTCGAGGCCCGTATCAACGCGTCGAAAATGGCGTTCTGTATACCATTCCCCCCAATTTAGAGATTACTCTTATTTGATTCGATCTACAAGATTTCCATTGTCTCAAAATTTAAACACAAAGTTTTCGCTATGTTGCTGAGAATCCCACACGTCACATTGACGCGCTTTGCCCGTGACGTCAGACCGTTTGCCCGCTATATCACAACTTCTGCACCACGACCTTTCCCCTCTTCACTCTCTACACCCCTAAATCGCATGCAATCAATTGAACGCACGAAACAAATTACCAACCAACTTCAATCAGCTAATCAACAACGCAACTACGCAAACAACATGGCTCCTACCAACAACGCCGAGCTCAAGATGGACCAGGTCTTTCCTGTCAAGGACAAGGTCGCCTTGGTCACCGGTGGCGGCTCAGGAATCGGTCTCATGATTACCCAGACTCTTGCTGTCAACGGTGCTAAGGTGTACATCGTTGGAAGGACAGAAGAGAAGCTCGAAAAGGTTGTCGAGGTGCATGGTCAGAACATTGCAGGTCAGGTGAGTTTTCGGCAAACTTTATACATGTGAGATATGTCTTAACGGTTTGCAAATAGATTATCCCCATTGTGGGAGACGTCAGCACGAAGGAGGGCGTATCGAAGATTAAGAAAGAGATCGAGTCAAAGGAGAAGTGCGTGTGCATTCTTGTCAACAACGCTGGTATCGCACCAGGCAAGACCGAGGTGAAGGGAAGCTCTGAAGAGCTAGTCGACAAGCTGTTCGACGGCACAACTGAGCAAGAGTGGTTGGATGTGTACCAAACCAACGTTGTCGGTCCCTTCCTCATGTCCACCGCCTTCCTCCCTCTTCTCCAAAAGTCCACCGAGTCGCACCCCGGTTACTCAGGCACCATCATCAACATCTCATCTATTTCGGGCCATATCCGCATTTCACAAGGTCACTTTGCCTACAACTCTAGCAAGGGTGCTGCGATTCATTTGAACAAGATGCTCGCGTCTGAGATTGCCAAGAATGGTATCAAGGTGCGAGTGAACTCTATTGCGCCTGGTGTTTTCCCTTCAGAGATGACGACCCAGGAGAGCAGAGATGACAACCAGAAGAGTGAGATGCCCAAGGATCACAAGGAAGGTCTGCCTGCGCAGCGACCTGGAAAGGACCAGGATATGGCTGCAGCTATCCTGTTCGCTGTTGGCTGCCAGTACCTTAACGGTCAAACTGTCACTGTCGATGGTGGCTACGCGATCCAGGTTGGCAACTAAGTATATTGTACTTCTTTTTCTATAGTCTCTTCTACCTCGCTCGGATATGAGCTTTACGATGTATGATAGATGGTATGCCGATGCCACACAAGGCAGGCACAGGCTTACTCAGCTGTGACTCGGACACTGCTATAACTGTTCGAGAATAAGAGAATGAACAAAACGTCCTAATGATCTAAACATGTTTCCCTGGCAATTGTGTTTGGTGGTTGCTAGTGACTAGCTTATGGAGAAACTCATCAAGTTCTATATCTGAGGTGTAACCTCAAATTAGTCTCAATTCTGCCAAAGTCAAATGGCAGGCAATCCTACCATATTGTATCGTTCGATTAGTCTAAGCCTCATTGTATTCTGTCATCTCAACTGATCACTGGTGATGATCGAAAAGATCCGGATATGTAACGTGTTTTGCTGGATACGAGGAATATGTATAAGAGGAATAGTATACATGTAAGGAAAATTTCTAGTCTGTCACCCTGGGTCTCACCGTATTAAATCCGAAACATACAATGCGCCAATAAAACCGAAAGGTCCACATCTCCTTCACTCAGATGCTGATTCTTCCTCATCTGACACTTCTACTTCCGCATCACTCACAACATCACTCAACACCTCGCTCTCCGCGTCGCTCAAACCACTACTCACCGCATCGCTTTCAATATCTTCCACAGCCTTCTTCCTACCCTTGGCCTTCTTTGCGCTACCGCCCTTGACAGGACTATCTCCAGCTCCCTTCCTCCCTCCGGTCCTATGAACCAAATGATCAATCGGACATCCCTCATCCCATCCCTCGCTGCTTTCACCTGTTATAGCACGGCACCTAGGACAACTCTTCCCGTGCTTAATAAGCAGTTGGTGAAGCGGGTACTTGAGGTGGTCCGGAACCCTGACTTCGCAATGTGCATATGTGGAGTTGCGTGTTGGGCCAGCGAAGGTGCCTTTCTTGCCGGGCGGAAGGCCTCTGTCATCGCCTGGGGGTGGTACCCAGCCTAGCCATGAACACAGGCGGAAGACGTGGGTGTCGACTGCAAAGGAGGGTCGTTGGAGGCAAAAGAGAAGCACACAGGACGCGGTTTTCGGACCAATACCAGGGTATTTGGTCAGCGCGTTGAAAGCGTCGTCGTTGGAGAGTAAGTGAAGATGGTCTAGTGAGACAATGTTCTGGTCTGCCTTCTCAACCTCGTCACGCTTTTCTGCTTCTGCTTCGTTGGTTTCACCCGGTGCCTTGTCTGATGAAGCCAGGAGCTCGTCACGTCGTGCTTGGTTCTCTTCCCAGACCATTTGTAGAATCTTCTTGATGTCCTTGCTTTTTACGTCTGCGAGACCACCACTCTTGATTGCTTCGAAAATTTCCTTTTGGTCTGCTTGTCGCACTTTGTTCCAGTCTACGCTTCCTTTACCGATGCCTTCTTTCAGGACGCCGAACTTGGCGACAAGGCCGGCGAATGCGCGGGACGAGTTCGTGCCGGACGTTGCGGCCGAAAGCCGGGTTCGGATGAGGGCATCAAGGACTGATGGTACTTCTCCACAACCTGAAACCTCGAGAGATGGCGCGGGAATGGTCTTGGGCGCTTCGACCTTGCCGTGAACTTTGGAGAGTAAACGGGTCACCTCTTCGCATTCTTCGGCCGTAGGGTGAGGGTAGTTTGGGTATGGCGTATGACCAGGAGTAAGGCCATAACCACCTGTCTTGGCTTTACTCTTCTTGGATGACGCGTCCGTGGTGGTAGTCGCTTTGGCAACGAGGTCGTCGACTTCCTCCTTCTTTGGCTTGGTGGCTTTTGCAGACTTCTTGGGCGTTGCCGACTTACTCGGCCTCTTTGCTGAAGCTTTACTCCCGGCTTCCTCGTCTTTAACGGGAAGATCCGGAATAGCACCGAGGTTGTGTGGGAGTTCGTTGATGTCTTCTTGTTTTACTGCTGACTTCTTGGCACGTTTTGTGCTCTTGGGTGTAACGGGAGCTTTCTTGGTTGTCGCATCTGGCGACTGTTCGATCTTGACTGCTTTCCTCTTTCGCGTGTCACTCGTTTCGGGGGTAGTTGGGGGACTGGACAGTTGTACTGGCTCAGGCACGGCGTCGGCCCTGGCAGAGCTCCTTGTTGCTCGTGCCATGCTTAGTACAGTGGATATGCCGAGTCGATTCGATTCGATCGTCAAGAGGCTTGGGCGCAGTGCCAGCAGTCGCTTATATGCAAGTCTGAATGCAATGGTGGGGGATTGACGCCAGAAAAACGAACTGGAGACGAGCGATAGAAGGGGGTCTTCTGAAGTGTCCTGTGAGCGGCAAACGTCAAGCTACAGGTGAAAGGAAATGGAAAAGGGGAGACTGATGGTGAAGGTGAATGGCAGGTATCATGACGTCGATGACGATGATTGGAGCTTTGACCCTTGTCCCTGCCTTAGCGCGTATCTAAAGCACGCGCCGAGGTCCCACTCTGGCGCGAGTCCGTCACCTCTGAGCAGAGCTACCCCACGCACCTCTATCGATACCACCGACATACGACTCCAGACGACTTCATCATGTCCCACAAGGCACCTTTGGTTGTTCCCGCGCTCAAGCGACACACGGCCACTGTCATCGTGGCGCACGGGTTGGGCGACAGTGGGGCTGGCTGGTAGGCTCCGGAGCACTCAACACCATGGAGGTCTAGACACTGAAGGACATAGGATATTCCTCGCGGAGAACTGGCGCAGGCGGAGCAAGTTCGAGGAAGTCTCATTCATCTTCCCCAATGCTCCGAGCATCCCAATCACGCTGGTTCGTCAACCACCCACCGCCGCCAACACACGGCACGGGCGCTGATATGCGACTCTACAGAACATGGGCATGCGCATGCCAGGATGGTACGACATCAAGTCACTGAGCACTCTCGATGACCGAGAGGAAGACGAAAAGGGCATCATCGACTCCCAGAAGTACTTCCACTCCCTCATCGACCAAGAGGTCGCAAAGGGCATACCCGCCAACCGCATCGTCGTCGGCGGCTTTTCCCAAGGCGGCGCCATGTCACTGCTGTCCGGTGTGACTTACAAAGACCAACTCGGAGGCATCTTCGGCCTGAGCTGCTACCTCCTGCTGCAGAAGAAGATCAAAGACATGATTCCGACTGAGAACCCCAACCAGAAGACGCCCATTTTCATGGGCCACGGCGACGCCGATCAAGTCGTTGCGCACAAGTGGGGAAAGCTGAGTGCTGACGAGCTCGAAAAGCACGGGTTCAAGGTCGACTTCAGGACTTACAAGTACGTCCTGTGTGTAGCAAGAGAGACATGCCTCTGACAAAGTATAGGAACCTGGTGCACTCCGCCGATCCTGATGAGATTGATCACCTCGAGTCCTACCTCAACCAACAAATCCCCACCCTCGGCGACAAGTCGGAACTCTGACTGTCGAGTTCCTCCACGCTCGTATCGACCGAAGCCACGACAGCCCTGGTGCTCATCACCACACTGGCTATTGCTTGGTTTGCATGGTACAAGCGTGATGCTGTACTCAAGCCGCACGACGATACAGAGTGGCGCAACCTCGAATAACAACAGGAGGCGCATACTACAATGACTTGGACAAGACGTATGTATGCATCACTTAGGATACGGTCGCAGTAGCCTTGCCTCGTAGGTGCTTTTTTCAACTTCTTAGTGAGCCAAATTCAAGTTGTGTACCTGTACCTGTCGGCTCGCCATCCCCACCCAACTAGAGTCTGTATTATCTAGATACAACTAAGAATCTCTGCCCCACCCTCATTTTTCTAATTCAGTCACGGCTTGTCTGTCCGCTAGTTTGATGTTCGTCGGTCAGGTCTGCAAAATTTCTTCCACTGCCCCACTCACCACCACGTCAAGTATCGCAACTACTACCTTTATATTGCTACCATTCTTTCAGTGTTCCATCAAAGTCCGATATGGTCTAGTGGCTAGGATTTGCCGCTCTCATCTCGCAGAGTCAGTTCACTGTACAGTGCCGGCAAGGCCCGGGTTCGGTAAGTTCACTCAATTCCATTCGAGTTCGACTCATCATTCTAACAATCCAACAGATTCCCGGTGTCGGAAATAACCATCTTTTTTGATGTTGGTAAGAAATGGGAGGTGGTTGAGGCATGGCAGCGCAGAGCCAAGAGAGATATGCTTGGTAGATTTTTGGTTGAGTCTCGGCGGCAGCAGTACCCGAGAATCTCAAAAGCAGAAAGACTGTGTATACTTACAGCGACATCTTTTTAATTTGCGGTGTGTGTTGCCGCAAGTCTTAATATCATCTGCATGCTGTGCATCGAAAGCTTTGTTCGTACAGAGACTCACCTTCAGCGTGTATATATGCGCCAATTGGTGCTTACTGTCATCGTGCATCAAACGCAGTCCTAAAATATCGGCTACATTGATTACGTCCTCTGTTATTACGATGACTTTGGTGACGGCAGTGCATACCATGATGCTCCTGCCACGGATATCGCGCATCCGATGCACCTGCCTCGAACTTCATCATCAGGAAAGGACCAAGCACTGCATGACCTCACCGAGTTTGCGGTGGCTGCTTTTTCTCTACACCGAGTTCCTCCTCCCAGTACTTCCCACGTGCCTCGTCCATGCAGCGCATCCTCTATCAATGCCTATATTTGGTGCTCGCTACACTCGGCCAGCGTTAATCAGGCCTCCAACAACGTCACACACTGCCAACGCCTTTGCACGGGCAGCGAGCTTGCCAGCAATCATATAGATTACCAGGCTTCCAGCGGGGTCTCGCCTGTCTGCTAAGCTCACGCCTCAAAGCTTTGTACCACGGCAAAAGAGAAGAGTCAGGGGTCGCATCGTGTCCGTCCACCAGCTAGTCAGCTTTTAGCGAGTGCTTAATTTCTTAAGGCTGACCCCCCTCCTGGGTTCCCAACCTTTCGCGAATCCATACCCGCATTCTGGCTCCTCGCAAAAGGTAACCCTCAAGCGCTCAACGGTTCTGCAATGTCATTTCCTATGACGCTGTAGTTCCCGACGATCTAGTAGATCACAACATATGCGACCAACAAGCACTGCAGCGGAATCTCCACAATCACGACGCAAAGTCAGCCCTCGACCTCGTGAGATAATGCCGACCTTCCGGATCAGTCTGGCCGAAACATGTCATTGGTAAATTTCCGAGCGCTCACCCTTTGGGAAAGCATCTCATCCGTGCGTTCAGGCACGAGCGCCGTATTTGACATGCGCTTCAGCGCTGGCGCACCTGTAGCGCCGGCCTAACGCTGGCCTCCAGCGTCAGTCCATGTGGAGTATGTACGAGCGCCGTAAGGCGACGAGCTTTATTGGATGCGTGCGCCATGGGTCAATACGAGAGGGGGCTATTATTAAAGAGCTGAGCTGCTGCCCACGAAACTATTCTTCATCGCAAGGTCTTGTTTCTCAATTTACACCACTTTCGTCGTCGTCTCTCGTTTCGACAGTCACTCGCTTCGACCAATTACTCGAATAGCTTAATCATAGTCATAATGCGCTTCTCCGCTTTCGCCATCTTGTCCCTTGTGTCGGTTGCCTTTGCTGGTAACTGCGGACCCCAGAATGGAAACGCCAAGTGCGCTGCCAACGAGTGCTGTAAGTTATATCCAGACGACATGTTCTCGAAACCCTACTAACATGCATTACAGGCTCCCAGTATGGCTGGTGCGGAACCACCGTCGACCACTGCGATGCAAAGACCTGCCTTCACCCCTTCTCTGGCGCCTCCTCATCATGCAAGCCCACCCAGACAACAATGAAGACCAGTGCAACCAAGCAGGCCACCTCGCCCGCCACCACCTTCCCTACCGCCGTCCCCGAGATCGACGTCTGTGGACACGCCCAAGGCGGTGTAACCTGCCCTGGCGCCGGTGCCAACGGCTACTTCTACCGCTGCTGCTCCTCCGCCGGCCACTGCGGCCCCAAGAACGACATCCAAGACCAGGCTCTCTACTGCGGCGACGGCTGCCAAGCTGGTTACGGAAAGTGCGACAGCCAGAAGGCGCCTGCTGAGCCTACCGCCCCCAAGGGTACCTCCGGTGCTGGAGAGACTTGCGGTCCTATCGTTAACAAGAAGTGCGCCGCTGGTCTTTGCTGCTCTGGATCCAACTTCTGTGGCACTGGTGAGGACTTCTGTGGAAAGGCCAACTGGTGCCAGAGCAAGTGGGGAAAGTGCAACTAAGACGTTGGGCTGGAAGAAGATTTCAGGATGGGAGGGGCATTTATATTAGAGTAACGAAAACACTAATTTTGGGGAGGAATGTAAAGACATGAGAACCATAGATCATATGCACCTGCGTTACTTGATTGCAATCTTTTTTCTTCAGCATCGCCTCATTTGATGCCATTCGACGGGTAGACCTCTCCTTCACTAAACCATTCACAGGACAAACACAAGCATATGCAACAATACATGCTACTACATTACATCCGCATGTAGTTGCCACGCTCACAACAAAACCTCTCTTCCAGAATACCTACTCATGGCAAAGGCGGTCCATTTCGAACCCCATACCCCAGCCCCAGACTCTGAATACCTCTTCCACGGCAGCGGCACCGTCTTGAAACCTTGCCACATAACCCGCTACATCTACCCCTCCCTCTGCGACTACCCGCCAGGCTGTCTGCGTCTCCAACTGCCATCCAACTCCTCTTCGCGGTCTCGACCCCAAGGCTCCGGGTCCTGGGGCACCAACGGCCACACTTTTCTTAGCATAACGAACACGCAGAAACTAGCTCCGCGCTCAGCTTCTTTTGCAGAATGGTCAACGCGGGAGTTGGAACGGGATAGGAAGAGTAAGAATGCATTGGCGAGGGGCATGGCGAGGATGAGCTTGTATGTGGGTAATACGGTGTTGGAGGCGGGTAAGTTTCAACTAAGGAGAGGCGAGGGTATGTGTTTTGTTGTTGTGAGGAGGAGTGTCGTTGTGCTTGAGGGGGAAGGAGGAGGAGGATATGGGGACAAGGAGGGGTTTGGGAGGGAAGAGGAGAGGTATGTTATCCCGTGTACGGAGTGGAGAGGGATGATGCCACCGATGGTTGAAGGGAAGGAATACGATTGTTGGTGGGTACGTCTACATGTAAGTGTTGTACTTTGCACTCGTTCGTCTTGATAGAAAGAAGACGAAGAAGAGGTGGGCAGAGAAGGTAAGGATGAACGACCACGTACAAAAGCTGATCAATCGCTATGCAGAACCTCTTTCAGGCAAGCTACGATCGAGCGTTTTTTCATGCTCGGGACCAAATGGATAGTGTCCTTCAGATGGCGCCGCCGCTAATCAACTGGTACCCTAGACCCGACATCGAAGCACTCGTCACCGTACACCGCGATACTCCACCACCACCCGCACAGGCAAAATACCTAGGCGACGCATGCCCAGCCTGCAGCCGCACCTGGTTCACCGAGAGCGAATATGCGTGCCGCCTCCATTGCGGCCACTTCCTCTGTCTCGAATGCCTAACCCAGCACGTCGATTCAAGTGCCGGTCGAGGCAAATTGCTTCCGGGCGAAACCGACCCGTTGACTAAATTCTTCCGCTGCATAGAATGTAAAAGCATAACAGCTCTCCTCGTCGACCGCACCGCCGTGACACGCCCCGACGAACTGCACTGGTGGCGTTGGAAAATCAGCATGCGGCGTCTAGAAAAGGAAGCTTCAGAGTTCTGGCTTGTGAGACTCCAGACACTACCGCATAGTGGGTGGTTCCGCGATATACCACAAGACTGGGATACTGACCGGCAGGTCAAGGAGATTAGAGTCCATGTCCGCTATGATGATGCGGTAGCGTTTATGCACGTGCCGAAGAGAGTTTGGGCAATGTTGCCGTATGGATTTAGTTTGGACAATCCTGTGGAGAGTTGCGAAGCGCTGGCGTTGGAGAAGTGTTTGAAAGGCGAGTTGAAGCGCCTTTCTGTTGAGCGCAAGTTGTTTAACACCAAGGAGATTCTGGATCATATGGCAAATGTGGGAAGGGGTGCGTTGAAGCCTGTTGTTGTGGAGGATGTGAGTGCGAGATTGGGTAATCCGGTAACGCCGCCGGGGTATGAGGCGTATCGCGATTTCTTGTGTGAGTGGACTGCGAGAGGGGTGCTCATGTGTCCAATGGGACGGATGCCGATTCTGGAGTTTTTGAGAAATATGGACAAGGAAGGGAACAAGAACAAGGCTTGGTGGAAGGACGTGCGGGATGTCTTCTTTGATCCGTAGACTGTAGGAATCAGAATCAAGGGTTCACCCTAACGGTATACGTAGATTTTTCTATTGTAACTTTGACAGAGAGACAATAGTGTAGACATTCAGGGTAGGTGTTAACAATTGAAGTATGATCTGGCAGAAACAAGCTCCTTCATAAGAATGACACATTGCTGGATGAATCTCTATATGTGCAAACACAGCACAAGTACTCGCTAGACCTACATATCAGACATCAAACAACATCAGACACCCCATTTCCTCCCAACCCTCCAGTCAAACTCTTCATTCTCCTGCCCAACAAGTCATCCTCGCTCGCCAGACTAACCAAGCTCTTGCGTCTCCCTCTGTCATTCTTTGTCCTTCCCCTTGTACTTCCTCGCACACCAGTTCCGTTCTGCTGTGGCGGACTCTTCTTTCCCTTATTTAAAACAGTCATCTCCAACGGCCTGTCTTCTTCCGCTGAAGACGCGGTGTTGGTACGCCGATGATGTCTCTTCCGTTGATGTTGCGGAGAAGTCAAGCCATCAATAGCATCCTGTAAACCCACCGTACCGAAATAATCGCTTCCTTTTTCTCGTGGTCTCCTCGGCGTAGCAGTAACAGCAGGTGTGTACATGGGCGTCTCATCACCCCTCCTCCCATCCGTCGCATCTTCAAACGCCTCAGCGATCCATTTGCCACACCTGAAGATGTACTTCCACCCTTCTGGAAAAACCCCTACAAACTGCAAAAATCCATGACTGATTCCCGGCACCAAGTCCACATTGACCCATTCCCCCTCTCTAAACTCACCTCTCGCCCAGTCTAGTCCCAACTCCTTCGCCGCAACCCACTCCGCACGCTTCGCTTGCCGTAGTCTGCCTGCAAAGATAACCGTATCATCTACGAGCGGATCGCGCTCACCCGTTAACATCCATGTGCGTGGAAACCTTGCTAGTAGGGACTCCGGGGCGAGTAAAGGAGAGAGGAGGTAGTCGGTTGAGAAATCTGGGCGGTGGTGCGGGCCAATGTAGAGGATTATCATTGCGCGCATCATTTCGGGGGTGAGGATGCGGTCGTTGAAGTAGGATATCATGGAAGACATTGCGAGGCGAGTTTTGATGGCTGTGGCTGGGGGTGCTGGGACTGTAGGGCCAGGTGTAGAGGGCTGTGTCGCGGCCGGTGTGGGCGGTAGACTTGAATTGGCAGGCGTTGTTTGGCCGGGAGGTTGGTGGAGGGTGCTGGTGTTAGTGTCGAGGCGGGGAAGAGGAGTGCTTTCTTGTGCGGCGGAGAGGTTGATCATGGTCTGGGGAGACGTCCTGAGACCATTGGTCTTTGGCATAGATGCATTGGTCATGCTGACTCTGTTGCGCTCATCTTCGTCGTCACCATCCGAATCATCAGAGCCATATGGTGTGTTGGGCGCAAGTTGTCTGTAATCATCGCTCTTATGCCGTAAGATGGGTCGATTCGTCTTCCTCACTCGTCTGTCGCGGATAAGCGCCATTTGCTCGTCCGTCATCCAGTTGCCAATGTTCATGTCCAGCGCAGGGTAGATCAAGACTACGCCGATTGGAGGCGGGATCGCGTATTCACCCTGCCACCTTCGCGTCTCAGTCGAGCCACTTTGCAGGATCATGAGCACCATAGCAGTAACCAAGTTACCCCCAGCCGAATCGCCCGAGACAACGACCCTGGGCTCTACTTCTCCCGATAGACCCATGCACGTTCCTCTAGATGCGATAATCATGTGGTAGACATCGTAACATTCGTTGAGCGCATACGGATACGGGTGCTCAGGAGCCTTCTTGTAATCCAGACTAAGGACAGGCAGGCCCGTCTTGCCAGCCCAGCCCATGAGCTTATCGTCATGATTTCTCGGGTTCATGGCCACGAAACCACCTCCAGGTATGTCCAAGACGACCTTGTCCTGCTTCTTCAATGCGCTCCGCGGCCCGTTGAAGTACAGCCAGCCGGTCACGGGTTCCTTGTACGAACTAGCCTTGGGTCGCGGTATGCGAATCTGGCGCGGCGGATAGACCATCAGCCTCGGTCGCATCATGCTCGTCAGCGCACCCAGATACGGCGTGGTGCCTTTATTCCAAGCGACGCGCAAATGATCGACGGTAAGCGTGGCTCTAATCTTGCGGACTTTCTCGTCGGCTTGCTCGGCACATATCAGGTAGTATATGCTGAAGACGATAGACAACAGATCCCTGACGCCCTTGCGCTTAATCCGCATAGCAGACCAGAAGCCTGCGTCCAGCGCAGTCGTGACCCATGTAGCGCGGAAGTAGGAGCGCGAGTAGAGGCTCGCGAGGGGCTCTGGGCACTCGAGGCCCACGAGCTTGCCGAAGTTGCGGGCAACGTAGAGGTAGAGGAGAGTTATGAGGACGGATTGCCAGACGGTGAGTTTCTTGGAGAGGAGGGCGGATATGCGGCGGAGGATTGGTGGGCCATGGCGGTCGCCTCTACGGGTTTGTTAGTGTGTGTGTGTGTGTGAGGGAGTGTGTAGAACTTGCCTGTAGAGGTAAAAAGACCAAAAGGATACCACTGCCAACACCTGGATCTTCCTGAACTGCACCGATGGCCGTCCCAATACATGGTCTATCATGGCCGTAGCTCTTTCCTAACATAAAGCGCTGTGTTGGACCAAGTAGATGCAGTCGCAGGCCTATTGTGCGTCATGAAAGGCGTCAAGTCGGGTCCACACGTACGTCGCAAGCCTGTCGGCGTAAGCATGTGAATGCCAGCGGAGGTCAAGTCGTAACGCAAACCCGGGGTGGATCTCGTCTGGGGTATGGGGAAAGCCATGGAACAGCGGCGCAATGCGCATTATGGTCATCAACCCCCAGTTTGTCCACGACTACAGCAATAGCCGTTCAAGCCGTCGACAAGCGCGGCGGATTAGCTGTATTGAGGCTCTGTGGTTGGGTGAGGGTCCGGCATGTGACAGGTTGCGGAGGATGCGTGCGTGCCATGTGAAAGCCGCGCTATGACATCTTCTCGGCTTTGTTGCGTTCTTTCCGAGGAGCTAACCAGGCCAACGTCAGCCGCCCTCGCCGCAGCCAGGTCACGTCTTCTTTGTTTAGCACCACCCCAAGTAGCAGTTTGTATGTGACACAAGTATTCATCGACAAGTTCATCTCTTCATGAACCTATATATTCTACCGTGTCAACACCTCGACAAGCCATAATCTCGACAGTCAAAGCTTTGTACAAGGACCTTGATAGCATCATGCCCCCAAATGAAGAGAATAGACAGAAAATGGGAGAAGAAGAAGAAAACACCACTCCATTGCCTGAAACCACGTGGGCCATTCGAGCCACGTCAACGACATCCATCAGCCCTTAATCCACTCCCCAACCTCGAACCCCACCCTCCTCAGATCCGCCTCCGCAAACTTCGCCCCAGCCTCCCTACTCTTCCACACAGTTAAACACCGAACACCATCATCCATCTCAGGTTTAGCTCCCACTTGCCCCTCCTTCGGATCGTACCCTCTCACATAAAGCGTCAGATCCGGTCCTACCGTTCCCCGCCAAAGCGTCGCCATCCACTGCCAGTGGTCTGTCGGGCTGTAAGCGTCTTGGATGGGGATGCGGGATGCGTATGCGACCGAGGCTTGGAGTTGAAAGGTAGGGAGGATGATGACGGGTTTTATGCTTGTTGACAGTAGGGGCGAGTCGGGTGGTGTGGTCGAGTCCTTTCGGGATGGAGTGGATGATGTAACAGCAATGGTGGATGGGTTTGAAGACGCGATGGTGTCCTTTGGGGAAGAGGGTGTGGATGAAATGGGCGTAATGATGTACTTGATCATCTCCTTGCTCTTGCCATGCCACTCCTTAATTAGGTTGAGATAGTTCTCAAACGTGACTTCTTTGTTATCGTCATTGGGAGCTTGAGGTGGCTCGGCTATCTGCGGTTTGTACTCTTTCTGTCTAATGAGGTACTCGTTCAACCACTCTGAGAGTTCCTTTACTGCAGTTATCTCGTCACCTTCGATGGCGATGATGGCGCCGCGATTGGTCCGGCACGATGGGCTTGCGGAGCCCGGTTCTTTGTACGGAGGTGTTATGCGTCCAAGCAGTTTAATCTTGTTGGAATATGGGAATGCACTGAGCACTTCTTCTACGCTTCTTGGGCTACCTTCATGTTGTAGAGGACCCAACTCAACCATTGAGTTCCGTTGCAACTCACGAGGAGTTCGTGGAGGAAGCATGGTCGCACTGTGAGGCGGCACATGAATAGGCGGTAAAGACTCGCGTCGGTGAGCATACTGGGTTGGGGCATAGTACGGTCCTTCCGCTCTGCGGCCGTTACTCGTTGGCGGAGGCGGTCCATAGTCGAAACGGCGCTTCTTATTCGGTGTTAAAGGGCTATACATTGTCGAGTCCGTATGCATCGCCGAAGTTACTTGAAGGTTGCTGGGGCGGCGCATAACTGGTGATTGTATGCTGAGATTACCCACCACAGGTAAATAGCGGGTTGTTGGTGTGAGACCTTCCGATATATTGGGAGGCGGCAGAGTTGGTGTGCCAGAGGCATCAAGAAAAGGACTGGCGGGTGTTCTGAGACTGCGACCACCACATTTGTGGCAGCGATACTTGTCGACTGTAGTATGCTGACCAGTAGGGTTCAACGGAGATGATCCCGGCTTGCCAACACGACGCGGTTGGTAGCGGTAGTCAGGGTACTGCTCCTGATGCCTAGCTTTCTCTTCCTTGAGTCTCATGTTAATCAAATGAACACAAAGAGATGTACAAATGAACACTAACCTGCGCAAGATCTTGCCAAACCTTCTTCTGCTCTTCACCTTCAGCTTTCCATTGTTCACCGATGATCTTGGAAATGTCGGGATTGTTGAGATCAGGATTGCGAGCGGTAATGGCCTGCTGGTGATGCTGTCGATAAAGGATGAATGCTATAAAAGTAGTTAGTGGGCTGAGCAACAATGGCTACAGACAAAGACTCGTGTCTCGGTTTTGGTCCACAACCCAATTCGTATACCCCGAATAAGGAGGATATGTCCTTGGAAGACAAAGGAATGTCATGGACTCACCATTTCGTGGCCGCGGTATTTTTGGCTCCGGTTGGCAAAGACACACGTGACCCGAAAAGTCTGGAGACCCTACTGCAGTTGCAGAAGTAGCGCTTGGAGGAGGCATATCGTCGACCGGACTGTTGCAGTCTTCTCTCTCATGAACCTCAACAAGCGAAGCGATTCTTTTTCTCGTAGTCCGAGGCGAAGACGAAGCAGGGGATATCGGCTGCTCTTCTTTGTTGCCTCCCTCAGCAGTAGGATTAGAAGTAGGAGCAGGCCGCGTCTCATGAATTCGACTGCTCTTACGCAGACTTCTCAAAGGCTTCGCATCGTCCATTGAGGACACTGGAGAATCGTCACCGACCTGCATGTTTGACTTGACGTACCGCCGAGGCACGTGGAAGAAGATAGCGACAGGAGGCTGGGAAGAGTGTGGTGAAGTCCGAACAATCGGTGGCAACACTCGACTTGCTAGCATTTTTGAGATTCAGCGACGAAGCAGTTGACCTAATGAGCTTTGTCGGAAGAAGGCGTGGTTCATTGTCCCTAGCCGAACAGGAAGGGAGGAGCCGCGTTGGATGAGCCATACAACATTTTGTGCTTCTCTTTGAATGCATTATCCGGTGCGTGGAGTTGGAATCGATGTGCTTTGACGAATCAACCGTTGCGATCCAGTCAAATGATTGTTCCAGTCAGATGTAACCGATCTTCTTAGGGACTTTCTTTGTTCTCATCCCGCCAAGACACGCTCTACCGACCCGCGAGACATGACAGCATTCCTGTACCCGCTGCGCAAGGGGCTCCAACAATGCAATACGTCTTTCACGATGACGGAAGTGACTCAGTCTCAGGATCTACACAGTTGTACTGCGCATTGCATCCATACGCCGCCCTTCGAAGCGAGGCGCAATCTATGCCACATTGCTGAAAATCATGAAGCCCAACGAAGCCTTGGCCAAGTTCTAGACAGTGTCTCTATCGCGGCGTACTAGAAACCTGGAGGGAATTTCAGGTTGAAGTTCTGTCCCTCTTGTTCCTTAGGTTTTTCGTTGTTGTCGGAGCTTTGCATCTCGCGCTCATTGACAGTTTGATTTCCCCGTACGAGGCTAGCGGCTTGCTTTCCGATTAGCTCATGGGCAGGACCGCTGAGTTGGACGTTATCCCTATTACCTAGTCAGGTTGAGACAATGCGTTTGTGTAGCCGTTGACTTACCAGAATAAGTGTGCGGCTGGAACGGAGCACTTCTGCACGTCGGATGTTTGTAGATCCGATGCACCACTTCGTTGCGGCACGAGACATGGTTGTTCAATCTGTTCGAAAAGAGGGGCTTGTTTACCGACACCAGCTGCATCTGAGATCTGTCTCGAGTGTAGCTGTTTGGCGCGAACTTCCTCCATGATCAAATCATTCGGCCCAGGCATGTAGACAGCACCTTTGTTCCACTGGGATGCAGTCCGAACCAAAACAGTATCCCAATATGACCACAAAAACACCATTCGGTGCTGAGTCACCGCAAAGTCGGCTTCCCGCATCGCTCTCTTCTGCAGCTGGAACTGAGGTAGGAAGCTAGCGTCGATCATCTTCGGCATGACGACTTTCGGCGGATTTGCAGTATGTTCGGCGAGTACATCAAGATTCAGAAACAGCGATGCAATGCTCTTGTCCACAGCAGACATGGCAGCAGCCTTTTCCAGTGTAGAGTACTCCAAAAGATCCCACAAGCCGAAGAAAACAGTGAAGAAAGTCCACTCGTCCCCTTTTCGCAGACTTTGCGGGATAACTCGGCGTCCTTTGTCGTAGGTGATGTACTGTTCCACCTGTGTCTTGAAGTCGAACGGAGTTACGGTGGTCTCGTTACTCCCGGCGCCTTTCGCTTCCGAGTGAACATCTGCGTCAACCAACGATCCGATATGTGCAGCGGCAGCCGGCTTGGAGTGCGCGAAGTTGTCAATGGTATCACACGCGAGCTAAAGTCTGTCAGGTCATGTCTTCACGTTGTTTGTGACTCCCACTAACCTCTTTGCATAAAGTCTCTACCCACAAATCGCCTCGGTCAGCATCGCGGGCAACGACCGCAGACAATACAGGCGACGAGACGCGGTAGCTTCCAGTGTCGGACCAATCATTACCAAATACTACAATGCGATGCGCGCTACCGCGCCAGACGGTGTGGACGGTGTCTTCGAAGTCGGCAGAGTGAACCCAGGTGAAGTACAAGATCATAAGAATAGCTAGAGCCGCACATACATGCAGCCTTGAGAAGAACCTCATCGCGCTACAGCACTAGCTAGTTGACGGTTCGAAAAGCGTGTAAGAGTGAAGTGTTAGCAACGCGATCAGCTCGAGCAAATGAAAGCAAATGGCGGGCAGCCTTTGTGAAAGTATAGGCTCGTAACTGCGGGAACTCCCAGCGTCAACATGGCTGGGCATTAAGGAACATGACGACGCCTGTGCAGTGCGAGCCTTGCTGTGGGTGTCATCCCCGGGATGACATGGGTCAGAAACATCTACTACGCCCGAAAGCGGATACATGTCGCGTGCGCGTTGCAGACGACGCTATCAACCTATGGTTATCTGTCAGTGGAAGAATATTTAACCCACAAATTGCATGGTGGCGTCTCCTAAAGATACTATCCCCTTCTTTTACCGCCGTCATGCCGCCGAGTTTGCACTGCGCCGCGTACACAAATGCGTGGGCGTGAGGTTTGGCCGCGCGGAACGAACGGCCGCGTCGGCATCGAGCGACCCACATCAGTGGCGTAATCTGTGGAGCAGATTTTAAGGCCTTACGTGTATAATTTTAGTTGATGAGTATCAGTGGAGGACACGCGATGCCCAGGTGTGAAGCCACAAATGCAACAATGCGCTATGCCTATAACGTGCGAAGTGCTTATCCTGCCCGTTGGATACGATCTGGGTTGGGGCGCCTCAAGCCGCTTGCTGTGCCGGTTACTCTCCAAACTTCAGCCTTGCAAACCGATTCATCAAGTTATTCCTTGTCGCACCGCCATCATCAATGCACTGTGCTACAAGGAACGCCTGATTTGCCCATTTTCTTGTCGCATCGTCGTTCTCCTGCAAATAATAGTCCACCGCACGATTGAAGAGGGTGCATGCAAGCCATTCGAGCTCTGTCTTGGGGTAGCGCTCGAGTTCCTTGATGTAATCATCAGCCGGGTCTGCAGCGTCTGCATTCTTCGCAGGGTCAGATGATAGCGGTGGTGTGTGCAGTCCAACTTTTGCAGTGATAGAATGGACGGTCTGAACGGACTTTTTAAAATGAATCAACAGATAAGAAGGTAAATGGGACTTACGTTTTGCTGCTTCGCTGCCATGTGCGTAACTTGCTCAATGCACTTGAGACTGGCCTTCTCGTCATGCTCAAGTGAAATATTGAACAGGCACCGGAGCCAACGAGCCAGCTTCGTTATGTCCCGGTTTGGTTGTCGGCACGTCAAATTGATGATCTTCTCAAGAACAGACAGTACTTCTACGAATCTTGTCAGTTGGGTTCTAACGCAACTCAGCTTCAGATCTTACTTGTCTGGTACTTCTTGTCTACGCCCGCTTTCAGGATGCACCCGTGTGTAACCAGGACAAGATCTGCCAACGTTTCGTAGTGGTCTGGACTCTTGTACTTCCAACATTGGTCGAAAAGCTTGTCGAGTTCATCCCATCTTTGAAGCTTGAGCACAGCTTCAAGCTCCAACTTGACAACTTGGAGGTGTTTGGAAATAATTTCGGCTTGAGAAGGTCCACTGAGTTTGTCTATACCTTCTGCTGCAGCTTGTCGAAATTCTTGACTGTGTTTGCGGGTTTCTAGGTAGTAATGAATCTAAGCTAGTCAGCTATTGGTTGATGCAACAACAAACGCGACTGACGCTCTGCTCAGTGTTATCCTCTGCGCGTGCCAGAGTGGTGTAGGTGCATGCAGAGAGGAATTCGCAGAACACTAGTCGGAGGCAGAGGTCACCGTCTGCCTCTGGTTGGGTCTTCCCCTTGAGCAGTTTGATGAACTCGATACAGCAGCTCAGCAACCTGACCAGAGACCCTGGTGGCATCTCCACACAGTACTTGAGCGATATGTTATAAGCATTCTTGGAGAGCCACTCAAATTCCACGGCTGTAAATAGTTCTTTAGCCGGTGTGCTCGGCCTCGTACGGGACGCTTTAGCTTGAAGGCATGCTGGCGAGCGTTATGAAAAAGTTCTCAACCAGAAAGAGTGCTGCCACTCACCTCCTTCGAAGATATTGCAAATCTGTCTCAAAACACCGGTGTCAATCTTGCCGTCCTTGATAAGTTCAGACTCTAGCATACGAGTGGCAGACCTGGTCACCTGTCAACAACGTAAAGCAACTCCAGCAAACGACTTACCGCAATAGCGCAGGAAGATTGATCTCTGCCAGCGCATTATGCTCGTACTTTTCAAGCACCTTCTCCAGAGCACTAATGGCCTGCCTCTTGTTCCCCGCACTTTGAGCCTCCATAACACAAGCATAAAGCAGAGTAGCATCTTTCGCAGAAGTCCGACAAACGTGATCGAGACATTCAGCCGCAAAGTCTTCATCCCCGCCTCGGAGACCAGCCTTATACAGCAAATACCTCGTCACAGGGTCATCCTTGCCACTCTCTGGCATCTTTTTATGCACTTCCCTCGCGCCTTCATAGTCGCGCGTCGCCAGTGCACACTGTATAATCTTTCTCGCAACTTTCGCTTTATTCTGGACCCCAGCTCTCTCGAAGATAGCATGGAGGCACATCCGACACCACGCCTCAGCCACATGATATTGCTCCTGGCTAATTGCGGCCCCTACTTTCTTCCACAACAAAGTCTGCGCAGCATGTGTAGCAGGAGCAGAAAGGCGAATCTTCGAGTTCTGGTCGACGGTATCGAAGAGCTCCTGGAGCTGCTCGAGCGTATTGTCAGCGAGACTGTTGTCAGCGAGACTGTTGTTTGTTCCAATCCAGATACGTGTGATGACAGCTTTTTCGATCCAAGATTGGTTTTCTTCTCGAAAGAGCCGAACGTCGATTAAATCCTCGAGTGCTTTGCAGGCGGTGGTGCTGCTGTGATCTTTCAGCTTGTGTATGTGATGCATGATGGTCTTGAAATTTGTGTCATTCAACACAACGGTGCGTATCATACGCAAAAGGACGTTGTAGAACTCGGTTGGGTCGAAAGTTTGAGCTTCGGATAAGAGTTCGATTTTCAGCAAGGAAACCATCATTTTGTCTCCAAAGTCGGTTTCCATCAACCTCATCATTTGCCATGCCTTCTCTTGTGTTTCCATAGTCTTGGTCTTCATGTATGCGTTGACTGATGGTATCATTAGCTGTCGTCTTCCGGTTGTGTATGATGTGTCTTCTTACCAAGGCCCTGCATGATGCTAAGTCTCAGCTCACCAATCTCGGGGCTGAGCATGTCCAGATCTTGCTCTCCAAGGACATCAAAAGCGCGTTCTAACCACCTCGCGGCAATCTCGCAATCGCGCTTCGCCAGGGCGGCTTTTCCGATCTCATATAGTAGATCAGCAAGCTGCTCAGTCGTGGTAGCGTTGAAGCTTTTCCCAAACTCTTTACACTTCCTAAACATGTGCTCTGCCATGTCCAGACGACCACTACGCCATGCCTATACGTGCGTCAATTCGATGGCGCATCTCGGGGGCGTCGCACCCGATAGTTCACTTACCAAAGTTGTACGCACAGCAAAATACTGCGCCCTGAATCCATCTACAAGCTCCCCGTCCCTCTCGTCTCCACCTTCGTCCCGCTTACCCAAAATTTCTTCGTAATCGGCGGCGCGTTCAAGAACTTTTGTTGCAACGCCCAGTTCATTCCCCTCAATGCATACTCTGGCCGCCTTCAAGGCAACCTTGATCAGTCGAATACAGTTCTTCCTTTGCCGCCCCTTCGGACCCCGGCCGCCAGCTGAATCGAGCAGCATGAACGCGTAAGCACGCAGAAAAGTCAGGGTGTGAGACTTGTGCGCTGTCGCATCTTCGGGTTGTGCATCGATGTCAGATTCGTCTTTGCGGCGTAAGCGTGTAGCTTGGTTCCAGAGCTCAGTTCCTAGTTTATCGAGTTCATCTTGCTTCGCGGTGAGGGCGGATGAGGTTTGGAGAGGGAGGCCGCGCATCTGCGTTTGGAGTTCACTGGTGAGCGTCGCGTCATTGTTACCAGTTTCGATGCGTTCGCTGAGAGTTGACGCGAATGCTAGAAGAAACGTGAGCGTCATGCGCAGGAAGAGTATAAATTATAGCACTCACTCAGAACCGCCTTCAACTTCTTTTCGCGCTCTAACTTTGTTGCTGATTGCGCGCGAGACATCTTGCATGAAAGAGGTGGAGAAGAGACAGGTGGAGGGTGACGTATGGAAAGTGAAGTCGCGACCTGCCATTCTCGAAGGTAACTTCACCTACACGTGAAAAGATTGGGAAGGAGCAACACAAGAGTGCATCTGAATTAGAGACAGAAGAACAAATACAATCAGATAAAGATGCAAGCAATAGGATATACATGTTGAAGTAAAGCCTCTTGCCGCAGTCCTGATTTCCTTCACAACAGATTGTGTACATACTTTTTCTGGTGGATGCATCTAGACATCCAAGCCCGGTGTTGCTACATCCTCAACTCATTACAAACTACAATTCAACGCCGCCAGTGAGCAGTGGACTTGCCATAAAGGCTCTACGAAGCTGGTAGCGACCCCGACGTAGCCTCAGTGATAGGAAGGAAGTTACCCACAATCAACGCCGGTCTGGTCACAGTCAGTCTAAGCTCCCATGCAAACATCGACCACCACTTACATATTCCAAGCATCTCGCTTCACCGTAAACGAAAAGCAGCACCGTATCTCTGGATCCTTGGAATGTGGATCTGGATTCTTCAGGGAGCAACTCGTCAGAATAGCTTTCTGCGTATGATCGAATGCGATGGCGCCAAACTTCTCCCAATACGATACCAGCGATGGTTCGGCAATGATCTCGTGCAGAGCAATATTACCCTTTGTTCTGGTTAGCTTGCTCTATATCCAAGCGATAGTTGTTCTAGCTTACGTCTCGCAACTTCGACATCGGTACGTGGATGAGCCGCGCCATTTCCTTGTTGCCGCGATATATCTCGCCTGTTCTTCTCCAGCAGCACGCAGGTATCGCCATGCTAGCAAAGACGCGATCGTACTCCATTAAGCTCTTGTCGAACCACATCTCAATGCGTACTAGATCGACGTCCGTCAGGCTCTGCATTCGCTCGCGGAACTTGGGCCGGAAGCGATCCAGTTGGCGAAGTACGCGGATGCGAGATGCCTGCTGCAGGTTTTGTTCCATATACTGGTTTAATCTGGCATACCCCTTGACGTAGTTGAAAGGTTTTAGGAGCCCTGCGTCGACTTTCGCTTTGAGTAGTTTGTTCATGCGCTCTTCAGGACTGTCGTTTCCAGCAGGGTCGGCGGCTGTGACAAGGTATCTTTCTCTGGCCTTGTCGATGGGAACCCCAGCTGCTTGTCGTGATGTAGCATTACCGGCGGCATTCTGCGCGGGAGGTGGAAGTAATTGAGGCGGTCTTGATGTGCTTGCACTGTAGGCAGAATTGCCATTCAGAGAGTCCATCTGGTTCATGAGTGAGGCATCGGTGAAGAGACTGTGGAAGTCATTGCCTCCATAGAATGCACCGTCATCCATGAGACTGTTGTTGAGGAAGTCGTTGAGCAGGTTATACTCATTGCTAACTTCTGAGGTATTGAACATATATGACGGGTGGAATTGCATGTCCTGAAGGCTGTTCTGAGATGAGAGCAAACCATCGTAACCCAAAACTCCCAGGAGTGTCAGTGACGATTACGATGTGGAGCTGAAGGGAAGTGTAACTTACAAGGCTGACTACCAGCCGTCAAAGCAGGCAATTGTGGCGCGGATACGGAGTCGTTTCGGGTACCTGATGTTGTGCTGGCATCCCTATTAGGAGGTACTGGATGCGTGGCCAGGTTAAGCCCTGCATCCGGAACTGGTGGAGCGGCCGTTGATGCGGCATCGGAGGGAGTTGACTCGACCTGAGTGGGCTGACTCTGTCCATCACCATTCTCTGGCTCAGACTTGGACTTCTTAACACCTTCACGCGGCTCGTCGTGACAGAGGTGTCCAATATTTCGTTTTACACAGCGTGTGCATGGTCGCTCCTGCATTGGGCGAAGGCACAATCAGCTTGCGAATAGACGATGCCTCATTTGGCGCACTTACGAGATCACAGGTCATGTGCTGATTGGTTTGAGTCAGCAAGCAGGAAAAATTGTCTTACATGCGAACACATGGTATGTATCGAATGCTGGGGATGTGGGTGGAGCTCACCGAACGTCTGCAGTAGATGCATGCTACATGGAAGCATATAGGTTAGCAAGGTTGCGGACGCCTTCGCGGCTACACAGCGTCGATGGCTTACCATGGTTTACTTTTCTACGCTTTTTTGGTGGCTTTGCAGGCGCCTCAGAATTGGTCGCATTGGGTTTGCTCTTCGCAGGAGAATGGGCTTTGGACACGTCATTATCTGGGGCAACTTTGTCCTTGTCTGTTTCTTTGGATTCGGCCATGTTGTCTGGCGAAGCTCCATTTGATCGTCGTGCAGCTTCCGTCATCAAGTGTGGATAGTGGGTCGGTGTCAGAGCCGGGTGCTTTTCTTGGAGACGCGCAGGTTCATGTGTGTTACGACAGGGGTCTCGCCAGGCACTGAAGCATCGGAAAGAGCAAAGAAGGTCGCGATGCGCCAGAGACACGTTCTTTGGTGGCACAACAGAGCCTGTAGTCGCGGTAGACGAGTGGCGGAGAGGTGTGGGTTTAGAGGCACAAGGGACAGGTGAATGTCTGCGGTCGCGTGCTTTGCCGAACCGAACCTTGGAAGGAAGATCCCGGAGGCTGCCAGGACATCCAATAGCGGAGAAGTGCACCGCGAGAATTTCTTAGCGGCAATTTTGACAGCTTCCCGCTGCGAGACGCTGACGATCTCGGATGGTTTCCAGGTTATGCGAAGAGCGACGTGCTTGACGTGTTGTAGTTCGCACAAGTTTCGCATAGAAGGGCTGTAGCTGCAGAAGTGGCTCCGCTCTGCCGAGAGGCCGTGCCAAGGTGGTGGAGCCAATCACTTTCTAGTGTTGCTACACTACATAAATGGACTCGGCCGCAGGTGCACATTTTCCGATGACCATACTGTCGGAATCGCAGTTCTAAAACTGGGAGTAAATTGATAGAGATGCCCTCCAACGCCATATACCTGCCCTGGTATTCATCCCACCCCCATGTGCACCACGCCTGCACAGAAGCCAACCCATACGCCGATTCATGCACAACTATGGAAAGAACAAAAGCCGCTGCGGGACCTGCATGTCGACGCTTCAAAGAGCAGCGTACTGCACTGCACTGGCGTGCTTAAACAGGACATGGTCTAGTGCAGCCTGCGCGTCTCTCAAGGCCGTATCGAGACCCTCTACTTGTGTATGGTTGCCCTGCATACTCTCCAGGCCGCGTCGCAATTGTCCGAGCACCGGCGCAAGGTCGTCGTTAGACGTATCGAGGAGGGACAAGTCTACTGGTCGTGACGGCCTCAAGTGTATATCGTCTGGACCGTCTCTGTTCGTCGTCGCATCGCCTTGGCCTTGGCCTTGGAGTAAGGGGTGGAGCTACAGCAGGTAGGTTAGCGACACATTCAGCTTGTCTAGAATAGACCGACACGCACCCGTCCGTGCTTCTTCTGGTGTTTCCACTCGGTCCTCCAGCTCTTGACGTTCTTCTTCAGAGCGTCCAGATTGTCCTCGTCCTTGTTCAGCAGGTGCTGAGCAATCTTGGCTTGCTCGCTGAGCAGTTGCTTCGCATGCCGGACTGTCGTGGCCTCTCGTGATACTTGGGCATTGCGCTCCGTGAGCTTATCGATGTTGAAGTGGATGTCTTTGGCCTGGGGAGGCATCCGCGACTCAGCTAGTTGACGCGCCAGCTTCCGCACAAGAGGATTGAGTGTGTTGTGTGCGGCCATGATCCTGCGCTCGTCTCGCTGTGTCTCGGCGATATCTTTCTTCGCATTGCGTACCACGGCCGTCATCTGCTCCAAGACCTGAGGCGGCAGTTGCGGCCATGTGTCCATCAGCTCTTGTGGTATCTTCTTCGTCTTGGTCTCCAACTGCGCGTACTGGTTGCGCGACTCGTCTTCGGCTTCGGCGGTTTCGTCGGATTTACGCTTGCGGGGTTTCGATGGTTGTGTTTGTGCGCCCACAGCCATCGAGAGCTCGTCCTCGACTTCTTCTTGCGCCTGTTTCTTCTTGGGCTTGCCTTTCTTCGCTGCAGCCGCCCTTGGTGCGGGCTTCGTCTTTGACTTCACAACACCACTAGAGTTGCGGCTGCCTGGAGGCCGGCCTCGCCTTTTCTTCCCATTCGCATCACTGAGACGCGCCTGTCATAGTCAGTATGCGCATAGAATAGCGGCATGTTGATGCTTATGCTTACCATGACGTTGGGGTCGAGTCGGGACGCGTCTGGTTGGTGTTGACACTCGCGTCTGGTGGGGAAGGAGCCGAGTAGCGCGGGCGCCTCTTCACGTGCGGACAGTCACTCTGGCCCCTCACCCTTCACTCTCCACATTCATCAACCTCTCATCTCAAGACACGTGATATGTTCAATTGTACTTTCTCATCATCTCAATACTGACATTTATATACACCTCTAGCTATACTGAGCCGTCTTCCTCACTTCATCAAGTCACCCACCATCAATTCAACACACTAGATTCTCGCTCCTCAGAACTGAGAGAAGAACTTCCAGACCTCACCAGGTGTAAAACTTTGTGGTCCAACATCGTTACCCGCGTCTCCGGGCAGCGCAACATGGTCTCCATCGAAAGCAGTCCACTGTGTCGGGTACTTGCACCCATCATATACCGTCTTGATTCGCTGCCTGCTGTTTTTCGCCGGCTCTGGCGCGTTCTTAGCCTGGCACCCGTTAAGTCTCACGAAGCGGTCTCTGATCTCCCTTCCTGAAGCGATGGGCAGGACGCTGTCTTTCACTCCATGCTGCTGGTACAAAGCAATTGGATCGTTTCCGCCGGCGCAGCCTGAAAGAGTTGCACCAGATAGCACAGCGATGGCGCGGTACTCCTTCGCACGACTGCATGCTAGACTGAAACTCATAGCACCGCCATAGGAGAATCCGAGGGAGAAACGTTGTGTCTCGTCTACGCAGAGATCATCCTCGACTTGCTTGCGAATGGTATCGAGGAAGGTGATGTCTTCGCCGTTCTGGTTTCCCCAGCCTTTGTTTATGCCGTCAGGTGCGATGAAGATGGCCGTCTCGTTTGCAAGAGCTGCAAGGCCGTAGTACGGTGCGCTGCCGCCGGAGACAGATGTCATGTCGCCATTCAACCAGTGGAGACCGAAGATAAACTTGTAGGGATGGGAGTTGTCATAGTTCTTCGGGATTCGGAGGGTCCACTGGCGTTGCTTGCCGTTCACCGTCGTCCTTTGGACACCGTTGGTCAACCTTGGTGACTTGCCGCAGCCCGCTGTGACAGCGGAGGCGTGATCAAGTATTGCGAGGAACAGAAGTGCGCCGAGTGCGAAGAAAGAGGTTGGACGAAACATGGTCGCTGATCGCTGGACTCGATTGTTGCGTTGGCAACTAGTTGGTCCCGCAACGGACGCTTAAGTATGTTTTCATCTTCTGCGCTCCATTCAATGATAATCTCCGTTCTGTCAACTCCATCAGTCGATCTCCTTGGTATACTAGGGATTGACTGTCGTGAGTTCTGCTTTAGGTATCAACTCCAGACTTTCATCTCGAATACTAGGGGTTGACTGCCGTTGTTATCTGCCGTACGAGAAAACCAAGACCTCTATACAATTCAAAGGAGGTCATTCTCCATGCCTTTACCTTCATGCCCAATGGACATTGTACAAGTCGCATTTTCGCCAGTCCACAGGTATTTCAGGTAAATGATGCCAAGCGAAAAAAACTCGCGGCACTTCGTCCAGGACGAGACAGGTGATACACTTGTGGAGCAGTGTTGCATCATGTACGGTGATTTGCTTTCCCCATGGGGTAGTACGCCTAGTATCCTGCAATGCGCCGAATTACGGCATTCTTTCACTCGGATGCCAACCGACTATTCGACTACTGCAAGTAACACAAGAAAATCGTTGCCGGACGAGGGCTCGTACATATACTATTCTCCATGTGGAAACTCTCTCCACTTTCTGACTTGGCTTCTGGCTCAGGGTAGAAAGGCATAAAGACCCGCGGCTGTTTACATATGCAGCATCCGTCATCACGACCTTACACTTTAGCCCCTAGAACCCAATACAACGTTCCTTCAGTATAACATACCATGTCGGCCAAATTTTCCGGGGCCATCACATGTTCGACCCTTCTTGGCTCGTCGACACAACGCCCAAACGAGAGCCATCAGTTCTATTAATAGCAATTCACAGAAACACAAATGCAGTTATGGTCACTGAAAACACCCAATATTCTGTGCAAAATCTTTGAAGACTACTCGCACGGTTCTGTTGAGTTCGCTTCGCAACATTTTAATGTCGATCTACCATTATAGGCACCCAAAGCATGTACAAGATCTCAACATCCGGCTTACCCGCCGTTAGGATACAACCAATCCCGGAAGAAGACTGTGTTCCCCTCACCAATATCATGGAACACAGCAAAACTCAGCGCATGTTGGCGACTTGCGCGAAAACAGATGAGCTACATCCACCGGCAAAAATGCCCCATGGGGTACTGACACCACGTTATACAGCCCGCCGGGTATATAGTCAATACAAGCGATGAACTACACATTGCTTCTTGAGGCTAAGCTTTGGAGATGATCCGAACCGCTGAAAACCAATGACTTTGTGGCGTTCAAGACGGAATGGAGATACTTAAGCTGAGGTTACGATCGATCTACACAACCCCAGTATCATTCAAACACCCCTTCCAATACTAGACGAAAGTTGGAGCGATGTTGTTCAAGCTCCTGGTAGCGACAGCTGCATTGTCCAGCAATGCCATTGCACACCCTCTATCCTGCAACAGCTCTGCCCCCCAACCCTGGGGCTTCTTTACAAACAACACCATCTATCAAACCTCGGGCGACGAGGGAATAACTTACCCGCGCTATACTGAGCTCCAAGACGGAACAATCATCGCTACAGCGTCCCTCTCCGGTCACAACCCAAACTACTTCCCGATCTTTGAATCCAAAGATGGCGGTGCATCCTGGGAGCACGTTTCCGATCTTCATGACACAGTCAACGGTTGGGGATTTAGTGCCCAGCCGGCGCTGACGGAATTGACAGAACCAATGGGTGGCTACCCAGCCGGTACCATTCTGGGGGGTGGGAACAGCTGGAGTAACAACGGGACAAGGATCGATCTCTATGCTAGCAGAGACGGTGCGCGGACGTGGGAGTTCGTAAGCCATGTTGCTGAAGGCGGGAGGCCAAATACTACAAATGGCGCGACGCCAATCTGGGAGCCGTACTTCTTGTAAGTACCGCAATTCATACCTACCCAACACCACTGGTGCTAATACGTAACGCAGACAGTACCAAGGCCAGTTAGTAGCCTACTACTCAGACCAACGCGACCCCCTGCACGGCCAAAAACTCGCCCACCAAACCTCCACCGACCTAAAAACCTGGGGCCCAGTGGTAAACGATGTCGCCTACGAAGAGTACCTCGCTCGCCCAGGTATGACGGTAGTAGCCTTTATTCCTCCGCTCAACCAATGGATTCTCGTCCACGAATTGCCCATCGGAAATTCGTCTTCGTACGGCTCGAACTACCCAGTTTACTACGTCATGGCCGATAGCCCGCTAAACTTTCGCAACAGCATTGGCAGACCCATCGTTATTAACAACAGTACGGTGCCGAATGCAAGTCCGTATGTGGTCTGGAGCCCGCTTGGTGGACCAAACGGTACGATTATAGTAAGTGATGCGGATCGAAGGCAGGTGTATACGAACTCTGCAGGTGGCGCGTTGGATAAGTGGGAGGAACATGCTACGCCGGCCGGTGCGGTGTACAGTCGGGCTATTCAGATCTTCAATAAGAGGCCGAATCATCTGATGATTTACGGAGGTGAGACTTACGACGATAGGGGTACGGGCATTCACACACCGTTTTCGGCGACGGTCGTGAGGCTGGATGAGGTGCTTAAGGCGCCAGGAACGGAGTAAGAGTTGGCATCTGGCGGGCAGTTGATTTCAAGTCGGTGGATTGTGTTATCCTATCGTAGGTTATAAGCAGCATAAGCCTATCTATCACTATTGTAGCTCAATGGCAATTCGCCTTCGTCTTTTGTGGAATACTATACTTGACCTACTGCTCTCGTTGTGTATCTTGTGTCATTTCCACCTCTAATATTTGATAGTCAGGGTGTTTTCAATCTCCTTGAGTACATGGACCAGAGGCTTTGGCGGCTTGTTGAAAGTACTGTGTTGTCTGAAATGTATGCGCTATAGAGTGACGGGCACTAGACTTTCATGTTATGTCGGCATAGCTTACACCATGACTATAGATGGGACTGAAATGTTCAAGATAAGAGAGATCGTAGATAGGGGCAGAGCAAGGAAAGTGATAGAAAGAATTCGGGCACCGAAACCTTCCTCTGTCGGTGCAGTAACCTTTAGTATTTCCAGGTGTCTGGAACCGTGGGTCTTGTGGAGAAAGATGCCATAGATGGCGGCCGCGTGCTACGACTCATGCGAATTTGCCTGAACCGTGCAGTAGCGAAGGGAGTGACAGAGTCAAGACGGATCTGGACAACAGGCTGGATTATACCGTGGAACTATACCATGTAAAGCTCAAATTTGTTGTTCTGGATGAGACGTTGTCCAATCTCGATGATGACAGGGACGAAGTGAGTACTTAGAGTTGACAGCCACGAATCATACTAATGCAAGAGAGAAATACAAGTACATCATTCTAGGAAGGATGAAAGAAGTGTGACAGGTTTTTGTGCTATGCAAACCAAACCATAGCATGGGATTCTTCTTGCTCGAGTCAGGGCATGATCCACTGAAGCGTCTCGACCAGTCACACCGCTTGCGCATATACACGGTAGAGATTGTGAGGCTCCGTGTGGAGTCGTGATATGGAGTCATTTAGCTAATGGCTTGGCTTGTGTTTTGTAGTAGTGTATTGGATCGGAGCTCTAGAATGTCGGAGGCAGGCGAATGGTCCGATGTGGGCGCTATGATGCTGTAGGATTCAGCGATGTGGTCCACCTCCGATCCCAAGATCAGTGCGCACTGATATGATGTCTGGCTGGGTAGTCATAAGCCCCAAGCGTAATTCACAATGGAGATGAGGGACGATAGTATCACACAGGATTGAACACCAACAAAAGGCCGCTCAGCACAACAAGACCTGCTAAGCATGCTCTCCCGCAAGTGCTTGACGGTGTTGGAAGTCGCCGCCGGTTCTGCCCGAGGCGGCCCCCAGCCCGCGTGTGAGCACCCCGGGTCTCCTCCAAGGTCCACCCAACAGCAAGGCCTGGAGAGCCTGGAGAACGGGGGAGCACGAGGCTGGAGCGGAACATGTCGGACGGCGTACTTTAGTAAGGTATGCTCCCTCTGCACTATCGTACCGGGTCGTCCGAAAACGGTATGGGCGCCGAATCAAGCGTTTACCCCCGATGGCGATGGGAATTGGCTTTTCACACCATACCAACCCTTGCCTACGGTTCCGATGGGACGCATGGACTTTCGGGTCTTGGACTCTTGCAATTCGCGCCGTTTCTTGACACATCACGAGGGCTCTCGACGTCATGGCGCGCAGAGTTTGGTATTGGTTGGGCGTTCGAGAAGCTGGTAGCGGGAGACAACAGAACTGGTCGCGAACGTTGAGCCATGCGCCTCTTCCGCACCTTCTGTAATGCTTGTCTTTATGTCAAACTTGGCGCTCTTGAAACCAGCATCTGCGGTATCTTGTTGTGGTATGGAAAGACTTCCTCGAGACGAATACACGCGCAACCTTCCACACCTGGCCGGAGAGTATCTCGGCAGGAATATAGGATCCAACCGCAGAGCCGCATGTGGGCCGCTAGAAGCTTCTTTGCAGCCAAGCTCCACCAAGACGGTCGGTCCTTTGCTTGTTTATCTCCACCCGCCTTACTCTTCCTGGACAGCCCATGATAAGTCTGCAACAACCGGCCACGCACTGGTGCTTACTACCCCGGCATTGCGATCCGCGAGAGACAAATTTTTTGCCGCGTTCGTGCCATGGAGACTCCACGCGTACGTCACGTCACGTTGATGGTGGGATGGGGAGCGCCATGGGGAGGTTCTCCATGGGCATGGGTCGTCTCCACTGGGGTTTATAAAGGGCGGAGACTCGTCCGCTTGTGAGGGGTTGTGAGATACCAGCCTTTTGCTGCAGACCTTCTCCCTCTACCTTTCTCTATCCTTTCTGCTGGTCCCTTGCTGATCACTGCCCACCATGGACGAGAAGGACACCAAGGTTGTTGAGATGCATGACACATCGTCGCCGCAACAACCAATGCAAAACGAAAAGGTCGACAACATTGCGGTCGCTCCTACACCAGACTACTCCGCACCCAAGGCCAAGACCGAACAGCTCGAAGATGCGAGGGGATGGGAATCTGAGAACCTGATCCAGGATCTCGAGAAGGAGTTGGAGCAGGCCAACTACAAGAAGGGCTTATTGGATATCGAATTCAAGAATCCCAAGCATTTCACATGGATGATTGTCGCTTTCGCATCTATGGGTGGTCTACTTTCTGGCTTGGACCAGTCGCTCATCTCTGGTGCTAACCTCGAACTTCCCGATGATCTCCACCTTACCGCTCAACAAAACTCCCTCGTCAACTCCGGTATGCCGCTAGGAGCTATTGCGGGTGCCTTCCTCATTTCGCCATGCAACGAATACTTCGGTCGCCGCTGGGCTATCATCATCTCCTGTATCCTCTACACTATCGGTGGCGCGCTCGAGGCCGGATCCATGAACTACGGCATGATCGTCGCTGCTCGTGTCATCCTCGGTGCCGGTGTCGGTCTCGAAGGCGGTACTGTCCCCGTCTACGTCGCTGAGACTGTCGAAAGCAGACTCCGTGGTAACCTCGTTTCCCTCTACCAGTTCAACATTGCCCTAGGAGAAGTTCTTGGCTATGCCGTTGCAGCCATGTTCATCACCGTACCGGGTAACTGGCGCTATATCCTTGGTTCATCGCTCGTCTTCTCCACTATCATGGGCATTGGTATCCTCTTCATGCCTGAATCTCCTAGGTACCTTATGCACAAGGGCAAGACTCTGGAGGCATTCAAGGTCTGGAAGCGCATTCGTGGTACTGCTACCCACGAATCTCGCGAGGAGTTTTTCGTCATGAAGGTTAGCACTGAGATGGAAGAAGCCGAGGTGGCTGCTGGGCGCACAAACCGCTTCCCATGGATGGACTTCTTCACCAAGCCGCGTGCTCGCCGTGCTATCATCTACGCCAACATCATGATCTTCCTAGGACAATTTACGGGTATCAACGCAATCATGTACTACATGTCTGTACTCATGAATCAAGTCGGCTTCGACAAGGTTACCTCCAACTACATGGCTCTCGTTGGAGGTGGTTCTCTTCTCATCGGTACCATCCCAGCCATTTTCCTGATGGAAACTTGTGGTCGTCGTTTCTGGGCCATTGCCATGTTGCCTGGTTTCCTCGTCGGTCTCGTCCTTGTTGGTGTATCATACCAGATCGAATCTCTGCAAGGTACTCTTGGTACCTACTTCACCGGTCTTATCCTGTACGAATTGTTCTTTGGTTCTTACGCCGCATTGACCTGGGTCATTCCCTCTGAGGTCTACCCAACCTACCTCCGTTCTTACGGAATGACCACCTCCACCGGATGGCTCTTCCTGTCTTCTTTCATCGTCACCTACAACTTCACTGGCATGCAAAACGCCTTCACAAAGACGGGTCTTTCCCTGGGTTTCTACGGCGGTATCGCTGTATTGGGCTGGTTCTATCAGATCTTCTTCATGCCTGAAACCAAAGATCTGACACTTGAGGAGATTGACCAGTTGTTCCAGCAGCCTACCCGAAAGCTTGTTGCACAGAACGCGAAGAGCTCATGGGAAGTTACCAAGGACTTGTGCAGCTTCAGATTTAAGAAGGTGTTCATTGACAACAACAGGAGGGGTAGACGCGAGGAGTAGGGAAAACAGAGGATCACTATGAAAGTTTTTTGAGTCGCTGTCTGCATTCCATATTGCACGCAGACATCCATTACGACGAATGCTCAATTTATGAGCGCATGATGTATGGCGAAATATGGACGGAGGATACGATAATTACTATATACCCACAATGCACATTTTGAGTTTGACATTGTTCTTACTATTGAATATATTCATATGAAACATGATTATCTGGAACAAGTAGATGCACACGACTTTCAAAACTTTCGCAGGACCTGTGTACGTCTATTCGTTCTAGATAACTATGTATCATGTAGCTATGTTGCATATCCAGTGATTAGATAAAAGGATCTTTTTCAGTCTTTATCTGGGCACATTCGGGGTCAACGTCCGCATCAGCAACCAGAGAGCGTATCACCCGAGCCCAAGTTTTGACAGAGAGTAACTATGACCTGGCTTGGGATTCTTCAAGAGAAAAAAGTCTAGCGTGCTTATTCCATTTCCATAGCTTTCTGACTCTCAAGTTCTAACAATCGAGCAATCCACACATCCGTTCGCCAAACCTATGCGCATGCCGTCACCCACAACGAAAAACCCACCATTCCCTCGCCTAGAATGATAACAAATCACTGGCACCGCAACCTAGACTTGTTTCCCCCATCTTGTAAAGTTTGTACGTGATGATGAGTTTTGTTTCTCAGTCAGACATTCCTAAGACAGTCACAGCGTCTTCACCAGAGCTTAAGACGAAACACAACTCCACAGACTTTTATCGCTTTTCTTTCACAGATAGCCACGATACAATATTCATGCAGTTTCATGTTGGCACACTCTCTCTTCATGTAATAACGAAAAAGGAAGGATCCGTCGTCGTTCCTTGGTACTTATCATCGCAGTCCGCTTCGGTGACCGAAACCCATTCGCTACAAAACTAACACCAAATTTTACTTCATCCCGTTTACTCTCACTTCCATCACACCGTCAATCCGTTCTCTTTGTTGCTCAGACTCACAGTCAGATACATCTATTTTACCACCTACCCGAGCTGTCCAAACATGCACCATTTCATCGCTACCGCCACAACGACGATACCAGAAACATTCGTTCCAATGGACGGGCCCTCCATCGTTCAAGGCAGCGTCTCTTCTATCAACAATATTCCAGGCCGCTCCATCCTCCTTGGCGTGATACTTGTGGTGAATAGTGTATGGCTTCTGGGGAAAGCGATTATGATAGTGGGCTGGGGCAATGACAATGGAAGTGATGCTGTTACCGGTACGTTTCCACACGCATGTTCAAGCGGTCTTGATATATGTCATAGTTGAAGACTAAAGAGAAGAAGCTAACATCTCTTTTGTTTTTATCAGGCAAGATTCCCCAGAATTATCCACCTACGATCAAAGGCAGAACTAGTGCTACGACTACTTCTATGGAGAGAAACAACACCTTTGATATATGTGGAATCCCTGATGTGGTCGTAGTTGATGACGTTAGGTCATCGGTATCTCGTAGCTAGACGATTAGACTACAGCACGTATGAAGTTACCTGGCAATGAAGCGCAGTAGATGTGGTGGCTACACGAGCAAGAAGTTTACAGGTACGAATATGTTTGGGCGGACGTATGGAAAGAAACTTGCGCAGACCGAAAGAGATTGCTGTCAGAGAGAAGAAGGTAAACCTATTACATTGGGCACCCTCAGGATAGTGGGCTATCTTGGGGGTGTTCGCAACGAGGAAACGGAATGGTAGGAATAGCGATAAGTACTTAGATGTAGACATCTGATAAACTGCAGCGCAACGCATGTATTGTATTATGTTGAGTACCAAAGTTTTGTTGGATACCTTGGCCTGATATCAAGTAACAGCGCATTAGGTATAGATATCTCTAATCACTCAACTCGTCACCCGCTATGAATGCTACAACCTCATGTCATCAGAAAAAGCCTAAACCTGCACCTTCTTAAACGTCAACGTCTTCCCTGGATGCGGTATACTCTGTCTTCCCATCTCAATATTAGGATGCCTCTCTGTCTCACCGTTCGGCATCCCAATATCGTACTCTAAAACCAGCCTTGCTAAGATCATCTTGATCTCGTTGGCAGCAAAAAAGCGGCCAGGGCACGCATGGCGTCCGTAGCCGAAACCCAAGTTGGTCTCGTTGGTAGTGACGAATTGGTTGCGCGCAATATCCGCTGCCTTGCCGCTGGAACGTAGCTTGTAAGAGCGGAAGCCGTCAAATTCAGAAGAGGACGGGTAGTGTTCGCTATCGAGGTAGATGGCCGCGGCGGGAACTTCAATGAGAACACCAGCAGGGATGTATTGGCCGTTACTGAGGGTTATGCCTTTGAGAACGCGGCGGCCGAAAGATGCTAGATGGCAGGTTAGTTGCCATGTTTTCTTTCATGAGGGCGCGTATGGGAGAGGATTGGCAGAGCTTGACTTACTGACGCCAGGAGGGTAAAAGCGCGTAACCTCCTTCATGTAGCTATCAAGCTTCTCCATCTGTTGCAGAGCACGGGAAGTGATGATTCCACCATTGTCAGCCATAGCATTGCGGATCTCTTCGCGCATGGGTTCGATGTACTCTGGTGTGACGGCGAGTGTGTACAGAATGTTCGTGACGGTCATAGTCGTGGTGTGAATGGCAGCGAAGATGAGTGAGAGTTGGAAATGAGCAATCTGGTCGATTGAGTCTTTACCGTCAGAACGTGTGATCATCCACTGCAGCATATCGTCCGGTGCCTGCCAGTTGGGGTCTTTCGACTTCGCAGTCATCCTTTCCTCCACGATTGGACGCAGGAAGTCGGACAGTTGCTTCTCGCGTTTGCGGAGTTGTCGAACTTCTGGGGTACGAGGGGCAAAGAAAGCTTTCGTGATTGGACGGAGTTTCTTGCAGGCGTTGACTGCAGCCATAAGATCGAGGGTATAGTTAACCGCAAGGTCGAGATAATCCGGGTGCTGACATAGCTCTGGTCCAACAAAAACACGGCCAGAGACCTTTGCGACGACATCGACGAGTTTCTGGTTGATGTAGACTTCAGTGTAGTCGTCACAAGGGGGCATGCACTCTCGAATTGCGGCATCGACCTCCGAGCAGATGACTGGGTTCAACCGAGCTGACATCATATTAGCTTCCCTACCTCGCAAGCACCATACCTGTCAGCACTTACTTAGCGCGGGCGTGAGGTCAGACCTGACCGAATGGACGGCTGTGGATCCCTCGACCGCTAGTCTGGTGTATCTGACTTCCATGCTCTGTAAGCAATTAGCGTTGTTGAATGAGACATCGATGGCTATTATCCACTTGCATTCTTGACAGCTTCAGGGAAGCTGAGGACATCATCAGGAAGTTTCCGTAGTTCTGGAAGTAGGCTCAAAGGTACGACAACGTTGTCTTCGCCTATAGGGGAGTGAGTGCTGGTCGATAGTTGCACTTCAGAAAGGTTGACATACCACTCTCTCCATTGATTCTGTAGATCGAGTCTTTGAACTAAAAGTGGCATAAGCAGCTGTATCCCCATATAGCTATAGGTAAATTACCTTGGTGTATCCATCTTCATACATCTTCTTCGCGGATGCGAGGTATGCTTGTCGCTGCTTCTCTCCGCCCTGGAGGCCGTCGAGGGTCGGGATACTCCCCAACTGGGCTTTGCGCTTGAGTTTGGGAACATATGCGCATATTGCGAAGATGAGTGCAGCTATCGCTGCAGTCTGCAGCGTGTGCGTCAACTGTGTGAGATTCAGGAGGTCCATGGTCGTAGGCTCTGATGTGGAAGGCGTAACAGAGGAATTGACGTTTTCAAGCTTGCTAGCCATCTTTGCGACGAGCGGTCAAGTAGACACTATATCCAATTCTGACTGCTGACCTTGCTGACGCTTGATGTCTGGGACGGGTAGGTAGAGAGTGTCTGACCTGCAAGACGGCACAATGTGATTGTCCTCCTTTATCACTAACAGTCCCCAGTCTACCAGCATTAGGATCCGTGGTGCGATCTGCATCATACGGTTCATACGGTATATACGGTCACTGTCCAAGCCGACTACTCGAAGGTGCCGGCGACGGGGCTGCTAGCCAAAGAGCCGTCATTTGATTGCTAGTGCGTTTCAGGCAAGGTCCTTGCCGATCACTAAGCCAAGGGTCTCCCTCTGCGTTTCGGAGTGGCCTCTTGAGTGCAGCTCTTGAGATAAACTTGCCGCAAGTCATCCAATTATCGTTCTTGCAATACGACCGGAGCGCATACAAAACAGCCTCTAATGACGCGTATGTGGTCGCCTTAGGGGAGCTTTTCCTGGTAGAGATTTGTTAGGAAGCTCCGGCGGAAGCATGTCGGCAATCCTCCTCTAGCGACATGTCATCACGCGTCCGTGCCGGCGGCAAAAGTAGGCAACGTTGCGATGTGTCGTTGCAGTGCGCGCACGAAGAAGTGTTTGTGCAACAATGGTGTCGTCGCGAGGATAGACGAAAGGAGCTGAGACCCTGCTGCGATTGACGCCTCTGCCGCTCTCCGTCCATCTCGGTTAGATTCCTTTGCGGGGTTTGCTGTAACACCTCGCATGGGAAAACCTCCGAACGCACAAGTTGTCATGTACTCCACAGGCAATTTTCCTTTTTTTTGCGATCCACCCTCCAAGCCATTGGGAGTCGAGGCCTGACTGCTTGTGCTGTTAGCTATTGTTATCCTAGTCCAAGCTTGCAGCATTAAGTCCACAAATAAAACACCATGCCTGTCGAGCTGGCGTTGCGATACTTAATGACCAAGATCACATAGCACAGCGTGTTTTTCTCCAGTCAAAGCAAACTGCACATATGCTATCAGTTATAGAGGACCCGTGCAAGTATCAACATTCGACACGAAACGATCATGCTCACCACTAATCGTTCGTTCAACAAGCACAACGGCCGTTTCAGGGATATCTCCACGCATCGAGCCAGACACATGATCACACTCATCATGTAGTACTATAACGATATGTGCACCGCCATGGTGATGACCGCGTTGTGCCACGCAGCGACTCTTGGTCAATGCAGCCCTGTACAGTCTTCGCTTCACCGTATTCCGCGTATTCAGTAACCGAGATGAAATGCCATCACCCATAGCAGCTTCAATACGACACCAAGACCATGCGATGCAACCACGACCTTGGTCCAGCAGCCTCTATCGACGTAGTTTGCGAGATGTGTTGTTCTCTAAACGTTACCACCACCCATGCCATGGCACACTTCCAAAGTTTCAGCACGGTCCGTACATCCCCCGCAAACTCCAAGCTCTATTATCACTCCCCCGCTTCGCCAATCGTTCCAAGTATCATCGTCGGTCCGAAACGCAAATTACGAGTTACTCGTTCGAGGCAAGCGGTGTCAATCAGCCGCTGACACAATGCCGGATAACAGTTTCATTGCATGTATTGTATGCTGTGGAACTTTGCAAGCCTGTACCGTTCAGCACTTGGAGCACAGTGCGCAATATGAGCATGGGTTGGCTTTATTTCCATCAGACCTGAGCAAGTGGCAGCCTTCCAAAGCAGCACCACACGAAAGGTCTGAATCTTGGTACATGATCACTCGCTCGGTACGGCAGTTCTCTCGCTTTAGTGTATATAACGAATATACGGCTGCTTCTAACGTATCAACATACATCGCATGTTTCCTGTCTTCGAGAGAACCAACGACTAACTATATCCTCTATTTACCTTGTACCAAATCTTTTCTGCCTCGTGGTAAGGCCGTGTCAATCAGAGCATAATACTCTGCCTTTGGGTCGCTTCAGCGCACACGGTCAACCAGCACAATCTTCGTCAAAATGTACTAACCCACAATACATGTATCCTCCCTCAAAGCGTCTTAGCAACAATCATCGGCCCAGCAACCTCATCCCTCTTCTCCTTCCCACAGAGCTCCTCCACAATGGTAAGCGCGAAAAGTATTGCAGTCCCTGGTCCCCGACTCGTAATGACACGTTGATCAACCACGACTCTATCCTCAGAATACTGCCACCCAGCCTGCACCACCTCGTCCTTCACGCTCGGATGACTAGTAACCGTCGTCTTGACCTCCCCTGTACCATCATCCCTCTTATGCGCGGCAACAAGCGCAGTCGTTGCGGCGCAAATTGCTGCAACCCAGTTCGCCTTCTTTCGAAAATCGTTGATAAGATCCAAGACAGTATTGTCTCCGCAAAAGGTCTTTGCTCCTGGTGCGCCACCGGGCAATATCAACACGTCGTAATGCTCACTCACATATCCCGGAACGGATGAGAGTTCTTGGTAATCGGGCACGATGCGGATGTTGCGTGATAGGCTAACACATGATGTTAATTACTTCCATCCACGCCCCCGAAACAACAAAGAGAAGGGTAGAAAAGTGTTTGGAGGTGAGACCACGGTTACCAAACATGAGACAACACCTTTCCGTCACTCTCGAGCGCGAATACGGGAGGACGACTAGAGAACAAACGAGGGCAAGGGGTTGTAGGAACTTACTGTGCATAAGTCTTGTTCTTGAGGGATACACCAGCTGATTTTACTTCGAAGCCAGCGCGGGTCAAGACTGCCATGAGCATCAGTATCAAATACCACGTGTTCGCTTCTTTTTGGAGATCATTGAAGATAACTCTACCATGCTCGCGCACGGCTGTGAGAGGTGCCAGAGACAGTGCAACAGCTAGGCAGCAGTGCAGTTTTGTCAAGCTAGAACTTGGAACTGGTAGGTCTTGAAGAGGACCCTACCAAATTATGCTCGCCTAATTGGAAAGATCTGTGCAGCCTCATACTATAGGTTGGCGGACAACGTACCGTCGTAAGGCGTGACGAATTCAATCTCCTCGGATCCATCTGCAACCAGTATCAGAGCTCTCGGCATATCGTTCGTAGTTGCAAATACTAGAAGATTTACACGCTATTCGAAGTGCAATGGTAACAATCAGTTATGTGAAAGTATGTTGATGAGGGACAACGTCGAACATGTCTCCGCATTTTAGCCAAGTGTGACGTATGCTGAGGGGCTCGGAAACAGCATGTCCGGCATCCCTTTATAAACGTTTCCTGCGTGTTCCACTTATAAAGAAATGAGAATGGACATCTCATTGCCTAATGTCCAAATCACTCACGTTTTATGTCACAAGACCAAGAGGCACCACGTATACGCAGAAGAGTCATAAAAGATAGCATTGGCTCATCCCATCCTGTTCCCTCCAAGATTACGCCAGAACAATTCGGTCATCAAGGATATCACTAAAAAAGCACACCCATAGTCTCCGTATATACACGCCTCTTGCCTATGTGCTTTCCTTTGTGTATAATCGAAACGTTTGTGAGCGCCCACCTAGATTCGTTCCAGTACAGTAAAACTCGAGCGCCAAAAGCAGAGTCGAACTCAGCATCATGAAAGGTGCGTAACTGCCTTATTCTATGCCTCTTCGCGGGTGTAACGGACAGACTAAAGAACTCCAGGATATCTCTCTTCTCTCGTCTCTTCTCATAAGCTCATGCAATAAGAGAAGCAGGGGACCGCTTCAAAGGGCGCCGCTGTTACGAGTACCAAAACACCTCCATTGACCAGGTATTAGAGAGCGGGTTGATGATGCTGAGTAGCCTTCGTCGATGGAGCGCCTGTCTCCTCCATCTCAATCTGCTGGCCGGTGTCGGCTGAAAAAAAGCAAACAGGGTATGTCACAAAAAAAGAACAGAACAGAACAGAGAAGGAAGCCAGACCGCGTCTATCGTTGCAAAGGGTAAATCTCGCATCGCGGAAAGGGTTTGAGGTATCAAAGGCGGGGTGTACAAAAAGGACAGCAGGTTGGCCTAGCATGACCATGCTCGAGATAGAGATAGAGAACTCCAAACACCAATTGCATCATGAAAGCAAAACAGACGTAGTGGTCGTTAATAAGCCACAAAGGGCCCCAAATCGGGTGTTCGGAATTGGTGGTGGATGGTAGCAGTGAAGAATGTGTGCAGGTATGCCGAGATCACAAGCTCATGGTTAACCATTCCTGTAAAACATTTGTTAGCATGGCACTATTTTGCTTCAGCACGGAATTACTTACCCATTCAGCAGGGCCAGATGATTGCAGGCCTTGGCCCATAGCACCCATAGGAAGGGCGCCTAGATTCTGGCCCGGGAAAGGACTGGGACTCGCAATCGCAGTATCCTTCCTGCGCAACGTAGGCGCTCTTCCATTCGTGTCGTCCGCATCTGCCATCTCCAGCTCCTGTGACTCGGTTTTACTTGAACCGCGAACACGTTTCGGCGCAACAGGGACACCGCGAGTCTGAGACAAATTCACAGAACTATTGGACTTGGGTGGACCAGGAGCTATTGGAACCACACCGCTCGGTTTCGTAGATGTCGGGGTGGTAGCATTGGACATGGTACCAGAAGCTGCGCCAGAGCCGGTGGATTTTGGAGACTCCGACTCCGCCGCTTTGTGGGACGTAGGAGTCGTCACCGGGGTATGCGCAATGGAGTTCTTTCGGGACGATTTCTTGGAAGATCGCGTGGATGTCGTGCCTACAGGTGCATTGCCGCTACCCCGATTGCGCTTTTTGATGACATCGGTTTTGAGCGACAAGGGCCGAACAACGCCGTGCAACTTCAAGAATAGACCGCATGCATTGCAAAGTGGGTGTCCCTCAGGGTTGCGCCGCCACAAAGGCGTCGTCTGGGTAAAGCAGTTGGTGCAGGTTGTGGGGGCACCGCCTTCGCCTTGCTTTGAGCCACCTGGACTTTGAGGTCGTGATGGAGCTGCAGAATTAAAGCCAGACTCTGGCGGCGAATTGGGCGACGAAACGAGGCCGTGCATGCCCTGGTGCAGCATTCCAGCAGCGTTAGGAGTTGAGCTAGTGCGGGGTATTTTCTGGCGTCGTGGATCGCTTCCTCGATTGCGTATGTCGCTTACAGAGGCAGCCGAGCCATGCGTCCGCCCAAGACTGCCCCCAGGGCTCCAGTGATCTTGCGGTGAGTGCACCATTTCGGTGCCGCCAATTGTGACAGTCTTGCGTGGGGGCCCGGCCGGATACCGCGCCTGCATGGGGTTGAACTGATTCGAAAGATTGGTTTCCCATTGGTAGCCGTTGTTGAAATCAAGTGACCCGTCCTCCATGTGCGAGTAATCTTGTGATGGCATGGTGCGGTCTGCAAACGCGCTGCCTTCGTCATCTTCGGCGTCTGAGTCTGCGCCAAAAGTGAACATGTTCTCTTGACGTCCCATCTGCATCTCATGCTGCTGGCGCAACGGCAGGTGGTTGTGGAGCACTTGAGACGGATCTACGTGACTCGACTGGCCGAACGACGAGGCTGAGAATGGCAGTGAGGAGCTCGCGCTCGTCACAGGGCTGAAGACGGAGTCATTGCCACCGGGGTTGAAGATGAACTGGGGCTGCATGGAAGTCGACAGGTTGGAAGGTCGGTGAGGACCGTATGAGGCGCTGCCGTGTGTGTTGCGAATGTCCAAGCCACTCCTGTCAAAGTACATCTGGTTGTCTTCGGGTATGGGTTGCGGAGTGGAGACGGTGGAGGGAAAAGCGGAGCTGGGTGGAGAGTAGTAGTCGGTGGAGTTGAGGGAGGAAGCCATGGAGTGTTGGTTGAACATGTTGGAGTTGAAGGCGTTGTGGCTCATGAGTGGCGAGCCGACAGGCGAGAAGCCGGAGAAGCTCTGCTGGTAGGGCCCTGCTGAATGTATGACGGGGTCCTGGTCGTGCATAGAGAAGGTGTCTATGGAGAAGGGGACCTGTGCCTGTGAGGCTGGGAAGGTGGGGGGCTGCATGGAGTGGCTGTCGAGCGAGTACTGGTGCAGGTCTTGCTCGGCCTGGGCATCGGTGGGTATCATGATGCTGTTGACAGGAGGGACCAGAGGAGAGGCTTCAGCGCGCCGCTTGGGAGGCTGATAAGACGTTAGTTGTGCTCTGTTGGGATATGATAGGCAGAGAGATAAGGAACTCACTCGTCGCTCGTCGATGCTGGTCTTGCGGACGTGTCGCGGAACGTAGCCAAATTCATCCTCTCTGTGGATAGCAGGAGGCACTGAAGGGGCGGAGGCGCGGGCGAGGGAGAGATTATGGTCGTTGGCTAGATGCGGCTTTCTTATCGGTATCGCTGGGGCAGATGGATTAAATGGAGCCGCATCCTCATTCGACAATTCGGGCGACAGGCCTGCAGGACTGCCGACGGACGAGGGAAATATAAAATCGTCCAGGTTCATGGCGTCGTGGGGTGAGTTGGCGTGTACTTGTACCTGCGCCTGCTGGTCTTGCGACTTCCTCAACTGCTGGGCGATACCGCTGGGAGCGGATCTTGGCGGCGGTCTTGCGCTCGAACTTGTTGGCGGCGGCGGCATCATTTCATTGTTTTGCGCATCCGGAGCGGGCCTGTTCAGCAGAAATCACAGTTAGCTGAGCTGGTCGTCGACAAGACTCGCAGTGGTAGCGACGCAAAAGCAAATGGCGAAATGCGTACCCTTTATTGCGATCCATCTCGGCGCGCCGCATGTTCATGGCCATCATTCGCCATGTCAAGTTCTCCATGCGCTCTGCATTGGGCAGCTGCGTCTTTGCTCGCGAATACAGTTTCCAGATTTGCGTGCCCAGCGGATCGTTCTTCTGTAGTTCTTCTGGCGATTCAACGCTGGGCGTGCCCGCATCGTTGCCAAATGCTGGGAATATGGCATCCTGGAGCATGCCCTTCTTGGACGTGTCTTCGGCCGACTGTACCTCCATGGCGCCCGCTGCTGTTGCAAAGTCCATGGGTTTGCAGTCGGGGTGGTGCCCTCTTTGGTGGGCGGCAGTAATTGTGAGTGTGCCTCTCAAAGGAAGGCGATGATGTAGCTGGGTCGGCGCGTGCTCTGAATCGGATGGGCGCACCCCACGTTAGCTGCGGACCTCAGCTGCAACCACAGCCGAAGTAGGCCCTGAGCGCTGGACAGGCAGACTGCGCGGCCGACGAGTGCTAGTAATGTTTGGTAGTCGCTGTGGTAGGCTTCCAGAAGCCCGTGTAATGTTTGCGTGTGGTTGCTGTGCGAGTGCCAACACAACGGCCTGGTCACTGAATAGATATTGGAAGGCCTCTGATGTCGCCCACGGGGAACAAGCCTCGAATTGTCGCGCTCCCGGGACCAGTGAGCGGCGCAATAATTGAATTGCAGCGATGCGGGCTCCAGCATACGACGGACAGCCGGTGGCACTGGGTGGGTCGTGAGTCGTGACGCTGGGCCTTGGTGAGAAGAATGAGATGCAGTGTGTGGAGCGTTCGGCACCCACGCTGCCCCCACCACTCACTCTCGGACACCAATCACACGTGCAGCCAGAGGCCCATCCCTGGGCTATGCCTGGACGTGCAGCCTAGGGTCCTGTTTGGGGCGTTCCCTGCCCTCCAAGTGCTCTCGCCCCCTCTCCACAGTGTCGTCAAATGCGCGACTCATAAAAGCAATACTCGCAAGCACACGACATGTCTACCTGACGCATTTGCTGCGACACGGGCCCGCTTGGGATACTACATGAGATGCGATTGACGGACGGCGGTTTGGCATCCTGGGCCGCACGGGAGAATGCTTGCCTTGCCGCTTAGCATGCACGCCCTTGTTCCTATCGAGACCGCCTGAACCGTGCTACCAGAATACTTGGGAACCCCGGACAGAGTCTCGGAGGCCAAAGTATGAGCGGGAAATTTATCGGACTGCACTCATCCGGATGGGCACGAGTACACCACTCACAAGACACATGCCTGAGCTTGGAACACACACGACTGTTCCTAGGCCCTCGGTGTCTTGATTCGAGAAGGACTAGAAGAACTACCTTACCAGCTGCACAGCGCTGATCCCGGGACGTCACTGTCCTCCAAGGCTCGCCAATGTTCCCTCTTGACATGTTCTACTGCGCGACTACGACCCACCAACACCAGCCGGCAAAAGCTTACGCGAATAAATAGCCCGTCTCCATTGGCTCCTGTGCATTGCCTACCCGCTCCTTCTGACCGTCTACAGCGTCTAGCAACAAGCCGATTCTGTACGCCTACGCTACCTTGAGGCCAAGGAAGCACGCTACCTGTAGTCGATCGAGGCAGTGGCTGCGGCTGTAATTTACAACTCAGGGAAAGTGTGCCTCGCCGCCCGTCAACGAGAAGCTTGTCAGCCGACTGCATGTAGGTTATACAGGAGCAGTAGTACTGTGTCTTGTGACCATCGCCGAAGGAGAAAAAAAAAGGGCTTTCACCGCGTCTACACTTCCTACAACACCTCCATCGTTTACCCGACTGTGGAGTATGTCATCCGAATGGTGCCGAGCTCTATCGCGCTCGGCACTTCCTTTCCTAGATTTCCCGATAGCCTCACAATTTCAGGGTCTTTGTTTACCAGGTCCACAGCTATCGATGGGCTTGTGCGACAACGGATCCACCGCCCATAGCGCCAAAGCACGTGGTGGAGAGCGAACTGCGCTTCTAGTGGCATCCGACAACGCCTGCCGGTACCAAAAGATAAATCCCAAGTTATGGCGCGCTCAACAACAGCAACAATGCGGCTGACGCCGTTGGTAGCGGGCGCTCCTTCCGACAGCGCATCCTTTAATGCTACCACAGTCCACTTGTTCACAACTTCACTCGAGTTAATGCCTGGGGGGCCTGAACAATAGCATCGTTCTGCGGTTCCGCAGTTGTATCCGTACGCCTGGTAGATACCAGGACATTGCAAGATCCAACGGTGACGCGGACGGTGGAGACGACCAAACTGTAAAGTCGAGAACAACATGCAGCTTGTAGGCCGCTGTCTTCGGCCTTACCTCTTCTTCTAGAACATATGCACATTGTGCTGCTCAAGATCTCGAACCATCTCTAGGGCCACATCGAGAGCAGGGAAGACTCGACAGGTTCATCTTCTAGACGGAGTCTTGAACATACGCTATTCGACTGACAACTGACTACGTTGCACGCTTCACTAGCAACGACAGGTCTCAACGATCTCGAGACGACTTATGCGGTACGTGTGGATCGGACGCGCCGTTGCTGTCTCCATCTCTCTCGCTCTCGGTCCCTTCAATTTCCCAAACGAACGTCAGGTTTAGCCGCCATTTGTCGTCCCTAATATCACCTTGCATGGTACTGGTAATTGGCGGACTCACTTCATGCAGCATATTGCTTTTCAGGTCGAACTGCTTGTACCCACCGGGCTACCCACCAAAGTAAAGGGTCCAGGGAGATGTTGATCTACCCACTCGCGACCGTGGCATCGTGGCATTACTTCGGGCTGAGATTCATCTAGTACCAGCCGCGAACACCAATGTTCGGTGTTGCGCGTCCGCTAACCTGGAAACGATCGGCTAGATCCATGTTGACCAAATCGGTGGAGTTTCACATGTCAAAAGCCGAAGGACAGGAAGGTACGAACATACGTTTACAATTAATCCAGTGATTATGCATCTGCTGCAAAGGATCAAGATGCCACTAGGTATTTACTCATCAATGACAGAACCACCATGCATAGACAAGGTTCACCAGATATTGAGCAGCAGCACGACCCCACGCTCGTTGCCCCAGAGAGTTAAGCGGCCTAAGCTGTGATTCCCTGTCTCATGCAAGCCCCAAAAGCTACTTGCATCTGACTTGCATGCAGCGCAATACAGCAAGGATGTGGAGCCTAGACGCTTTGCTAAACCCGACTCAATCCGCTCTAACCTCGCTTGTCGCCGCATTACCGACTTGGGCCACGCTACAGACGCAGATGTCGTTCAACACACTTGCAATTTTACCATGCTATTCTGCTTTCTGCGGTCTTTGGCTTTATCCTGATTTTTCAGCGTGCGACGAAGCGACGATGGTCCGATGTCGCTATGCGTTCCGCCCGTCTCTAGTGTTTCGTGTGTCTCCATGGAACCGCGGAAATGTCCGTTGCGAAAGCACGCAATATCCGATTGCATGCAGTATCCTCAAATACCAAAATCCACAACAAACGCGGAACTACCCAACCGCCCGATCCGCTAGCAATGCAATAACACAGCCCCCCTCCCCCCGTCGTCAGAAGCGACCAGGACGGATGCACATCTTTTTTGGTTGAGTTGAAACATTGGCTGCTGGTAAGGCAAGGTTGTGGTCGCATGTCCCTACTTGATACGAAAACGCGGGATGCCCGTGGGGGTCCGTGTACGTGATTCATTTAGACGTGATATATTCGATAAATTCGGGGGGAATTCCCTGGACGGTGCCCTCGAGACCGCTCTTGGGAAAGAGCGACTGCGACGATCCACAGTTGGGCACACAACGGTTGGCCATCGAGGAAACGGGGCGATCTGGGTAAGACGTGGGAGATAACGGACGGGAAAGGGTCCTGCTCGTGTGCTTGCTTCCGTGATTTACTTGTCGCTGACGCGGAGGGCTCGCGTGCGCAGGTTCCGTTTCTGTGTATAGTACGTACCAGCTGGCGCTGGTTCCATGTTAGGTCAGCCTTGGTCAGCACAGCACAGCGACTGCATGTCACTCCAAGGTGTTGTAGCGATCAGGGCCTTTTCGGAGCCGATGTCAAATGAATGGAATGACGTCTGACGGCGGTACTCGCCGGCCTTAGGCCGCTGTAAAGTGCTCGGCGTACATGGATAGCGAAGTGTTGCGTGGCTCGGCGAACGGCGTGAATGTGTGAATAGCCTCATGCTTAAGGTTGGAGACCGTAACGAGGTCGAATGACTGAACAATCGAGGGCAATCCCAGGCTCCCGCTGATCCCTCATCAGCCTCCCATCGTCATCATAGCCATCCATCATCTATCCATCCATCCCAGGTAGGCAAGGTCTTATTCGAGGCATCCAGCCTTGGCGGTCCAAGTGTGAGAGAGAAGATGAGCGGAGCGGGATGGAGTCGACCGAGAATCCAGGCACAGAGAACCAACGTAAACTGTTTCCAACCTCACAACAAAGGAGGACCACGACCCCTACTTAAGCACACGCTCAGACAAAACGCATAGATAGGAGCTGCGGTGCGCTGCGGTGAGACCATCCCTCGTTATCATTGCGCGATTGATAGCGCCACTCTTAGTGGTCATCACGCACACACCCCCCCTTTGAGCCTCACAAACTTTACATACGTCGAAACACACCGAGTAAGCCAATCAAGCCAATGGCATACGGGGAAGCGTAGCAACGTGATCTCTTTGGGTAGGCAAGTGTATGGCTGGCCTTCCTATCGTGGACGAAGGAGAGATAGTACTATCTCTCGGTAAAGACGCTTATCTGATGCAGGCACCGCACAGGAACAAGCATATACCTTTTTGCGGAGGGCAGATCATTCGCTCAGGCTGCGGATAACGGATAGACGGGGAGGCGCGGCGAATGGGAGCGCTTTCTGGAATGTCGCTTCAATCGTATGGTCCCCTTGGTCTGGGGATGTTGGGGTCGTGTTGGGGACACCGGAGATATCTGTGCGTTTTTTTTTTTTGATATGAGATGCCTCGCCGTCGGCCAACTGAGCCGTCTAGGTGATTAGAGTGGTTGTTTTGAACGATTGTCAGGCACGTTGATCCGCAAGGGCCCCCACATTATGATGGAGAAGTGACGGGAGGCTGGCAAGACTTATATCGAATTGCCGTATCTGAGTACATTGCTGGATATCTACACCGGCGCACAGCCGTGCACCACGACGCGTCGCGTGTTTATGGCCAATATACATGTCTTGTAGTGAGGCCTATCTCTGAGTATCATAGGTGCATCAGACGCGAGATTTGTTCCCGTTACTTGTCCCATTCGATTGCTTGCCGACAAGGGTGCTGTATCTTCCTCGCGGACATGTTCCCTTGTTATCTCTTCCGCCATTATCGTTTCGTGCGGATAGTTTCGATGTATCTCCGCGGCGCGTTGTTTGCCGTGTCGTATCGTGGTATCACTCGAGGTGTTGGGGGGATATACTGCATAATCGCTCTGCAGCCTCACTTATCTCCTTCTCTCCCTTCCTTATCACTGCCTCCACCCTTGACCGTCTCTTCACCCAAGACTTTGCTCGCTGCCATGAACCTACGGAGTTGTGTCAGTACTGAGGTTCATGTCTACCATTTCATTCCATCTCTCGTTGATAGACACGGTGTCGCAACTCACATGGCACCAGCATAGCCACCTAACCCACGCATGTCCTGCGCCTGGCCAGCCGTCATACGCATCAGGCTCTCCAGATCTGACATATTGGCCGTCAACTGCGCGAGTTGCGCTTGTAGGTGTGAGAGCTGGCGTGGTTTCTGCGACGGAACAGTACTGAGGCGCGAACCGCCGGCCGGGGTGTGGGAGCGCGGTATACCCGACATAGTGGTGATGTGATCGTTCCAGAGGGTGCTGTTTGTTCGTGTCGTGTTGTTGTGCTCGAGTGCATGTGGGGGAAGCGCGCCGGACTGACTTTCTTGGTGGGACTCCCGCGGCGAAACGGCCTTGGCGGGTTGCGTTTGGAATCTCCACCAAAACTCGCCAACTTTTCCTGGGCCACCATCACCGTCACCGCAGCATGACGGCATCCCGCCACTGACACTTCGCCGTACCGAAACTACCCTCTTCTGGATTCTTGCGAGATATGGCGACCCTTCAGACTGTCCGTCGATGGATCATGACGGGTGCTGTCGCCGCTGTTACAATCACTGGGACTATCTATGGTGCGGGATTGAAAGGACAGCAAGAAGTCAAGCAGGTATGTTCAGCAATCACTATCCTATCTTCACATACTGAAATCCATGCCTGTAGCAAAAACGACAAATTCTCCAAGCCACACCAGAAGAACGAATCGCACAGCTCCAAGTCGCGCGCGCCGAATTAGTGGTCAAGAAGAACGAGATGGAAAGGAAGATGGGTCAGATTGCTGCGCGGAGGAGGGCGAAAGAGGAGGCGCTGAAGAACGAGAAATGACATGGCAGACAAGAAAGGAGAGAATTGAGAGATAAGAGATGGACATATAAGGGTATGCTAGCAAGAGCGTTGGTCGCCCAACCACACCAGAACAATGACCGGAGAATCAAGAGGTATCGCGAAGAGGATCACACCATCGAACACTGGCATACTACGTAGTATGTCTCTCGGCAAATCATGTCACCCCACCCTCTGCTGCATGACTGGACATCAACCTCAAATCCTCTGCGCAAATCGAAACGAAGAGCCGATGTCCTAACACCCATCTCGATCACCGCATACGACTCTGCACAAGAGCACCACCTATTCCCAATCTTGCTGTAACCGCTTTATCAAAAAAGAAGTCGTCGCTTTGCTCCGAGTAAGGTATATTAAACAAAGGCTATGCCATCTCTTCCGCGAGAGTCATGGTCAATGTCGATCTGTGTGGAACCCTCCACTTCCTCCACAACGCTTCCGGGCCCCGGTTCCATCCCGTCTCCCGTCTTCGATTGAATGACCCTGTAGTTGCAGAAAACGTTGCCTTGCGGTACTGTACACACCCGTCAAGGGTCTGGTCTAAGGTCGCGCGAGGAGGTTGTGATCGTAGGGCGTTTCTCGCTGGTCGCTTGTCACCGGGATGGTGGGCAATACACTCAAGACAACGCCGATCTGGAGAAAAGTGTACGTGGCTTTTCAGTTGATCTGTACAGTGACGATGGACCTCTTGTACGGGAATAGTCGCTACTAAGGAGTCTGAACGTCACTTATGTCCGTTACCGGTGCATGAACGTTTCTCTACAATGCGATCATCGTCATCATCATTGATCGACCTCCATGATGCGTTTTATTCTAATCCTATCAATCACATCGATATTTTCACGAGAAACCATGATTGGCCTCGTTCTCGAATTAACATCAACTTGTCGCATGGTACGAAACGGCTACATGCGTGGCACTCTACTACATACAAATCTTGTAATAGATCTTTTCGTCCATACTACTGGTCAGCCACCATTGGGATATATAGCAGTTATTTACAGGTGTTGAGGAACCAAGCATCACAGGTCAGACAAAGAAAACGTGCGGTACACAGCCAGTTGAGGAGCCATGTCTTCTCGACTGTATACTAAACCGCATGTCACTAAGTTATGCCCTTGTAGGCTGAGCCCTTTAAAATAGGGGTTTGGAGTCCTTTGGAATTCTTTCAGCTAGACTTTTTCTCATGGCTATTGGGGAGTTCGATGTTACAAATACGATGAGAATCCAACTACTCCTGCCACTTCGTCATGCACCTTGTCGACACCAAATCGTCCCTACGGTACTGCTTAGAATGGGCGCCTAGTCTCGCAAAGAGGGGAGGAGGGATGCGACAAGTGGTGGGTGATTAAGAACACGGCGCAACATTACGCGGCGGGAGATGATTTTTCACGCTTTCACCAGAGAACACTTGCTCCGGCAACTGGGAGTAAAGGACGAGAAAACATTAGAGGAAGAGAAGCAAGAAAGAAACAGTTGGCAAGATACATCTACCGAACTCAACCCTGCACGCACATCTGCATCGCCTATCTGGAAATAAGCTACACGCGAGCTTCAGGTAAAGAGGATATATTCAACAACTGCTGCCTTCGACTTTGTGAGCGAACGGAAATCTGAGCATGATGACCTGCATCTCCGCGTATTGCTAGTCACTCTTGATAAATGGTACAGATCCATCTCACGTCAAGACAGTAGAAGGAACATGTACAACCGGCGCAATGTGAACGCAGTAGTGTGTGCCTAGAAGGAGTAGAGCATCCGCGCAATGGGTTGGCAACCCAGGTAAGCCAATTACCATGATTCCTATTGCCGCAATGAAAATGTGAGAGAACATTATAGAGTACGGGATCCGAGTTCACACTCATTTTGAAAGAGGTGGATGTGGTATACTATTTGCTTCAAGGATGGGTATATGTACCGTCTAGGCTTGTATTACTTGTGCTGTTCGAGTATGGCGTCCAGAATGTAGGGCTTTACAAAGGAGTCGTTCTTAGAGCATCTTGGGATGTATGTGTGTCATGTCAGACAGCGATCCACGCCTGATTAAGGATGAGATTAGGCTTTGCATCATGGGCGACTATGAACTTCCGGACCTAGGTCTTTCAGAGCATTGAATGGGGCTCTGAGAAGAGCTGGGAAACAGATTTTCATGTCCTCTCAGGTGAGCGGGCGAGATGAAGAAGGGGTAGAAATCCTTCCGCCAAACGATGCAATACGTGACATTTACGACCAGCCACAGAAGAGCAATTGACGATACATCACTTACTGCTGGCTTATTTCACGCAGGCATATACGCAAACACAAGGACACTAACTTGTTGAATCTGCTTGAATTGCACTCGTTACATCCAACAACCGCAACATCAGGGGTGTGTATATCTCCTCCCCTCACTCTCTTCTTCCACTTCGTCTACGCACCAGCATCTACAATCTTGTCCTATGCACCGCACTGCTATACATTAACGCCCAAATATATCAATCGACAGAAAAAAAAAAGGTATTCCTCATTCATCAGATATCGTCCCCAGTCCTTATTGCTCCTAAAGTATCCAACAGTATAGAACAATGCATTACAAAACAAGAAGAATAGGATTGAAAAAGCCGCCCAGCAACTCCAATTCAGAAAGAAAAAAAGACGCGGTCTTGAGATCTTGAACACCTTGACGAGGATGCTTTGTACAGGCGATGCGTAAAAGGGTAAACAGATGCCGTTGATATACAGAGGACGCGCCGTTTATGTGTGAGAAGGGTAAAGGAGGTTTCTTGCCGACGCCACTACCACCGAAGGGGTATCGGGTATCGTTGAACGTAGGACGTGATCGAAGCGAGCGACAAGCGGGCGTGTCTCATTGTGGCGAAGGCGAAGGCGAAGACGTAAGATCCAAAATATAACGCCCCAGGCTCCATGCATATGCCTTGCGAAAAGGTCGAAAGAGATGCGAACAGTCTATAATTACGTGCTTTTGTGCGATCAATCAGAGAATCCAGTCTTGAGGGTCAGGGGGGTATTTGTCGTCTGCCATGGGCCACATTAAGGTAGTCGACTCGACATAAATGGGTCTCGCTAAGAGAGTATAACAGATAACTGAAAGCCAGCAGTTTCTGTGCAGAAATCTGTACGCTCACTCCTTGCAGTCGTCCATGAAGGAATTCTTTGGCCAGTCGTACTTGGTAGATTTCCTGATTTAAGTTAGTATGCTCGAGGCCAGCGTGTTTGATGTGATGAAAACGTACCAGTCAGTGAGGTTGGGGTTCGCATAAGGCTCAGGGTGGGTCCTGATGTACTCTGTCGTCTCGTAACCCTCAGGGTCGCAAGTCATGATTTGAGCGTCCTCGGGCTGGTAAATGCGGATGTAGTCTATCCGCATGGTAGCAGGAAGGTCATTGGCCTCAATATCCTCGATGTTGATGGCGGCGAAACTGTTTGACATTCCGAAGTTGGCAATGACGGACATGGGCTCTTCAGGAATGATTCGAGTACCGATGTTGCCGTTGGCACGTGTCGCTAGTGCGTTCATGGTCCAGGTCTTGTCCTCTCCAACATACCACGTAATGAAACCCTCGTCACCAGTCTTGTATTCGAACGAATAAGTCTGGTACTGCTTGCCGTTGTACCAGTCATTGTTCAGGTTGGTCAAGCCAGAAATAGCCTGTTGGAAAGGTCCACCCTTGTAAGCGTTCATTGTGGTGATCGAGGTATCGTAGAGCTCCATTTGTTCTGGCTGAATGTTAGCTTGGCTGAGAGAAATACGAGACTGAAAACTCACCGTAATCAGGCATGTACCAGGTGTCGAAAGGAGCGGCTTGAAAAGACTGAGATACGACACCGATAGCGTTGCTCTCTCCAGGACCGAGGAAATGAACTGAACCTTCAAGGGCATCAATTTCAGGAGCGCTTCGTGATTTTCCGGGACTGGGATGATCTTCGCCCTTGCAGGTGCAAGCGGGCAACTTCATACCAGGCAAGTAGCTGAGACCGTCGTAAGAACTCTGGTTGGGTGTAATACCAACATCGCACTCATCGTGGTAGCTGTATGGCCAGAGGCCTTCGGTAGAGGCCAAGTAACCGGGACGAGCCAGGTTGCCCATCGTCCAGAAACCAGGCCAGAAACCAGAAACATTACCACGACCGGGTAGTGAGATGGAAGCCTCCAGATGACCACCCTTGTAACAGAGCTTGTTCCACGACTGGATCATACCGGAACGGTAATCGAGGCCGTGGCTAGGCTCCTTGGTAAACCTCAAGGCGAGATAACCATCTTCGGTGAAGGCTTGGTCGGGATCGTACCACTGCGAAGTGTCAGCTCTGGCCACTCAGAGCGAGCGCATCAAAACTTACCTCCAAATCCATAGTAGCACCGTACCAAATGTCAACAGCTTGGAAAAATGGGTCGTCACCATCATAGAAGGTGCGACCGGGGGTGTTGAATTCGTCTGAAAAGACGAGAACTTGCTTCTCGCCGTTGTAAGATGTTCGCGTCTTGACGTCGTCGGGGGTGTCCGGATCGATGAGACCTCTCCGGATGTTGGTCAGTAGCGGCTCGGTTTGCTTGCCTTCTATGCAAAGAGGGTTATCAGTGCAAGGGCCTCTTTCGGGCTTCGTGATGTCCTCGACGAAGGTGCTTGTATTTGTTAGTGCGATGACAAACAATGGGGCACGCAAACACGTACAGAATTGGGTACCCGATGAAGAGCATGAGCAAACCCAGCGCGAGAATGGCCAAGCCACCAAGATTGACTATACCTCTCCTCGTAAAGATATCGCAGTCTCTCTTGTCCTTCTCGTTGGGGTCGGGATTGTGCAAGTAGTCGTCCTTCTCCACATCTTCCGGGAATAGCAACAGACCGGCTGAGGGGTGAATGTTGAACTTCTCAGACACGGTCTGGGTGTTCAAGTCTTCTTCACTGCCGGCGCGCGACGGGGCTCGGGAGTCGTCAAAAGGCGAAGCAAATGGTCCTCCTGTCATGTCTGAACTCCAGCTTGTCCGCCGCGAAGAGTAGCCAGAGGGCGACTGCATGGGCGATTCATCGCGGTAGGAGCGCGTGCGCATCTTCTGAGGCGGCAGCAGCATCTCGGCCGACTCTGCAATGGCTGCATCGCTGTATATATGGGGCGATCGGATGCCAGGACTTTGGCTTGGTGCAGTACCGGGACGAGTTGGTTGGGTCAAGGAGCGGGCTGAATTGGTTCGTGCGGTGCTCGGTCGCACGGCAGGCGGCGGCGAGTTATCGTCGGTGGTAGGCTCGTGAGAGCCCGAGTTGAGGCGGAGATGGGGAGGCCCACTTCCCCTAGGCGATTGCGGCATCATGGTGCGAAGGAGCGTATGCGGTAGGGTTGGCGATGTGTTGCGATATGTTGCGATGTGCTGCGACTTTAGATGGCAGGGCGATAGGAGGTGTGTTCGTCAAGGTCGTTATGCAGGTGAAAACGAGTGTTGTGGTAACCTGCAGGCAAGGGATGAAGCTAGTAGGAAAATCACGAATGCGAAGTACCCTAAGCCCTATCGCTATCACTGCTGATTGTCGGGGAGCAGGAAAGAGGGCGGCGTGCAGAACGTGAGGAAAGTTGGGGAGGTCGAAGTTCAAGGGGAGGTGAATCGATGGCTCCTGGCCCAAACGGGGGCGCCCAGGATAAGGGACTTGGCAGGGCAGGCGGTCTTCAACGGCAGCAGGCGCGAATGAGTGATGACGCACGACTCGACTCGACTTGACTGGCAAGGACGCAGATGTTGGAATGCGATGGGCAGCGAGGGTGGGATAATAATGCAACAAAGAGCGAAGCCGGCTGGTGATGTGAGGGAACAACAAGCAGCAGGAATGGCGCAGTGTTCATAGGGTGGCAAGCTGTGTGGATGGTGGGCGAGCTTGGGGCTTTGTTCCTGACCGAGTCGGGCCCACACGGTTCAGGGAGGGCGAAGATCTCGAAGCACTACTAAGGAGCGGCCAATCGTCTCTGGCACGGCGCTTGCATGCGGCGACGAGAGAAAGGCCCGCTTACGCACACCAGCGGGAGCCTTGCTAAATTTACCACGACGTTTCAACACTTTTGCTCAAGCTCTCCTATGGTGGAGCCTGTCAAAAAGTACTCAAATTACCTGTCATGCGTCCTTCAACTGTCCAAATCTCGTGCTGTCGTCTGTCTGTTTGCTGTCACCCGCTCCCTATCGACAACTTCACCCAACATGTCAAGACCCGCTGCCACATTTCCCCGCCACGGTACATGCGATTGTTTCTAGGGAAACCTCCTGCACCCAACATCTAGCTCTGCATATCCCTCTCCTCAACATGGCATTCCAAGAAATCATACCGCTTTGCACGCGCAATCGATAGCCTAAGATCATCGCAGCTACCATTACGCGTCGGACCACATATAATAACCCGCAATCCCCAACCTCGCAAGCGCCTGACGGTACCGCACTTGATACATGTACGTGCGCTCGTGCTCAACGGCCGTTGAGAAGTACCTTCACCATCTTATTTCGTGTAGACCATCTCGCCCATCGTATCGTTGCCGAACATAGCGTGGCGATCTAACGCCGTCCTTTTTGATCCTTCCCAAATCCTTCTTCTCGGATCCCCGAGACGTCGATTGGCCTATGCTCTGTTTGCCCATCCCTCGCAGTCGCTACCATCAATCGTCGTCGGCTCTGCATCCTACCCCCTCACTATCTCGTGCCAACCTAGACTACTGCCGTTGCCCGGCTTCTTGACATTTCCCAGCCGTTCAATGTGGTTGAGACGGATCCATCTCCTTGTCCGGCGCCAAGCGCTACCTAGGGTACACCCGAAATGAAGCTCGGAGGCGCAGCAACACAGCGCTGTTCTGGAACCTTGCACCGTCCGGCCGAGGCATAGCCGGATTGGGCAGACTAGTGAGCTCCAGCAGCCAATCAACATGTCTGTCGACACGGCATTGCAAGGCTGACATCTCGACGGATACGAGGCTGGCGGCCAGCGAGCTGAGTTTAATACATCAATCAAGTGTACTCGCTATTTTGCTGAAGGTTCTTGCTACTGACGGTTGGAATTGCGCTGCGCGACTCGCGCCTGTTGCGTGGATTCACCAATGCCGCGTGCTTCGAGCACAGGCATCATGCCGTCATGCATGTTTTCTTATCCAAACATGTCCAGTAATTCAACGAGGAGGTTTGGAGAAAAGAAGTCGCAACGCACTGAAGCCCAAAGCATTGACCATCGTACATTGTAGAGATGCAGCTACACAGATCAACAGTCTTGTCCCATACACATGACTCAAATTGTCGTTGTTATCCATTGTCCGCGAGTATTGTGCCAAACCGAGAGGGCTGATCGAATCAATACCCGGAACGTTGAACACGCAGATCTACGATGACCGAAAAGCTTGAACCAGAGCTGAATTTCTGACGTCGCATCATAGCCTGCACGCTCCACCATCTGTCAGCAGTCCCTCGTCGACTATCCACCATATCCCAGCATCCCTCATGTTTCAAACGGCGTTATTTGCGCCATGGTCACCCACGCACATGACCTCAACTCGTTCAATGTAGATCGGCATGTGTACAATCCGTCTTGCGCATCATAGTTCATCTCATTTTCCCGTGCAGCGTGTGCAATGCAAGCTTACGACTCCACAGCAAGAGCTTTGAGGCCCACGATCCTGCCTTCCTTGTCATCGACTGCCACGACGTAGTACTCTGCCCTCGTGCCCTCGAGCTCCACCCTGAAGACCTTTACAGTGCCGTTCCCGGCTTCCTTCACCGCCTCCATGACCTTTTTGTATTGGCTATCGAAGCCGGTGTTCTGAACCTGTTCTACATTGGAGTTTCCGATGAGTGACTTCAGGTCCTCTGGGTCATTGTTAGCTGGGTCGTGCTGCTCGCAAGGCCGTGCAGGCGGGGAAAGGATTCCTACCAGCTGATACGTTGTCACCCTTGAATTCTAGCGCAACAGGTTCAAACGGTTCATCTGAATCGCTAACGTAGTACTCTTCTACCTGTTCTAGTATCTTCGGCACGGCAGTGTTCACGCTCTTGGTACCATAGCTCTTCTTCTGCGACGCGTCCTTGGTCTCCGCCGAGCCGGTGTCTTGATTTGCTTTGTCGAGAAAAGCGGCGTAGTCTGCGTCGGAAGACATGTTATGAAGGGTGGATCGCCGATCAAGCGAGTTGGAACTAACACGTGTGGAGGGGAAGGGACGTGGGACGAAGGCGATGGAGTAGAGGGTACGACGCGTGGGTTGGCTGTTTTGGACACAGGCGCAGAACGATGAGAAGGTTCTACGGTGGATGAGCCGCTGGATGGTGTGTGATACTGTAGAGATATTTGTTTTGTCCGCGTAGTTCTTTGTGTGTACTGGATATCGAGGGGGACGTCGAAGCAGCCTGTCCATGGTTTCGCGATTCCACGCGGTGCGATGACGCAACGGCTAACTGCGGGCATTTCCACGAGCAGTTGCGCGACCCCACCATGTGTACACATCAGGGCCTAACTCTCTATGAACAACATCACAAGCCCCATAGAGATCAACAGTCGTAACGACTCGAATCGCTTGCGCAGCAAGTAAAACGCAATTTCAAGCAAGAAAGGCATTTTCATTCTCGTAGTTGATTAAGCAGTACACACAACAACCCGCAAAAGGGCGAAACCAATGTAAGGTGCGCAGGGTATCATCGCCATGCGGAAGGACGTTACCACGTCTCTCCGATATTTTGCCCTCCAACTAGACATCCTCAACTCCCCAAATTCCAGGTAACTAATGTTTAAAAACAAGAAAAGTATTGTTGAACAAAGCGGCCTTACATACAACGCCTAAAGTCACATTCTCTGGTTTCCTAACCAGACTTTTGCTCAGCTGGAGTGGCTGCGTGAGCAGGAACGCCGTTCGTAGGCGCGTTGCGAGGGCTGCTGCGCTCAGACTTTGGCGCGCTAGGCTTCACGTCGTCACCCTCATCATCGTAGTTCTCATCGACGTCCATGTGTCGAGCAGCCGGCTCGTGATGTTCCGGTCGCTCCTGTTTTGGTGTTTCCGACATGCGAGACAACGGTCGCGCAGCTGCCATGGGTGGAAGCGAAGGCGGGTGGTGAGCCGCCTCAGATGGATGGTACCCATCGTTGAAGCCACGAGGATCAGGCCCCTCTCGAGGGCTCTGACGTGGAACTTGAGGAGATGACATGCGGTGTGGGGGAGTTGGACGACGGCTGTGAGGCTCTTCCATCTTCTGACGCTTTTCTTCATTCGAAGGAGGCTTTGCGCTCATATGATCAGATTCGGCCTCCCATTCGCGGTGTCGTTTGACTGGTGGAGCGGTCGGCGGCCGGTCGTCACGTTCACGGGCTGCTTGCTCAGCAGCAGTCTGAGCAGAAGCTGGCGGAGGAGCTCCGCTAGCAATACCACCGGTGGCGGAGGGATCAGCATGGTGTTGATATGGCCCTTGGTAGCCGTTCCGTGGAGATCCCGCTCGGTTCTCGACGATAGGACGTACTTCCGGTGGAGGACTTGTAGGGCGGACACCATAGGGAGGCACGGCACTCTGGCTAGGGGCTTGAGTTGGTGGGCCACCGAGACCGGTAGGTGGTGGAGGAGGTGGAGGAGGAACACTACCAGCGTGAGGGCCGTAGTTTGGATTGGAAATACGGTTAGGCTGGGGTGGCTGCTGTTGGTGCAGTGGTGGCTGAGGTTGTGCATGGACAGCTTGAGGCGTAAGTTGCGGAGGCTGAGGATGGTAAGGGCTAGGGGCAGCATGGTGCGTCTTCGGCGACGGAGACATGCCACGGCGCATTGGCCCTGGTGGACCTGGCGGTGGGGGGCCAGCTGGGCCTTGAGGACCAGGACCGTTTGTAGGAGGGCGAGAAGGCTCTGCGTATGATCTAGGTGCTTCCTGTCTTGGGCTTACAGGCCTTTGAGGAGCATGCTGAGTAGGTGGCCGGATGCCCTCGCGCTGCTCATATGGGTTCAGCTGCTGCGGCGGAAGGCCGGGATCGCGAATCTGAGCGAGGGGACGATCCCATCCAGGCGCTAAGGCTGGGGGAGCAGGACCTTGCGGAGGTTGTTGAGGCTGAGGAGCGCCCCATTGAGGAGCTGCAGGGCCATGGACAGAAGCAGGCTGGTAGGCTTGAGGGTGCACGTCTTGTGGAATGGGAGCGTTGCCCTGGTTCGGAGCGCCTGCAGATGTCTGTCCGTTCTGCAAAAGTTGTAGGCGAGCCTTGATGTGTACATTTGACGGATCGAGATCGGCCGCACGCTGGTAAGCGTCAAGTGCATCCGCAGTCTGGTTGTTGCAAGACTCGTACTGCGCCATTGTTAGCGAAGAACTTCAACCTTCAGGGAAAAGGAGCTACTTACAAGTGTGCCGAGATCGTACCAAACTTCCGAAATGTTAGGGTTGAGGCGGATTGCACGGGAGTATGCGTCCAGCGCGTCGCGGTACTGGTTGATCTGGTAGTATAGTACACCAATGCTGCACCAGAAGGTTGGGTTCCTGCCATCACGGTAGACCGCTTGCTGATAGGCCTCGTAAGCTTTGGGATACTTCTGCTGTGACATGTAGCAACGTCCAAGCAGGTACCAACTTTGCGCATCCGTTTGGTCTAGAGCGATGATTAGATACACGCGCATAACCACATGGGGATACAGTACTTACCGGAAGCAACAGACTTCTCCAGGTACTCAATGGCCTGCTCCTGGCTGGCGTAATTTGTGCTCTGCTGGTGGTGTAGCCATCCCAGCTGCTGTAGGACCTTGGCGTGGTTGGCATCACGCTCGAGGACCCGGCGATAGGCGCCCTTGGCCGCTTCGAACTAGAAGTAATGTCAGTGGTGAGAGCTTACAAGATTGGGTGGCACAAACCTCTTTCTGTTGTTCGTACACATGTCCAATCTGGAACCAGATGTCCTCCTCGGTCAGTGGGCGAGGAGGGTTGGTGACAATGTACTTGAAGCAGTCCAGACTTTGGTTGAACTTCTGCTGCTGCTTGTAGATTATGCCAAGGCGGAAGTAAATCTCGTTTGCCTTTTCGAATGTGGGTTCCATGCGCATGACCTGTGAGAAGGCCTCCTCGGCGTGCTCCAAGGAGCCATAGCGATCGTATAGTATTCCGATGCCATACCAAAGCTTAGGCTCCTTTGGGTCAGACAGATGGTATAGAGCTTGCTGGTAGGCAGAGTATGCTTGCTGCAAGTCGTCCATCATCAGATAGCAGTGGCCTAGTCATGTTAGCGACGTGATGCGAGTGATGCGCGCAAAGTCCTTACCGAGGCTTCCCCAAACGTCACCATTGGCCTGGTCGACCTTGAGAATAGTGCGCAGGTATTCGACAGCTGCTGGGAAGGCATCTTTGGTGCGCAAAATACACGCGATACCTTGCATAGCTGGCACAGACCACTGGTTGAATTTCAAGGCCTGTTCGTAGCATTGCATGGCGCCATCGTAATCTTGCATTTGCTCAGAGAGAGAGCCTGCTGTGTGTTAGTTTGAGCCCACGCTGCATACAATGGATACCAGCTTACCCATTTGAGTCCAGACAGCCTCGGTCAATTGTCCCAAGTACTGCGATTGTGTCTTGGGCTGGTTGACGTGCGGCGGGTGTCCATTTACCTGCGCGTGCGCCGGATGCTGCCCAAGATGATGCGGGGGCATGCCCGTGGTGGGCGAAGGTTGCTGGTGTTGTGCCATGAAGGCTGCTTGCGACTGATCAGGCTACAATGCGACTGGTGCGCTACGGAAGCCGCGACAGTGATGGAATGGTTTGGTGGTGGGGAAGACAAGACCAGAGCAACTTGATGGGTCGCCGTGTTGTCTATCTGAATGAGTCAGGAGATGGAGTTTGATGGTTGTGGTGGAGGATGGATACGTACAGTCGGGCGTGGGAGCGCGTCTTGCAAGCGTACTGACGGGTGCGAGTCGAGGCGTGGAGAGGTTGGCGCGGAGAACGACAACAGTGCGCAGAGGAACACGGATGGTGTGGACCCCGACTTGGTTCTACAGTGTCGTGTGAGAGCAACAATGTTGTGGTCTTTGCCACGGGGTGGGTTGAGAAGGAAAGACTGATGTGAGATGCAGCCTCGTGGAAGAGAAAACAGATGAGGAAGCCGCAGACCAACAGATGGAAGGGGCGCTCCAACGTCCCTTCCATCAGACGTGGGTAAGGGGACCAGATGTTGCAGGGATATACTTCTTAGCGTCCACGCTAAGAAAGACCCACTTCTGTGGGCATCTTGCCGTAAATTACGTGCCTAGCATCGCAAAGCGCTGGCTATCCGCCGCGACCCATGCTTCCACCGGCGCTCTACTGTGCCACAGCAACTTGGTACTAGGTAACAGACGAACCATCTTTATTGATTACTTTGCACCATTTGGCACCATTGTCGACTCTGGCGGAATAGGTGCTATGTTTCAGATTGTTCCGTGCGGATCTGGTACCGTTCGTCCCAGGTTCACCGAACAGCGGAGCCGATGGACTGACACGCTACCGCTATTACGCTATATGCGCCGCATCTAGAGGACAGATCAATCTTGTTTCGCCGATTTTCTACAGCCATAGTTATACTGCCAACACAGAACGCCACAGCTTCTGCCTGAACAAGTTAATGGGGTCACCGCCGTTGAGCTATCTATGGATGGTTCGAGCATCAACTAGCTTCAACTACCACGATGCACCATAATTCACACAAACTTTGCTTCAGTATCGCTGCACACAAGGCGACCATCACGTCGCGACACCCAAAGTCGATCGTAGATATTTTCTTTTCCCGAGACTGGGTCCTCGCGCAGCGGGGCTTTATGGGAGGCGTCGCCACATTGCCATGCCAGCCACTCAGACCCCAATCGTCGCCCTACGACGCTCAGCCTGGGAAGCCCACTAGGCAAAACGGCATGGTTTTCATTTCGGAAATCGCAGGAATGGGCTGATGTAGGGCCTGCAAAAGGGGGCACGAGCGACGACAATGGTGCTGACACAGCTGGTGCGCACCCACAGACAGTGCCGTCCAAAGGCCGGGGGCGGGCGATCAGCCAGCCCTCCACATGAGAACAGAGAAGCCTCCGTCGTCTGCTTAGCGGCTCTCGGCATGCATCGTAATGTGACGCAGTTGTCCTCCGCTCCCGCGTCCTCGGCAAAAAGGCTCGTGTCACCCAATCCACCCCCTGCCGCAGCCTGAATCTGACAAGAGTCGATCATTAGTTGGCGCATGAGCATGCAACCGGGATTGCGTCGCCTCGGTGCAGGACCAAGCCGCTGGCATCTGCCGCCCTCCAGTCGAGCCATGATTGCGTCCAAATTTCTTGGCTTGCTGCAGCCCACCGTACCCGTAGCACATCTGTCGATACCGTTTCCGTCGCTGGTGTCCACGGAGCAGCGTGACCGAGAAAAGGATATCGGGCCGCCGCTAACGAAAGCCCCTCTCTTAGCATCTGGGCTCAAGAACCGCACCCACGTGAAACTCCAAGCTTGTGGATCCAGGGCTGGCCTGCGCGCGTCATCACAGCCGTGCCGGTAAGCGAGGCTGTTTTTTAAAGGGACTGCTGTCTTACCAATGAGGAAGGTCCATTCATCTGCTTCACCAAATCTATTGTGCTGCGACTCCCCAGCTGCCGCCACTATCTCCAATGCTCTCTATACATAAGATGCTTGATTGCGGCGGATCTGTGCGGTAACGGCGAGGCGCACGCGAAACGCACCAGCAGCATGTTTCGTCGCAGTGCGGTCTGTCAGGTCGAGGCTCAGATCTGTCTCGCGCCCGTCCACCCGCGTCGTGACCCGAGAACCCGAGTGTGGTTGGTCGTGGATATATAGACTTTCACTTCTGCCATCAGCGACATGACTTCTGTACGCACTACTACTATCGTCTTTTCGAAACGTGTTATGTGGGACGATGAAGGATGAGCCTCGTCTTGGCACCTCTGCTGGCGGCTGCGGCCCGGGGATTTTGCTGAGTCCATCATCTAGTTGCCTGGCGAGCGGTACCCGGTAATTGCTTCTGACTTATCTACATCGCTAGCCCTCGATGAACTGCTTCGCAAGCAAACATGTCCATAACACAGGGAAGCATCTATCAATAAACTGCCTCCCCGCATTATCGAGCAAAGCTACGTATTTAGCCAATACACCTCGCCCATGCCAGCGGTAATCCATGGTAGCCCCCTACCTACTATCGCCCCTCACCTAGTGTAAGATTCATCCGAGTGTTGCACCAAGCTTGATGCTTCCTCTCACCTGCATGCTGCGCGCTGCGCGCTGTCACGTACTATTATACGACTGGCAAGCTCTCGCTCCCCGGAGTGTACAGCAGCAGGAACATGGCTCTATCCGCGAATTGCTACGATCTTCCCCTCTACGATGCCATCCGGGTGACTCTGCATGTAGCTAATGCAGCTGGTCGACGGACCCCGGGCGACATAGACGAGTGGTTGGTGACCGCCGTTGGCTGACAGGTTGTGCACAATCGCTGTTCTGTCGACATGTTGCTAGTCGCTGCTGGTGGAGGAAGGTCAAGCATTTTTCCGATACCCACTTATCACCCCCACTTGATCCCTCGATTGTCAAAGCAACAGCGTTGCATGCCCATAGCAAGCTCAAAGGAATGGAAAGGCGCATGATGCGTTGTGCTACCTTTGCATCATCGTCAGGCCTCCAGATCCCGCCGTTCACTTCGTAGGAGCCTCCAACGGTCGAGACTCATCATGCTTCCAGTATCTCAGCGATGTGTTTGGCTGGGAACCTTGGTTCGTGTACGCCATCAGCTTGTCATGAAGATGTTCGCCTCAGGGTTGTGTGGGACCGAGCGGCCTCTCGGTGCAACCCTGGGAAAGGTGGGACCACATCCACCCTCCTTCCGGGATGACAATCCCGAGGTTGAAACGGGCTGCATGAGCAATCATGCGGGCTGCAGGCCGTCTTTATCAAGAAAAGCAAAGATGTAAGCAAGGGCACGGAGGCAGATGCGGCGCTTTTCGCTACGGCTATCGTCGCTCTGTTGCCGAACCGATGCCGCAGGGAGAGGTAAGTGTTGTTTACATGCAAAGCTGCACGCTGCGAGTGCCTTTGACACCAGGCTCTATTTTCGTGTCGCACGGATATACCGTACGTTTTATTAAATCACAATCCAATATTCAGAAAGTGCATCGGCGTCACCGTCGCAATTCCATGAGTCAAGCGCCATCTGCCAGGGTCTATCAATCAGTCCAAAGGAATTCCTTTTCTCTCTCAGTACAATATGGCGACGCTCAACAACCATGGTTCAGGCACACGTGGTTCACCGCATCGGAGCGCATCACAACCTCGCAATGTGGCAAGGACAGCTTCGAAGCCCTGTCTGTTTAAAGTTGCATGAACCGGAAACAAACAACGGAGAATGCCGCATTCTGGATTGACCATCACTAATACTATGGACGTGTCTGCGCTTATACACGACAACCAGTAATATCCAAATCAGATATGATTTCCAGAAGCTTAATCGCATGATGAGGTGGGCGCAAATCAGCCTTGGGACCCTGGAAGGTAGCTGTATCGCGTCTTCATCACCTTGGTGTGTCACTACATGAAACACACAGAAAAGAACGCGCCTTTCGCGACTACATCAAGCACGATTCTCTCACTCTATAATACATCATATGTGCTCTTTCCTTCTCTTACTTATGTGCTTGCGCTACTTCTCCATCATACAACCTCAACACGAGGTGGCGCGTCATGGTTGCGATTGTGTCTTCCGTCTCTGTACTCGATACCACCGTGCGCCATCTCATCTCACCAAACGCCAGCGCGGTAGACCCCACTATCAACAATTGAATTACATCATGGCGTAATGAACAATCGTCTTTCTCTCGCCTCTTACCTTTCTTCACTGCTCTTAGCGGCTACACTTGCGCCGTACTTCTCCATTCCGTCGGATCCACACTGTCACGGTTGCAAGGTGGCAAGAACCTACGAAATAGTGTGCAGGCGATGGATAGACTTATCGCTTACCCCTACTGGGTTCCGATCACAATATGGGAGAAGCTCCATATGGACCAGTTCAAATAGTCAAGAGCCAACAAAATGAACAAAGCGGCATACGACGCTAGAACAGCATACATAACAACAAGCATTACGAACCCGGCATATTAATTATTAGCGTCGAAGCCAGTTCCGGCACAAGCTCACCAGGCTTCGACTTCACTTTCAACTTTGACACTATCGTTGGTCCTGAAAATCTCAACATGAACATCACTTCTGTGTCATCCCGCACTATTATTTTGGACTTCACTAGAATCTGCTCGACTGCGCGGGAAGCAGAGATACTGAACCTGGCGCTAGCGAGGGTTACCATTGCTATGCATGGCAAGCTTGCGATGGTTGTCAAACGTCTGAATATTGATGGGTACTCCACGACAGCTGATGGTGGCGCAACTAGCGCTAGGAATGAGCACGAGAGAGAGAGGAAGATAAAGCCCTGGGTTTCTAGTGAGCAGAGATTGCGAGAACATGGGCTTCAGTGTGGGTAGTATTAGTATCGACAAAGCATGTGTCCCGTAATAGGTACATGTACATTAAGCGCCAGCAATGGTATCCAATCTAGCTCCACTGAACTGGAAGGCGTCGTGCAGGCTCGAATGGAGACATTATAGCATTACAAGCTACAGAAGACGTACGGTTTCGGATCACATTCACGTTTCTGCATTTGTGTGACAACTGGTTGTAACTGAAATAGCAAACTAATGTAACCCTTTTATCACAATGAGCATTCGATAAATGAAAGCCATCACTACTGATTCGATTGGTATATCCTCACACTATCCACGAAACTGCTACAGGTAAGGAACAGTTCCAATGCAGTATTACCATACACTGGCGGTCCTACATTAGCCTCCTATGGCTGCTCTAGTGCCACTGTGAAAGCTGAAAGCAGGTGTCACATCGTACTTGACAGATTGTTCTTCAAGAAGAAACCAACTCATATATGTGGTAGGCAAGATGATATACCATCCTAGAGATCTACTTGACAGTTGTAGATGTACTATATCTGGCTTTCGCTATGGCACTAGAGGGATGTCCTAGGATTCGGTCCGAGAGCTGCAACAACATAGGATTGCACTTGTATGTACCAAGAACTTCAAGACTATTATCATACACCCTGCCTTTGTATCATGTCCTGTTTAGGTCATTGCTTTCAACCTTGCCATTGATCCTATCTTATCTCCTACCTCTCAGCCACCTCGCAGTACAAACACCAAGTTACCTAGTGCTGACTGTACCAAGCCGCAAGGACAATAATAAATTCTCCACATCCCGAAGTTAACATTGGGGAAATAGTACCGAGCCCAACAGGCTGCCGGTTACTTCCGCAAGCCGCCCGTTTCATGACAGGTGTAAGCCCTAACACGCGGCATTTGGCACCAAGATGTATTCATCTGCATTCCGTTCCGAGATTTGTAACGAAACGTCAGTGCTTGAAAGGCTTTGCTTGTCTTGGCTTCCCTTGGAAGGCACATCACAGCGACGGATGGAATTGACCCGCACCCAAGACTAATCCAAGCTGTATACGTACGTAGATACTCCAAGCCTTGACCTGCATGCAAGGCAGATATGGAGACAGTGGCACCAAAGCCTCGACGTCACAATGAACACGTATAGAATGAGATAGGGGTACCTTTATATCGATACTATTACATACTGTACCCATCCACTCCCTTAGAATCCAACTTAGATAAACGCAAACATCCAGGGTATATATGTATTCCTAAACGCCCATGCGCCGTGGAGACAGAGAAAGTTTGCCAAAGAAGTGGCAGTCCTGACATGATCGGGCCGAGACCCGGCCGTATCGCGCATGCGTCGGAGCTTAATGCACGTGTGTTTGCTCTCGCAGCCTCGCAATCGGTTCCTGTTGGGAAGGTGGGCGTTCACTCCGGCCTTGTTTCGGCGGTAGTTTGTCCCACGCACGAACTCAAGAATGAAGCGTCATCTCCCACAGCCCTCATCCTCTCAGAAGTTAACCAGCCAAGAAAAGTGGAATGATTCGGCCCTTCCCCACCCATCAATCCTGTTCTTTTCCCATATACCATCCCCACATCTTTCCACAACCTTGCCGTTATTTCAACCGCGGCTCTTTGTCTTTGTCTTGTTAACCCCCACAAAAAGTCTCCGCTTTTGTTTGTCGTCCAACGTTTATCGATCCATGGTGCGGCTTACTTTCTGACTTCTTGTGTTCCCGTTCGTTTCGTTACGAGCCGATTGCAATGGTATCGAGTTACTCTACTTGCTGACTTTCTTCCACATGCAGCCTGTACACATGCCTTGACTTCTGTTCATGACTTTGTGCTCTCTTTGTGTCTCTGGGCAGGGGTGTCCGAGTCGTAGCTTTTCTGCTTCTTCGCATATGCGTAGTATTGGGCCGTTGTTGGGTTGTGGTTGGGGTATCCAATGGTTGCACACGTGTATGGTGTAGACGATGTAGCACATGTTCAGGGCAGTGAGGTTGCGGCCGTATTGAGCGCAAAAGAGTCGCTGAGTGAGCGGTGCGAAGAGCGGGACGACGCGAATCGGGACAATATACTTTTTGCTCAGGTCGGTTGAGCTAGATCTCTAGGCTCGGTCGATGTGAGGTTTCGGATTGTATTGTGATGCTCTTTGGACCAGCGATGAGCTCTTCTTGTATAGCCTTCTACTGCAGTCGTGAATAGTCTCAACACCACCTCTTAACAATCTTGCGGCAACATCCCAGCGAGCGAGTTTCTGTCGGATCCGGCCTTGAAATTGCTTATTGCGTCCTCTTACGGCCTTTGTAGCTTGGCCAGAGAGCAGCCTCAAGCCTGGAAATTGCTACCCGATATCGACGATGCAAACCTCAAGGCTGAGCTAGCGCAACGACTTCGAACAACGAACGTACTTGGCGAAGAAGAAGAAAGTGCGCCGACGGTACAAGAGACGAACTTAGGGACGAGTGCGCCAACAAGAGGAGAGGGGAGGAGAAGAGAAAAAGAAGAGGAGGAACAAGTGGCCAACGTACCCCTTGACATCGAAATTCAACGTGGACACCATCATTTTGAAATATCGTTTGGATTGAGACGAGGGAAAAAAGCAAAGACGTTAGAGCGCAGCTTCATGTTGCACAGGCCGCTCTCTCACCCCCATCTTACATTTCCCACCCTTACCGCGTGGCGTTACATATCCCTTCTTTTACACAGCGGCTTTACGAGAAAGGCTTTACTTCAATGACGGCATAGGCCGAAGGAAGGAGGGCTGCAGCGCGTGTCCGTGCGGCTGAGGACGCGGGCGTGACCTACGTCCCGGAGTGTTGGTTCGCGCGTGCGGTGTGTGTGCGTGTGCTTACTTGCTACCCCCAACACATTGGTTCGTTGTTGTTGCCTTCTTGTGCTTGTTAATACCGACACACCGTTAGACTCGATGCTTTGTTTCTTGCTGATACAGTGTGCAGTAATTGCGAGTGGGATCTTTACCTGAAGCGTGGGAGATAAGGGGACGACCTGTCAATCAGTGGTTCGCGCTTAGCCGCATCAGGAAGCGAAGACGGCAAATCATACTCGTTGTACGTACGACCTTCCTCTCTTTTGCCGTCCCCACGTTCCATGCTGCTCTCTCTCATCACCCACACCGCTGGATTGCGGGCCGTCACGCACTACGTTCTGGCGCTTATCGTGGTATTCTATTGTTCAAACCGTGTTCCGAGGTCAAGGAGCGCCCCATCTCACGGCTGAACCTTGGTGGTGGGTCCCAGATGCGCCTTCGAGAAGGTGCGGCACGGCGAAGGATGGTCTAATATATGATTGAACAAATAGCATTATTCCGCCTGGACGCCTTGAGCTTTACAAATTCGTCACCTGCAGGACTATAATAATGTTGTGTTATAGCCACAGTCGAAAGAGTGGCTTGGTTTGAGGTGTCAAACCAACGACGCTCACATCCCTCGGACAATGCGAATCCCTACCGATACTCATACATGCTCGGCGACCTATGTCCGCGATTACCGCGACAAAAGAGCTCCTCAAGTAAGGTCAGTTCGATCACGTATGGAGAAAGAATTATCCATAAACTCACACAAGACTGGCCCGCATATGAATGCCGATTTTTGAAATTGCTTCTGTCGACCGATCCTAACCAGGAACGAGTCAGCAAATCTACCGACATGGAATCAGGACTTCGGGCGCGAAGGTCAACTGTACTCACTCACCAGAAAATCTATGTCGTTTTCTCTCGTCCTCTCAGACATCTGTTACACTGATGTCTTCCACCACGTCCTCTGACGATGGAGCAGCGTAATTTACTTAGATCTCTGTCAGTGACTTTAGCCTGCACTCATACGAGGTTAGTATACTAAAACTAGCTTGTTCATCAGCCTTAGTCAATCACTTCCAGCATCGAGATCTCTACTTCGTACCCAGAACAAGGCGTTTCCCATGATAGTAGCAGCACGCGATTGGCCGGCTCAAAAGCCGACTGTTAGTGCATGACACCACACGCAACACCGCACGTTACTCATTGGTAAGGGAGGACAACGGGTCGCCTATCGAGGCGAAAATCCCGATACTATGCGCATGATCGTGCATATGAGGGGCCACCCTTGTAGAAAGCGAAAATGACATTTTGGATGTTTTGGCAGTAAGGGATTTTCGACATAGGAAATGCATCCTTTGATCAAGACTTAGCTTTAGCCATTGCTGTGGCGATCCTGCTTTACACCTACATGTGCCATTGTTTGTTAAATGCATGTATGCTGACACTTCGTATCTTGTAGTACCAACGTTGCTTTTGTAAGACGATCTAACCACGATAGAGTTAAACAGGCGGATGTAAGCGCTAACATACTAACATACACGACGACCGTCTGCTCTCTCTGCGATATCATAGCCGGAGCCCTGTACAGCTCACCACAACCTCTACTCTAATATCGACTAGCCTTAGTGCAAAGGCTGTTCAATGACTAATTTACCGAAGCCTCTTCCAAATCCGCCAATCTTGATAACTTCCTGTAACGCCTCCTCGGTCGTGCCTCGAAATACTTCCACATTTGGAAGCCCGAAGTGACTACCATAGTTGTCCACCGTCCATTGCAACGCTTTCCAAGCATTCCAGTGGTCTTCCGGCCTGGAAGGCAGATCGATGGCATGAGGAACACCAGGCGGCTGGATGCGCCAGCCATCTTTCGTGTACGCCACCGGCATCCGAAACCCACCATCGAACTTGGTCACAGAGGCCAGAACTGCTGCTGAGTTCCTCACGCTATGTACGACTAAGTGCGCTGTAGACGGGGTGCCCACAGCATCGAGAGCATGAGAGATTGGTCCCTGGTCCAGAGCTTCCAGCACGGCGGCGATATCGGATACAACGGTTGATGAGGCGTAGTCGAAACACAGTGCGGCCCCAACACTCTTCAGTAGCCCATGACGGGCTGGCGAAGCAGTCACTATGATGTTCTGACAGCCACTGGCACGCAGAAACTGAACAGTGCTGAAGCCAACGCTAGACGAGGCGCCCCAAACCAGGACAGGGCGGGTGTAGGCGACCGGGGCGGTAGGCAGTGGAAATTGGAACAGGTTGAAGACCGCGTCTGCAGCTGTCATCGTCACTGTTGTCAGAGCTGCTGCGTGGGACTCTGGGAGATTGTGAGGTACTTCAAATACCATGTCGTCGGGGCACGCGAGGCGGCTTTGATGTGAACCATACTTCAATGGTCTTCCGATGCCCGAGGGCGTATATCCTGCTACAATAGTTCCCTTTCTGAAACGCGACCCAGTAGGTGCTGACAAGACAATCCCAGAGAAATCGTATCCGATGACCGTCGAACGGATGCCAAGCTCTGCATGTTTGCTATCTGCTGGATTGATACCAGAGTAGTGCACTTCAATAACCAACTCGCCAGATGCGATCTCTTCGTGGTTGATGTCGTTCCCACGAACCTGTATCTCTCCGTCCTCGTTGACATACAGGGCTTTGTTGGCAGCCAGGGTCATGGTGTAAGGTGGTATCGTTTGTTCTGCGGATGCGAGCAACGTGGGTAAGACTGAAGTACAGATAAGGGTATTGATGAGCTGATGTAGTGGTGTCCTTGGGAGAGTATCGTCCTGTGGCTACTGTTTTAAAGGTATGAAGTTGAGATGAGTTGCCAACATGTCGGTCTGCACTGGCCGCAGCACGCGTCCCAACGACGTATGCACACCATTAAGGAACCCTGGCCCTAGAGCCATTGGACAAAGTCTTTCCGACGGTTTCGCCCTTTCGAAATCCCCACTCATTAAACATGAAGTCTGCTAACTGGTGAGCGATAGCGCTCGAAATCTTCGGCCGAAGGTGGTTGTACGAACGTTCGAACAACGGGTTCGGACGAACAATCATGCCGGGAAAACTACACTCTCTTCTTAGTGCTTTCCTCCCTAGTGTAAAGTCGTGTTCTTACTTCACCCCTCACGTCGGGTGTTAGACACGGTATCTCCAGCGAAAGAACTCGGGACTGGAAAGTTGTCAGTACTCTAACGATGGTCTGCACAAATAGCGCGGTCGCGCATGACATTCCAACCCCAAATACATCATCGAGCCAAACTCGAAATAAAAAACCCATCATCAAGTCTTTGTCGCCTACTATCACTATTCCGTTGCTATGGCTTCCTCCAACACCAGCCTGTTGGATATCAAATTCCGTGATGCCTTCAGCCACAACATTCCTCCACTGAGTCCAAAGACGAACGAACTTTCAGCCGGTCACAGAAAACAGCCCACTTACCGCCCGCTGACAACGACGACCATTTTCGATCATGACCAAGTCCTTGTCCTCAGAGACGGGACCAAGATATATGCAGATATCTTTCGTCCCAGGATCGATCAGAAGGTTCCTGCCATCGTCATGTGGGGGCCTTATGGCAAGACTGGAACGGGTATGCTCAACATTCACTCCATGCCACTGCGGGCAGGTATTCCAGAGTCTCAACTCTCTGGCTATGAGGGCTTTGAAGGGTGAGTGGGTGAACCGAAGATAGTAAGGAGAGCACACGTAGTACTCACAGATGACTATCGTAGACTTGACCCCGCAGAATGGGTTCCCCGTGGCTATGCAATCGTCAACGTCGATCCGCGAGGCGTGAATAATTCCGAAGGAAACATCCACTTCTGGGGTACACAGGAAGGTCAAGACGGCCACGACGCAATCGAAGAGCTAGCCAAGTTGCCCTGGTGTTCTGGAAAAATCGCAATGGCTGGAAACTCATGGCTCGCAATCTCTCAGTACTTTATTGCTGCTGAGCAACCCCCGCATTTAACGTGTATCGCGCCGCTGGAGGGCTTATCAGACCCCGTTCGCGAGGAAACTATACGTGGAGGAATTGCCAATACGGCGTTTTCCGAATCCATTGCTGCTATCCTTCCAGGAAGGAATAAAGTGGAAGACTACGTTGCGATGTTGAGTACGGATGCTGGACTTGAGCACTACCTCAACGATAAGCGTGTGGATATGACTAAGATCAAGGTACCGGCCTACATCGGAGCAAGCTACTCATCGCCCATTCATGGCATCGGCTCTTTGCGAGCATTCGAGGAGATTCCACATCAGAACAAATGGTGCGCCATTTCCTCATTTCTCGTCTATATGCGTGTAGAGACTTGCTCATTGCAACACCTAGGCTCATTCTCCACGCGTCGCAAGAATGGTACGATCTATACAGTCCAACCCGTACCAGCGATCTAGCCCGATTCTTTGATTTCCATCTCAAAGGCCTTGCCAACGAATGGCCTCAGACAGTACCCGTGCGAATGGCACTGTTGAACTTTTCCAAGCCAGCATTGTTGGATCAGGAATTCGCTGATCTACCCTGGCATCTTCCAGACGTCACGAGACAGAAATTGCATCTCAGCTCTCTTGGCAAACTGACACACAACAAGCAGCAACAGCTGCAAGAAGAGGTATTAGAGTACCAAGCCGACTCATCAGACGAAATATCCTTCACCTATACTTTCTCGACCAAAACCGTACTTACCGGTCCGTCCACTCTGGTCATCGATATTGCAGCACCCAGTCATGACGATTTAGACGTTCACACTCACATCTTCAAAGCAGATGCATCTGGAGCCCTTTTATCGCATCTCAACATGCCCGTCCCTCCCAGCAGCAGCAACAGCAGTCCAGCCTCCACCGTCGAAACCATGACGCAAAATAGAATCTGGCGTTACCTTGGTCCCAACGGTATGCTACGCGCTTCTAAACGCCATGTCCACGGGGCACTTCGGGCAAGGACGTGGGAAACGCTTTCACACGAAGGCGAGGAAAAAATAAAGCCAGGGGAGGTGGTCAGACTGCGTGTCCAGCTGTGGCCTACAGGCATTGTGTTTGAGGCTGGGGAACAGCTTGTTTTGAAGATTAGTGGAAGGGAAATGGGGTTGCGTGGTCTGCCTCAATCGCCGGAGCCAAGCAATATGAACAAGGGGAAGCATGTCTTACATTTCGGTAGATCCTCCGAGAATTATCTCGAGTTCTTCACGCTCTAGCGCGTACGTTGATCAGATGTAGTCTTTATATGGTTTGATGTAGAGGACACAATATCCTTGCAAAGTTACTACATCTGCATCTACAAACATGAAGTGAACAGGCCAGTTTTCAACATTTGTAATTGGATATATCTACAAGTTCAACGACAAGAAGCCTGTCTAATACAATGAACTATTGCGCCAATAGTCCCTTTAATTTTTCCTCTTTAAAGAAACTATGATGCTTCAACCCCATTCCACTCCCCTTACCCCATGCATACACCCACTGCTCCCAAAAAAACTCCTAACCCTAGTATGGAATGCCGTCGTATTCACCGTAACCCAGCGCCAAGTTCATGTTCTGCAGACACTGTGTAGCAGCGCCCTTGAGCAGGTTATCAATAGTAGCATTGACAACGACGCGCTTGCCGGAGCTGTGGACGGCGAAACCACCAATCTCAACGCCGTGCTTGCCAGAGATGTTCTTAACAAGTGGGGACTCGCCGACGATCTTGACAAGCTTCTCGCCGGCGTAGCGGTCTTGGTAGATGTTGCGGATGTCGCGGGACGTCATTGTACGGTTGAGGGGGATGGAGATGGTGTGCTGGTGTCAGGTGTTAGTAACGCAGTCATACCCGAAATAAAATAAAACACTTCGGTTAGTGTATCTGGTTATACTTACGTGAATACCCTGGAACCAAACAGCAACGTGAGGAATAAACGCAACTTCAGTACCTAGCTGCTTTGAAATCTCCTTCTCGTGGATATGATCCGTCAAACTGTACGGAATGAGGTTGTTCTCGAGGTTCTTCACATCGTTCTTTGGGCTAGGCTTTGTGCCTGCGCCAGAGTAACCCGAGACACCAAAGACAGTGGGCTGACCACCGATAAACTCAAGCAGAGGCGCAATGCCGAGTTGAGCAGCAGTGGCGTAGCAACCCGGGTTTGCGATGCGTGTAGCGTCAGAAATCTTGGAGCGCTCAATCAGCTCCGGTAGGCCGTAAGTCCATGTCTCGTCGAAACGGTAGTCAGCGCTCAGATCTACGATGACAGTGTCCTTGCCACTTTTGTTGATGGCATCAACAAAAGGCTTGCATACGCCATTGGGAAGGGCCATGACCCAGCAGTCGACCTCGCTGTTCTCGGCCATTTTCTCAACATCCTCGGCTGACAGGTTCTCGTAGGTGATTTGTCGCTTGGTGTAACCTTCGAGCTTCTTGCCAGCGAGTTCACGTGATGATACATGGCGCAGGTCCATGTTGGGGTGCTTGTTAAGCAGGTCAATAAGAGCCTGCCCTGTGTATCCTCGCGCACCAATCAACGCAACCTTGGCGGGGTAGTCCCTGTGCTTGTGCTTGATACCGTATGGCGGGTTGGGGTTAGTCGTGTCCATTGAGCGTGATGCTGTGGTAGCGAAGCCTCGTGTCGACGCAGGGATAGTCCTGTTCTGTCCAAGTTGAGGCCTAGCAGATTGACGGGCCATGGTCGCGTAGCCACGTGTTTGCTGACCCTGCTTCAAGCTGGCCACAAAGTCGGCCGCTCGTCTGAACTGAGCATCCAGGCTGTCCTTCAACATGCTGCGACCCTGCTTCTGGTAGTTCTCAAGCAGCCCGAAGATCTCCGAAGACTCGGCGGCGCCCCACCAGCAAAAGACTTCCTTCTCGCGACGGAGGAAACCATCGGTCTTCTCCAGATGCCACTTGACGTAGTTTTGTGGTTGGTCGTCCACGATCCAGTACATTTTGGGGTACTTTTGCTTCATGCGCTGGAAGACGAGATCGTTCAGGTTGTTCAAGAAAGCATCCTTGGTCATGCTGAAATGCGAGAGCTGTGCAAACTCACCCTCTGCAGTGGGCGGGTATACGACGGCAACGACGCCCATGGAATCGTCGTGGAATACCTCGAACGGTCGGTTCTTCAAGTTTTGGATGTACTTGTTGACGGCGTCGCTGGCCTCAACAGCACGGCTCTTCATGATGGCCTGTGACAAGGCAGATAGATCCAAGTCTTCAAATGTGCTGGTCTCCTTGACACTGCCGCCGTTCCGGATGAGGGTACCACTTCCGGTGTGGGTGAAGAGCTCCTTTCCAAGGTTCGAGGGGTGTGTGATAGCCACACTTGAGGTGCGCGGGAGGCCGTCAAGGAGCTTCTTGGCCTCTACAATCTTGAGCTTTGTGCCGTACCTCACCCAGGACTGCTTCATGTAGGTGTCGTACTCGCCCTCTAAGTTGATGTGGGGAATGAGCTTAGACTCGGCGTTGAACAGTCCTCCCTTCTCCGAAAGGTAGATGACCTTGAGAGGCTGGAACTCGCGGGCCAGAGCAGCGGCAGCTACGTCGGCGTTGATGTTGAGAATCTGACCGTCCAGTGTCTCGCCCATGGAGCACAGGATGGGCAGTTCCTTGTTCTCGAGGGCATCCATGATCTGCCTCTTGTTGACGTTTGTGATGTTGCCGACGTACTTCCACTTGTCCTTGTCCAGGTAGTCGGCCTGCAGGGCGCCAGCGGTGATGGGGCGGGCGGGCACGCCCCAGTCCCTCTTGAGCGTCATGACCAGGTCCATGTTTGCCTCGAGGAACAGCTTGCGTGCAATGCCCAGCGTCTTCTTGTCCGTGACGCGAATGCCGTCGATGAAGTCGGGCTCAACGCCCGAGTCGAGGAGCAGCTGGTTCATCTGGGGGCCGGCGCCGTGGACAATGATGGGGTACAGGCCGATGGCGTGGAGCTGCTGGAGGGCAAAGCATAGCTCCTCGAGATGGTCGGTGAGAATGGCGCCTCCGACCTTGACGACGGCAAACTGGTGCGGCGAGACGGAGCGGAATTGGCCCAGGTACTGGTCGACTTCGCGGCGGGAGCTGGAGCTGGCCAGCAGGTTGAGGAAGGCGGCGTAGATGGATGAGTTCCTGCCATCCTTGGACGTTGTGTACAGGCGGCTGCTCGGCGTCGTGGTAGCAACGAGGGCGCGGGAGAGGGCTCGAGGAGTCTGCGATGCGAGGGCGCGGTGCGAGGATCGCGCAGCAGCCACACGGCCGGCTCGTACAATGCTCTGCATGGTGACTCTGTCGCTCCCAAGAAGCAGTTGCTTGCTACTCGGGCCCTGGGCGACTTTGATCCAACGCGAATGCAACGGTGACTAAACTGTGGAGCCGAGGGGACCTTGTTAAAGATCAAAGGTATGACGCCCAAGCAACAAAATTCGCTCCGCCGTTATCGCAGCTTCCCCAGACGACAGGGTACTGGAGTTATCCTAGCGCCACCACCGGCCATGGCCACTGCTGCATGCAGAATAGCAAGCTGCAGATCAGACTTTTCAGTTCTCATTCATGCATGCCGTGCCTCGTACACGCTGCGCATTAGGCTTGCCCTCGACTCAAATTTTCAGTCATCCATCGCAAACGGGCCTTTCCGAGGTTAATCGTACCACTCCACCTTCGACACGGTGGACACTAGAGTGCAGTAGCACTCCATTAGTACCCACTCGACAAAGCATCTGATAAGACAATTCTCAAAAAAGAACTAATGCATTCACGTCAGGGCTAGTCAATCGAGGCATAAGGTGCAATTGCAATGAACTATAGACAGCAACCCACAGTGTATAACTCCGTTTGCTCGTCTGACGACCATGCTTGGAACTTGGGCTCTCGTGGTATATCGTAACAGGGGCCGAGTGTTCCATGCAAAGGGGCTTTCCGTGATTGCAGCACGACCGTCGGAATGCAAAAAAAGACTGGAATGCTCAAGACACATCCTACAGTGACCCATGTCGTTGATCGTAGTGCAGCTCGTAGCCATTCGTCCCCTTCCCCAATGGCTTGACAACCTCCCCCCATCCGCGCAATTATTAATGTGTATGATTCGTGGTATCTCGTGTGGGTGGTTTACTTCTTTTGCGTGGCAACGACTGGTCCATGTTAGCAACACGAACAAGAGTACAAGCTGCTCGACAAACTCACCAGAAGGGACAATAATGACGATGAGCAGGATGATGATGCCAACAATCAGGCACATGCGCATCTTCATGTCCTTCCACCACATCTGCTTGCGCACGCGGTTGGCGCCCCTTCGGAAGCCTTGGGCGGACACGGCAAGGTTGTCCGTCTTGTCTTGTAGCGAGTCGAGGCGGGCTCCTCGCTCAGAGACCTTGTTGATGTTGTCCCGCATGATGCCAACGGTGCTGTCGATTTCCTAGTGCGAGTCAGTATATGAGGTCGCATGTCTTCCGCTGCTCAGAACTGCAACTTTGCGCAGCTACTGACGAGGCAGAGAGAGGTTGAGAAGCACTCTGGCCGTCTTCGCATCATCGAGGCAAGCTCTCCGCCAGCCACCGCACCTCTAACGCGGCTGCCTGACGAAGATGCGAATGCGACAATCGACGTAGCGCTTCACTCTGACTTATAGAGAGTAACAACATACCGCTTGGAGCGCAGCTGTGCGGTGGTTGCCATTCTGGCCGCCCTGCTGTCCGCCGGCGCCGCCGCTGGGGATGTAGGGGTCATATGGGGGGTCCTGGCTCGACATAGTTGGAGATGAGATGTACTGGATAATGCTCGTAGCGTGCGACTTGCGTAGGCTTCAAAGGGTGGTGGTGGTGATGGGCAGGTGTGGGTGGTGAGGGTGGTGTCTGGAGGATGGAGATGATGGTGTGGTTGCCCAGAGCAAGACCAAGAGCCCGCTCAGCCCGGATGGCGAACGAGCGTCGCAATGTGTCAGCTCCGTTTGAGCAGTGAGGCTGATGTTTGCGTGAAACCTGGCGCAACAACACGGAATATTAATCTGTGATTGGCGTCAAGTCGCTGTGATTATTCTTCAACAAGCTCAATAGCAACGGTTGTGTATTAACGGCTGTGACGGCATTCTGTTCAACTTGATGCGACACTGCCGTAGCTGTTTCTGGCCCCATCTGGGCAGGCCCTTGCGCCACACCGCACGTGATCAACACCAGCCTCACGATTACGAATGTCTTTCCATGAAGCAGCAGGTGCTACACGATCCGTCATCGGTCCGTCTGCACAGCGGCTCGAGTAAACAACAACACGCCTTCTGCCACTTTCCTTGCCGTCGTTGTCGTTCAAAATGAACGTGGGACGCCTTTTTGCCTCAGCCTCGCTATTACGAGGCTAATCTTATGGTCTACCTTTCCGCAGCTGGCGTGCCAACACGACAATACGCCTGTTACGACATCAAGAGAGACGGTCCGGCTTTAAATAACATGTCCAGTGCACTAAAGGTAGCTTGCGCGCCTCCAGCAGAGCTTCGTCATCACCGTCATTGCCCGGCCGGACATCCGCATGCCTTGTTCTTCTTCTTGTTCGTTTTGTTCGCGCAACGAGCAGAGGTGGAGACGACGAGCAGAGGTGAAGAGCGTCTGCGCGGGCCGAGACACTTTATGCAACAGAAGAATCGTGCATTGTCGTCGATAGATTGTACCTGTCTCGCTAGCCTATCAATGACATCCCCCCCAGGCGTCAAGAAGGCCAGGCGCCGTTTGCACCTGGCAAGTGGGTCTGATCGCCGCCAAGACGCGTGTCCAATGTCTTGAATCTCGGGGTCTGCTACCCATTCGCCGCTCAGGAGTTCGCGCAACGCTTGCTCCACTGCCAGCTTCCTGTGTCTGTTTCCAGTTTCCTTTCTCTTTCCAACACACTCGCTGAACCCGTTCTTAATCGCCATTCACCTCTAGTCTACCGCCGACCATTGTGCCCTGCGCCTACCCCTGAAACCCGTCACTCGTTCCATACTACGCCAATCAACCCGACACTCCCTACGGCACCCCCACGTTCGAGCCAAGACACTTCTCTTGCCTGAAAGCTTGATCACTCCAACACTACTCCCTTTCGCGACGCGTGCAGAGTGTGTCCAAGCCTGGCGCTGGACCTTGGCTGCGACCGCCTAGAGCCGAGACGACCTACTCTGTCTGCAACATGAAGTTCACCTCTGTCATCGGCGCTCTTGGCGCCTCGAATCTACTATTCACAAGCGTAGGCGCCGTTGAACTGGACATCAACTCGCCAGGTGGGACTTTCGAGTGCAAGGCATAGACCGAATACATGTATTGACATCTACAGACTCCATCAAGCAAGCCGCCAAGGCAATTTCTGCAAACCTGCGGTCGTACTATACCGGTGACAATGTAGGCGACACACCAGGCAATCTTCCAGACCCATACTACTGGTGGGAATGTGGCGCCATGTTCAATGCCCTCATTGACTATTGGTATTACACTGGAGATGATACGTACAACAAGATTAGTACACAGGCTCTAGAGGCTCAGATGGGACCAAACCAAGCTTTCATGCCTGACAATCAGACCAAGACGCTCGGAAATGATGACCAGGCTTTTTGGGGAATGGCCGCCATGGCCGCTGCAGAGAACAAGTTCCCCGATCTTCCCGACGACAAGCCTTCTTGGCTGTCCCTTGCACAGGCTGTCTTCAACACCCAATACAAACGCTGGGACTTGACTACTTGCGGTGGAGGACTGAGATGGCAGATTTTCAGCTTCAACAACGGGTACAACTACAAAAACACCATTTCCAACGGTTGCTTCTTCAATATCGCCTCTCGACTATATAAATACCTTGGTAACGACACATACGCCGACTGGGCTGAGAAGGCTTGGGACTGGGAGCTTGCCGTAGGACTCATGAGCCAGGACTACCACTACTACGATGGAACCGACGACACGCAGAATTGTTCCACCATTAATCACATCCAGTGGACATACAATGCTGGCATCCACATGGCCGGTGCTGCCGCCATGTGGAACGTGACACAAAACGACAAGTGGAAGACCAGAGTCCAGGGTATCATCGACGGAGTGAGCGTTTTCTTTGTAGACAAGGTCATGTCTGAAGTCGCCTGTGAAAACAACGGCAAGTGCGATGTGGACCAGCGCTCCTTCAAGGCTTACCTTGCACGTTCCATGGCATACACAGCTAGCGTTGCACCTTGGACCAGTGACCAAATCAATCCTTATCTTCAGACATCGGCGCAGGCTGCTGCGAAGCAGTGCACCGGAGGTGCTAACCAGACTTCGTGTGGGCTCAAGTGGACCACCAACGGTGTCAACGACGGCAGCTTTGGTGTTGGCGAACAGATGGCGGCTCTCGAGGTTGTACAATCGCTGCTGTATCCGTCAGTCAGCGGTCCTGCGACGGCGGAAAAGGGTGGTATCTCCAAGAGCAATCCTGATGCCGGTGACACTTCATCCGATACACCCATCAAGTTCGATACCGTCACCACTGGCGACAAGGCTGGTGCTAGTATCTTGACCATCTTGGTCCTGGTGTCTATTCTTGTTGGTGCCTGGTGGATGGTTTCATAAACTTTATACCCGTCTTCACCTATAAATTCTGTTGAGGGATTTGGCATAGTGCTCTGTCGATTTTCTGGTCGTTCTTGGTCAAGCTTCTTCAAGGCGTTTCCAGGTGTGTGTGTGTGTGCGTGCGCGCGCGTGTTAGATTATATAGCCCAATCCGAATAATTTACATTCAAGCTGAGCATGTGATTTCCAGTAGTGCTCTGTAGACCAGCTTGGAAAGCAAACCCGAACCAGCCACGGTTCGGCTAATAGCACGCTAGGGGTCTGTGCGTACGAAAGCTGCGCTCGACTCTTTCCTTCCTCGCCGCGACAGAGATCTCTCACCACTCGACACACACAACAACCGTGCATTCAACCCAACGACGGCTTGCTCGCCTTGTTGTCGCCCATCGACACTCCTGTCCTAATTCATACTTGACACTAGCTACCTGGTCTTGCGCACCTGCGATGGCCGCCCCTCCTGATCTCAACGCCATCCTGGCAGCGCTTGGTATGTCGTGCAGACTTTTACCAGCACGACAAGCACTGTACTAACTTCTCTCCTAGCTGCCGGACGCCCGTCGACTACCCCCTCTCAGACACCCCAGCAGCCTCCACAGGCGCAACATCCCCCTCCCCAAGGACTCCCGCCAGGCTTCCCCGGCGCAATGCCTACTGCCACTCCGCCCGCTATGCCCGGATACAACTTCCCCCCACCCACCCACACTGGCAGTCTTGACCTTAGCGCTATCAAGCCCGTGAGCTCTGGCTCAGTCAGCATCCAGGATGCGCTGGCAAAGGCACGCGGCTTTGCGGCTCAAAAGGGCCTTGCACACGAACAAGCGCGTTCAGGTATTGCTGAGCCTTGGTCTGGTTATGGTGTCCCAGCGCAAACTTACACAGCTCCAGCTTATCAAGAAGACCCGCGATTGAGCGGACGCCAGCCCTACCGACGTTCGCGGTCGCGGTCGCGATCTCCCGCGCGCCGCGAACCCGTGCGTGAAAGCTACAATCCATACCGCGATGAGCGCCGTGATGAACGTCGGGGTGCCTATGGACGTGAACGTGATCGCTCTCCTCCTAGGCGTGACACCTTCTCTCCTTCGCAGCAGTACGGGCAAGCGCGCTCGCCCCCTGCTAATGACAACTCTGAGGTGATTCTCATTGACTCTTCTTTGGTTGGCCTGGTCATAGGGCGTCAAGGTGAGAGTCTTCGCCGCATTGAACAAGAATCACAGACGCGCATTCAATTTATCAACGGCCCCGAGTCTGGACCTCAACGCGAATGTCGTATCACCGGTAGCCCGGGTGCTCGTATCAGTGCTAAACGCGAGATCAACCGTATCATCGAAGAGAATGGCGGCAATCCCGCTCGTGAGACTGGCCGCAATGCACGAGCTGCTGCTACCAAGATGGTTGGTCAGCAACAGCCCGCCCTTAGAGAGGGTGAACAATCTTCGCAAATCATGGTGCCTGATCGTACCGTTGGTCTCATCATTGGTCGTGGTGGTGAGACTATCCGTGATCTACAAGAGCGCAGTGGCTGCCACGTCAACATTGTTGGTGAAAACAAGAGCGTGAATGGTCTGCGACCTGTGAACCTCATCGGAAGTCCTACTGCTGCTGCCCATGCCAAGGAACTCATCATGGAGATTGTCGACAGTGACACTAAGCAAATGGAAGGCGGCGGCGCCGCACAATCAGCGCCACAACAACAATTCAACAATAGGCGTGACAATTTCGATCCGTACGGTGGAGGTGCTGCTGGCGGTGCCGGAGCCGGCAAAATCAACGACAGTATTCAGGTTCCCTCTGATGCTGTTGGCATGATTATTGGCAAAGGTAACAACACTGCTTCGGACATGTTGAGGTTGACATATTAACAATCCATAGGCGGTGAAACCATCAAATCAATGCAGTCTGATACTGGTTGCAAGATTAACGTGTCTCAAGCTTCCGGCGCTGACATTGAGCGCGAGATTGGCCTTGTTGGAACCCGTCAAGCCATCGAGGATGCCAAGCGAGCTATCTGGGAGAAGGTTGATCAAGTGGTAAGTTTGTTCGCCGGAGGCGACGATTGCAGGTTGCTAATACGAGACAGCGAGAGAAGAACAATTCACGACGACGTGACAATGGAAACAACGACAACGGATACTCACATCAGCAGACACCTTCATATGGACAAACCGCCGCATCCGCACAGCAGCCTCAGGCGGCTGCACCCGCTGCTGCGGGTGCTGCTGGCGCTGCTGACCCATACGCTGTCTATGGCGGCTACCAGAACTACCTTGCAATGTGGTATGCGTCCATCGCACAGCAACAACAGGGTGGCCAAGGAGCTCAAGGACCTCCAGGCGCATAAGCGCCACATAGTTGCCGTGACCGATGCACATCTTGCTGAACTTCGCCGAATGCTGCCTGTTTGCATGACCGATGCTTGGAATTTTGCTGCGCCTGGCATGATGCTCCGATGACCTGGACTATCTTCGATCTGTTCTTGACTTGCGCGTAGCCGGACTCGCCTTGTTGCATGATATTTATGCACTGAGTGCTCATCCGTTGAGCTTCTTCTTCTTCTTCCGCCTGGGCTTATTGCGGCATAGCCTATGGCCCTTTCTACGGCCCGATATCGTCGTCGCTGCCACTGCGTTCGTGAGGTGATCATTACTTCATCTATGCTCTTTTATGGATGACTCCTGCAAGCCCTCAAGTCTGCACACAAGTCAATGGCTGTGCTTACTTTACGCCTGCTACGTCTTGATCGACAGTACATCATCTGCTCTCTTAGAGCTATTAGGCAAAGCTCGCCGTCTATGTCTACATGTCTGTCATGATGCTGCAATTGGTGCAGACTTCGTTGTGGACAGTACGCAGACTTCCATCACCAAAAGCGTTCATTGTCTTCATGCATATATACTCGCGTACGCAAGTCTGGGCTCGATTGCCACCTACAAAGTGTGGAGGAGGGCCTACGTCTGCTTTTGTTGGGCATTGACATTGGCCTTGAATAGTCACGTTTATGAACGTTGGACTCGTTCAATCATCATTTGTATAGTAGTTCTCGAAAAACACGGTTGCTGTACGCAGCGGCTTCCAAGAAGATTAATTACATCACTTTTGTTCCCCCACTGTGACGCTTCAGATGACAAGCACAGCGGCGATCTCAACTGACATAACACAGCCAAGCGAATTGTTCGGCACACTCCTTCTTTTTCAGAGCAGCGGACCTCGCCATACCAGACGGAGCAAACTGACAGCTCACGTGCCTATCGCGTCGCTGTGGGGTGGGGCCATGGAGGGGCAAGAACGCGACTACGGCCATCGGCGAGCTCCTGCACGCGGAGCGTCTGCACCTAGACCGCGTGCGAAGATAAGACACAAACAAGTCGACGCTGATTCGTCCAGGTATTCTAACGATCAACTAACTCATGTAATAGATGTGCTCCATGCCGCGGTACACACGCTTGTTCATATCTAGCTTGCTTATTCCCCACAAGCACGTCGGACGGACAGGACCCTGAACAGCTAGACAGACGGGCAAGCCTGTGATACCAAGCAACCTTTGTGACATTTGTTTCCTTTCTCTCTCGTTCTCTCCATCTCTCTCGCTATTCTCTTGCTCTGTTATCCATCTCTTCTGGCGTGTCGACACTTCTGGGTCTTGTTTTTCTTTTTTCCCCAAGAGACTATACAGCAAGGAGTGGCAAAAATGGCGCCTGGTCTCATTTCCCCCCAACCGGCTGTGTCAAACGATGCGACCAAGTCGCTGAACCAGGTCACGGCGGATTACGATGATACCCTCAGATTCTATCTGAATGGCACCAAGGTGGTGTTGGACAATGCGGATCCTGAGGTTACGCTGCTGGAATACCTGAGGGGAATTGGTTTGACTGGAACCAAGTTGGGATGTGCGGAAGGAGGGTGTGGTGCTTGTACTGTGGTATGTTTGACACAGAATTTCGAAACAGCAAAACGATCAAGTTTGAAGACTGACAAACTTGTTAGGTTGTATCGCAGCTCAATCCTACAACGAACAAGATATACCACGCCTCAGTAAATGCATGCCTTGCACCGCTCGTCAGCGTAGACGGTAAACACGTTATAACTGTAGAGGGGATTGGGAACGTAAAGCGACCACATCCAGCACAAGAGAGAATAGCAAAGGGCAATGGCAGTCAGTGCGGGTTCTGTACACCAGGCATCGTCATGTCTCTGTACGCTCTCCTTCGCAACAACGTTGGACCGAGCGAACTCGAGGTTGAGGAGGCGTTCGATGGCAACCTCTGTCGGTGTACTGGATATAGACCAATATTGGACGCGGCACAGAGCTTCAGTGTGAAGTCGGGCTGCGCAAAAGCAAAGGCCAACGGTGGAGGGGGATGCTGTATGGACAAGGCCGGTGCGAACGGCGGAGGCTGTGGCGGCGGTAAGAGCCTCGACGAGGATCAACCAATCAAGCGATTCACACCACCCGGGTTCATCGAGTACAAGCCAGACACAGAGTTGATATTTCCTCCACAGCTACGGAAACACGAGTTCAAGCCGTTGGCATTCGGCAACAAGAAGAAGAGGTGGTACAGGCCGACGACATTGCAGCAATTACTGGAGATCAAGGATGCATATCCGTCAGCGAAGCTCATTGGCGGCTCGACCGAGACACAAATTGAGATCAAGTTCAAAGGCATGAACTACAACGCCTCAGTGTTCGTCGGCGACATTGCGGAACTACGGCAATTCAAGCTCCACGATGATCATCTAGAGATTGGCGGAAACGTTGTTCTCACTGATTTGGAGGAGATATGCAAAGATGCTCTTGAGCATTATGGACCAATACGAGGCCAGCCATTTGCAACTATCCTCAAGCAGATACGATATTTCGCGGGGCGCCAGATTAGGAATGTGGGTACACCAGCTGGTAACCTCGCAACAGCAAGCCCTATCTCGGATCTGAATCCTGTGTTTGTTGCTACCAACGCGACGCTCATAGCGAAGAGCCTCAAGGAGACGACTGAGATCCCCATGTCGACGTTCTTCAAGGGATACAGGCAGACTGCTCTGCCTCCAGATGCCATCATCGCCGGTTTGAAGATCCCTGTTGCGAAAGAAAAGGGCGAATACATTCGTGCGTACAAGCAGGCAAAGAGGAAAGACGACGATATTGCAATTGTGAACGCTGCTCTAAGGATATCACTAGACAATGAGCATACAGTTGAAAGTGTGGATCTCGTGTACGGCGGCATGGCACCTATTACGATCCATGCGAAGAAAGCAGGGGAGTTTCTTCAAGGCAAGAAGTTCTCCGAGCTGTCGACGCTCGAGGGCGTCATGGACAAGCTTGAAGAAGATTTTGATCTGCGCTTTGGTGTCCCGGGCGGTATGGCGACATACAGGAAGTCACTCGCGCTCGGCTTCTTTTACAAGTTCTACCATGAGATTCTGGCCGAGCTGCACGCTGAGGAAGTCGAGGTCGACGCCCAGGCAATTGGCGAGATTGAAAGAGATATCAGCAAGGGCAAGAAGGACGATAAGGCTGCTGAGGCTTATATCCAGAATGAGGTCGGACAGTCAAAAAACCATGTCGCAGCTATGAAACAGTGTACTGGAGAAGCACAGTATACGGACGATATACCACTACAGCGGAACGAACTATATGGTTGCTTGGTACTCTCGACAAAAGCGCATGCCAAGTTGCTCTCGGTCGATGCTGAGCCAGCACTGGACCTACCTGGCGTTGTTGCGTACGTCGATCATAACGATCTGGCGTCTCCGGAAGCCAACTGGTGGGGCGCGCCGTCTTGTGATGAGACATTCTTCGCTCTCGACGAAGTCTTTACTGCTGGCCAGCCGATCGGTATGGTTCTGGCTGATACAGCGAAACATGCAGAGCAAGCTGCGCGAGCTGTCAAAATTGAGTACGAAGACCTTCCGGCTATATTCACGATTGAAGAAGCCATTGAAAAGGAAAGCTACTTCAACCACTTCCGCTATATCCAGAAAGGAGACACGGAAAAGGCGTTCGCCGAGGCTGATCACGTCTTTACTGGTGTTGCGCGCATGGGCGGCCAAGAGCACTTCTACTTGGAGACTCAGGCATGTCTAGCAGTGCCAAAGCCTGAGGATGGCGAGATGGAAATTTTCAGTAGTACACAGAACCCAGCAGAGACGCAAGCATATGTATCCAAGGTCGTCGGTGTCGCTGCCAACAAGATTGTCACCCGTGTCAAGCGCATGGGTGGTGGCTTTGGTGGTAAGGAAACACGTTCAGTCCAGCTTGCTGGTATCGTGGCGTGTGCAGCGAACAAAGTTCGTCGGCCTGTGCGCTGCATGCTGAATCGAGACGAAGACATCATGACATCTGGACAACGACATCCCTTCCTCGCTCGCTGGAAGGTCGCTGTAAACAAAGACGGTAAGCTTCAAGCCCTTGATGCAGATGTCTTTTGCAACGGCGGTTGGAGCCAGGATCTTTCTGGTGCAGTCGTCGAGCGGTCTCTGTCCCACATTGACAACTGCTACTCAATACCCAACATCCACGTCCGCGGACGCGTTGCGAAAACAAACACAGTCTCCAATACCGCATTCCGAGGCTTCGGTGGACCACAGGGTATGTTCATTGCCGAGACGTACATGGAAGAGATTGCAGACCATCTCAACATACCCGTGGAGAAGCTACGAGAGATCAATATGTACTCTCCTGAAACCAACATGACAACGCATTTCAACCAGGAGATCAAGGACTGGTACGTTCCCCTCATGTACAAACAGGTTCAAGAGGAATCAGCATACGTACAACGACGCAAGGATATCGAGGAATGGAACAAAGCGCACAAGTGGAACAAACGTGGTCTCGCCATTATCCCCACAAAATTCGGCATCTCTTTCACGGCACTCTTCCTGAACCAAGCCGGCGCGCTTGTCCACATCTACCACGACGGCAGTATCCTCGTCGCCCACGGCGGAACAGAAATGGGTCAGGGCCTCCACACAAAGATGACGCAAATCGCCGCCGAGACCCTCGGCGTCCCCCTTTCCGACGTCTTCATCAGCGAAACAGCGACAAATACCGTGGCAAACAGCTCCTCAACCGCCGCCTCGGCCTCGTCCGATCTCAACGGCTACGCCATTCACAACGCGTGTTTGGAACTAAACGAGCGCCTTGCTCCTTTCAAGGAGAAGTTGGGCAAAGATGCTACGATGAAGGATCTGGCTCATGCTGCGTACTTTGCTCGTGTCAATTTGTCTGCGCAAGGATTCTACAAAACGCCTGATATCGGATACGTCTGGGGCGAAAACACGGGCCAGATGTTCTTCTACTTTACGCAAGGTGTTGCGGCTGCCGAGGTGGAGATTGATACGTTGACTGGTGACTGGACGACACGGCGTGCGGATATCAAAATGGATGTGGGGAGGAGTATTAATCCTGCTATTGACTATGGTCAGATTGAGGGAGCGTTTGTGCAGGGTCAGGGACTGTTTACTACGGAGGAGTCGCTGTGGTTGAGGGGCACGGGTGGGGTTGCTACAAAGGGGCCGGGTAACTATAAGATTCCTGGTTTCAGGGATATTCCGCAGGAGTTTAACGTGAGTTTATTGAAGGATGTGAATTGGGAGAATCTGAGGACTATTCAGAGGAGTAGGGGTGTTGGTAGGTTTTTTTTATTCTTCCTTTTCTTCTTTTCTCTTCTTTCTGCTCGCTGTTGCTTTGTCTGTTTGTTTAATTCCATTGCTAACTGAGGTTATAGGCGAGCCACCACTCTTCATGGGAAGCGCTGTGTTCTTCGCTATTCGCGATGCGTTGAAAGCGGCGCGCGCACAATTTGGCGAAACATCCATTTTGCATCTTACCAGTCCTGCGACAGTCGAGCGCATCAGGGTCAGCTGTGCGGATCCGATTCTTAAGAGGGCGTGGGTGGAGCCCAAGGAAGGGGAGAAGAGTTTCTTTATTAGTATATAGAGAGGGTGTTTGGGGGACCACTTATGAATGGTATGGATCGGTTATGTTTAGATAACAAGCCCTATTGCTTGTGCGTTACAGCTGTATATTGCTATGTTTGGTAATATGCATACTTGTTAGCTGCACAGGTGGGCAGTGCACCCCACTTTACGCGATGCCGGTTGAAGTAAGAGAGTATGCCGTGGCGCAGCCTGACACTGCATCATTCAGCTCTTCAGGGAAGGCAGTCACTTCACATTCACCCACCAGCGACGGCCACGACATATTTTACTATCGCTTTTCATTGCGCTACAGCCTGATGGAGTCTAATGAAGCCGGCGAAGTCGAGAAATCACCCCACTCGTGCCATTATTGTCAGGCAGTCACGATCAGCCTTGCGAACAGTTTCCACAGTCAGTCATCGTTTCGTGAAACCGGCACACTAGGCATCGCTTATAGACGAGCTCGACATGCTGCAGCTAGTGGATGCAAGCTATTCGAATACCTGATGCAAAGCGCCCCAAACGGCCATGAACATGAAAACCTCCGGTATTCATTCTCTTACGACCGCCCACCAAAAAAGACTAGTGTCATAAGCTTTCACTATCCCACAACCTCACAAGACTTCGAGATCTACGCCGCGGATGAGGCAACATCGTTGGTATTCCATGCACCGCCCAATCTATCACCAGCATCTACAAGCGCGGCTGAAGACTGGCTAGACTTTTGCGTTCAAGAGCATGAGGAGTGCAGAAGAGTCGAGAATGTCTTCGTCCCACCAAGACTCCTTCGTGTAACGTGTGCTCAAGACGAGGTGCACCTTGTAAGCATGGATGTCACGAAACCGGTACCGTATGCTGTTTTAAGCTACTGTTGGGGAGGCGATCAGCTCTCCCAAACAGTAAAGAGTAACGTCGGGATAGTCTCAAGAACGATAAAAGACCTACCGCAGACGATCCAAGATGCCATTCTTGTGACACGACAACTCAAGCTCGAATATCTTTGGATTGACAGTATGTGTATCATACAAGACAGTGATGAGGACAAAGATGCGCTCATCGGCCAAATGCACAACATATATGCATGCGCTCAAGTCACCATCGCCGCCAGCAAAGCTTCAAGATGTACTGAAGGGTTCCTCGCTTCTAGGTCCAACGTACCACGATTTCACGTCTCAGTTCAGGATCCCATGGAGGTGTACAAAGTCAGACCCAGTAGAGTTATACTTATACCCTCTTCGGAGCGACATGTTGAGCCACTCTCCACACGTGCATGGACATTTCAGGAAACTCGCCTTTCAAGACGCATTCTCTCATATGGAAGCCGACAATTGCGCTGGTACTGCGGCGTATATGAAGACCAAGATGGCGGCGGTCCGGAACGCAATTCCTCCAATTGGGCTTCCTTCCAAAGACTTGAAGAAAGAACCATTGCTCCTCATGGCCTAGGCTTTCGGAAACTAGAAAATAGAACCAGTCTCCGTTGGATAGATATTGCAAGGCAGTATACAATACGTGTGATGTCAGAGCCTTCGGACAAATTGATCGCCATCTCTGCAGTAGCACAGCGCCTCGCTAGCCAGGCTGAGGGGAGGTTGGGTCGGTACTATGCTGGTATCTGGACAGAGCGGTTCTTTGAACAATTGCTGTGGGCCACATCTGAAGGCGAGATTGCGAAACGACCAGTTCGGTACCGTGCACCTAGTTGGTCGTGGGCCGCTATCGATGGAAGGCTAGATTGGCCATCGTACGACAGACTGATAGGTACTGAGATCTTGTGCACACTTCTCGACGTGGAGGTTCAGCCGTTGAGATCTAAACAACCCTATGGCGCAGTGACTGCCGGAAGGATTAAGGTCTATGGACAGGTCAAGCAAGTTTTGTGGTCAGCCGATCGGAGAACGGTAAAAGATAATGAAACTCAGGCTGCCGTTACTAATCACTTCATGCAGACATCTCCAGACGTGCGAGAACATAATGCACAGGACATGACTGTTCATGTGCTGAAGGTAGCGATGTGCTCATCTCACAGTGTCATCAACAGGCACACGAACAAGCCCACGCCACACGGACTTGACAAGCACTTTCAAGGTATATTGTTGGAGCATATCGGTAATGAAGTGTATCAACGCGTAGGTGTAATGGGCGTACGGCGCGTCCAGAAGGACGAGCTATCACTGTCCGGGTGGTTGAAGCAGTCGTCGCTCGAGAGTCGTCAGTGGTGGTCAGATGGATCTGTAAGCAAGGAAATATACATTATCTAGCTTATGAACGTACGATGCAGCTAGTTCCAGCTCCTGCGGCGTAGCTGCGACTGTCTCTTGATATGTGAATAGACTAAAGAACTTCTTGTTCCTCCAATTCTCGCTCGATATAAGCCAGATCATGAAGGCAAATGAACAGGTAGCTATGCATGACTGGTCGTTGCAAGTTCTCTTGCCCGCGAAAATGTTTTTGTTGGCGTCGTTGTAGAGTGTGGAAGTTGTGGTTGACTTGGGCTCGTTGGCGATGCAACAGCACACGATGCGAGAATTAAGTGTCGTCATTCGATTTTTGCATGACTCTTCTCAGATACATCATTCCAGAAAAACATGACTGGGTGGTTGAAACGTTGTCCTCACCAAGCCTTTCGGAAGTAACAATTGCCGAACGCAGCCGATACTAGATCGGAGATCTAAAAACACGCTACACCAGACAGTTCAGATGTACAATCTATTATGGTTTGATACGTGGAAAGTATGTGTGATTGCAAGAGTACTTTTGATCAGCAGGTTACTCACATCTAGGTCAAAAAAACGTGTAAGGTGTCATAGAAGCTGTTGAGTGAGAACACCTGCAGTCTTCGAACAACATCCGCCCGCAGTGATTAATCTGTTCGGCATCGCACAAAGTCGACTCAACGCCAGTAGGGCAATATATGAGTAAGCCCACAAGCGTTTCAAAAGTCAGCCCTACGCAACCCTCACAGACCACCACCTTTCAAGTTGAACCCAATCCCAGTCCCACACGTCATCATCCACGTACCACAAGTCGGCGAACTCTGACGACATCCTCTACCCGGTAAGCCTGTCTAACGAGACGATGCAACGATCATGTCAGATGAACTCACCGCTCAAATTTCCGATGAGTAAGTTGTTTGCTTGCCACTGGAACCGAACTCAACGATCGAGCTGATCAGTGAACGACAAGTAGTTTTGGTGCTACGCCCGTAGAATTTCGTTACGACTGGAGAGTATAGGCTAGCTCAAGGCCACCAAATATTGGATCAAGGCGCTAGGAAGTGTCCATGCCTATAACGGTATGCCATGGCGTTTCGCGGGATGCGCGTCATCGTCTTCCCGTCCGGGTGGCATGGTGGAAACGCTGGAGTGGGGTTGGGCTTCACTGGTGCACTATGTTATACAAGGGTAAAGGAGGATATTCGAAAATGTAGGGATGCGATTGGGTATTTAGGCCAATATATGTTCCATTGATCAGCAGTTGGATGTGGAGATTGTAGCACCACCGAGGTACGTTCTTACCACCGTGGTGGTTGTCAGTTGTCATTGCAGAAGCGTGCACTTCAACTCTAAACAAGTCTGTCTGCCTAGGCAAATAAGACTACAAAGCACGTTAGTTTCGTCATTTGCCCTGGTCTCATTTGGAGAGCAACGCAGCAGGATCTGTAAATGAATGCAAGGGAAGTAAAAAAGACGCCTTATGAGATCACTCGGTAGCAATTCCATGCATCTTCACTGGTAGCGGAAGCGGCTCGACGATAAGTTCAAGATTTATAAAATCGTTTCATCATGGTCAACATGATTTATTCGTGACTTCAACGATGGAAGGCGCGCTTCGGGAGGATGAAGATCAGGCTTGGCGATCTCAACAAGCTAGTTGGCAGAAGTGATGACGCTCACTATCGTGAGATGGTGCAGGAAACCTCCCAATCGTTGGTCCGATAACAAAAGTCCTTGGATGGAGGTGAAATTTCACAAGCGGTAGTGTGATGCTTGAAGAGAACTAAATTGCATGGAACGATGCGAGGCTGCAAAGAAAGAGCGCACGCGAGCTATGATACAATGGGGGATCGACCTATGACGCCGTGGACCGCTCACTACTCACGATGGTAGGTCCATCTACTTTCCTGGGCCATGCTCCAGCACCCTTGGGAGGAGAATTGCGATCAGATCCACGATCAGATCCCTGACCGCGACCGCCTCTTCCCCGCCATGATGTGCCTCCACGTCCACCACCACCACCTCCTCCTCCTCCTCGTTTTGACCTTCCATCTTGTCCCCCACCACGCCCCCGACCAACTTGAAATTGTATCCTAGTGAGCGGCTGTTCGACCCATTCTACGCCCTTTAGACCCAAATTTTGCTTCTCCCAGTCGCTGAGCTTCCAAGCTTGATAAAGGCCCATCAATCGTTGTTGGTCCACTTCTTCCTTACCAGGACCAACAGTCCGTGTCAATTTAATACCTCGTAGCTCTGGTACCCATGCCTTGATGTATTCGCCATGCTTGTCGTAATCGAGTGCTTGTTTGATGGGATTAAAGACGCGGCCCTGCCGCGGATCGTTGCCGACACCAGCGACGTATTGCCAGTTGCCCCAATTGCTAGCTGGATCGTAGTCCACAAGGAAGCATTCATACCACTCTGCTCCAATTCTCCAGTCGATATCCAGATGAGACGAGAGGAAAGAGGCGACGTTTTGCCTCGCGCGATTCGATGTGTAGCCTGTGACGAAGAGTTCGCGGTTTGATGCGTCGATAAGACCTACTCCAGTGCGCCCTGAACGGAACCGCTGAAACGCTTCGAGTGTCTTTACCGGATCGTCGCCTGCACCACCTGATTTGTCTAGTCGTTTCCACTTCTTTGTTCCTGCCTCTCCCTTCTGACCTTTAGCACCACGATCTTGTATGCCATAGAGACTGAACATCTTATATCCAAACTTTCTCATGCAAAGTCGCATGTAATCTCTCCACAACAACTCGAACCGAACAGCTGCTGTTCCTTCATTCTCACCCTTTCCGTAGCCATCTCTCTTTTCGCCAGGGCCCCGCCCTTCCTCAAAATCCATCATTGCCCAATGGACCTGCCGGGCTGTGATATGTCCTTGAGCAAGGTAGGCTGAGAGTTTGGTACTGAAATCGAGACCAAGCATGCCATTTCTTGTCTGCTTGTAGGAACTCATAGCCCCAGAGCTGATAAGATGGTTGATACGATTTAGACCAGCGGTTTCACCGCCAGAAAATGGATGCGCCGACTGAGCATCTGTCGGCCATTGTGGTGGCCATGTGAGAGTGTATGTTTTGTCTTTTTCGAGTGGCGATAACAGAGCTCGCTTCAACTTTTCCAAGGACGATGGTATGACGAATGGTTGTTTTTGTGGTGGTATGCTCGAGGGTAATGGTGGAAGTTGGGTTGGTGTGGGTAGGGTACTGCGAGGTCGATCGCGTAGCGGTTCGAGTCCTTTCCTGAACGACGTGTATACATTTGGCAGGTCGGATATGTTATCATAAGGTAGGTCACGACTGAGGCGAGTTAGCAGAATCCCTCAATAACGCGGAACGCCAATGTGACTTACTCATCTATGAAGTACTTCTCATCGCTCCACGCCTTGAAGTCTACTCCATGCTGTTCTGCGAGCTTCCTTACACTGTCCACCTCTCTTTTCTCTTCTGTGTTATCGTCATCGGTCATCCAAACGCCGCTGATCTTGCCCTCGTGCTCGTTTTGAGAATACCAGTCGATTATGTCAGAAACAACCTCGGTGGGTTTGCCCACGCGCATTTCCAATCCGGAGTTGCAGTTCAACTCCACAAGCTTTTCCTTAAGATCCCATACTCCATCCGCTATGAATTGCACGCGATGAGGTCCTGTTCGCCATACTCGTGCGACCTCACTGCGCGCCTCCGGATACGGGCTCTTGTCGGATGGGGAGGAGAGGAAACCGGACACTTCGATTTGGTTGGCAGGGAAAACGTATACAGGCAAGAGGTGCGTAAAAATTGCGCCACCGTGTTCCGAGGTCAGCGAGTCATCGCGGTGCCGTCTGTCTCCATTCGAAGACGTTCTCGAGGAATTTGGACGCGCGGCGTGAAGGGAAGCGGCATGGAAGGCGGGATTGTCTGAAAGGCGAACATCGCGACTGAGAACGTAGAGCAGAATACGCGGGATTCGGCTTGACATGATCGGAGACTTCGGAGACTCGTCGCCAGCAGCACTAAAAGCGCGCGTGCAACAATCAGAACAAACAAATAAGTCGCAGGTATTGCACGGCGGCCAGGAGCAACTACGTCGTAACATCAAGGTTACGATTCATAGAAGACCTGGTAGTAGAGAGTCGGGAGCATTGCGGTGCTGGAGGCGACAGAGAACTTTAGGGCCTGCGGGACGTCATGACCATATGAAGGCGACGATGGGGCTCACACCGAAATTTCTAGGGCACAAGGCCGTTGGACACTAAAAGGTGCCCTAAATGACATCTGTCAGCCATATCAGGTATCCTCCACCGGAAGGGGTGCAGATGGTCGAAACTGAGGAGATCCGATTCAAGATTGGTGATGCTTGCTGCAGCATCGCCAGCCAGGATTATGACGTGAGGGACGGCTTAGTGCGGCGCCACAATTCGCTATGGCCGCTGCAGGGACACAAAACGAGCGACTTGGGGACGGGCCGAGCGTTCGTAGAAAGGATAAAGCTGGCGATTGTCGTGCTGTCATGGAAGCACGGAGAGATCGCGAGACGTGCATGCATGCGCCATGCCGTGCCTGGTTAAGGGTCATGAGAGTTCTAGATGGTTCGGCGCCCAAAAGAGCCGTGCAGGGGCCGCGAATCTTTCATCTTAGGAGTGTTGATCGTGCAGCTTGATCTCGATATTCGTCGATTTGGAGCGGAAATCGCGTACCAGGTACCGCAAAGGGCACGTGGCTGTTAGCCGACTGGGGATATGACATATGACACTTGGATTGCTCGCCGTCCTCCGATGTCTTGCCACCACGCACAGCTTTGATCAAAGACTCACACAGTAGTATGCTGCACATCGCCCACTATTACCAAGTGCTTGTAGTGATGAATGTGCAGCGTGTATATGCCGTCGTTGAATTCGTGGTCCAATGGGTGGAAGCCCTGCATGAGTCATTGAATGAGCAAGATATCACAGACATGCCTGTCGATGAAAGGAAGGAATTAGCCTTGCCGGTGGTCGTGGTTGATGAATGCGTTGGCTTTGAACGAGGCTGACCTGTAGGAACTTGCAGTAGAGCCGGAGATCGCTGCCCAGGTCAGCCCGCAGGAAGGCAATAAGCGTGCCAAGGCACGTAACCGATAGATGTTTACTTTTTTCCGTACAATTCAAGGCATAAGTCTTTTATCCTTGTAATGAGATTGGATGTCAGAGACTGGTCTAAAAAAAGTGTTATTGAGACACGTCTTTTCTCTCGTTCACCTATCGTACTGAATAGGGCATAGCGCATATTCAACCCACCCTTTCATGCCTGTATCTTAGGATTCTATGGTACACGCCATTAACACAACCTGCAAAGCCCTTACCCATGCGTCTATTCAATACCGATAAGCTTACAAATAATACGTACTGGGTGTGGTTCAATCTGCTACCTTCAACAGATTGATTCTATCCAGTTGTGTTCATGTCGAAATGATCAGCTATAGCTTGACAGGATGTTCATGCGCTATACTAGAGCCCTGAGACTGCTGTTGGAACCACATTAAGGTTTTCTGAGTGGACTTGGAGGATGTGTGTTTGGAGTGAGATAGCGTCTAAGAACGAGCCTCCTGCGGATATGAGAAAGAACATGCCGTATCTTGGACTATCTTTGCCTGCAGAATGTAGTTGCAGGTCTGCTTCAAAAATAGTGTGAGGCAGAAGCGACATGCATCATATCTACTATATCAGTCACATAAGTATATAGCCATCGAGCTTGCCATCCAGTGGGTAAAATGAGCTAGTAGAACGGCCTCTCAAGGCTAAGGACCGGAAGTTTGGGGAATTGTCATACCTAATAAGTCCTTAGGGCTCTCAGGGTATGTCTATGAAGCCTAATTAGAGGAAGGTGAAGTAATAACAAGCTTAACGGAGATATGAAAGAAGGGGAAAAAGCTTTGTATGACAAGGGCTACTAGAATAGTGCTTGTGTACAATCAAAGTTTTTCAATACTATCATTAACATATATTCGTTCCCTTAGTGAAGTTACTCAACATGCGTTTCCGACTGTTGTGACGCGCCTCGCAAGCCTTGAAGCCGCATAGGCGGATCACCTCATGTTGACAATCAAGTCACCCATAATCCATTGTCCTCAGTTGCTAAGATCGGTAAGCCTTTCTAGCAAACGGTGCGGTATACGCCATCAGACGATGGTCTCTGCGCCTTGTGCTTATGCTCTTTCCGCAGTCCCTTATTGGCATGCTGCTTCTCGATGCTAGGGCTGGCACCAGGTTGGAACGCCGAAAGATCAACCGCATCCGTCTTCATCAGCATCTCCGTGACGCCACATATGTCAGTGACTAGCCTGTCGATCATGTCAAGCGACAGACTCTCCCTGACGACTACTCTGAGGATTTCGGTCTTCTCCTCGCCTGGTGGCAGCGGGTAGTCTGCATGTGAGGTTAGCCACGTTATGCTCAATATATCAGATGTAGTCTTACTGGGGATAATGTATTGCTTAGCTCGAAGCAGATTGCTGACCGCTTCTTGCTTGACATGGGGGAATTCCTTGTGGAACTCGTCTGTGAGAGTAAATGCAACGACAGGTAAACCGGCATTGTAGTCTGCGCTTGTTTCGCCTTCTTCGTATGGCTTCTTGCCCTGCTCGAACTTGAGATCGCCCTTCTTGCGGTGAATGTCGCTGACGCAACGGTACCAGCCCTGGATCGTAATGTCAGTAAGTCTTCTTGTGTTACCTAGCGATTTAACGTCGTACCGTATGCTCCAGCGCCCTGCTCAGTAGACGTGCATTAGCCAACATGTTTTCCATAATGGCACGGTACCCCGAGAACCCTAGATGGATCAAGTTGTAGTATTGCGCGATGATCTGAGCTCCAGGACGTGAGAAGTTCAGGGTGTATGATTCTTCTGTTCCACCCAAGTAGTGAAGCTCAAAGATCAGGTGCTTGGGTAGGTAGCTTTCGTCTCGCCAGATGATCCATCCGACACCAGCATACACGAGACCAAACTTGTGACCACTGGTGTTGATGGATTTGACTCGCGGTAGCTCAAAGTTCCACTTCTTGCCAGCTTTCGCGTGGGTGAAGGGAGCGATGAAGCCACCAGATGCAGCATCTACGTGGATGGGAATATCGTTGCCGGTCTCCTTCTCGAAGGCGTCGAGAATATCGGAGATTTCCTCAACAGGTTCGTAATGTCCAGTGTATGTGGAACCAAGGATGACAAACACACCGATTGTGTTCTCGTCGATGTTCTCCTTCACCAACTTTGGGTCCAGACGGTAGGATGAGTCTTCGCTTACGGGAAGAATGCGAGACTCGACTTCGAAGTACCTAGCAAACTTCTCAAGAGCGACTTGTGCGTTTGCGCCCATGATGATGTTTGGATTTGAAGTGTCTTTGCCCTCGGCCCTTCTCTTCTCTTGCCAGCGACGCTTCATGGCGAGTCCGCCAAGGTGAATAGCTTCGCTAGAACCAGTAGTTGCCGATCCGATGGCTTTCTCGCCCTTCTGTGCGCCCCACATGTTAGCAATGATGGATACACATCGTGCGTGCATGTCCATCATTGCTGGGTACTCGTCAGCATCCGACATGTTCTTCGACAGATTCTCAATCATGAGCTGCTCGGCCTCCTTCTCCATGTACGTTCCGACGAATGAAGCCAAGTTCAACTGGGGTCGTCCGTCAAGATCAAGCTCGTCCTTGAGTAGCTGGTGGACAACATCGGCAGGAGCGCCATCGTGCGGGATTTTGAATTTTGACAACTCGGTGCCAGCGGCATAGCGACTCGAGTAAGGCGTGATATGTGAGGTCGCGCGGTTCGCGGACTTGTGTCCTCCAGCCTTGTGAATTGGGTGGTCCTTTAGTGTCTCAAGGAGCTCATCCGTGTCTACATGTCTCGCGAGCCCGGCCATTGTGATGAATGTTTGGAGGTAGTTACGTTGGTAGGGGTTGAGATTGATGCAAAGTTTGCAAGCATCAGGCAGGAAATATCAGTTTTATACGACCAGAAATATTTGCTGGTACACGTTGACAACGTACATACGCATGACGACACATTACGTCCGTTGTCGCTCACACGCTCACGTTGGCCATGCAGCCAAAATGGAACATGCAGACCAAGCAGGACCCGCATTGAAAAGCTTGACATTTGCTTGGTAAAAAGCTTGTTTCTGGCAGTGAATGGATCTTGTGGGACGTGTCATGACCAATTAAGGAGCCGTTTTCAAGTTCCGCAACGGGAGCCGGCTAGGGATTTCAACCGCGGGACTGGCAAGCAATGGGATCAAACACGCGGCTTTCTATGGGACTGGCCAATCTGGCCTCATACCTTGCAGCGAAAGCAAAGCAGGAAAATAACGCATCGTGACGAATCTAGTACAGACCAAAAGCCGGAAGTAATAGCCTTCATGCACATTGATGGGTCAATGACGGAATTCTGGCTGTCACCCGGTCCGTCGTTTCGCCGACAGCGCGCCGTCACGTGACAAAGTGCTCAGCTGAACAGCACCAAATCTGCCATATCTGATCTTATCCCAACAAACCTTTCGGAGATCCTAGCGGCATCGGATGTGACTCCGTCAGACTCTCCCAAAGATCTGATGCAGGCTTACCTGGTTGATGGCTACAAAACGCTCAAAGTTTCGGGTGGTGAGATGGGATTGGTGATCATGACGTAGTCACGTCATCGCCATCACATCCGTGGAACGCGGGGAAAACTGACTGACGCGTCCTTGACAGCCTGGACTATACGGTACGCGGCCTCGGTGCCTTGACGGTATGTAGAGAATATACCTTCAAATTAAGGGTCTATATTTGCAAAGCAGTAGAGCTCGAGTGTTTGCTGCCATTTCTAACCACTTCGTCAAGCACAATTGTTGTTGTTTGAGGTTGGTCCGCCTTGTAGTCCGAAGCCCAAGAAGCGGGTCACCTACCGAGAGCTCCGCCCCAATAACGTTGCCACGCAGTGGTGTTGTAATCGACTCGTCTTACTCTTTAGCTTGGTTGCCTAGCTACTCGTTACAGTACTTGTGCTCCCCTACTATTCTTGCTTGTTCACCCATTCTTCCTCAATCACCAGGTCAACATGCGATTCTCACGCGTTGTACCGGTCTTGCCTCTGGCGACCGCATTCGTCATTACCGAGCCAGAAGTCTTCTCAAACATCAACATTGAGAAGTCTGGAAAGTCCCTTGTCGACAACGCTCATACTGTTCTCGACAACGCTCAAAATGTCATTGACGACGCATTCAGCAAGGTCAAGGACGGCGCCAAGGACGTCTACAGCAAGATTCACCATGCTGGTGCCGACGTTGAGTCGTGGTTAGAGGGTTCTCAATTCGACGACAGCGTCATCGACTTTGAGAATCCTGAGCACCCTCCTCATGATGGACCGCCACACCATGGCGGACCTCACCACCCTCCACACGACCAGAAGCCGAACCGCACGGTCTACGAGCTCATCAACGAGAGCAAATACACCACAAAGCTTGCAAAGTGGATCAATGAGTTTGACGACATCGTGGAGGCGCTCAACAGCACCAAGGCCAACTACACAGTCTTTGCTCCCACAGATGAGGCCTTTGAGAAGATTCCCGAGCATCACCACAAGCCTTCCAAGGAAGTTTTGAAGGACATTCTGCTGTACCATGTCACCGACGACCTGTATCCTGCTGGTCGCGTACTCCACACATACACCATCCCAACTCTCTACACCCCAAGCAAGAACCTAGGTCACCCGCAGCGCCTTACTGTTCGCGTGACACTCAAGGGTCCTGCGATCAATTTCTACAGCCGCCTCGTAGCAGTCAACATCTTCGGAACCAACGGTGTCGTCCACGGCGTCGATTCCATCCTCGTACCACCTCCCAACGTCGCCTCCATCATCGACTTACTCCCTGGCGAGTTCAGCACTCTTGAACTCGGTCTCACAAAGACAGGCATCTATGAGAAGATGAACAGCACTGACTACCCACATAACGGCGGTACATTCTTCGCGCCCTCCAACTTTGCGTTCCAGAAGCTTGGAGCGCGTGCCAACGCCTTCTTGTTCTCAAAGTATGGTGAGAAGTACCTGAAGGCTCTTTTAGAGTACCACATTGTCGTTGATCAGACACTTTACACTGATGCCTTCTACGATGGGCGTAAGGACGACAAGGAGACTGTCGAGGAGCGCCCAGGAGGCTACCACTACGATCTCCCTACTGCTCTTTGCCACAAGAACCTCGCCGTTGACGTTGGTCGCTACGGACCTTTTGTCGAGATCAGGATCAATGGCTTCTCGCGTGTCACTGTTCATGACGGTGTAGCTAGCGACGGTGTCATCCAGGTCGTCTCCAACGTCCTGATCCCACCCAAGACTTCTGGTGGCGAGCAGAGCTTTTGGAAGGGTGAGGAGCTCGACGTCGAGGACCTGAAGGAGCGTCTCCAGCCTCTTGTTGAGAACATGGAGTTGTAGACCAACAACTCTTATTCGAGCCCTGAAATTTGTTACCTTCTTGCTGCGAGACGATCTTTACGACATATTCCTTGTATAATAACTTTCCATCCAAGCGGAGTGGCTACTTCACACTAACATGTGTATGACTCAGATAGCAAGTCAACAAACGAATACAAACATGACACCATATGTTGTGCTCGCAATCGTGATATTGCCACTACTGCTGTCTTTCACCTAGTCTAAGCTAACCTTGAAGTCCATGTGTGCGGGCCACCATTCTTTCTAATAGGGGACTGTAATGTTTTTAGTTCGTCATAGTCTGGTTGTAGTCACCGTCACTATACATTTCGTGTAAGTAGCAACCACACAGTTAATTCTCCAGCCTAAAGGTGATGTTGTTGGATCTCATTTTATCGCAAGACCTAAACGCGAAATGTGTCTATACCGTACACAAAAGCAAACCAGAGTCATGAGTAGCAAATACCTCTACAATGTCCTATTTCTACGAAAAGTCCTCGCCTCCTTCTTCAATCGTGTTCTTGACTCGCAATAAAAGTGTAGTCTTCCACTTGTCAAGCTTGGTGAGCTGGTCAAAATTGAACAACTGTGAGAAGTTAGTACGACGTGCATTTGCGAATGTGTGCCAATTGGAGAGAACATACCTTCTCAGAAAACGCCTCCTGATCACCGTCTTGCACTGCAGCTGCCAAGTCAACAAGAAGTGCATGCTCCCTCTGCTGCTGGAAGCTTGGATCCAGCTCTCTATACCTGTCAAGCGCAGTGTTGACACCGACCTGGTCGCCTGTGCATAACTGGCAGATACCAGCCTTGAGTAGGTACTCCTTGACGGACCAGCGCATAAGGTTATTGGAAATCGAAGTTCTGGCAACTTTCTCGTAAAGCTCAATGGCTTTGTAGTAGTCCTTGCCTTCTAGAGCGACGAGGTCGGCGGTCTTGAGCCAAAGCTTGTTGGCAAGTGCTTCAGCATTGTCGCTCTCGTACCAGCCAGCCGCTTCCTCGTATGCAGCTGCAGCTCGGGTGTTGTCGCCGAGCTCGACTTCGTAGAGCTCTGCAAGGTTCTGCTTGTGGGTAGCTGCACGGCGGAAGTTGCCCTTGCTGCAGTAATGCGCAATGGCTTTGTCTAGACACCGCGCAGCTGCTTCTGGGTCATCTTTGCGGTAGGCCTCTGATGATACATCAGTCACAGTCGTTTCAAACACGGAAGAATATCTGAGTGAAGAAACTTACTGAAGGCGTCTGTAAGCGTGTTTGCCTCGTCATCGGGCTCGTTCAGATTCTGACGTTGTACTGATGCCGCCTTTTCGAAAGCCTCGCCTGCCTCCTTGCCTAGAACACGTTAGTTTTTAAGACGGGATCATTTTCCAGCACGCATCCGACCATACCCATCTTTTGCATCCGGAACGCATTTGCTGCGGCAATGAACTGATCTGCGGCTGCCTCATCTATCACGTGCGTCAGTCCAAAAGCGCATATATGCTACTTTTCAGATCATACACTTGTCTTGCTTGTTGCTGAAGAAGCTGAAGCCACCAGATGCCTTCTGCAACGATGCTTCTGCCTGTTGTCACGTCAATATCAGTTATCTGCTTTGTGGCTGAGTCTTGGAAGGCCCCACCTGTCGCAGCAGCGCTCGTGGATCGCCGGCCATGTTTGCTGAGTTGTCGAGTGCGGAGGTTGTTTGCAGGAGAAGGAGGGTCAGTATGAGATATGACTGTATAGGCAGACGTTATGTTGAAACTTTGGTCGAGACAGGTGGCTGCACTTGCTGTCTCAATGAGCGATGACGACCCACGTTGGTCCATGCGAGAGGGCTGTGACCTCGGCGGCGGCTTTACCACTTCCGCACTAGTGTTTGTAGCCCGCCTCAAGCTTCACGACGTTGCATTCACAGCAGCGTCGAGCGGTCCGCAAGAAACATGGCTACACGTCGCGCATTTACATCCTCAAGGTTTTGCAGTCCTTTACAACGCCTGCAAACACGCCCATACACGCCTTCGCCTCTACGCTCATCCCAAAACCAAGGCGTACATCCCGACGAGCTTGAAAAGCTTCTAGCAGAGCCCACATGGTCCGTTGAATCTCTCCTACCACCCAAGACACGCGCTCCCGACGCTCCCCAGATCACCTCTCAGCAGCTTTATCATCTACTACGACTATCTGCTCTCCCGCCGCCGGAAACGCCCGAACAAGAGCAGAAGATGCTGGACACACTGGCAGCACAACTCCATTTTGTGGGCAAGATACAGGAGGTGGATACAACGGGTGTAAAGCCTCTTCGGGCGATACGTGATGAGTCAAATGCTGCGGAAGAAGAGCAGACTATCACCCTGGAGACACTAAAGGACGCCCTGGGCAAAGAGAAGGTCGTAGGCCAGCATCACAAGCGGTTACAACGAGATGCTACGCCGGTTGACGCTCAAGATGTTGAGGACTGGGATGTGCTGGGCTCGGCTGAGCGAAAGGCCGGTAAATATTTTGTTGTCGAGAGCGAGAGGCCGCAGGAATAAATCTTTCATACGGCTTTGCACACGTCTAGAACCAGAGCCATCGGTGCACGATGAGATGTGCATGACTACGAATGGTATACGGCTACGAAGGACACCAGGACGATCGGGAAGCAGCGCCCATACTTGTTTGCAACGTTTGTATCTTCGTTGGTAAACAAGTAAACTCCAAGGACCAGGGATAGTGCCAATCCAGAGAAACACAACACCAGCCTCCATATGACGACCGTCGTAAATAGGAGACAACAAGAACCAACAACAAGCCAGAGATTCAATCACCAGAGACCGACCTCCTTCCTGCACTTTGTGCAACGCTTAACGACATGCGCTTCCACACCACAGCCACAAAAGGGCGCCTCATCCATATCGTCGAATTCTGGTGTCGACAGCCGACTCAGCCTAGGTGTCGGAGGAGGTGTGGGGCCTGCGGACGAATTCATAGCTGCTTTCGTCTTCAAAGGCAGTCCTTCGCTCGACTTTGCTTCGGCATGAAGGATCACCGACTTTGATCTAACTTTGGACGAACGCTTGGCGGAAGTCACGTGTAGCTCTGAGCTGCGTTCCGCGACTTTCCTTCGAGGTGCGGGGTGAGGTTGTGACGAGACGTGTTCAAAGCTGCTTTGTGGGTATGAGTCTTCATCTGCTTTGGGGTATAGGACGAAGTCGGTGTATCCCTGGACTGGTGGTTCAACCTTCCAATCCGCCCAGCGGCGACGACGAGATTCCGCGATCTGCACATTGCTTCCATCGTGGTACGTCGTCTGACGATACTCGTGTGTATCTTGCTTCTTTAGTAGAAGGGCTGATGCCTGGAGAGCCGACTGTGTGGATGGTGTCGACGACATGGTGACAAGATGATCTAACCGGCACCATGAAATATCAGAAAAGAGTTGGAAGTGGTCTTCAATGACTTTTCAGCACCTTCAGGCCGGTTCTGAGATGAAGAAGAGATGTGGTGGTGTGGTTGAGCGGAGGGAGTAGTGGGGGGAAAGAACGATGAAGAGTCCAGAAGGTGGGTGGTGGGCGGTGCGAGTATATACAGCGCGGGATCAACTCGCCAAGCCCCATCTCGCCTGACACCCTAGACCTCCTGCACTACCACCACACCCCTTGTGCACTCTGTTCCCCTACGCCAATCGAATCCGAAGCTCTCAGTCGGTATGGAGAGACTGGATTCGTCTGAAAAGACAGGGATTTGCACAACTTGGATGTTATAGTGCACTTTTGCATAGTTCCACATTGGGATATAGGTGTGTCTACTCGTCGAGGTCACCATGAGCATCCAACCCAGAGCGAGAAGGACTTGCGAGTACTCGAAGCCAATATGAAGACTGTGTTTGTTCGATGCATCGTGTCTTCAAGATGCTCGAATGTTGACCTTGTCGTCAGTGGCTCTCGTCCTCGATCCTAAGCATATCCGGATTGCATACCACTTTCAATGCCTCACATAGTATGATTTACAGCCCCTCAATACTGTGGAACACCAATCTCAGCCGTTTTGTCTGATTTTCAGCACCTCTGATGGACATTGTGGGGTAGTTGGTCGCTCAGTTTTGCAGGACGCTTGCCAAGGCATTACCAAAATGTCAACCCTGCAAATCACACGAAGACCATGTGGCTGCATGACTCTCCAGATCCAACTCATGTGTATAATCGTCTCATAGCAGAAGAACTCCAGCTAAGGCCTGCTGGCTAGCACTTGAATGTACTAGAGTCACTAAATCTGCTATCAAACATTCGGGCAGGAAGGTTTAGTCCACGTGACTTCTTATCAGAACAGGCGCTCAAGTGTCTTGTCTTGTGTACGTGACAGCTGGTCTCTTCGATACGATAACGAGCAGAAAAAATATTGTCCGAGTGCCGACATCGCGCTCTACAGACGTTGGATCGAGTAGGAAGTGAGAGTTGAGCATTCAGAACGCGCATCAATCCTGCCTTTCTCTTTCGTCCAACTCTTCGTAAATTCCAAGTAAGGAACAAGAATGGATTGTCGAACAAGTCAGATGACATGACGAGTAGGAATAAGAGATTTCCACATTATTTGATTTGTGTTTCTGAGATTACAAAGTTACAGGGAAGATACTCGACTCTTTAGCCAGACGGCAACTATGCCGTTCATGCATGCAATCTATGCTCTCTCTCTCTCTCTCCTACCTTGGATAATAAAAATACAAAGCCCCATCAATCCTCTCTGGCCCATCTCTTACCAAAACTGCCAGTCAAAGCAGAAACAATCTGTGAAAACGTAACAAAAAAACGCCGCCAGTTTGGAAAGGAACACTCTCTCCATCATCCCAATTCCCATGCCATGGTATTGTCCCCCTAAATCCCCTTCTCCCCTCCAAAGAAAAAAACCAAAAAAAAACCCCCAAACTAACGCCCATTCCAATGCATATATTTTGTTACACAATCCCCTACTCCGGACTCGCACCCCTAACAGACGGCTCCACACTCGCACTCGCCCTCCCTCTATCCTTGCCCCCACCACCACCACCAGGACCCAAACTAAGCTTAATCTTCTTCTTCTTGGGTGAATCTCCACCGACATCATCAGCGTCACGGTCGCGCTTGCCCTCACCCCTTTCACTGCTCTCGCTGTGTTTTCTATCCCCAAGATCAGGTCTACCACCACTACTAGTTTTCAGCTTGACTTTGAGCGTGCCATTGCCATTGCCGTTGGAAGTGGTAGTCGAGTTAGAAGATGGCTTATCACGATCCGCCTTTTTGACATAGGACGACTTCTTCTTCATCTTGCGGCGTTCGGGGGTATCGTTGTCCATGTCATCAGCGTCGGCATCGTCGTCTTTTTCGCCCTTGAGACGTTTAACGGGCGAGATGCCCTTTGTTTTGCTACTCGTCTTGGGGTTGTTGGCGGATGACGACTCGCCGGGCGCGGGCGTGCCCATGCGACTTCCCAGCGGCGTGTTGCCGAGACCTGAACCCGTGCCGCCGTTTTGTCCGGTGAGTTTGGCCATGGCGTTGCGACTACTCTGCCGCCCGCTGATGCCGAGGCACTTTTCTAGGTGCTGTGCGAAGCGCGTTATGAGTAAGCTGCGCTTGCAGTTGGGACACGTGTGCCAGGGGATGTAGGAAGCGGGTTTGCCGCCCGTGTTGAGCTTGATTTCCTTGGTGTCGCCGCCAGCCATGTCTGTGTCTTGGGAGCCGGGCGTGCCTACGCTCTCCTTCTCGGCATTCTTCTGCTGCTGCTTGATGAGCTCGCGTTCCTTCTTGCTCTTGGCCATGTCGGTGGGGAAGGGGTTGCCGTAGACGTCGTGGCCCGATCGCTGGACAAAGGGGTAGAGCATGCAGTACTCTTTGGTCAGGTCTGGGTTCTGCATGCCCTTGCCCATGATGGGGTGCATCAACCGGGGCAGCTTGCAGTGCGGACATATTATCTCAGGCGTTGTCTTGAGCGGATTGCCCTTGAGGAAGACGCGCCCATTGTCGTACTTTGCTGCCGATGTCTCAGCGACGGGTATCGACGTGGCGGCTGTCGTGTTTTGCTTCTGCGACTGCGGCTCGAGGTTTGCCAGGGCGATGGACTCGGCTTGCGTGGCGGCCGACTGCATGCGGAGCAGCTTCTCGGATCGGTGGCATGATAGGGCCGTGGTGAAGACGATGTTGCTCAGCAAGTCGTCGAGGATGTTGGTAGTCTGCGACACGTTTCTTAGCAAGGCGCATCATGGGGAGCGTCATGTAACCGAGGAGGCGGTTTGCGGCGGACAGGCCCTACCAGTTCTTGGAGCACGTCTGACGGCAGTCCCACGGCAGCGTCGACGCCCTCGCCCTGCTCGTCGGCCGGCCGGTCCTCAGACATGTCGTTGACCGTCGGCGGAGTGGTTCACGGCGGAGTGGTTCAGGGCGTGGAGAAAGTGTTGCTGAGACGTTAGCGTCAGTTACGGGAGATATCGATGGCCTTCCCATGCATCCCTGCTCCGGGATCCATTTAGCGCATGCAGCCAAAACTACCTACCCCACACAACGAGAACAGCGTGTTCGCAAAAGACTCCACACACACGCGTCGGCTATCATTTCATCCATCTAGACCTGTTTACACTACCTCCCACCTCGCCAGTCTGCCTATGGTGCTTCCCGCCTGTCTCACAATGCACACGCCATCGCTACCTACTCTGTGCACCGCCAGATTCGCAATGGCTGTTGGCATGCCCTCTGCAAGGTTGTAGTTGCCTGTTGTAACAAAGCCCATTAGATCCGCCTCGTCGGGGACAAGAGGATAGTCCTCCTCGCCTGCTTTCGATGCACGCTTTGTGCCAGGTTGTGGCATCAAGGACAGCCATCCGCTTCGAGATTGTGCATCTGCAGGCAGACGGTAGATGCGAGCGCAGTCTGTAGGCGTACCTCGCTGTACCATTGTGATCTTGGCCGTGAACACATCTGGCGACAGCCAAGAGTCGCCCAACGTAGCGTTGCCCTTCTCAATCAAGTCAACTGCATCTCTGCAAGACAGCTGTCTGACAGGGGTCCGGGACTCTCCTGGCTCCTCTCGAGGAGTGGTAATCTCTCCTTTCCATCTTGGAATCAATCGCTCCCAGTCGCAACACCAGGGATCTCCAATCTCACCCTTCCTACCATTGCCGAGATCAATCGTCGACCACTCAATCCTCTTTCCCTTTGGGCGCTTAGTCCATTCGTGCTTCCTCACCTCTCGCTCACGTAGTTCCCAACTCCATCCAGCATCCGTGCCAGGATGGTCGTACGGGAAGTGCGGCTTCGAGCGCTCAAAGTCAACCTGGCGTCTTTCTTTCAAGCCGCCAAATAGTGGGGTTGCGCCTGTAGATACCGGGTAGCGCATCATCTGTCGCCATACGGGCATGACGCATCTCCAGGGAAGAAGAACAGTCCAAGACTTGCTTTCTCGCGATACAAGTACAAGCGTCGGAATACGCGGATCGGTTGAGCGTGCCTCTGGGTCTTCACCTAATGTGCATGCGCTCTTCCGACGATTTATAGACTTCTGAGACGGCATGGTTCGTTGTGCGGCTAGCCGGCTGTTGGTATCGAAGATGGAGGCTGGGATTGAGGCGTTGTCGAGCGGCCAGGCTGCAAGGGTTTCCGTCAAGGCAGTCAGAGACTGTTGGTCGTATGCCACGGGCGATGTGCGAGGAGGATCGCGAAGCCGGGGATCTGAAATGTTAAAAGACAGAAGCGCACCGTTTGGTAGTGACGCAGCGTCTGTGACAGAAGCCAAGGCGGGCCAAAGAGACTCTGGAGCATCGGGCCCTGCATCTGGGGAAGATACGGGAGCGAGAATCGAACAAAGGGCTTCTATAGCGGCAGGACCTGTGATCTCGATAGAGCCAATATCGAAGCGGAGATCTCGAACCGTGACAGCTGGCTTCTGCACTTTTGCCATCCTGACCACTTGATTCCAGAGTTGTAAGAAAGCGCTCGGGTGTACACGAACAAAGGCTTTCGTCTTGTTGCTGCCTGCATGCGGGGCGCACCAGATGACAGTCACTTGGGCGACTTTCTTCAGCGGCTTGGCTTCTCTTTCGTATATCCAGCCTTCCCAAACTCTGGTACCATTTCTCCACTTCCTGGCCCTGCCTCTGTTCTGCCACGGGTCCTCTGCACTGTCTACAGCAAAGTACAGACCCTTGAGTAGCCCAGTTATACTAGCCTCAGGACCCTCGAGACTGAGAGTTGACATGTAGCTTACGTCCCACGCAACGGCTCCGCGCTGGGTTGCGGCTCTGTGTATCAGACGATATGCCTTGACTGCTGGTTGCAGTGGGATTGCGAAGCGCCAGAGCGGCTCCTTTGGTTCAGTCATCTTTGCGCGCTTCGTATGCCATAGATGCGTGGGTAGCCATGTCTTGTCTCGCTGTCGTCTGCGGAATCGAGATGGAGGGGTGGCGGGCGTAGCTAAAGCAGGAAACTTGCGCTTCGGCTTTGATGGTGAGGGCTTCGTGACTTGCTCCGGCGCATCCTCCATTGCTGCGTCCCCGTCATGGTCTTTCCCAGCTGCAGTGGTGTTGCCATTGTTCCTCTTCTTGGCGACCTGCCTGCTGTTCTCCCTCCCCGACTTCCTCAGATGCTTCTTCTTCCCTTTCCCAACACCGCTCCCGCTAGTGCCTCTTGAAATGGGTGTGTTGTCCTCTTTAGCCTCCTGTCGCGCCCTGACCCGCAGTCTCTTTGGTACGCGATGCGGATTATGGCTCGCCGTCCTCCTCCTCAACCCCCTCGGCACATCTTGAAAAGCTCGTCGCGACTGCCCCTTCTTAGCCGCCTTGATGGCGCCCTCGAGCGATTTGATCTCATTTTCGTGCGACTTGAGAAAGTTTTTGACGTTGATCTCGCCATTGGGGTACGCGTTGCTAGTCGGTATGGCGGGGATGACGTGCTGTGGCCTCTGTTGGAATCGGGTGCGTTTGACAGGATTGCCAGGACCCGTGTTGCCTGGCGTCTGCTTCCTCTTTCTCGAACTATCGGCCATGGTGGATCTGGAACAGGCGTCGCTATAGCATCAAGGCTATTCGAGCTCACTGGGCCAACGGTCGCTGCGACTGAATCTTTTAGCGAGACGGTCCCCACGCCGACGGGCTTAGCGCGGAGTCATTCGTCACGTCAGCACGTGTCTGGCCGAAGCACTGGCAGTCCCTACCAACGCCGACTTGGACCCTTTGGTATTGGTCCAAACGTGCCAGGCCAGCAACGGCATTCTGTTTCATCCGCCAGGCCCCTAGCTCGTCTTTTGATTAATTACTCCATTCACAACATCTTCATTTCGCCATTTCGGCCAGGTGCTCCACCTTTCTGACCTCCCCTGTGATTGCATCGTCCCCCCTGCAGGAGTGCGCAGCCACCATGCTGCCCTGTCCTTGTGGTCCTGGACTGGTCCTGATCATTCAATGTTTTCCCACACCTTGTTACTACACAACAACAGCATCTTTTCTTTGAACACACGCACACACACAACGCATAGCCATTCTGACACTTACATCTACCTCTATTGTTACTGTACCGCATACACACACACACCTCTACTGCTAGTACATAATGATTCACACATACACAACCATGTCTCCCCCCTCTTATTCTTCCGATCAAATGTGCAAGATGAACTTCAGTCCACTGCGATCGCCCTCACCAAGAAAACGTTTCGCCGGCCACGAGCGAAACCAGTCAGAAGCCATCCAACGCCCACGACCCATCAGCGTGGCAAGCAACTCAGTCATGGTACAGCACGCAAAGAGAGCTTCAATATACGTCTCAGATGCTTCCATCTTGCTCCAACAACGCAATCCCATTGCCTCGCCCATGTCACCAACGGACTCGGGCATGGCCTCGCCAACCAGCGAGTCTGGAGAAGTCACGGATCACTACGCCATCCTCGAACTCACACCCGAGGCCACCACGGACGAGATCAGAGCTGCGTACCGCCGTCTGCGCTCCGTCTACTTTGCCAATGACGCGAAAAAATATCGAGCACTGCAGGCCGGCTTCGACTGTTTGATGGACCCGGAGGCACGCCAAGCCTACGATGCAACCTACCAGCCAGTAGCTCCAACTTCGCTCTCCAGCATTGACGAGATGTTGGACCAAGGAAAGCACTGACGCAAGGACAGCGCTCATGGCGACGATCCAGCAGTCATTCCCGAAGAAGAGGAAGAGGAAGAGCAGCAAGTACGGACTGACGACCCTAATTGGGGCCTTAAACGGTTCCAGCCTATGCTTGAATCGGTGCTGGGCTCCGAGCCATATTTCTCATACGTCCCTCTGCCTACGTATTCGCTGCCTGTGTGTAGGTCGCCCAAGTACGTTGGACAGTTTGCGGTGAACGCGTGGCCCAACTAGACGGTCTCGTCTCATCGATATCTGGATTCAACCCACTCGACATGGTTCGAGTTCTTTACCATGTTCATATTCATAGCAGAGCAGGTCTTGCATTTGGGCGGGTTTGCTTTGTGGCGTCTTGGGCGGTCTTTTGTTCCTCTGTCCACTTAGCGTTGTTTTTATCAAGCGGCGATTCACCACCATCTGCGATTTACCCTCGTCTTGTTATATACCTAAAGTCCCAACTTTACTGCAAATTGGCCACACTCACTATACCTACTCGGATATCGAGCAACATTGAATGATAATGTATGACACACATGACACTTGTCAGATTTGGAGCGTGCCTGTGCCAACATTTGTATACATCACGAAATTCAGCATGGAATGGCAACTAAATGAACCAGAGTCGCATTGCTGATATCGATCGCTATGATACAGGGCTCCAAGTTGCGAACGCCACTCTGATCCAATCGTCTCCAGCTCTAAGAAATTGTCGCATGCTAATTGTCGCCATGGCGAAATATTTACTGGTCGAGCTTTACGGGGAAGTTGCCGGCCTCTGTTCACAAATCAGCAACTATATTCATCTTGGACGCCTCGACTGCATGCGCAATGGGCTTGGGAGGAAACACTCACCACGCTGGTCGTCCCATCGCGATGTCCAGCCGCTGGGGCACAGGGACTTGTAGGCCAACATGAACTACATCCATCAGTACACAGGTCCGTGTCTCATTCGGCTTCTGCGGGGGTCGCGCACCTGGCGGCAGGGAGCAAAGTCCTCGCCCTTGGCGATGATGCACTTGTGGTAGTCGACGTAGTTTTGCCAGCAGTGCTTGGTCTGGTTCTGGTTGGGGAAGCGGGCATCGAAGCCTGTGTGCGCCGAAGCTTTGTTAGCAGGCCATATCGCATATCTGGAGCTGTGGAAGCTATTTTGGCGGGCGGTGCAGGCAGGCGTGCGAGTCCGGGGGTGGCGTACCAGCTGTGCGGTGGGAGATTAGCTATCAATTCGAGAGACTGCGGAGTAGCGGGAAAAGCTCACCAGTAACAAACTTGAAGGGCTTGGTTACAAGCTCGTCGCCGTTCTCGCTGTCAGACATGGTTGCGATGGGGGTGGTTGGAGTTTGTCGAGGGGGAGGGTGGCGGCAATGGCTGGGCTTGGTGTGGTCGTCAAAGTGGTGACGGAAGTGAAGTTGTGAGGTTGCGATGGTTCGACCCGAAACGCATTGTCCACACACAATTCGCTCGGCGTTTTCCGGGCGAACCAGGGCCGCGAGCTCTCTCAGCATCTGCGTGCCTGTGACGAAACAGCCATTATCGATCCCCCAACGACGACGCCAACTCTCCACTCTCCACTCCAATTAATAACACACAAACACCGCCAACATGTTCAAAGCTACCAGGGCCCTGTCTATGCAGCCGACACGCATGATGGCCATGCAGCCTACGCGCATGGCTGCCATGCGCCCGAGCCCCCAGCTCTTCATGAGGCAGACGATGCGCATGCGCAACCCTGTGCCTGTATGAAATGCCACATCTCACTGTGACTCGGGAATTGATGCTGACAACATGACAGAAGGAGGAGCACGGCGGTAAGCCAACCACAGCCGCCGCATATCGCCATCCAACATGAATTGACGACGTACAGCCCACACCGTATCCCAGCGTATCCGCCAGCTCAAGAACATCCCCACTGAGATTTGGCCTCTGAGTACGTTTTGTTCCCTCCCCCTCTACGCTCCCCTTCGAGCCTCTTGCTAACCCCAACATCTAGTCATCGTTCTCGGGTAAGCCCCTCCATTCCGCTTCGAATACTCTAACGCAGGTGGTCTGATACATTCGCAGCGTTGCCGTCGGCATGGCCTTCTTCTCCATCACCCGGAAACTCTGGGTCGACAAGACCCTCCGCCTCAAGCGACAGGGCAAGCAGGAGTAAGCGCCTGGGCTTGCAAGGAACTGGATACAATAAAGATGGAATCGGCGGGCTTGGAAGGGCTCCAGCAGCCATGTGTATAGGTACAGCATACGGGACAGAGTCCTCGTCAAGTTCGAAATCAAGCATAAGATTCATTGCGAGTTGCGTCTAGACGTGCAAAAGGAAGCCATCGAGTGCAATGGCGAGATCATCAAGGACTTTGAATCTTAGCAAGTGCGGCAGAATGTGGCACGATTCCTGAAACCGTGCTTGTGATATGCTGTATTTCATACCTTCTTCTAGAGGAGAAAAAACTTTGTGTAACAGAACATGGTATCAAATACATTTTCCCAACGCCTGCAAACGCCATGCTGAGACTACCCTCCAAAAGAACGACTGAGATCAGACTGGCTTCGGTCCTGCCTCGTCAAGACCTTCCAAGCCCTGCATAGGGTCCATAGGCCCATTGGCCTCCTCTTGGGTCTGTTCACTGGCTTTGCGATCCTCTTCACTCACAGCATGCTTGGCCAACCAGCCCTCCTGCATTTTGTTAGCATAAAAAGTCGCACATGTACAGCAACATAAGACACACCTGCTCCCAGATGGCTGTTTTGCTGCCTAGTCCTTCGTTTGCGTCTTTCTGTGGTTTGGCTGCAGCTACCTTGATAACGGAGCCGTACAGCTCGCTCCGGTCCATGTTGTCAATAGCGTCTGTCGCGTCGGTTGCAGTCTCAAATTCGACATAGCCGAATCCCCGATGTTGATCGCCCTGGCTCTGGTTTTCCGGTTTGGGTAAGTTGACTTCGACAATGTCGCCAAATGGCAGGAAGGCGTGGAAGAGCGTCTGCTGAGTGACTGCTTGGTCGAGACCGCCGACGAAGACGGTGGCCTTTAGTCGTGACGTGTCTGATAGATTCGACATGGCTGCCTGTGGGTGCGAATTCGGAACTGGCTTGTCGATGGTCGCGTTGTCGAGATTCGGAGCTGAAATTCGATATCACGTGGCTAGCGGGACCCACAGTTGGCCGCGCCCGCCATGGACCAGGGAAGGACAGGTGGATGCTCCGTTGATGGTGAAGCACGTCGTCGCCTTGATTGCATTCCGCGCTCAAGACACATTGCGGACACTCCTTACTCTTTTGCACAACGCATACCTCTCTTCTCACTCCCAGATCCCCTCACTTGTCCCTTATTTTGTTCGTGCCTTATTCCCCAATTCGCTAATCTGACACCGAGGCGCCATCACCGCCCAACACCGTCATGGTCCGCCTACGAGAAATCCCCAGGACGGCCTGTTTCGCCTGGTCGCCAGGCCCCACGCAGCCTCTTGTTGCCACTGGAACCAAGGCCGGGGCTGTGGACGCCGACTTTTCAAACGAAACACAATTGGAGCTCTGGGAGCTCAAGTTGGACGACGCCGAGCAGGGCGTGGAGCTCAAGCCCGTTGCTACCGTGAGCGTCGAGTCGAGGTACCAAGCAACAGCCCAAGCACATATGACGGTGTTATGTGACTAAGCAAACATGGCAGGTTCAACGACATTGCATGGAGTCAACCCAGTGAACAGTACCCGCGGGGCATAATAGCGGGTGCGCTCGACAGCGGGGCACTAGTCCTATGGGATGCAGAAAAGCTGCAGGCAGGCGAGGGTGAGGATGCGGAGATTGACCAGATCGACAAGCACACGGGTCCCATCCAGGCGATACAGTTCAACCCCTTCCGATCCAACATCCTCGCCTCGGCCGGTGCCAAGGGCGAGCTCTACGTCCACGACCTCGCCGACGACTCCAAGTCGTTCCGCCTAGGCAAGGCTGGAGCGAACCCCGACGAGTACACTACACTAGACTGGAACAAGAAGGTTGCGCACATTCTGGCCACCGGCAGCAGCGGCGGCTTCGTCACCGTCTGGGACGTCAAGCTGAAGAAGGAGAACCTCACATTGAATCACTATGGACGGAAAACAGTCAGCGCCGTGTCGTGGGACCCCAACGTGCCCACGCGACTAGTCACCGCCATCCCGACGGACCAGAATCCGCTCGTGCTGGTATGGGACCTCCGCAACACCAATGCGCCAGAGAAGACGCTACAGGCACACGACCAGGGTGTACTGTCGCTTTCGTGGTGTGTGCAAGATAGCGACCTCTTGCTATCTTGCGGCAAGGACAACAGGACCATTGCCTGGAACCCGCACACCGGAGAGCAGCTGGGCGAATTCCCAGTCGTCACAAACTGGACCTTCCAGACTAGATTCAACCCCGCGAACCCGAACCTCCTCGCTACCGCATCCTTCGACGGCAAGATTGCTGTTCAGACGCTACAAAACACTGGCGCTGCGGCGGACCAGAGCAAGGCGGCGACTGAAGCCCCTGCAGGCGAGGACTTCTTCGCCCAGACACACGCAGAGCCCCAGGGCGCATCCTTCTCTCTGAAGACACCCCCGAAATGGCTGAAGAGGAGAGCTGGTGTGGCCTTTGGCTTTGGCGGGAAACTGGTGCGGTTCGGCATCGTTGATAACAAGTCCAAGATCTCCATCGAGACATTCGCAGTAGATTCAGACGTCAGCGCCGCAAGTGAGGAGTTCGACAAGGCTCTGGACAAGGGAGATCTCACAGCAATCTGCGAGTCGAAGATTTCGAAGGCTGCTAATGAGGAAGAGAAGGCCGACTGGACCGTGATCGAGACCCTCACATCAGAAAACCCACGAAGCAAGCTTGTTGAATACCTTGGCTTTTCTGACAAGGAAGAGGAGCTGGAAGAAGAAGGAGAAGAGAAGAAGGAAGAGAAGACAAACGGCGATGCGGACGAAGGCTCCTCATTCTTCGATAATGCGACTGATGAGGGCAACTTCCTCTCGGATCTCGCAGCTTCCAAGGGCGCCAAGACCAACAATCCCTTCCAGATTTATACCGGCTCCGAGTCTGAAGCAGACACTAAGATCACTCGCAACCTCATGCTAGGTGACTTCAACGCGGCATTGGATGTATGTCTAAAGGAAAACCGATTGTCGGATGCTTTCATGATTGCCATTTGCGGTGGAGAGAAGTGCATCGCCAAGGCACAGGCTGCATACTTCAAAAGGCAATCCGACGCACCAAACTACCTACGACTCCTTGCGTCGGTCGTCGGAAAGAACTTGTGGGACTTTGTATACAATGCTGATTTGAAAGACTGGAAGGAAGTCATGGCGACAATCTGCACATTTGCCGATCAAGCCGATTTCCCCGACCTTTGCGAGGCTCTCGGAGATCGTCTCGAAGAAGCCATCTCTGAAGAGTCAGGATCGTACCGAAAAGATGCGTCTTTCTGCTACTTGGCTGGTTCCAAGCTTGAGAAGGTCGTCGTCAACTGGGCCCAGGAGCTTCAAGAGAGCGAGAAGGCGGGCATTGAGCAAACTGATGGTGACAACAGTTTCTCAATCCACGCGCGATCACTCCAGGAGTTCATCGAGAAGGTCACAGTGTTCCGAAAGGTCACCGACTTCAAGGACACCGAACAGCAAAAAGAGGACGACTGGAAGCTCGAGCCTTTGTACGCAAAGTACGTCGAGTATGCTGACATTGCTTCTGCCCACGGCCAGCTCGCTATTGCAGAGAAGTATCTAGATCTTCTGCCTCAAAAGTACCCAGCAGCAGATGTAGCGAGGAACCGGGTCAAGCAAGCCACCAGAAAGGTTGCAGCCCAGCCAGCGACAGCCCACAAGCAGGCCCAGTCTACTAGCACTGGTCGTCGTCAAGTCGTAGTCCCTTCATATGGTCAACCTGCACAAGCAACACCAGCACCGCCCCAGCAGACCCCGTACGCTCCAGTCAACCCTATGCAAACGCAGCCAAGGGCGTCGCCTTATGCTCCAGTCAACCCTCTCTCATCACAAGCCCAGGCCACTGCACCATCAACATTCACACCAGCAGCAGCGTCCGGCAATGCGTACACGCCAGCCGGTTACCAGCCATCTCAACCTCAGGGCTATGGTGGTTACGGTCAGGCTACTCAACAACCAATTGCACCTCCGCCACGCAACTTCTCCAACTCTCCATCTATTGTGCCAGCAGCCAACAGGGGTAGCATTCCCGCCTGGAATGACACACCAGACTTTGGCCCCCCTAAGCCAGCTTCGCGTCGTGGTACTCCCATGAACACTGTTGCTTCTCCGTTCCCGAACCAGCAGCAGCCCCTCGCAGGTCCGCCTCAAGGCCCGTTCTCGCCAGGAGCACGATCAACACCTCCACCTCCTCCAAAGGGCCCGCCCCAAGGCCCTCCTCGTATGACTTCCCCACCAGCTGGACCTCCAACTGGCGCCCCGAACCCCTACGCACCAACTCCGGCAACAAACAACTACGCTGCACCACCCGCAGGCTTTGCACCCCCACAACAGGCGCCACTACAACGTGGAGCGTCGCCATACCAACCCCCAACTGCTGCCGCTCCGCCATCGAATCGCTATGCTCCTGCTCCAGGTCAGCAACCATCAGCCCCATCTGGGCCTATGGGTGCAATGCCACCACCGCGTAATATTGCGCCTCCTCCAGGCCAATTTACACCCGCTGGCTCACCTTACGCACCATCGCCGGCGCAACAAATGCCACCGGCTGCCGCAGCACCGCCACCACCAAGGGGGCCACCGCAAGGACCTCCGCGGGCAGGCCCTCCTCCCGGAGGTCCTCAAGGCGGACCACCGAGACCAGATTCTCGACCCGGTACCGGTCAATCACAAGCAGCTCCGCCGGCAGCAGCCAAGTATCGTAAGTGATCCATCAGGTATCGCGTGGATTGGCTCAAACTAACTTACGTACAGCTCCTGGTGACCGATCGCACATTCCCGACGCATCTCGTCCTATCTACGAGATCCTTGATGCCGACCTACAACGGGTCAAGGCAAGGGCACCAGCACAGTACAAGCAGCACGTTGCAGATACCGAGAAGCGCCTCAACATCCTGTTTGACCACCTTAACAACGAGGATCTGCTCAAGCCCGATACTATCCAGAGCATGAACGAACTCGCGGCTAACATCCAGGCCAAGCAGTATGATGCTGCGGTCGCAATCTTTTCGGATTTGATGACCAATAAGACAGATGAGGGTAGCAACTGGATGGTAAGTCTTACTTGAAAGCGTGTGAGACGAGTGGAAGGCTAATGTCTGATGCAGGTTGGTGTCAAGCGCTTGATTCAGTTTAGCAAGTCGACTGCTTAGGAAGTGAGTGCTGCTGCGACTAAAAACGTGCTGGCCAGTGTTCCCGAAGATTACGTTGTGGTGTACAAGTAGAGTTTGAAGGTGGTAAACAAAAAGGCCGCGTTCAAGGCAGGATTCTCGCCCCCGTATTTAGCGTTCTTTGCATGTCATTAGAGAAAATGAGAGATATGCTGGATGATTGATCGATTGATTCGACTAATGAGCACCTTTCTCGTTGTGTATTGCACGCGAATGCCTCCTGTGTGGTAAGGTGCGCTTTCTACTTTGACGCGACATAACATTTTCGTCTAGGTTTCCCTTGCACATGGCCATGTTGTGAGGAATGTTGCACTTTCTTCACTAGATGTCATACGTGGGTGCCTCCGAATGAGTGATGTACCTTCTATACCCATACCCAGCCTGTACTTTCATCTAGGTCGTCCTTGCCACATCTTGTCAGCGCTGTGTGCATACAATCGCAAACACGTATCTGCTTCCAGCAATCAACACCGTTGACAGATAGCACGGCGATACCGTTGCTATTCCAAAAGGGCATACAGTAAGAATAGAAGGCACCGTACCATAACTGGAGGAGGCGAATAGAAAACTGAAACTACAAGGACAGCATACATACTCATCACAAGAATTCGATCCCAGAACACAGTTAACACGAACTAGAAGAAAACGCTATTCGCGGAGTATCCGAGCACGAACCACTAGACAAGGAAATGGTAGCGGCGTGGAGTGAGGAAACCTGAGCTTCTCAAAGAGAGAGAGGCAAAGAAAGCTAGAGAGGGAAGGCAGAGCAGGATAGTGTGTCCGACTTGGTTACTAGAGTTAACGACGATCCGCTCGTGTTGACGGCACGAATAAAGTGAACGACGCGACTATCGCTTCGCCGCCCCCTTTCTCCTCCCTGTTTCGATAGCGTATCTAGAGCGAACGACACAACTACACCTTCTTCTCCTTCCCTTTTCTCTGCAGCAGTAAATGATACTCCAATGCAAGCGGCTGCTACAGAGAAATTGAGGCACAACCTGGAGGCGAAGATGGAGGAGTCGACGGAGAGGAGGACGGGGGAAGGATCGAAACGGGGGTTAAGGGCAAAGATGATGAGAGCTGAGAGTACCAAGGTAGTGGCATTCGATTAGCATGTTGAAGTACTCGTGATGAATACATGTAGAGTTCTTCTCTCTGGATCTCATTCCAGAGAATGTCGACATACTGCAGAAGGTTGTAAAAAAAAAGGGGGTAGTTTCTGGACTGTGTGCACAATCCAGTCCAAAGTAGTGGCTTTCCCTGAGTTGCACATCTCTTCTTTCTTGGGGTTTACTTGGACTTTGGGGTATCTACTGCGGGAAGAACGTAAACAGGCCAGAGGTTTCCAAGGTTCTCCCGCGAATCGATCGCGTGTTGTTAGAAGGCATGAGATTAGCAGGCTCGGATACAACATTCGCGCTGCTGTCTAGTCAATTCAAACATATCTAGAGATTGCTGGATGCAAGGATTACTGAATGCCATCAATTTGGCCTTTTGACAAGTTCATCGTCTGTGTTTCAGAGCCAACCTGAGAGAGACTGCGCGAGGATGGTCAGACATTGAGATGAGAAATGAATGTGGATGTCTCGATGACGTCGCTACCTATATTGTGAGATGCTCAGCCCAGCAGTGGGCCTTGTGCTTCAGGGGATCTTTGCGCAAATAACAATTGTGTATATGCACCGTCCTGACCTGCTTTCTTAGCTATAAACCGACCAAACACGATTGTCGGGCTACGCTACGTCTAGATTTATGGCCAATACCTCTTTCCACAAGCTCATGCACAAATGCAGTTGTGTTCGTGATGGCTTTGTAGATGCGGAAGACGGAACATGGTTCGAGATCGGGTGGGTTCGCTAATCGTAGCCGATCGGGTCAAAGCCGATCTCAAGCAACACCAGGCGTCATAACATCAAACTTCAATGTGATGACGTAGGCGCGAGCTCGACGCGTTAGCCACCCAATATGGCCTTGGAGGCACGGATCGCAAGTTTCAGCCTCCTCCTTTCGATAATCTTGCTGTTCTTCTGCGGCGCCATCACCTAAGTCTTGGACGCATGTTGCGTTCCCTTCACTGCATCCGCTCTCGTGTCGCATTCAAAACACCACTCCGAGCGACGGCGTCTGTACAGAACTCTCACATAATATCCCTTCTCCCAATCATGCCCCCCAAGCGAAAAAGGTCTGCTGCTGCAGTAGCAGCGGTTGCTACAACAGAAGAGACGCCTCTTGTGGATCGATCACAGATGCGCCGAACAGATGTGCCTTTGCCTACAAACGTCGTGAAGCCACCACGCCGCCAAACGACGCGTGGGGGAAAGACTGAAAAGACGGATCCTAATCTCAACCCTGACATTGTCGATGGTGTCACCGCATTACGGGCATCGCCTGACGCAGAAGAAGGCGCAGACGCTGTTCTGGGATCTGCCGTGAGCAACGGTATTGCGACTGAGGCCGATACTGCACCAGATGCAACTACGAAAGACAATGCGCTTCCACCACCTGCCACAACTAGTGATGCGCCCGTAGCAAATGGCGCCCCTGCAGCGAACGCTGCAAAGAACAAGCGAAAGAAGGCCAGCGCGCAGCAAATCAAAGTGGAAGAGGATGACACCAACACAAGCGCCGTGAATAGTGCCGCTGCAAAGACCATGGCTCCTGCAGCCAACACCAGGATATCTGGCGATCCCGACGACGTTGATAACCTAGAGGCTGAAGACGAGGATGAGGCAGAGGTCAAGGAAGCCCTGTCAAGACCCCCACCGGTCAATTCTGAATACCTTCCTCTTCCATGGAAAGGACGGCTTGGCTACGTATGCGTCCTGCAGGTACTTTTTAATCTAAACTAACGAACGTGCATACAGGCCTGTCTCAATACGTACCTCCGTAGTGCTACCCCTCCCGTCTTCAGCTCGAGAACCTGTCGTATCGCGAGCATCATCGAACATCGCCATCCCCTGAAGGACCCATCACAGCCCGAACATGCCACTAAAAACCGCCCCGATAAGGAACAACCAGCGGATGTCGCGCGAGGAATGAAATATGTGGAAGAGATAGGCCTTGCTAATGCGCGGGATGTTATCAAAATGGTGCGCTGGAACGACAAGTACGGCATCAAGTTCATGCGCCTGAGTAGCGAGATGTTTCCATTCGCAAGCCATGACGAGTATGGCTACAAGCTTGAGCCTTTTGCTGGCGAAACATTGCGTGAAGTAGGCAAAGTGATCGGCGAGTTGGGTCATCGAGTGACTACCCATCCAGGACAATTCACTCAGCTGGGATCGCCGCGAAAGCAGGTCATCGACAACGCAGTGCGCGATCTGGAGTACCATGACGAGATGCTTTCTCTGTTAAAGCTTCCAGAGCAGCAGAATCGCGATGCCGTCATGATTCTACATCTCGGTGGTGCATATGGCGACAAGCCGGCGGCCATTGAAAGGTTCAAGGAGAATTATGCAAAGCTTCCTCAGAGCGTCAAGAATCGTCTGGTACTCGAGAACGACGATGTTGTGTGGTCAGTACACGAGCTGTTGCCTCTATGTGAGGAGCTCAACATCCCATTCGTGCTCGACTACCACCATCACAACATCATCTTCGATGCAGATCAAATCCGTGAAGGTACCAAAGACATCATGGAACTCTACCCACGAATTCTCGCGACATGGGAGAAAAAGGGTATCACACCTAAGATGCATTACTCTGAACCGACACCTGCTGCGATCACTAAGACAACGCGGAGAAAGCATTCACCTCGCGTCATGACATTCCCTCCTTGCCCTGATACCATGGACTTGATGATCGAGGCAAAGGACAAGGAGCAGGCCGTATTTGAGCTTATGCGTACTTTCAAGCTTCCAGGTTTTCATACTTTCAGCGACATCCTGCCACATACGCGTCAAGATGAGAACAAGCCATGGAAGCCCAAGCCTAAGAAAGCTGTAAAGAAGAGTAAGAAGAAGAAGACTGACGAATTGGACGAGCTGGATGCGAAGCTGGAAGAGGAAGAGCCAGAGGACGTGCCCCCGCCTATCGTACCTGACGAGGAAGTGGGCATGGGAGGACCAGAGGGAAGAGTGTACTGGCCTCCGGGTATGGAGGACTGGCTCAGACCCCCAAAACGCATCATCAAGAAGAAAGAAGACGGCGCTGCTACGCCAGCGAAGAAGAAGCGCAAGACCGCCGCTGACGCGGCGTCTGTAGCAAGTGAAGCTGCTCCACTTGAGGATGTCAAGACGCCCATCAAGACACCAGCCAAGAAGGCGGCACCGGCTAAGCGAGGAGCAGCAAGTTCGACTAAGAAGAAGGCAGCAGTTAAGTCCGTGCCAACACCTTCGGCTTCCGATGAAGAGGAAGATCAGCTTAGCTCACCCCCGCTTAGCGACGTAGGGAGCGAGGACGAGGCTCCTGTTGTGCAGAAGCGAAATGCAAGGCCTGCTGCGACACGGAAGAAGTCTGGAAGGGCTACGGCCCAGGTCAGCTACAAGGAAGAAGCGGACGAAATGAGCATGTAGACAAGTGCAATCCCACAGTCATCGGTAGCCATGGTGCAGCTAGTCGTAATATCAATCCCAATGCAAACGAATACGTGAATTCGGTCCTTTGGGTATGAAAATAGCGACATTGAAAGCATGATTCACATCATCTCGGTTGTAGGAGAGGTTGAGTAAAGACAAAACAATGCTCCGAGCCTGCTAGATCCTTCCCTTCCCGCTTCAGGCCGTTATCCCGTCCCATTCCTTCCCGGCCTTGTCCCTTCCGTCTCTTTACTGAAACTCGTATTCAACGTCTTCTCAGAGTTCATGCGTTCTCCACATTGACGTAGCTCACGAATTGCTGTTCGCGCTTACCTATCTATTCACCTTCCCAGTCCAGCTGTGTGGCCGAAACGCTGTATGAACATGCGTTCGTTGGGGTAAGGACGCATAAACGTGCATTATGTGGAACCTTTAGATTCGCTAGGCCTAGTGGAGAAAAGAGAGGGT